GAATCTCTTTGAAGATATATCATTCATGACCACTATGACCTTTCAGTTATGGGACACACCAGTATGATAAAAACTTACAAACTTATCAGCAGAGATTACTGGTAGTCCAGAATGCATGCATTCATCACTAATTATATACTCAGCTATAGTATTTATAAACAGACCAAAGTCAACACTTATTTCACTATTCTACCACTTTAATCAATTACATTGAAATTCAATCATTCTTTTGCAAACTGTAGCACTGATTTCATCACTAATCTTTTCTCCACTCCCAGTGGCTTTGATTCTATTATAGTCATAGTAGACTATGGCCTTTCAAAGAAAATAATTTTCACTGCATATATAAAAACAATTAATTATGAAGGCACTACAATGAATTCTTCATCAATACATATACAAGCAATTTGAACTTATGAGCTCATTGATATTAGACAGAGGACTGCGATTGGCATCAAAAGCATTTCAAGAACTCCTCAAAATTCTGAGAATCAAATTGAAGCTAAGCACAGCATATCACCCTCAAACTGATGAAGAAGTGAAACAAGTCAATTAGAAGCTAGAAGGCTACCTCTGAATCTTCTGCAGAAACAACTCAGAAATATGGCTGGAACTTCTAGCTGATGCAGAATTTGTACACAATCAATGTGTCCATGAAGCCTAAGAGATGTCACCATTTTATATCATAATAGAATATCACCTGAAAGCAATTTCCATTGCTTACCTCAAAATAAATATTCTATTAGTATAAGAATAAGTACAATATATGCAGAAGATCTAGAAAGAAGCATATGCAGTATACAAGTTATCCATGAGAAAGATGACAGACCGCATCACCAAGAGGCTCACACCATTCAAGAAGGGAGACAAAGTATGATTAGAAGGAAAGAACCTCAACCTCAGATATGAACATTGGAAATTAAAACTCAAAAGGAAAGAACTCTTTGAAATCTCTGAAGTCTTAGAACCTCTTATGTATCACCTAAAACTACTGAGATATTGGCAAACCCACAATGTCTTTCATGCTTTTCTTCTAAATCCTTATCGTGAGACTGAAGTGCATGGATCAAACTATCTTCAACCACCTCCTGACCTTATCAAAGACAATAAAGAATACAAAGTTGAAGCAATTATCATATACTGCAAGATTGCAGGATGATGGAAGTACCTTGTGAAATGAAAAGGATACCTGACATCAGAAAGCTTCCTAGAGCCTGAGAGCCACCTGACTTATGTCAAAACCATCCTGCAAGCCTATAAGAAGAGGCATCATCTTGATTGAACAAAGCAGAATAGAATTCACCCTCAGACAGTTACTCACTACACTTATTTATATCTTTCTCACTACTCACTTCAGCCAAGTTATTCAATACATCTTTGCCATCATATCTGGAGACTTCCACTTCTATACCATCATTATTCTCAACAATGCTGATAGCACCACTACCAAATGCATTAATCAACTTCACCAGCTCACTCTAGACTTTCACATCAAAATCTGTAATACTTAGACCCAAATCAACTAAGTCAATGCTAACATCAAAAAACTCCTCATTTAAGCTGAGACCCTTTAGTGCAAATTCATCACCATCTTTGACACTCTTTAAGAAAGCACTGTCTATCTTTCACTCATCTTATCACTTCTGGCTCAATCTGCTATTGACCCAGATGACTCCATCAGTCTATCTACTAATGTCTTTCTCATCTCACCTCCTCAACAATATAACTCTCCTCTTGTGCCACCACTTATTTCTATTTCTCCATCACCTGTAACTACTCCTCAGCCCATCTATCTACCTATTTTCACTCACTAGTGCCCACCTGATAAAACTCCTTTCAATGAACCCCCTTTATCTGACTTTTATTCTTCCAGTAACCCATCACCCAATCATTTTATCAGTTCCAGAATACTGAACCATATCAATAAAATCTATTCTAGCTGAGTTCACTGACAATGCTGCAATTGCCATAGTACTACTGTCAGTATCACTTTTCTCTTTTATGCCAGTTCTACTGCACATAAATAATAAAATGCCAGCTATTACAATTATGAAGAAGACCTATGATACAGCTGAGAAGCAGAAGAACCTACTTGGAGATATCTTACTGGAGGTATGAATGATAATGAAGGCAATGACTTAGATGATATGAAAGCTTCCAATATTACTAATAAATCAGTTGGAGACTATTAGACTCAGTAGCTAGGAGCTACTAAATGCCTCAAAAGGGAGTAATGTTACAACTCGTCATATGGATATACACTTTTGCCTTTTACTTTTGTACCAATAACCTTTTCTCTTATATTTTACTTATCTCATCTATGCTTTTCTTACCTTTTATAGATAACAATCATATAATTCTTAGTTATATTCCAGTAGTTGATATTACTTAGCAATTCCTGATACTTCAGACTCACTTACTGATTCTACCTTTCTTCTATTGGCTAATTTCTTGTATTGTACTATACCCCTTCTCTTTTTCTCATTGGACAATCTCTTTTTCTGCCTAGCTATATAAATTCTATATATATACTTAGAATTCTTAACCTGACCTAGACAATCTATTCTTAACTTTACCTCTTGACCCTGAATCTTCATTAAGAACTTTACCTGTAACAGATCACAGATTCAGAGTTAACATCTGCATAGCAAGAGGTTAGCTAAAAATATAGTGAGGGATCATATTGTTCACTTGGTTGTTCAACCACTTCCAATGGAGGAGTTGAGGGCCTCCCTCACTAGAGATACCAGCAGCCACAGCTGCATCATTGCTATTGCAAGCCTGCTGCAAAATAGCAGCAGCTGTTTGAATAGAGCCCCAGGCTGATGTCGACATATCTGGAGTTGTGCTTCGAGAAAGTGTGGTAAGTGTCAATGGTGTACTCACTAAAAGAGCTTGAACAAACATACTATAGCATTACAACTGAATGTTCATTACACCATCACACAGGGGGTTGAACTGAGCCTATTCAGGGTGACTGTCATCTCAATTTTTGCCCTATAAACTTATTCTCTTCAGTGCTAGCACATGGCATGATCTGAATACTCATATTTAGTAGGTCAATGAACATATTAAGGGTGCAGTCACTGATCACAGGGATGCTTGAATATCTGAACTTAGGAATGACCGCCATCACACAGATCTTGTATGAACCTACAGTTGTAATGCTACAGTACTGAAAAGAAAAGGAAATTACTCACTATCACTGAAGTGAACCTCTTTAAGTCATTTCTGAGGAGGCTGACTATCTTTCCTTGGTCTGCCTATGTTTTCCACATTTGGTCCATTCTTTATGCCTTTTGGGCATTCTTGAGGCCATTTGGATAGCACTATTTGTTTATTCTAAGAAGGCATATGTGAGATGCGAACAATAGAATTTGCATGGCAAGGGTTCCAGAGGGACTTCTACATTGATGAGTAGCATGCAAGCACCCAAGTGACTGATATTTGCACTTATATATGTTTTTGAACTCAGCTATAACCTAGTATAAGCCCACCTATAAGATAATTGCCAAGATGAGACTAGTCCTATGTTACTAAACCACTTTAGCGGGATCTCAGACTTGTCATCAGAGTTAAGATGAGTTTCATTTCAAAGCACCAAAGTGCGATCACATGATCCAGCATCTTGACATGTCGCGACAGATATGAGAATGAGAATGACTGAGTCCTGTTTCTACTATCGATGATAAGCCTGGCATACACTCATTCTATCATCCACTCTTTCAGTAATGGGCAGAATATGAGCATTGCATTATACTTGAAATTTTGAATGAAAAGAACAGTAGCAATCACATCGACAATGTTACTTTACTAGTTATCTTATGTCCTAAGACATCAATGCCAAGCTGTTGATCAGATCAGCAGATGCAAAGAATGCCTTGCCACAGACACTGAGGCTAGGCCTGGGAGATCAAACAGATGCCTTTTCAGCACAGGTGGCAGTTGTCAATAACATTATATGTTATATCAAGATGAGTATCAGAGTGGACTCAAGTTTTTTTTTTTCAATTGGAAGCATTTAGATCTGGTATGATGGGTGTTCAGTAGGGTGAGTAGATGATCGATGTTGGAAAATATATCTAATATGTCAACAGAGCCAGTTAAGAATATCATGCTTTATTATATCAAATTGCATTGAAGATAAGTGCATTAGATCATATTCTTTCATATCTCTTCACAGTCTCCTGGAGTGATCATGTAACCAGAAGTGAAGAAGATTTCTCACATTATACTGTGTTGAGCCAACAAGAAAGCAGACAATCATAGTTGCATATCATCTATCATGCTCAATCTTGTTTTTTTCATCATCATAGCTTCAGAACAATATGTAGGGGAATCTGCTCATCATTCAGTTGAGCTTATTCAGTGCATCAAGCATGATATTAAGCTTCATCCCATGGGGGGCATTTTGGCTACATTCTTTTGCCAGACATACTCAACAGTTGGATATTTTGACATAGTGGGCATACACTAGATCTTTGAGAGCTCGCAGTTGGACTATTTCTGCCTAGAATGGGTGATACAGATGAGAAATTTGGTGGTCCTGGAAAGCTCAGAACTATTGGGGCATAAAATGGCAGTGAGTAGGAATTGTTTCAGGGAAAATACAATCTATTTTGTGTATGGTATGACAGTGCGGCCATTGTACATGTCAGGTATCACTTCATGCTATGTATCCTATACTTCGACTTCAAACCTCGACTGGACCTGCATGCATACTGCAGGCAGATTAGATTGGATATCGGCATCAACAGCATCTCGCTAGCGCCTGTGAGTGTGGAGGAAAGGGCTGAGATCCCATAAAAGGCGACCAGTAACCTGCAGACCATATATAGAGAAGTGAACGACTGTCTTCACTTCCATATATGGTCAAGCTACGGAGACTAAGATGAGGCTGGACAGCTGCAATGCCATCGCCGATCGACCCAAATTTGGTGTGATGTTCCGGGCTGTCGGGCCTGACTGAGCACCTCTTGCGGACCCAATTTTCGGGCTTAGCCGCGTCGGACAAGATGAGCCTGACCATTGTTCTCAGAAAGAGGCCACACCACACGTGTTTGACTGTGGTTGACAATCAGATATAAATACATGCGGACCAGTTGAGCATCTTCTCCAACATCCACTCCGTCCTCACCTCACTATCTGCTCAGTCTCTCGCTCAAAGTGCCAACACTGAAGAATTCAATCGATCAATGTCGAATACCAAGAACTTCAACAGGCCACAGGCCACAACGGACATCGACTGTGAGTGTGGCGTCATGATAAATGTGATATTTTCTGAAAGAATGTGTTTGACAGCCAAGTTAGGCGTTTTGCAATACGTCGAACGCGACATCGACAGCGATGCCGACGAGGAATTCGATGAAATGCTTGTAGGCGACATAATGAGACTGGAACGTTATGGAATCAAGCCCATGGAGACACCCCATGAGCTTCTGATTTATATTGTCGCGCGCGATCGCAGTTTAAACCGGGCCTACGAAGATCACAAAGCAGCCGAGAACCTAGTCAATAAATATCCTGCCCTAGTGCCGTTACTTAGAGAAGCATGCGAGACGAAAAGCTTCGCTAAGGTGCGATCTCTCGGTGAGGATATTCCCATTCTTTTCATGCATCTCTGTCGCTGAATATGTCTTTTCCGAAGCTATACTTCAACCAAAGCCTCGAGATGTCGAGGAACTTTGGAAGACATCGAATATTTCAAGAATTCCCTCCGAGTTTGGTATCATAACCCGCGATGAACACGCCTCACTCGACAAAGAGGTATCTGCAATGAACATAGGGCCTGATTCTGCAGGGTTCTTGTACCTCATCATCCTCACAGCTCGGCGTCGTGGGTTGAACTTGAAGCCGATGGACTATAATCGGGCTCGAGCTTACCTGCAGTCGCATCCCGAACTTGCAACGATTATAGCAGAATTGCGGAGAGCTCCAAAATCGTCACGATCTTTCGCGTCCCTGAGACTCATATGTACGCCTTGATCCTATCGTCTCTGCACTGACTTCTGACGAGGCTCCCTTAGATGACTTCTGGCTCACCGGCCCAGGGAGAAGATGAGCGAGCAGTTCTTTTTATTTTATTTTCTGTTCTTTCTTTGTGAAGGAAGGTATGTGGCATACATACCGGAAACGGGGGCTTATGCCGACTTGTATGGAAACAAATATGCACAAAGCAAACGCATCGTTGTTTGCGCCACTTTCTGCTCGATGCCCAACAGTACTTATATATGCCAAATGTGTTTTCTGCGCCCTTCATATTTCTTGCGACGAATTTTATATTTAAGGAGCGGGAAAACATATTATATCCCGCTTTATTGTCAGCGCAATACCATCAGACATCTAAGTAGCTGTCGCCCATGTCTTGTAGGTATGTTATGCATATATAGATTCTCCCCTCAGAAGGACTATGTATCGGCTAACTAATGGGAGCGATTGTATGGTTTTAGCTATGACAGAGACGTAACGTCCGTCTGATCAGAATTCGGCTTGCCGGCGGGCATAAATTTGATGGATATCTCGTTGGCCTTCCCCCGACGCGTTCAGGACACCACCTGCCCGGCCCTCTTCGTTTAACGTTCAATCTTTACAGTTAAAGCCAGCGTTGGACTCTGCAATGATGAATCGGAACGCAGGTCTTTGATGCGTTGGTAGCAAGATACTGTACACTAACTGTGACTCCGATCTCGGACCCGGTCTGTCAATCATCCTTTCATTGGATCTGATCAACAGCCACATTTGAATGTCTTCCCGTATACTCATCAACACTTTCGTGTCGAAGGTGGACTACCGAGCCTTTTATGTACAGATCATTGTCTTTCGACTGTTTCATGTTCTTTTCTGTGCGATGTCCACGAATCTTAGGGATGTATCCTTTGTTTGATGCAAACAAGGACGCTCTGATGCCAGCTTTTACCCACGCAGCCACACCCACGCATCCGACCGGAACGTTTTTCGAATATCTAGATTTATATATGCAGTTGGACAAACTCGCAGAGCCTTTTCCTTATCAGCCCCTTTTACGGCAGTCGTTGTCGCAAACCAACAATGCACGCCCTCGTCATTATTGCAGTATATATTGGGATCGCTCTGCTGCCAACAACAGCACAGAATGCGGCCTCCGACGCCTTTACGCCCAAGTTTGATTATTGTCCACCCGGAACCTCGCTCATCCGTTCAACAGGGGCGACAAGTCAAACCCTTGGGCCTGACGAGGAACGTTATATCTCGACTCGCAAGCGTGACGTTCTCCCGGCTGCATGGTCGTCTTACCTTCAAAACGTTGGAAACAGGGCTAAGGCGCTTGATCTGGAGCTTCCTGAATATGTGTCTCGCGTGCTCTCAATGCCAGGCCTCAATCCTTCGTTGGGCATTGCAATCAGTGGAGGAGGCTGGAAAGCTGCGACATTTGGCGCGGCCAGTTTGAACGCCCTCGACTCGAGGAATCAAACAGCTACGAAGCTCGGTACAGGCGGTCTTCTCCAGGCTGCTTCCTACATGACCGGTCTTTCCGGAAGCTCCTGGCTTCTGATGTCGCTCGTACAGGCCAACTTTCCGACGTTCGAGGAACTTATCTTTGGCACAGCGTCCAATGCGACGCAGTCCAAAGAAAACCTATTTCCAGGTTGGCTTGGGCAGTTCGATCTGCTCCAGCCCGGAAACACGAATCAATCACTCGACTTTGTTCAGAGTCTGTTGACAGATGTGAAGGGTAAATTCGACGTCGGGTTCCCCGTGACATTGATTGATGTTTGGGGACGCACATTGTCAAGGCATTTCGTCAATGGCACGACGCCAGAGAACTTCTTTGACACAAATATCACGCATGGCGCTGGAGTCACACTTTCGTCCTTAGCATCATTGTAAGTTCTTTTCGTTCATTCTGACAAGCGTTCGCGACAAACCCAACATACCTCATCAGACCAATATTCCAGGACCATGGTATACCATTCCCGATCGTCGTCAGTGATTCAATATCGACGGCCCCTAATACGTCTGCTCTTTTCAATCTGACGGGTGCGGTCGTACCACTCACCAACCCCATCCTTGAATTCAATATATGTGAGTATTGTAGAGCTGGTCTTCTATAGGAGGGTTGCTAACATTCGTACCAGTCGAGACAGGCTCATACGACCCGATGTTATCTGCATTTACACCGACTAAATTCCTTGGTTCGCCGAACGACTCAGTTTGCGTCACTGGGTTCGATCAAGTAGGATATATACAAGGGTCTTCCGGAGGATTGTTCTCAATTTTTAATACATCTGTCAGCTACCCATACCATTCTATCCTAATCATATGTTGCTGAATATCTGACTCTGCTCTAGGCCGAGACTCTTGCTGCATCCCCTGTGGGAGGATTACTGACACTTTTGAATGCAACATTTACACAGCCTGGTATCCGGCTCGATGCTGCGGCCCTGCCCAACCCATTCTTCGGCCATGCAAAGGATACATTCGCAGATAGTGGAGAGAAAATCCTGAGACTCATAGATGGCGCCGAAAATGGGGAAGGGACGCCTTATCAACCGCTCCTCGTCAAAGCGAGAGGTGTCGATACCATAATTGCCATAGACGTGGTATGTTGTTGTATTTGAATTCCTCTCAGCAGGAATATGGGTTAATCGATAACGATTCTACAGCAAGGAGACAACGCTCTCGAATTCACGGAGGGACTTTCGGTCATCGTATGTGTGATTTTAGTCATGTGTCCCCTTCCCATACACTAATCGACGTGGCTAAAATCTGTCAGGCTTCTCAAGAACGTGCATCCATCTTGTCCTCAGTATATTCCTTCCCTTCCGTCCCTACCTCTGTCGAAACTTGGAGGTCTGAGAACTTGGCCAAGCATCCAACGTTCTTTGGATGCAATAGCACTAGTCGTGATGTACCGCTTCTCATCTACATCGCAAATGGCGCTCCACCTCTCGGTCAAGTTGCAGTCACGAACGTATCCACAACTTTAACCATCTTCCCTCCCGAGCAAGCGCGAGCCATTTTCGACCAATCGTTCGATATCGCAACTCAGGGCATTCCAGTCCTCAATATGTTCGGATATATAGAGAAAGACCCAGAGTGGCCTATTTGTTTGGCATGCGCTGTCGTTGACAGAATGCGGTTGAAGAGTGGAGCTCAGAGAAGTGGGATCTGTGCCAGTTGCCTCGACAGATATTGCTGGAGCTAAGTACTTTCTTTTCTCTTTTGCCCTTTGCATACTTTGGCACTGGCAGCGGGTTTAGGTCAATTATTCTGTCATGCTCATGTTACCTGGAGCAATGAACAGACAAATTTGAAACTGTGCTAGTGTATTTTTGCATCGAGCGTGTTCTATCGACGCTCCGTAATATTCCTCGCCTTAGACAAGAACTCTCATACTCAAGTCGAGGATTGCACACAGGTTGGCACGTTGGTTTCAGTTCATGTTGAAACGTGATACTGATGAACATATATTTCAACTTGCTACATCATGCTCACGTTCATTTACAGATGATCACAGAATAAGTAAGAATAGCACAACAATGCATGATGTTCTCCGGTTTCTCACTGAGCGCCGTTCTTCCTCGTCAAAGATGGGCTATACTCGTGAGTCAGTCGTCATATAAGTCCTAATTCCTTTGTGAATCGTGACCTCTCTCCCACGCAGTAGGTGGTTTCCGAAGATGGCGAAGTGGACCACATTTGATGCTAACAAGAGTTTTGAGCTTCTTTGTTGCGACAAAGCCAGCGATACTATTCTATAGGTGTCAATAGTTTGGGACGTCTCCACGTCGTTACCTCCCTAGGATTCATCTATATATTCCGATGCTCAACTCCAATCAGCGTGTTGTCTTCGCAACTGCCTCGAGTCTAAAACAATAATCCATGCGCCACTCAGCCACCATTTCGTTTTGCATCGGTCTCGGCCTGTTATCGCTTCACGTACTGGCGGAGAGCGTAGCATCCAAAGCCTTCACTCCAAAGCTTTCTAGATGTCCACCCGGAACGGCCCTCGTTCGTTCTACAGGGACAACAAAGCAGACACTAGGTCCAGATGAAGAACGATACATCTCCACTCGCAAACGCCAGGTTCTCCCTGCAGCATGGACTTCTTACCTTCACAGTATCGAATCCAAAGCCAAAGCGTTGGGCGTAGTGCTTCCCGAATACGTGTCGCACGTTCTCTCTTCACCTAATTTGAATCCAACATTGGGTTTGGCGATTAGTGGGGGTGGCTATAAGGCCGCGACTTTCGGTGCCGCACATTTGACCATGCTGGACGCTAGGAATGAGACATCAGTCAAATTTGGCACAGGCGGTCTCCTTCAGGCCGCTTCGTACATGACCGGGCTTTCCGGGAGCGCGTGGTTCCTTACATCTCTTGCGCAGGCCAACTTTCCTACATTCGAAGAATTGATCTTTGGTCCGTCGGGTCGTGAACGTCATTCGAAGGAACCTTTGTACTCTGGCTGGCTGGGACAGTTCGACTATTTCCAGCCTGGAAATGCGAATCAGTCACTTGAATATCGTAACAGCCTTCTGTCCGATGTGATGGGAAAATTCAATGCCGGTTTCCCTGTCACGTTGATTGACATTTGGGCCCGTGCTTTATCGAGACACTTCGCGAACGGCACAACGCCTAAGAACATCTTGGACGAGGATGTTCCACATGGTGCTGGAATTACGCTCTCGTCTTTGTCTTCTCTGTACGTCATTCTCGTCTCTGTACATGCGTCGTATGGTTAACTCGAAGGGGTGTCTAGCCCAGTCTTCCAAGAACATGCAATACCGTTTCCTATTGTCGTTGCTGCTTCTATTACCAAGAAGCTGAATGCGTCGAATTTCTTCAATCAATCGGATGGACCTCCTGCACCCTCTGTCGTGCCTCTTAGTAATCCACTCTACGAGTTCAATATTTGTGAGTTCATCGGTGCTGGTCTCTGACTCTGGGTCGTAGGGCTAACACTTTTGATAGTTGAAACGGGTTCATACGATCCGATGCTCACTGCGTTCACTCCCACAAAGTTCCTTGGCTCACCGAACGATTCCATCTGCGTCACTGGCTTTGATCAAATTGGATACGTCGCCTCTTGTTCCGCAGGAATATTCAGTATTTTCAACGATTCCGTCAGTGCTAGCCTTCTTAGTCCGTGAAACTTCTGCAATAGTCTAACTGTATGGCTCTACAGGCTGGCTCCCTTGAAGCTAACCCGATTGGCGGTCTCTTCCTCCAGATGAACGCTACTTTGTCGCAGCCCGGTATTGAGCTCGATGCTGGGGCTTTGCCGAACCCATTCTTTGGTCATGCGAAGGAGATGTTTCCCGACAGCGACGAGAAGTTTCTGCGACTAATCGACGGTGGTGAGGGTGGCGAAGTTACGCCTTACCAGCCACTACTAGTCAAGGCCAGAGGCGTGGATACAATCTTCGCCATGGACTCTGTATGGTTTCGTTTATCCTAATGTACGGATATCAGCTGAACTGTTACGTTTCTCAGCAAGCTGACAACGAAATCAGCTTCACAGATGGTCTGTCGGTCATCGTACGTTTCAGGTTCTATTATTATGTACACTGGCTTATACTTTCAACTGCACAGGCTTCTCAACAACGCGCATCCCTCTTCTCCTCAGCGTATTCCTTCCCACGAGTCCCGACCTCAGTTGAAACGTTTAAGTCTGAGGGCCTCACCAAGCACGCCACCTTCTTTGGTTGCGACACGACCACTTCCGATGCGCCTGTGATCATCTATTCGGCAAATGGCGCCCCACCCCTTGGTCAACCACCGGTCACGAATCTCTCAGGAATTGAGACCGTCTTCCCTCCTGACCAAGCACGAGCCATTTTTGACCAGTCTTTCGATATCGCAACACAAGGGATACCTATTACCAACGTGCATGGCGAAGTAGAAAAAGATCCGGAGTGGCCCATTTGTCTCGCGTGTGCTGTTACAGACAGGATGAGATTGAAAGCGAAAGCTGAGAGGTCGGGAATTTGTGCAACCTGCATGGCTAGATACTGTTGGAGTTGATGGCCGTTCATTGTTGGAATTTACACTGTGATGTACTGGCTATGCCCTACGGTTCACATTGTTATGCATTAATAACTTGAAATAAATTTACACGGTACTGTGAAGAGTGTGTTATGGATATATTCCCGCAAGCATTTGAGTAGTACTATCGATGTATTCAGCCTACGCCCTGAACATTCCGTAAAAATGTTCCCTCTGACTGTTGAAAACCCTATTCAACAGAGAGTTCAACGATGTTGCGAGAATGAATGAAATGAACCGCGGTGGATGCATTGGTCTTCGAAACACTACACACAAAGATCACGTCACCCGGGCTTTCGACATATGAGGAACAACGAGGATGGGACTGAGAGAATGGCATCGGTGGTAAACCTTTAGCTTGCTATCTGTCGTTTGGAGGGCGAATGGTGGAGGCTTGATAGCATTTCGAAGAATTCAAGACCTCATCGATGGCCTCATCGGCTGTGAGGTGTTCATGCATGAATGGCTGTATGGTGCATGACCGTCATGATATTTGATTGCTCTTCAGTGCATTCTATAGGGAAAACTGGAATGCCCCTCTCTTCGTACAAGGTGGCATACAAACGTTAACTGCACTCCCGCTACCAGAATTTAGACTACATAGCTCCATTTGCAAATTTCCTCATAAACCAAAGACATAAATTTCGCTCATTCAGCTTCTCCGGGATCCAAAAGTCATCTAAGGGAGCCCCGTCAGAATCAGTGCAGACGCGATGGGTTCAAGGCGTACATATGAGTCTCAGGGACGCGAAGGACTGCGACGATTTTGGAGCTTTCCTCAGCTCCATTATAATCGTTTCAAGTTCGGGATGCGACAACAGATAGGCTTGAGCCTGATTCCAGTCCGTCGGCTTCAAGTTTAGCCCACGACGCCGTGCCGTGAGGATGATGTTGTACAAGAACCCCGCAGGACAAGACGCTATGTTCATCGCACGTACCTCTTCATCGAGTGAGGCGTGTTGCTCGGGCGTTATGATACCATACTCGTAGGGAACCCTCAAAACATTCGATGACCTCCAAAGTTCCTCGACATCTCGAGGCTTTGGTTGAAGTATGGCTTCACAAAAGACATATTCAGCGACAGGAATGCATGAAAAAACTGTCGATATCCTCACCGAGAGATCGCACCTTAGCGAAGCTCTTCGTCTCGTATGTTTCTGTAAGTAACGGCACTAGGGTGGGATGCTCATTGAGTAGACTCTCGGCTGTCTCGAAATCTTCGTAGGCCTCGTTTAAACCTCTGTCGCGCGAGACAATCTGACTCAGAAGGTCATAAGGTCTCTCCAAATACTTGGCTCCATAACGTCGTTCATTCCTTATTATGTCGCGCGCCATCGATTTATTGAATTCCTCGTCGGCATCGCGGTCGATGTCGCGTTCCACGTATTGCAAAACATCTAACTTGGCTGCGAAACACATTCCTTCAGAAAATATCACAATTGTCACGATGCCACACTCACAGTCCATGTTTGTCGCGGCCTGTGGCCTGCTAAAATTTTTAGTATACGACACTGATCGACTGAACTCTTCGACATTCGCACTTTTGTCAAAATTCTGGGCAGATATGTGAGGACGGAGTGAATGTTGGAGAAGATGCTCAGCTGGTCTGCATGCACTTATATCTGATTGTCGGCCACAGCAAACACGTGTGGTGTAGCCTCTTTCCGAGAACAATCAGGGTCATGGCGTCGGGTCAGATATGTTGTTCGCTCAAAAGTGGTGTCCAAATACAGTAGTATCTCTCGGGGCGTTCAAAGTTCTACGGGCGAGGCTCGAACCCAAACCAAACGCGTAAAGGCCGGCCCTAAACTCAGGAATAAAAGGAGGCCGCAGTATTTTCCTATTTCTCTTGCCGTGCCTCTCTATGCGCAATTCATGTTCCAGCTCTGTGATGACTCTGGATATCAACAGGTGAGTTTCAAGCATCCTTGTTCAGTATCGTCTACCTTCGTAGTATCCTTTATGATGAGATAATTACTTTCAGTTATCCCTGTCTTAACATCCATGTCGAGACCTTGAAATTCTGACTACCCTTTGCCTTTTTTCCTCTCGTCGTTGAAACTCGAATACTTATACTTTCTTACGACAGGTCGTTGATACCGTGTTTCTAACGAGTGGCGTTATGAGCTGTAATTCGGAACTCAAGACAGGCATTCGAATCCCATAGACAATTGTTCTCAAGTAATGGCTGAGATCAATACGTAGTAAGGTTGAATACCGTCGTCAGTTACTGAATATCATGTCATATAATATAATCTTTAATCATCTTCGTTCTTGGTGTTGACCGCATGCGAGAGGGGTAGCAGAATGCAAAGAAGCCATAGTACACGTTGCGATGTCCGTTTCAGGCGATTACAATAGTACAAGATGCAAATGCCAACAGCTATAAAACATCGTCCAACGCAGTCAAACCTCGAGATCAAACCTGACTGAGAGGTTCATAACCCGCCCGACTGCTTCCACCCCTCCTCAAACCGAAGCCCATTAACAAGCTCTTGCCCAAAGACTTGCGGCCATCTGTGGCATGCGCATCATCACCCTCCTCCGCTAGTCTTCGTTTCTTCGCTTCAACGAAGCCCTCCGGAGGGACATCATACAACCTATCATATTCAACTCCCAACTCTCGTCCAGACGTCCAGAAATCTTTACAGTTCCCTATCATGCCTAGGTCGAATGGGTTTGGCGCTTTGGCTGCTCTCTTGAGACCATCAGCAGCCTTGCCCTTCGTAAACCGATCAAACCCAAGGAGGTTCATCAAGAATCCACTTCCACAACCAGCGCACATCCCACGATGGTTATGGTTATGAACACCTGTAGGAGTAAGGTCACTTGATGAACTTGCATCATCTGAGGCAGCGTGTCGATGTTGATGACCCATCTGTCCGTTGAGACTGGCACCGCCGCGTCCGCCCATGAAGCCGTAGCGACCAAGGTTGCTCACTTCCAGAGTGGTCATCTGTCGCGCGACTTGCCAATATTGGCTGAACAGAAGAACGAGTGTCCAGGAGAGTTGTAATGTTGCCCAAACAGCGACAGAAACGAGGAAGGTATCGTATGAGGTGATGGCGCAGAGATTATCAGGAAGAATGCATGAGGGCGAAATAGTACCGGGGCCAGTGGGTATCGGAACGCTCGAGAAGTCTGCCCAATGGACGAAGAATGAGTAAGTCTAGAGTGAGCTTAGGAAGCTTGACTTACATGCGAAGGTTAAGTAGTCGAAGGTGACAATACCGATCACAAGCGTAGAGACGAATAGCAAGAATTGACGATGATTATTATAACCGACTGGCAAGAGGTTAACAAGAGCTATTGGTGTTGAAGATATTTAGACTTACTGCAATTCCAGACCCATGGGCAATGGCTAGACAACGTCTTAGATGAAAATCTCTAGAATGAGAGCTGGTAGATACGCACTGGTCATGACGACCGATACAGCGATCGCAAACACGACAATGTTTTGAGCGAAGTGGTTTCCGTGCCTACATTCTCGATGAGCACACGAATGAACCGGCCAATCTCACACACACCATGCATTGTATACAGAACGTCTGACCATTCAATCTACCTTCGGATGCAAGATCCTCTATGATCTACGCATGTATTAGGACTAGCAGAAACGTGAAACACGCGATGCACGTACAGACTTCAGCTCAGCATCACTCGCTGGCTTCGGGCATGATCCTGGATCCAGACTAATCGCACGGAAGAAGTTGTATGCACACAGCCCAAAGGATAGGGCGAAGATGAGATGGCTAAATGCATGAGACTGTGTTTCTGAGACTCGATTTGAGTACAGCAAAAAACAACCGTGTACTGAGTGACTTACGATGTACTAAGCGACTAACCCAGGCATAGCCCACCCATACCATGGACGCAGCAATGATACCGGCGAAGTAGGGGCTTTGGGTGACACTGTCAGTATAGTTTGCCTTGTCTAAGAGGACGCGAGTAACGATCTATGGAAACAGTTCAGCATGGTTCAGTCAAGAGATATGAGGTCGACTTACATGATGGAGGGCAAAGAAGAGAGCCATGGCAAGGATAAGCCCTGTATACCATGGAAGGATGGTAAGGGTCATGAACATGAGAAACAAGAACAATGTCGGCATGAGGAAAATGGCAATCTTTGTATTTCGCTGTAGAACCGTCAGTGGCATCCACGATGAAAGGGGACGACTGGAGTACCTCGCTCAAAGGCTTCTTCTTTTTCACCCCTTCCTCAGTAAGCCCGCCCTCTTCTAACGCTCGCTTCCACGCCCCCAAACTCTTCAACTCCACAGCCATGTCTCTAGCCGTTCGGCCCTCCCCGTCTTTCGCATTGAGATCTGCGCCCGCTTCGATCAAACGGCGGATACATACACGATTCCCTCGCACAACAGCCCAGTGTAGCGGTGTCAATCCGGTATCATCCTTGGTATTCGGGTTTGCTCCATGTTTTAGAAGAAGGTCTACCGATAGAGCATCACCCTGGTATGCTGCCCACATGAGCGAAGTATGTCCTTGTGAGTCTCTCGAGTCTACGTTGATAGGTTGGTGCAGAAGATACAACAAAGGCATTACGGAAGATGAATGCGTGACTAAATGGAGGGTATTGTAGCCTTGCGCATCAGTGATGTTCGGATCGGCGTTGTGAGCTATGAGGAGTTGAATGACATAGAGGTAGCCGTTTCGTGCAGCCCACTGCATAGGGGTCGCTACAAGGTCGCCTCCAAGGGCATCTACCTCTGCACCTTGTTCTAGCAGGTATCGACATGCCGCGACTTGGGCGTTAATGGCAGCCCAGTGTAAAGGAGTGATATTTTGCTCGTCTCGGTCGGTAGCCGTGGCCTTTCCAGACTCTATTAGCATGCGTATAGTCTGCACATCACCCCGTTGTGCTGCTACAAAGATATTGACCTGATAGCAAGGGATGAGATCGGAGACGTGTCCGCAGCAGCATTATACATACATCGGGTTCCTCGATCGTTTCCAAAGCCTGCGCAAAGGTTAAGTTTGCAGCAGAGGCTTGCTCTGGGTTTACTGCTGACGAGGAGGGTTCCGATTTGCCCTTGACGATAGTTGGTGGTTCATCCATGAGCGTACGGAATCAAGATGATAGTACCGCCTTGCCGCAGCGTGTCCGTTACGCCGTCACAATCGGTGACAGATGCAGTGTTGTGGACCCTAGATTGTGGTTTCCGTCTTGATATGAACGTTCGTATCCGAGCAAATGAGTTTCGAATGAAGCTAGTTTGCAATAGGCTTTCTGACGTAGATTGGTTGCAAGAGAACAGCCAGGGTTATAGCATTGAAGCAACGTTGTTTACATTCGTTTATCATCAGCCTTGACAACGTTACTATATCAGGAATAATTTCTTTTTTCTTCGCGTGCTCTTGGCAAATAATACGACATGGTGAAGCCAGAAGGCTTAAGTCTCTCACTTTTAACCTTTGAGGTTCATGCTTTCAGAAATTTGTGACCCGTTAGCTCTCTGTGCTTATGCATGGCTATCGATGCTCCCAAAACAATCATCTTTCCCTTCAAGTCAAAACCAAAGTCTGGGTGAGAACGCATCGACGAAAGGAGCTGATTATGGGCTACAGCAACCTGAGAAAGTAAAAAACTACTTCACATCTCCTACCAGTATCCCACTGCCCTGCTTCTCCTCTCTTACCGATACTTCACAGTAGAGGCCTGCCCGACCAACAAGGCCTCTCACCTGTATTCGACGGCTATGAATATGACTCGGAAACCTCAGGCTTTCTAGTATGTACAGAATCGTTCCCTCACATACATAATACTTAAAAAATATGAGTTTATCACTGAACTCATTGAAATGCCGGACTGTGAAACCAGGGGCTGGACGGACTAGAGGAAGGCCTTCCCCAATTGACCTTCTCGCTCCAGAATAAACTACGTGTAATTCCCCTGCACTTCTCCACATATTCTCCATCCACCGGAATGAGACAGGAGTCCATAACCAGCCGCTCTAAATCTGCCGCATACCCCAACAATTTCCGTATCAACAATGCGTGTGACAGTGGTGTAGACCTCGGGATATGAGAAACGAGTGTCTCATTCCATACTAGGTGCTCAGCGAAAAGATTGCGGAGCCGGGGAATAATAAGGTTTTCAGGCATAGTTAAATCCGAGGAAGGAGCAAGAAGCTGAGCCAAATGACGTGCATCCCAGTTATGTATGAGGAGGGTCTCAGCACTGTGGAGTGGACTCGCCAGTGACCGAACCAACATCTGGACAAAGGCGTCACCGTCAGTCAAAGGGATGAAATTGCCCAGAAACAAATTCTTAACTCCGGAAAGCTGGAATTCTTGACACCGGCCTGCAGTACTTGGGCCACAAAATCTGGATGGCTATCCTTCCATCCGAATGACAAATGCACCTGACTCGGAGGAGAAGCATCTTCGAGGACCTCTCTCGCCATAATAGCACTTCCCGCCAAATACGTCCATCTCTCCAATTCCGTGACAGTTCCGGTACTGCACGAATCAAATTTGAACGACTATCCGCCGACCGACAGAACTTCGAAGCAACGATAGAGAACAGTCTTGAGACGACTCGCGCATCAACAACCGCATCCTCTCCGTCGTCTAAGAGTGTACCAAACTGGGCAATCTCCGGTGTATCCAAATGTCGAAGGAACCAAGAACAGGTCCTCGACGTAGTGCTCGATACTATCAACCTGCGCAGGTGATGCAAAGGCACGGGATTCCGGTTTGGCAGCCAAGGTTCTCCTTCCCTTGCAAGGCAACCCCTGAGATTTAAATCCACCAGAAACGGAAGGTTTTGTAAAGTGTCCATCAGTTCCTCGACACGCGGTTCGGTGAACCAAAAGGTGTCTAGCTCGAGTTTTTGCAGACTCGGCACTAAAAAAGACTTGATAAGGGAGAATGGTGAACGTTGTATGAAGAGCTCGCGCAAAGACGGCAAGTGATGTGAGAAGTCCCCTGGCGGTGGCTCGTCTGGTTCACCCACGTCAAGGTCGGCGTTAAATAGGAAGAGCTTTTCGAGGGAAGTGGCTGGACTGATAAACAGCGAAGGAACACGCACAATGCCAGAGATGGCCCTAAAATGAAGATCCTTGACTCAGCTGAAGGCTTGAGGCCTCAGAATGATATCGAGGACGCGCATGTCATCATGTAGATTGATGTCACAATCCACGTTGACCGACAGTGGCAGCTTCCAAGACCGTCGAATCATTGTCTGGAGACCTTCGTCAGGATATGGGATAAAGATATCGGTCCATATAGACCGGCACGCGAGGAGAAGATATCGCCAGTGTTGACAAACGTGGGTAAGTCGCAGCCAGAAATATGGATCGTCCCTCCTGGGACAATTTCCGCAACGGATATCGTATAAAAGGATTTTGAGCAATAGTTCATTCGGTATGTCCGAGATACCGACGTTGCGAAAGTGCAGCGGTTCGACCGGGGGCCGGGCGACTTGGAAATTCGGGTCTAAGAATGCTCTGAGATCATCAAGGTTTATGCTGGACATGACCTATGGGGAACTGGGCATCTGCAGAATACATTAGAGCCAGAATACGAAGTTGTCACACCGTTGAGTAGCTATCAAGTCGGGTGACTCACGCAATTCCTAGTTATGGGCAGCGTCAACGATCAAAAACCAACTTCCAACTTGCCAACTGACGTTTCACCACTAGGAGAGATCTATCTAATGTAAGTGATGCAGTGTATAACACGACGTTCGCTCGACAAGATGGTGGTGCAGGTGTGAGGGAGATGAACGCTTCAACTTCTGGGAACCGACCGTTAGCTGATCGTGAATGATTAGCGCTCATTTGTGCGTTTATGTAGCATAACCCCATAACTTGAGGCCCATCGATCGCAGGATACGTGAGTGCTCAAACAAAGAAACACTGATTCAAAGGATCGCCTCGTCTATCGCCTTACGCCCTAAGTCCAGACAACTGGAAAACTGATGAGGGCATTCGTCTTTCCACACACCTACAACGTTGGTATCTGCTCCAACACAGTACTGTTATACTGTTTAAGTCTTTGCGAAAGACAGCGCATTGCGTTGGATGGAAAGAAGGTGAATCGAAGAGTTTGTTTCTCCTTACGAGTGACGATTGCCAAATATGGACTTACACCGGGAAGATGCCGTGCTGTCTTGAAAGTTGGTTCGGCTTCTGAGGGTTCAACGTCAACGTTTGGCAGCAGCCTTGACAGTGCATTCCCAGACCTGACTATAGCTAAGATTTATCCATGCACAACGTCTGTTTACTATACAATATTTCTTGGTAGCTATTTTCTGCCGGATAGGACAATTATTCTCAGGCAAGCGGCACAAGATGGGACGACTTTGCATAAATACTTCGAATATCCACTCCTCTTTTCATATATGCGTCATTTCCGAATCGAAGCCATGCAATTAATCCAACTATCATGCCCACTCTCCCTTCCACTCTCTGACGAGCCTGTTATCTGCCGTACTCCGCCTGACAATATGGGGCGTCAGCATGATGAGTTCATCACGCGCTCATGTTCCAGATGCTCTTGTTCACTTCGCCTGGATATCTCCATGTCATCACATGCTCTGAGTCGAAGCATCTTCGATCTCATGTGGAGGTTAGTTTATAATTGGTAAGGATGTGCGGTACTTATACCAAGGTGCGTTGCCTCATCGCCACACACTGAACACCGAGTATGGTGCCTCGTCTTGCCCTTTTATCTATACTCGTAGCCTTCGCGGTGGACGCCCTAGGGCAATCGCAATGGTAAGCTGACATGCTAATGAATAAGACATGCGCTGACTGTTATAACCAGGTGCGGCAAGAACTATATGGCTTCGCAGCCCGTAGTGCCTCCGGGAGGAGAGTTTCCCATACCAGGGACATCTTCAACACCCTTGATCGCATTTCGATGTGCGCCTGCTATCAAACCTTACCTACCTGAGGATGTTTCTAGTCCCGCAGGATTCATTATCGACACCATAATCACACACACTCGGGTCGCTGGCGCTAAAGCTATTTCCCTTCCTACTCAAGGAGCTTTGGGTTCCCTGGATGTAATAGTCAAAATGAACGGCCAGACGCTTGCCCAGGGTCGTGTTCCTGCAAACTTGACAAAGTTCGAATTGCCATTCTCTTTGGCTTCCCTTAGTCCGCAAAAGGATGACTTCGATGTGTCATGCTCCGCATCGTATTCTACTGCATCAGGAGAAACTCAAACATTCTCGGCGTCAACTAAACTGTCTTTCCTTCCTCCACCGCCCGCGGGTCGCTCTGTTACGAAGATGGACCTGAGAACAGGTGCACTATTGGCGAAACCAGCGACTGGAAAGGGAGGCGAATACGCAACCGTTTTTCCGATAGGTTTCTACACCGACTTTGGAGGTTACTTAGCTTCGAATCTCTCTGTACTCGACGATTTGAAGGATAGAGGGTGTGTAAGGACTGTACTTGACGTTCTGGGTTGACTGCTGACGATTCTTTCAGGTTTACTATCGTGCGTGTCAATACAAGGTGACAATAGACGGTGTTAACTTTTGTACCCTTTGCAGGTTCATCCGGTACCCACTTTCGACAACCTGACTGCCCTGGATCTGGTTATTGACCGTATGCAAGAACTGGGCTTATGGTGCGTGTTGCGATTATAAACTGTTATGTCGAAGGGTTTCACATCTAAGAACGAAGGCTCATGTATGACATGCGTTGGACATATCTGCTCTCGAACAACGTGACGGAGGAAGTCAATCGCATTAAGAACCGCCCAAACCTTCTACTGTGGTAATAACACTGCAGGATTGACTTGCACGCACCAGTATTGAATAACTGAGTAATTGCTTTAGGTACACTGGAGATGAACCCGATGGCTGGCAGGATCCTCTCAATGGCACGTCAGTTGCATATGACCTGATATACTCGCTCGACGGCTATCACCCTGTCTCGCTCGTGCTCAACTGCGAGAATTACCACTTCGATGCCTACACCGCTGGATCGGACATAGTCATGCAGGACACGTATATGATTGGTAACAATGTTACCTTCTCCAGTGTATGGGGGTGAGGCGGGCGATTTTAATGCACCACTCTGATAACTATACTGATCGTAATCTTCTTATGAAGGACACCATGCACTGCAGATTTCGGCGATTGTGGTTGCGACAATTGCAGGGGTGGATCTGAAGACATAAGCACCCGTATGGACGAGTTTGCTGAGCGGCTATGGATCCTTGGCTGGGACCAGACGAAGGCTGTTTGGACCGTTCCACAAGCTTTCGGAGGATCGTCGTATGTGCATTTCGATTGTGACCTATGCAAGTGTTGACCAAATTTTGTTTAGCTATTGGAAACGCGTCCCAACAGGAAAAGAATGGGTGGTCCAGAGCGTTTTGGGAATCAACCATGGAGGATTGGGTGTCGTTCCTTGGAATGATCCTACCACAGCCGACATCAAGAACTCTGCCACGTCACTCGCCAAGGCGCTACTCACTATGAAGGAATTCATCCTGAGCCCTGCAGCGACAATTGGCCATGCTGTCGTCAATCGCGTTGACGTCACTTCGTGGACTGTAGGCTCAGAAACACTGGTTCTTGCGACAAACCTGAATTACAACGAAACGACAGTCCCTTTGTCGGCTTTGCATGACTTAACGCGTGGTAGTCTATCTCAACAAGTGTTCGACAGCGGCGCGAAGGTTCAGGGAGAGCAGATTGTTTTGGATTCCGTTGGAACCGGAGGTTGGATTTTTCATTAGACACTCCTACACCCGCGATGAGTTATAATCTTTGTTCTTGAAATACAAGCCTCAGGCTCTCTTTTCCTAATGATCGATGAGGTTGAGGTTGGCGCTTCGTATACTCAATTCCAGGGGGGTGGGGAGTGTTGACCCTCGTTAGAGCGTAAATTCCAATGATGCCCTGGAATTCTATTGCGTTGGATTTGTCGCTGACTTAAGACTTTTCGATGTACTCATATCGTATTCGCATCGACGACAACGCACTATTTGGATAAGTGAACGCGCCACAGGCGACCTTTCCTGCACGTCAAGCATTGGAGGGCTGGGCTCAAAAGGGCATAGGAAACACCCAAATGCGTTTTACATGCCAAGTTTGTGTGAAATTATATCGAGGAATGTCCCATTTTGTCAGCTTGATCCTATTTCGGGGAACGTAGATGTCCTCACGTATACGTCTGGAGGGTCCTCCATTTGCAGTCGGATGGAGCGAATAAGTTGGGGCGTGTGTGTGTACGTGGGAGGTAACCGGTGTTAGAGATGATTGTGTGGCCATACCGCGAGAGTTTGTAGACCACCTTGAATGAGCCAGGATGAGCCTAAACGATCAACTAGGGATATTCGATAACCCGTATCCATTGTCATTTATTCCTTCGTCAGGAATGACTACTTCGCAGGAACAACCTGCGACATCGTAGCCTCCGTCTATCAGCAAGGACACGCAGTTCGAAACTATACAGCTCTATGTTGAGATCTTCATCGCTGGCTTCAAGATCGTCTATGCGATGGTTCTCATGAATGAGCTTCAACGCTCATGAGAATAGCAGAGCAAATAGATGCGTACCTTATGAACTTCATCTGTTGGTATCAAGCCGGATCAGCTGTTTTCGTACGCGGAGAGACTTGCGTGAAACCTCTCTGGATATTTAGGTTTCGCGTCGTGTGCACATCTTGATCTCCGGTCAATGCCTACAGAATCTGCTATGCAGTTTCGTGCGATGATAATTTTGCTGTCATAGAATATGGGCGAGCCAAACGCCACCCTTACCGGGCAAGTCACCTATCAGTTGAATTGAGCTTAAGTCTAGTCGATATCGGCGGATTTCCGATTCCTTAGGTTGTTGCGCAGTATAGGGTGTGTATATCTACGCGAGAGTGATGAGATCCCCTAAACGTGTCGAAACAGACTCACTCACGTTCCCAGCTGGCTTCGGTGCCCATAGTCTCGGTGCCCATTTGGATCCAAATGGCAATTGATTCACGACTCCCGGAGTTACTTGCACCATAAGCAGTAAACCGTGAGGCCCGGTCAAATATTTGATAGACACCACCTAGATCCAAGCGTCGACGGAGTCCCGTCATTCAAAAGAGCAGAAGAAACTGGGCCAACACAGAGAGGACCAAGGTAAGGAAGAATGCCGCAAAGGAGAGTCCCAGGCAACGGGCCAGATGCGTCGTGCGTCAGAAAAAGGTTTTCCGCCTAGATGCCTGTCTAGATTTTTCTTTAGACTACAAAGAGATATACTCTGTGCATCGAAACATGCTTGTCTCCATTGAAAGTTGTAAAATGGTCAAAAATCGCCGAGATTACTCAAAAGTTGCCAAACGTTGAGGGTACTCCCTTGATCAATCGGAACCCAAAGACTTGGGTCCCAAGCGTCGAGTGTGAACGGGACGAGACCGGGGGACGTTCATGGAAAACCTGGGATGTCTGGGTAAGCTCCGCCGGCTAACCTGTCATGACCCAGGGCGGATCGCAATGCTCTGTCAGAATGTAAGTTAGCAAGTTCAAGACCGTAGCCAATCTCGGCAAACCTTGAACAAAACCCGAACATAACCTGAAACTTTATTTCGGCGCGGATGAACCTTCATTCTGCAGATCGGTTCGATTCAGCAGTACAAACGAGCATCCATAGAAGGAAATTCGGCTAGATTGATCTAGCGCGTGTGAACGCTTTCAAGATAACATTCCTGTTGTTCACTCAATCGTCCTCATTACTCTTCAACTTGTCTTCATGATGGACGACGACCAGCCTCACCAGTTCATACACGCTGACCTGCCAATACATTCTTTACAGGACCGCAGTCGTTTGTAAGTGCCTTTTCATCACGATCTTCCCATCAATAAGCTAGAATGAGGCGTTCGTCATTCTTTCGAACTTTCACATCCGAGTTCTGGATCCCTGGTCTCGGTGTGGTGCCTACACTTACCGTCGAGGACTGCCCTTCGTAGCTGCGTTATGACTGCAGTGGGCGCGATGAGGGCAAATCGTCGGGTCCAAGCATCGAGCAGGTGAGAGTAACGAGAGGGGTGAGAGCGTTGCGCACCGAAACAGTGGAAAGGACCGAGTCCATGTCTTTGGGTTGCGTTGGGCACTACCCCGTGCAACATCTCTTCCATCATAAGCTTTGCGCCCGACCTCTCATCTCCTTTCCCGCTCTCACCTCCTCCTCCTAACCCTTCCTTGTGCCTATTTGATTTCACTCATCCGATCTTTTGGTCGTCGGTGTGAGACTTGTTTTCCTGGAGACTACAAGTACACGTCGGACGGTATCTTGCTTTTCCCGTTCTTGTCTCTTCTCTGCCGCAGCAGAGCTGGTTGTTAGGCTTAGACATAGTCATGGCTCATGCACGTCCACTCGATCTTAGGGAATATGAGCTCACAGTCCGTCAAGAACCAAAGCAAGCAAGGATGTGCGGCGTTGGCGGTAAAGGTCTTACGTCTCTTCATTTGTTGCAGCATCACGTTAAACATGCAATTATTCGTTTCCAGCTGACCGACGACCAATCGACCCCCCTCCTATCGTTCAGCTCAGGGTAATTGACCATGCTGCGAGAGACCGCGATCGAGAACGTGGAGGTAGTTCAAGAGGTAGTTCTCCTGGTGAGTTTCTCGTCCATCAGCTTGTGCTCCATTCGTAAGGCGTCAGTTCGAACCTTCTTTCCGCCTTGACGTTTCCTTTCACGTTTCATCTACGATTTGATTATTTCGAGCTTATTTCGAAGTTATGATGCTACTGGAGTTCTTTGTGGCTATCCAGTTGTCCTTGTGTTTCCGATCGTCTTCCCCCTATTGTGGTGATCAGGGTCAGATCTTGCAATATAAGCCCTCTTTTAGAAAGAATAGGAATTTGTCGTGGAAGGTGACTTATTGTGGTTTAATTTGTTTCTGACTTTCATCTTTCATCTTCCTATCATTTTTCTCTGCCTTTGTGAAAAGATGAAGAAACGTCGCTTCTGCTTCTGCTCCGATTTTCATACTTCAGTAGTACTTTCATGTCCTTGTTTGACCCTCCGTATTTCCAGGTTTGAGGCTTCATTTGGACGTATTATCTGACTGCCAGTTCTGCAGATCCCTCTAGTCCGGTTACACCTCCCTTTTCGTCCAACTCTTTTCTGCAGAATCCCTATTACTTCATGTTTGCGAGCTTGGCAAAGCCGGATGAAGATGTCGAGTTGCATTGGCTAAAGGTAATGAGGCTCTCTCCTCCACCATCGTGTGTTTCACCTAATTCGTTCCTCGTAGGATGGAAAGACCCGGTGCACAACGGGATCCGTTGTCTCTTCTCTTTACCATTTAAAAGACACGGAGAACCACAATGAAGATGCCGGTTTCTTCGTATTTCCGGATTTGAGCGTTAGGACGGAGGGTAGCTATAGGCTGAAGCTCAGTTTGTATGAGGTTGTCGGGTAAGATCTGGATATCTTGCGAGTTATCTGTGTCACTCGACTAATGCTGGTATTTCATTTCCCAGCAATGAAGTGTTTCACTGCAAGTCGGTATTCTCAGCTCCATTCTACGTATATACAGCAAAGAAATTCCCAGGCATGGAAGGTACGCGTCACTCACCCATATATCTGATTAACCTAGCTGAATATTACCCATTAGAGTCTACGCCGTTGTCATGCTCACTTGCGGATCAAGGTATCAAGATTCGCATTCGCAAGGATATCCGAGTCAGGAAGCGTCCAATGCAAGTGCTCGAACCTGCTTCATTATCTCTTTCTTCCGCCCCAGCCTCTTCCGGCCCTCCGACCCTGCTTCCAGCTCCTTCAGGGTTCCCCAGCAGTTCTGGTCCTCCCGTGCGTCTCGATGCAGCACCCGGGTCGGGCTCTGGTAACGGGACAGCATTCCCTTCCAGTTCAGGTCCCCCTGTAAGACTGGACAACCAATTCGCACATTTCCCCAGTAGTTCTGCTCCGCCTGTGAGGTTAAGCTCGCCCACACCACCCAGTGGTCATCATGCTTTCCCTTCGAGTTCTGCTAGGCCTGTACGCTTGCCGGATAGGAATGAAGATGACGAGGAGGAAGAGGAAAGGGAGCGTGCACGTGAGCGGGAACGTGAGAGGGAACGCGATGAAAGGGAGAGGGAGCGTGAAAGGCAACGTGAGCGGGAGCGAGAAAGGGAGAGGGATGATGACAGAGTGAACCTGAGGCGCACATCTGGATCTTACGCTCCACCTCCGCCTATTCGACGAGAGAGTTCAGGCATGGGAAGTGCATCAAGGCGTGATAGCGGTGAACGTAGGTCATCAAAGAGGGCTCGTGCGGACGATGGCATGGGATCCGGCAATGTGCTGGGAGGACCTGAGGTGCAGGAACCCAGTCCTATCAGCGCGAGCTCTACTCAACCTGCGAATGCAAACTGGCCCATTGATCCTTCAGTACCCACAACCGCGCCACCACCACCGCCGCAGTCTGCTCCAGGTCCTCCAAGTAACGAGCATAGTGCCCATTATGCCTCCCACTCAGCGCCGCCAGCCGGCTACGATCATCGATTCCAGGCACCTCCGCCTGCGTATCCTCAGTACGACCATCCCCATCACGCGCCTCCAGCCACACACTATGCTCCTCCACCTCAACATGGTGCTCCTCATCCTTATGCTCACGTTCCGCAGACGTATTACACTCACCCTCCTCCGCCTCAATGGGGACCTCCTCATCCTAGTCATCACCCCGCTCCGCCACCTCAGGCGACCTATGATCCATACATGTATTCACACCACCCACCACCGCCTCCCCATTCACAGACACATCATCCGCAGTACGCACATGTCCCTCCTCCACCTCCTCCTGGAAGTTACGATTACCAGGCCTACCGGCCTCCGCCTCCACCACCTCAGCAATATGGTGCCCCGTACTATGACCATCAACCTCAACATCCCCCACAGCAGCATGTCCCTCCTCCTGCTCAGCCAGCACACCATTACGCGCCGCCTCCCTCTCCTCCAAGTGCAACGGCTTCGGGTGGCGCTGGAGCATCTGGTTCGATGATGTACGGTGGTGAATACTCAGCTCCAAACGGAGCGGACTCGCGTTCTGCCAGTGCTTCTCAACCACCTAGTCGTGGATATTCATACAACGCTGGTCCGCCCCCAATGCCAGCTACTTCATCTAGTTCCTCAGCCATGCCACCCCCGCCAAATGGTTCACATCACCACTATGGTGGAGCTCCTCATCAGTTCGCTCACGTACCTGGCGTGCAACTACCGCCTCAGCCTCAGCCTTCTGCACCTTCACAAAGCGCCTACGGAACGAGTAACTCATCAGTGAATGGAATGGGTGGCATGGGACGCTCAGCGCCAAGTCATTACCAGCTAACGCCTGCACCTCAGACTTCGGGACACTCCGGCTATCCTGTTCCTCCTGAAAGTTCACCGACTAGCGGTGGGAGTAGCAACGGCGGGTGGAACACAGGTCAGACATGGCAGGGTTCTTCAGGACATATGATGATGCAGGCTGAACCGTCGAGTGCATATCCCACTGGAGCTGGTTCGTACGCCTCGTCTCATCATGGGCACGGACAAGGATCGAGAGAAGGACTAGGTAGAATACAGCTAGCACCGCTTCGTGGACAAATTACCCCTCCGCCTGGTGGTTCGGGTAGTAGTGGAGATACCGAGAGAGGGAAAAAGAGTAACAATCCCTTGAGTATTGGTAACATGGTTGACTAGGTCTGTTGGAGAACTTCATTTGCTACCCATTTTCGCCGCGTTGCGGAGTGTCCGCTTTCGCTCATTGCTTTATCACAGTACATGCTTTGTTTTTCAGCCCATCTTTTCTCTTGAAGCCCAAGTTACGTTCGGAGTCTAGTACAGTTCGTTGGTTCAAGACTTGTTTTCCATAATCATTCCTACTCCGTAAAGTCGGGAACGTTAAAATGGTGAAACAGGGATCATTTTAGACGACATTCCAACAGTCCCTACAGGTTGTCCCTTTTGTCCCTTGGATAAGTCTACGCTGCTCGCAGCTTGGCCAGCTAGCATGCCTGAAACTGGGTTCTGTCACCCTGAGGCTGGCCTTCCAACATGATACGAGATCTTACAGTTCCTGCTGTGTAGAAACAAAACTCACGTTTGGAATATCAAGACCAACACAGAAGAAGTTGTTTATATGTACACGACAACATTCATTTAAGTAGTACATCAATAAAGTTTTTGTACATGTAAACCTTGTCGGCTTTGACAATGATCTGATTTACAGCCTTGAGATACTTCTTCTCCTCTTTCGAGTCCTTCGCTTCCCTGGCTTCCATGATCCACCCGTAATTATCCTCAAGCTGCGATGCAATGCTAGGGACAGTCTTGAATTGCGTGTAGAGAGGCCGAATCCATTTATCAAACAACGGACGATAGGATTCATGCGCTTCCGTGAAGAGTGCTCGGAAACCACCGTCGTGGTTGCCCAGAAAAGCCTTCTTTGCGCTGCAAACCTTTTTCAGGTCAGAGTGTTCCCATCCAGGAAGAAATCTGAAGGATCCTTTGGTTTGGTCGGCCTTCGGAGGGACAAACGTTGCGCAGAAGTAGCAAAGCAGATAGAAGAAAGACTCCAGATCATGCCGGTATCGATGCAGGATTGTCGTAGTACTCAACAGATCCAACGCCATGAACGGTCCCGTCCCCGTCCTGTATCTTGCTTTCTTCCTGGTGGGTTGCTCTTCCTCCGAGTCATCTTTCGCGTCCTTCGGATCTTGTTCATCGTCCTTGGGAATGGTAGGTGTTAAGTCACTTTCAACTTCACCCTTGACCAGGAGCCCATTCCTGTACGTCGAAAGATCCCAGTCTGATAGCACTCCAACCACGTGGCCTCCGGGTTCCCGGTAAAACATGACATTGGTTATGCTGATATCCCGATGAAGGATTTTGATCTGAATGAACACATAATGATGCACTGGAAGGGCCAAGGATCAGAAAACAAAGACATGGGGTACAGACACCACATTCGCACCTTGCACCACATCGATAATGATCTGTTTAAACTCGGCCAGGCTGCGTACACATTCTAGAGGTAGATACTCCTTCACGATGAGGACGCGGAAGATACGAGGCTCATAGGCTTCTGGCAAATACATCGAAGCCCTCGGCAGGCCAAGCTCCGCACTCGTCAGGTCCAACGAGCATTTCATATCCACAATATGTTTCAGCAGGTATTTCTTCGTCCGGCTCTTTCCAATCTTCTGTCGAATAACTCGGACAATGCCGTCCTCGGTGTTGACTCGATTGACTGGCTGCCACGACATCTTTGCGACCAGGTCGTCGTCTCCGAACAGATCCTGGGCTGCCCCAACCGCCTTGATCGGAACCACAGTCGTCCCACGTCCTACAGCACCGTATGCAACCGCAGGCTGCTTCCCAGCCGACACGTCCAACGCGAATGTCATATCGTTCAACTTCTTCCCATCGATGTCGTACGAATAAGGAAGCGCAAGCACCCCGTTCTCGTAGGTTTTAACGAAGTCAGGTCCATATCTGATCAGGGGGTTGAATCCAAGCGTCGCCCGACTTGCAAAGTGCAAAGCAGCAATGACGAGGAGGAATTGTGCTGGCTCCTTGAATACGTCGAACCCCTTCGATTTGACGAGTCCCATGCGATCGGCGTACCAGAGCGTCATCTTTGTGTCCTCGACAAGGAATCCACTGGCAAAGTTGCGAATCCCATGAGACGCGAGCTCATTGGCATATTTCGCAGATTGCATATCGTTCCCTGTGAAGACTACGGTGTGTGAAAAAGTAGCGTCGTACGTGCCTTTGACTGCCTTGTATCGCTTAGAGGATGCAGACGGCTGGTCTGCTGTGGATTTGCGCTTCCGGATAGAAGTAGAACCCTCGTCCTACAATGCGAATTGAGAAAACTACGTTATCCATGTAAGCGTATGACCTACCACAGGAGGAATGTTGCCTTCGCGAGAAGATGATGCGAGGGGTTGAGTCTTTTGTTTCTTGCGGATTCCTTGCAGCTGATGTGAATGAGACACAGTGAGTACTGCAGGTCAGGCAAGCCATACAGAGTGTCGTACCTCGTTGATCATTTCATTCGTCACCTTCGGTGTCTTCTCCTGAGTTGCCTCTCGCTTCTTTAGCTCTCCATAGGCTCCCCAGTTGGCCCACTCTTGTCCATGCAGCTCCACATCAGGCCCATAACCGAAATCCGGTTTGAAGTTCGCAAAGTCACTCGCCGGGGTTCGGTCGTGCAAAAATTTGAGGATGCCCGGAAACCTGGTCCCATCACTTGGTCGAGCCTTGTCCAAATCCTTGCAAATATATTTCACAATGTTTTCGAACGCGCTGCAACACGCTCTTTCCCCTGTGATCCGCTGCGTCTTCAGCCCGTCATATTTGATGTATTGTTTCATAGCGTATAAACGGCAGTTCGTGTGGTCGAACTGGTATCCCTCGTCGCGCCGAGGAATGTCTTCAGGACTGAACTTCCACACGTGTCGAACAAAGTCGACGACATCGTAGCCAATGTCGGTCTTGTTCTGAAAGTCCATCCTCAGGAATTCCTTAACCAGCTTATCCTCGTAACCCTTCTCGGTCTTGGTCTGCATAAGATTCGATCGGACGGGCGTACGGGGAACATCTATCGTGATACAGGCTCAATTGATATCATGGCTGCAGTAAGACATTTGGCACATACCGGAAGCAGCTCTTCCGAGCGGGGTTGTGGCTCGCAGGTTGAGAACATTGGGGGTAGAGTATGCCTTTTGTTTCCTTTTTGGAAGCTCGGGGAGAATGTCCTCCTCTTCACTTGCGTATGTTGTGTCTGGCATGTCTATGTCGGTGTCGATGCCGTGGAGAGCCAGGTACTCGGGTGGATATGGGAGACCGAACCAGTAACGAGGAAAGAGAACCATCCTGAAAGAAGAGCCTGCTTATATACGTAAGTTCCAGTGGGCCAAAGAGTTTGTGCCGTGGCACTGAGTGGCCTGGGGAAGACAATAGAAGGGTCAAAGTTTCAGAACAAAGGATGCCATGCGGCACAAAGAATCGTGTGGCTGTGTTTCTGCAGAATGAATCAAAAAGTTGAAAGAGTCCACAGAGAACTCGTTTACAAATCTTGGCTGAAGCCGAAAGATGCGACTTGAAAGTACACGTCTCGGGTAGAGACAGAACACAAGCCTAGAAGTTCAGAAAGATACCTTTAGATATTCTGGGCATGCCAAAGTAGATATTTACCTGGAAAACTTACCCGTAAATGTTTACAGGAAGGTTTTAAAGGTTCGAAACACCAGTGCAGTGACTAGTGGCAGCAAATTCTTGAAGCATGCCGACGAGAACTCGGAGCGCTTCCAACACCTTCCAGTCAATAACTTACGATGTTCCCCAAAAGGAAGGTACGTAGGGTCATGCGGACGGACCACTTTTACGGTTCAATTAGAAGGATCCAAGAGTAAAATGAGAGATGAATTTGACGAGACAGACTACATTACATATTGAAATATACGTCGCACGGGAGGAATGCGAGTCGGAACGTTTGACCTTGTAGAGCTCTGAGGCAAACGGATAAGGTACGTACAAAGATAAATACCTACTTATATATAAAAATACTGCCAAGCACGCGGGACTCCGTCCCACTCCTCTCATCCTTGCGCATAGCGACGCTCGCCGCTTCATCCATATTCCAACATTACATACACAATTCAGACAAGTAATTGCTCTATTTGGCATGGTCCGTAAGGTATGACGCCGCAAGCATTACCTCACTGACGATTCAGTTGCCATCTTCGACACGTCCAATACCCACGATCCTGCACAATTACCTTCGTTGTAAGGTCCCGTTACATAGCTTCCCCTGAAATCTCCATCTACAGTAATTGACGGACCACCAGACCTTATCGATACTTATGCTCCTCATCTATCTCATTGGTGACATTAAGAGTTCCCTAGGGCCAACATTCGGCGTCATTCGGTCATTCACATCCAAGCTTGAAGCTTGAACAGCAGTTGGGCTGAAAGCACTAGAGCACTCGTTCACAAACCCTGAAACCAAAAGTTGCAACTTGAAAGTATGCATCCGACATCTATACCGACCTAGTACATTTATCACATAGGGCACTATTCCTGCTGGCACAATCTCGTCACCCTAGCCTAGCTATGAAGCTCTCAAAAGTAAACTCCTCGTCCGCGTCAGATATGATCTTGTCCAATTTCCTTCTGACGGTCTTCTCTTCTTCGATGTCTCCTATTTGCTGTTCCATGCGCAATAGACCATGGGTACTCGAAAGTTCTTGAGTTATCTTCGGCATCTCCCTGAACTTTCGCCAGAGGGGTCGTATCCACCGCGAAATCAGTGGACGATACGCTTTATGAGTTTGGGAAAAGAAGAGATCAAAAGGGTTTTCAGTGCTTTTTGGGTCGACCCCCTCCGGTAGAGCATTGTCCAGGAATTGCTTCTTCGCTAAACCGACTTTCCTCAGATCTTCTTGTTCCCATCCAGAAAGGAACCTGAAACTGCCTGTTGACCTCGGAGACTTCGGAGGCTTGAAGGTAGCGCAAAAGTAACAAAGAAGGTAGAAGAAAGATTCGAGGTCGTGACGATAACGATGAGTGATCGGGACGGCGTTCAGAAGGTCCAGCGCCATAAATGGTCCTGTTCCCGTCCTATATCGTGGCTTCCGAGGAGACTTCGGCTTCTCTTTCTTGACTGGTTCCTCCGCAGAATGATCAATTGGATGGGTGACCTTCGATGGCTCATTGCTAGTTGTTTCCTCTAGTTCAGGAGTATCACTCTCCGATTCGTCAAGGACCAAAAGAGCATCCCTGAAGGAAGAAAGATCCCAATCCGATAGTACACCGACAACTTCCCCAGCGAGATTGCGATGGAACATGACGTTACTGATGCTGAGGTCACGATGTATGATATGAGCGACCTCGTATACCCAGTGATGGGCTGAACAACAATTTGGCGTCAACGAATGAAAATCGAAGGAACGTCTTCCACATACCTTTCACAACGTCAATAAATATAATCTTGAACTCCTCAGGACTGCGGGCGTGTTCCAGGGGAATATACTCTTTCACAATTAAAGCGCGGAAAAGTCGAGGTTCGTACGGCTCAGGCAAACCCATGAACGCCCTCGGGAGGCCTAATTCCGCGTCACTCATATCCAAAGAGCACTTCAGATCTGTGATATTCTTCAGGCATAAACGTCCTTCGTCATGTTCACTCAACTTCTTCCGAATAACCCGGATCAACCCATCCTCTGTGTTGCACCTATTCAATGGCTGCCAAGCCAGTTTCGCAACAAGATCGTCGCTCCCGAACAGCTCCTCTGCACGCCCTTCCGCCTTGATGGGAATCACAGTCGTACCACGTCCGAGAGCACCATACGCAACCGAAAGCGGATGCTCCTCTGAAACTCGCAGTTGGAATGTTAGCGTCTCGTCCAACTTCTTCCCGCTGATATCACGAGCATGAGGGAGCTTCAGGATCGCGCCGTCGTGTGTCTGGAGAGCATCCGGTGGATACTCGATGAGCGGGTTGATTCCTAGCTTGTGACGACTGCCGAAGTGGAGCGCAGCCAACACCAGGAGAAACAACTCAGGGTTCTTGAAGAAGTCAAATGATTGTGATTTGGACAGTCCCATACGATCCGCATACCATAGTGTGATACTCGTCTCTTCCACCAGGAAGCCGGCAGCATAGTTGCGAATTCCGTGGGATAAGAGCTCGTTGGCGTACTTGGCAGACTGGACATGGTTTGCTGTCAGCTTCACCGTCCTGGTCCTATCCCAGCTGCCTGGACTCGGTGAAGTCTTAGCCCTTTTCACAGTAGAGGACTCCAGGGGTGCAACTGGTTTTCGTTTACGCGTGGACGAAGGCATCTACGATGACCATTAAATTACAGCCTCCGTAATCAGTGGTGATCCAAGTGACTCACCGTTGGATCTGGCTCTATCTGAGCTTCTGTTGCAGGATTGCAAGATAATGGCATCTCTTTCCTCTCCATTGGCTGTCGTGACTTCCATTCGTCACGGAGCTGTATGCCTTTGAGCACACACTAGTGAAGAGTGCTAAGAAACGAGCGTACCTTCTGAATCTTTTCCTTCGTGACAATAAATCGAGTCGTTGGCTCCATATCAAGCGTCACATGTTTCTTCTTCAACTCCCCGTATGCTCCCCAGAACGCCCATGTATGGTCCCGAAGCTCGACATCCGGCCCATACGCAAAGTCAGGCTTGAATCGAGCAAAATTCCCAATCGGCGTCGTATCATGAAGGAACTTGAACACACCCTGGGAGCTTGGAGTGTCACTACCCGAGGCGGCTGATAATTGACAACAAAGGCCGTGCATGATGTTCTCGAATGCAATGCAGCACGCCCTCTCTCCTCTCACTGTCTGCCCATCTACGTGGTCATCTCGCTTGTACCATTTCTTCGCATACCACTGGCAATTCTCCCCATCCAATTCGTACCCATCCTCGACAAGGGGGATATCTTCAGGATTGAATTTGAAGACGTGGAACACGAAGTCGAGGACTGGATAGTCAACATCGGTCTTGTCTTGAAATTGTGCTCTCAGGAATTCTTTCACTGCCCGATCCTTGTACCCCTTCTCTCGTTTCACTGCACCAAGACAGGGTTCGATCGGCGTCGGCGCTGTTATACAGTACACAAGCATCAGCCACATGAAGGAAATACAGGTTGGTGTATTGAGGACTTACCAGTGGCATTGAGACGAGGTTCCAATGAGACAAGAGGCTTCCTGCGCTTCGGTTCAGATCGAGCCCTTCTGCGGAAAGCATCTGGGAGTGGGACAGGATTATCTGCAACCTCATCCTCGCAAGACGAAGTCTCAGACATCTCGAAGTCGACGTCAAAGTCAACGTCGTGGGTGGCGAGGTAGCCCGGAGGGTAACGAAGCCCTTCCCAGTATCGAGGAAAAAACACCATGATGATATGGAGGATGTTGCGTTATATGTGTTATTGGTCGAAGAGGCTTAGACCTTCCTCGAGTAGCTAATGGCATGACCTGTTCAGCAATAGCAACGGTTGTAAAAGCTTCGACTCACATTACAGTGACGGTCAAAACGCGTCCAGATATCGCGTTACAGACAGTCGCCCGGTGGGCTCAATGAGCATGCGCACCACCACGGGTGAGCTATTGTTCGGTTGCTAAGAAGCAAGGGCTATTGCGTACACCAACGGTCACGACTAATGATTGGTGTAATTCTGTTCAGTTGATGCTGCACGAAGTAGTCCAAAGTGTGAGCAACCCGAGTCCCCGAGCGTAGAGTGTAAGTTGCAAGTACCTATTCAAGAACGCGTTTCAACCACCTTCCCTCGGAGGTCAGGTACTGTACGCACGCTTTTCCATTGTTCTTTTATGATCGCTGTTGTGAGGTCTTAGAATTGTTTAAGAATACAAGGACTTGGGCGCTTAGGTACCGGTGAGCCAACAAAGGCAGGTCTAGTATTAAGATACTCAAAGCCACTAAGTATTCAGTTACAGAAATTCATTGGGGCTGTCAGGCTTCTGCCACAGTAATTACTACATAACTATTCCGTACGTGCTGAAATGCAGTTAGTTTCGACAAGGGAAGTGACCCACAAACCTGAGCCGATTCGAATACTTATAGGTACACAGAGACGCCTGTGATTCCAGAAAAGGCAGAGGTTGCGTTATCCACGAATACGCTCATGAGGTTCCTGCCATGGAACACCTATATTTGCATATGAGTAAAGTTTGTGTGCATTCAGAAAAGCCTTACCAAGTATCTCGAATATCTCTCGCTCACTTGATGAGGCGATATTCGTACCTGACCATGATGATGAAGGTCAAAACCAGATGCACAGTATGTCAGGTAGGGCCCACCGTGATTTAACTTCCTGGCGCGATCGTGAGGATCCCTTACGACACCTGCGAATAAACCTTTTTGATTTAGAGAATATCCCATCTTATTGGCCTTGATTCGCATTGAACGATTGAACTATCGTAAAGAAACGTGAGCAGATCGAACACTTTCCCAGGAAGATCAAGGTCCTACGATATCATCGCCCTTGCAGCCAGAAAATTAACTTCAGTCGTTGAACATTAATGTTATAAAACCAACTCACCGTGGTCTGCATACACTCATTGTCAGCCACAATCAACACGTGCGGTGTCATCTATGTCTGAGAACAATCGTATCAGCTAGACAGTGTTAATGAACAGGTTAACGATGTAAACTGATCACATTATATTCGTCACGGTCACTTAGATCAGATATTTTGACTGGACTACTCGTTCAGAAGCAGTTTCATACGGACAAATATCACTGGCTTTGGAAATTCTACGTGTCTTGGTCGTTGCTACACCAGACACAAAGATCAGATCGGACGGCCTTCGCCTAGCTTTGGAGTTTGATCACTGACTACCTCTTTCTGGAGAACTCCCGGGACCACCGGTCAACCGGCCCAACTCCACGATGACCAGCAGAAATGACTGCCAGACGAGAAATCCTGAGGCATGAAGGTTGCGTCTCTATGTACTTTGCCTCAGGGAGACGTGACATTCAATGAACTTGAGATGATGGTAATTAGGAGTCTAAATGCGAAGGAACGATTGTATTTCGAGAGTGTAGAGGCTAGAAGCGACCCCGGGCCTGTCCAACGCTTCCGGTCCAATAACTTACGATGTTCCACAAAAGGAAGGTATACAGGTTCATGCAGATGGTTCACTTCTACGGTTCAATTCTATGGTTCAATCAGAAAGAAAGGTAAAAAGAGAAACTCTTGATAAGACAATCCACGTAACATGGGCAACTCAGATAACTAATTGCCCCGTTACGGCCCCCGTAAAGTTGACGCTGTAAGTGCCACCTCAGTGATGATTTATTATCATCTCCAAAATGTCCAATATGCCTGAACCTGCTCAATCAAGTTTGTATCGAGCTTCCACTTCCCAGTATTTGAATTCTGTAAATTTTCTCAGTAACCAAACACATAAATTCTGCTGATTCAGCTCCTCCAGGATCCAAAAGTCGTCTAAGGAAGCCGTGTCAGAAATCAGTACATAGGCGATAGGATCAAGGCGTACATATGAGTCTCAAGGACGCAAACGATGGATTTCGAGCTTTCCGCAGCTCCACTATGATTTTCTTAAGTGCGGGATGTGAGCGGAGGTAAGCTCGAGTCTTATTATAGTCCATCGGCTTCAAATTCAGCCCACGACGACGCGCTGTAAGGATGATGTTATACAGAAACATCACAGGATCAGGTCCTAGCTCCATTGCAGATATCTCTTCATCGAGTGAGGCATGTTCCTCGGGCGTTATGATATTAAATTCGTAGGGAACTCTCAAGATATTCGATGCTCTCCAAAGTTCCTCGACATCGAGCGGTTTTGGTTGAAGTATAGCTTAAAAAAGACAAATTCAGCAACAGAAATACGTCGAAAAATAAAGAACATCCTCACCGAGAGATCGCACCTTAGCAAAACTTCTTGTCTCGCACGCTTCCGCAAGCAATGGCACCAGGGCGGAATATTCGTTTAGTAGGCTCTTGGCGTTATTGCAATCACTGTACGCCTGATTCAAACTCTTGTCCAGCGAGACAATCTGAAGTAGTAGGAGTTGGGGTTTCGCTATATACATGGCTTTCAACGTTTGCCAAGCACTCATGTTGATCACAATCAGTTTGTCCAATTTTTCGTCATCATAACGGTCGTCATCATCACTGTCGACATTGCGTTCAATGTATTTCAGGACATCTGCTAAACGTTACCTCAGCTCAGATAATACCACAATTGTCATAACTTTTATACTCACAGTCCATGTCTGTTGTGGCCTGTGGCCCACTGGAATTACTCGTATTCGACATTGGTCAATTTACCTCTTCGATGTTTTTGCTTTTGTTGGAATTCTGTGCGGGTATGTGAGGACGGACTGAATGAATGTTGAGGATGAGGAAGATGCTCAACTAGTGTGGACGCATTTATACTGGTATTTGATTCTCCGCCACAGTCAACACGTGTGGTGTGATCTGTGTCCGAGGACAATCGGGTCGGCTAGACAATGTAAGACAATGTCAATTTTGTAACGATGCAAACGAATGGTATTCTATTCAGATCAGACATCTTGACTGGATTACTCGCTCAGAAGAAGTTCCACATGGACATATATCACGGGCTTTCAAAACTCTCCATGCCCTGTTCGTTTGAACTACAAATAAAGGTCAGATCGAACGGGCTTCGCCTTTGGAGATTGATCACTACCTACAGTACCTCTTTCTGGAGAACTTCCGGAACGCCGGTCTACTCACCAAACTCCACGATGACCAGCAGAGATGACTGCCAGACCAGACACCCTGAGGCATGAAGGTTGAATCTCTGTCTACTCTGCCCCAGGGAGACGAAAGGTTCAACGAACTTGAAATGACGGCCGTAACGAGGAATTACTATAAAGGGAGTTGCTCGCTTAGTTGGCACGTAGAATAGTTTTAAAGCCACATAGACAAAACGAGTTGTGAGATTGCTAGCTAGAGTCTATAGTGAAACACAGTGCGAATGCAGTGCCAAAATACTGCGAAACAAGAACTAAAATAATGGATACAAGTACAAGATGCATATCGTCCTTGAGTAAGAAACTATTAACGGTTCTGGAAAAGGACTATGGACACTGGGGTAATGCGTAAGCCAAAGAAAAGACCGAGAAGGGAGGCCGAGATGATATACAAAATCGACTACTAGTCGTACTTGCAAATTTCGTAGATCTCAGCGTGGAACTTCTCCGCAATCTTCTTTCGCTGTGTCTTCTGAGCGGCAGTAACGAGGCCACTCTCAGGCGTCCACTCGTCAGGGGTCAAGATAACAGCTTCAAGCAATTCCATATTCTTGAAGTCGTTCTTCCTCCCCAACGCATTGCATTCCTTCAGTACGAGCTCCTTAACCTTCGCATTATGACAGAGCTCCCCAAGGTCCGTATTGGGACCTACGCCAGGAACGTCCTTATCTTCGAGGTACTGCCGAAGGTGGTCTTCGTGGGGTATAATAATAGCGATGGGTTGCTTAGCATTTTCGGATGCGTGGACACAAATGTTGGACGTGAGGTTGCAGGCCTTGTATATTGACTCCAAGCGTTCGAGAGCAATATACTAGAGGCAGAGATTAGCAAAAACAAATCCCCCAGTGATAGCGTGAGTTAGCCTACCTCGCCACCTTGCAATTTTATCAAGTTCTTGATTCTGTCCACGGCATCAGTCTGACATACGACGTATCACGACACGCGCGAGACGCACCGATCAATCAAGGTCATTGTTCCGTCCGGGTTCCATTGAGCGACATCACCAGTCCGAAGCCATCCATCCTTGGTGAAGATCTCCTCATCGTGATTGAGGTCATCTCGCCTGTAGTAACCCTCCGTGACTGAGGGTCCGCGGATAAGGACCTCACCTTGCGGAGGGTGATTTGTGGAGATGTATCCTGAGGCGGGAACGTCGAGGAGCTTGACCTCAATCGAAGGCATGGGTAGACCGACAGAACCATATGAGAAGAGTTCCGGAGGCAGAATGGCACACATCCCGCACGACTCAGTCATCCCGTAACCTGAAACACTCGTGAGATCACAAAACAAGAGTAGACAAAATAAGACGGACCTTGCAAGATTTTCACCAGTGCGAGAGTGAGGAACTCTTGAGTTTCCCTACTGAGAGCAGCTCCGCCGGATAAGGCAAGCCTGAGTCTACCACCGGTGGCAGACTTGATTTGACTCATGACAGTAGTATCAACAAACTGGCTAAGTCCAGGCACACCTGCCCTCTTGACAGCCATGGCGCCATTGAACACGCCCTTCTTCAGGCTGCCACCCTTGTTGATTTGTGTCATGATACCCTTCCTAATCATTTCCCACACCGCCGGGACGCCGATCATGAGTGTCGGTCTGAAGGCACGGATGTCACCGAGGCAACCTCGTACAGACTGATCTGTAAGGGTCTTGACACGACCAAACCCAAAGGTGACGCCGACGAAGAACATGCACAACTCGACCACGAATTCGAGAATGTGAGCAAGAGGGAGGTACGCGAGGTAGGCTTCGCCAGGACGAAGGTGTTGTCCGATGATAGTGTACACAGAGCCAATGGACGCGATGAGATTTGAGTGACGAATCACGACGCCCTTGGGCGGACCTGTCGACCCACTGGTGTACATGATACACGCCATCGTGTCGCGAGTTGGCTTGCGCGCCTCAAGTGGAGCGTCAGGCTTCCCCTGACCAAGTGCGCGTACCTCGTCTAGCGTGAGCACGCGAAGACCCTCCTTCGCCGCTTTTACCTTTTCAAGAACTGCGGGTTTGGCTTCGCCATCGTAGATGATAAGTTTCAGTGACGGCACTTTGCCAACAACATTTGCCACAACGGGTAGCAGATCACCGTTAGTGAACATGGCCACACACTCCGGCTCGTTGAGCGAATGTGTAAGACCGCTTTCGCCAAGGGTATCATAGGCAGTTGCAATGGTTGTGCTGATGGCGGCACACGCATAGGATATAAACTGCCAACTTGGTCTGCACGAAGACGCAAATCAACGTATGTCAAGCATGGCGAGCGAATAGCACTTACGCGGTTGCGGCATACACATTCAAAATATCATCCTTTGTCACGCCGAGCTCGATGAGGCCTTTGGCAATCTCGAAAGAAATCTGCTTGACGTCCAAGAACGAGTAGTACTTGTAGTCACTAAGCTGGAAATATTTCCATTTCTTCGTCTCCGTAATTTCTCGCCCGCCAAGTATCTTCTTTATCTGTTTCTCCTCCTCGTGAATGTCAATGATCTCTCGGTATCCAAAGCTGTCACGACTGCCATGCGTACGAGAAGCATAGAGTAGGATGTCGAGGACGGTGTCAATCCCCTCGAACGGTTGCGTCACTAGCCTGTCCTTGGTGATCGCAAGTCGACGTATGCGAGATTCACCAGCGATTTTCTCTGCACCGACTTCAACAGATCCAGGCCCGAACTTTGGCGGTTTCACAGCGGACATGGTGGTTAGAGGTCAAGAGAATGTGGGGGAGGCGGGGATGGTGGGGTTGCGTTTGCTCGGCAGACGCTAAACTGTGCTAACTCGAAATAGAACACTGCGGCGCGCGTCTACCCTCAACATGGTAATCGGAAATATGTCAGTGTGTACCTGTCAGCCACGTTTCAATCTTCGGCATTGAGCAATCAAATATGACAGAACAAATCGTATCGTATCATAATGGGCCTACAGTAAAGAAACTAAGTACAATGCACAATAATGTACGAATAATGAACTCTTCATTCAGGCACGCGAAAGTCCAAGCCAAACCAAGAACGCAGCACAAGCAACAAACCGAGAACCATAAGAAACCCGTAAATGGACGCCAAGGCATGAACTATTCGTCCGTCTCCTTCTCAGACTTCTTCTTGATCACGCTCACTGGAGACAAATCATTAGCCCTCGTTCAACAGAAAATCCACAAAAACAAACGTACCATCACGAGAAATCTGACCGGTCGTCAACCAACCATCTGGGAACACGGAGACAATCTACAAACGCAATACGTATTTAGGCCTCTAGACAGGGTCCATATCACCCGAAGCAACTCACCTTCTGATACAGAACCTTCCGAGCACCTTGATCGCTCACAACAGCATTCGAGCCCTCCAAAATGCTGAAAAAATGACATTAATACCAACGCTGACACCAAGAAACACATTGACACTCACTTCTTCTCATTCTCGATCCGGCACATCTCATTACTCAAGCACACCAAATCCCATATCCGCTCCTTCATCCGGTCTGTTAACTTATATCTCTTCGCCGGCGGATGTGAGTCCTTTGTGACACCTTTCCCACCACCAGTACTAGGACCCTGACCAGCATCTTCATGATCATGTTCCATACCCGTGTCGTTCCCACCGTCTTCACGCGCAGGCAACGCTGCACCTGCTAAGGTCGGTGTCACTTGCGCCGAAGGTGCCGGTGTACCTTCGGTTGAGGGGGGAGGATGTGCGCCTGCTACTTCTGCTTTAGCTTTCTCCTGACGTTTCTCTGCAGGGAACGATGAGCACATTGCGAATAGAAAAACAAAAAATAAACTTACCCCACGCGACGACGCTCTTCTCCCACTCCTCCTTTGCTTTCGGAAATCCTTCTTCTGCCATGACACGAAGTTCTTCTAGCATCGCATTCTGGCGTTGTTGAAGGAGGCTGACATGTTCTTTCCAGATCGTCCGCTTAATAAGTTTCTATATATCACATTTAGTACGGGTGTAATCTGCATTGACTCAAATAACTCACAGTCATGGTGTACTTGTTATATGGGAAAATTTTGGGCATGACGTTGAAGAAGTTATCATCATACTCGTTCATAATAACCGCTCTGAGCGCGACTTGCGCCAAGAGAGGCTTGAGACTCTGAGGGAACTTGCCCTTGACTTCCCAGTTCTCTGTGAACAAGGTTAGTTACCTTTCATTCGAGCGTAACAGCAGAAACGAACCTTTCGCGATGGCCTCTCTAAGTTGTTCGATGCCAGCTTCGATCTCAGGATGGAATGGTCGCTACAGAAATGTTAACACGGTTTCTCATGAATGCATACACTGCGCATATACTCACAATTTCAACCATCTTGCGCTTCTTCTTTGACGTCCCATTGACGGAAGTGATGCTAGGGCTCGGCTCAGGCCCTTCAATCTCGAATTTCCGCTTCACACCACTACTTGATCCCGGCTTGAGCTCGTCTACCTCTTGCACAGGGATAGGTGAGGAACTTGTACCCTCCATCTTTGTCATAACGGAACTTGGTGGTTTGGCCGGTCCGGCACGTGAAGGTGGCGCGCCGTTAAGGGAGAGTGGTGCAAGCGAAGGGGGAAGAGAAGCAGAGGAGAGCGCTGTGGCGACGGAGGCGGAAGGTTTGAGAATATTGATCTTCTTGGACTTTGGCTTCTTCGGTGTTGGCGGCCTGAAGGATATGATGTTAGTGTCAGGCTCTGCATAACGTCCGGAAACATTGACAAAGCGTTGAATGGTGAAGGAAATATTATTCATTAGATGGTGACAGCAGAGTCAGCCTCAAGTCAGCTCCAGAATGACCCAACACATGGCCGACCGGCTCTTCGTAAAATGGGTCATCCAGAATTACGAGCTAAGCTCCGGGTGATAGATGACACTATTCAGCCACCCGACGATGACTTCAGTGATACATGTCCAGAAGACACCATCGCCCCGGCCGCCAGCCTGGACAACGTCATTGACTGAACAATGTGGCATGAATTATATGGAATATGTGCTCGTCTGGACAAAAACCGGTATTTCCGATAAGGAGGGTACCAACCCACCCATCGGAGACGGACGGGTGCAGACCCACATGAACACGACAAACATTTCATGGACCGTTGCAGCATACCCCAAGTATCCACGCTGCACAAGAACTTCTCTGCATCGCCCAATAGCGCTAGCAAAAGAAAGGGGATGCCAAGGCACGGAAGTAATGTAGAATCATAAGGAGAAGCCGACGGAGGTTACACCCGTAAGGTGTTGCTTTCCAGATGGTGTATGCATGCACTTCACTAGGCTTGAATGACGAAGAACACGAGTAGGCGTTGGTGCTTTACTTCAACATTGGATAAGTCTGACCAAGCAGCCCTACGTCGTCGTCTTAGATCACGTAAAGCCCAGCGGAGCAGAAGGCGCATGTCGAACGACGAAAGAGACGTTCGTGAGGATATCCAGAGTACGATACTTACTTGACATCAAGCAATTGAACCTGTCCACTAGACACATAGAATCCTTGTTGCTTTGTCTGGGCGAAGAATGTTCGTTCCTCTTGCGCTAGCTCGGAATCGTCGATAAACGGATCGGTAACGTCGTAGTACTCCGAAGCAACATTCTTCTTCTAATACGAAGGTGTAAGAGTCAAAACAACATTACAGTATACTCGAACGTACGCGTTTCCGTTTCTTCTCCTTGGGCTTTCCATCGCCCTCGTCATCGCCCTCGCTATGACTTTCATCAGAGGTGTCGGGCTTGATCGGTACAGGAGTGGCTGGTCTTTGGCCCGACTGCTTGCTCAAGCTGGCAACATCAACTTCATAGTTCTCAGGTCCCCCAAGTTTAATATCGAGTCGAATAGTCTGTAATGGCGGTCGAATTGGCGGCGGCGGTGGTGAAGGAGAAGGAGAGCGGGCTTTGGGCTTGGGTTTAGCGCCAACTGTTGACGCGGGTTTCAGCGTCGTTGGTTTAATCTTCTTCTTATCCTTCGCGGGGGCGATTCTGTCGTCGTTGATGACCTGCAAAGAGTCCGTCGAGTAAGATGCGCTATTATCTAGCGAAGGTGATGCGGAGGGTTGAGCGGAAGGGGCGGGAGATGCGTCGTCGTCGACGGGAATAGGGCTCTGATGAGGTGGCGACGGCGGCCGAGAATCGTCAACGACGATGACTTCAGGCTGCTGAATAACCATCTCTACGTCGCTAGCCATGGTCTACGATGGCAAAATGTGAAGAAAACGACGGGAAACGGTGAGGAAAGCGAGGAAATGGGGGCGGAGAGGCGGGCGAGGGGAGGGCGCAATGAGGGGCGGATGGGGCCAGAGTTCTCATCGTCTCCGGTTTTTTGCGATTTCTTGACCTGCAATCCGCGCCGACGCAGCTGAGGAGGCTCTGGCTGTTCTCCATTCTGATTGGTCCGGCATTCCCCAGATACGATTCCCGGCGTCTAATCTGAGTCGCAAAATGAGAAGATATACTTTCGAAGATTGGAACTTCCATTTGCTCGACTGCTCACTTTCCTTCTTGCGTTTTCTCTAACGGCACAGAAAAAATTAGACATGCATTCGAAGCTTGTAATCCTCCCGAAGGTCAGGCTGCAGCTCATCATTGTTGTGTCTCTGACAGAATTTTCAATTCCCCTCTGCAGCGTTCAAGTTCGACTATTACGCACGGACCACTTATTGCTAAGTAATCACCCTTTTTGTTGACCCGTTCATAGATCTTTCATGATGGTCTAATGAAGGCGTAACCCTATCATGTGCCTATCTAGATCGCACTGGACTTCATATCATCTTCCTCGAGGCAACATGTGTACGCCAGACTATCTACTAGCTCTTGCTGGCTTGAAGCTATCTTGCTCGCGATTTTCTCTCTTCACTAGGACTCGGTGAAGACTGTTTTCGGTCTCAAACGGTTTCTACGGTAATAAACTAGACCTCGAATTCGATTGTTGACCTTTCTCAAGCCTCATGCAATTTGGAACTCTTTGTACGTCTGTTGTCTCAGTCAAGTGACGAACGAGGGCTCTCACTATTCGGAGCCTCTCTATAATCTACGTATAAGGTTAAGATTGTCGCACCTGCGTATGAACTACTCTGCACCAGGCAAATCAAGCCGCCTCGAGTTTTCGCGTCCGTCCTCCCTTCTATAGACCTGTATATAAGTCTGCCTGGGGGAGACTAGAGTTTTCGTACTTTAACGCTAACTCTCAAACATACTTATACAGCCACCCGACTCGCTTCCTGACGTCAACTTCAGTCCTTAAAGGAATGGGATATTGTTTCGATCCGAATTGAACACAGACTCTGTCTTTTACGCTTTCTATAAACGTTTTGATGAGTGTCACAATTTATAGCAATTCAGCATCATCTTAGCATCTCGGATGTCTTTGCACTGACGGATAATACGGCAGCTTGACCGAAAAGCCAGAGGATGAGGTTAGACTGAATTGTTACTACTAAAGTAATCTAGATTGTATCTCAGAGCCCGAGCTCATCTGCATATGGAAGTGCGCTGATGTCCCCGACAGCAACATACGTCGGCTTAGTCTTCAAGAGAGAAGCAGTCGCCTACGAGGAAACTTGTCAGAAAATATCGGATTTCCATATGTAAGTATCATACCTGAGACAATGCAGAAGCTTGAACCTTGTCGAGCGAAGAAAGTGTATCCTCGAGCGTCGAAGCAGCACCGGAGAGAACCTGAAGAGACATACTTTAGCCAGAGCAGGACGGGTAGAATGTCATGGTACTGACCTTAGGGCCCAACGTCGCAATCAAGCCATTTCTGCCCTCCGCACTGCTCGCAATAGCAAACTTCGCCTTGGCAATAGCCCTCTTCAATTCCTCACCCTTGACATTTCCGGCCTCCTTCAAAGCAGCCACAGCAGCCTTTCCAGCAGCCTTGACGTCCTCCGTAGTCTGACCCTGGACAAGCAATCCGAACAACGAGGCATCAGAGTAAGGCAACAATACGGTCTGTACAGACGCGGTCTCAGGGATTTCGGCAACAATAGGTGAAAGACCCTTGCTCCATTTCAAAGATGGCTGAGGGGAGAGGTGCGAACTAAGAACGGCGAGTTCAGGGGAGAATGCGCCAGTCTTGCCAAAGCCAATGAAAACGGTTTGAGGACCATGGTGAGAATCAACACGGGTCTCACCACCGAAGTAGGTCGAAGCGGGGGATGAAAGGGAACCAGAAGAGGCGAGAGAGCCCAAGGATTGCTCAACGAGCTTGCTGAGGGTTTCCTGGCTAACACCGGTGCCCAGAACAGCAACGTTGTCCTTCGTGAAGGCCGAAGACGCGAAATCCTTGATGTAGTCAACGGTAACATGGTTATCTGCAGTAGAGAACAATGGCGCGCCGAGTCCCTGACGGAAAGCGAGGATGTGTGCGAGTTCAACTGCACGGCTTGCAGGGTTCTCTGCAGCAGCAGTAGCTTCGCTTTCACAGACGGGAGCAACGTATTCTTGGAGCTCATGACGAGTGAACTTGGCATTGGTGAGGAAGGAAGAGAGGACATCCACGAAGAATGGCCTGCGGACATTGAGGGGTCACCCATACGCGAAGATCGTGCTCACTCACTCGTCACCACGCAAGAACTCTGCAGTCAATGCCAAATGCTCTCTCGACAGGCTTGAGGAGAGAACGCCACCGTACAACTCAGACTCGCGAATCGTACCAAGCGCAGAACGTTTGCTCGTGCTCTACAGAACATCGGCCAGTAACAAAGTGTGAGCAATTCAAAATCATTTTACAAAAAGCGCAGCAATATCACCTTGAAGGCGAAATTTTTAAGAGCATGGGCAACGCCAGGCTTGTTTTGATACCGACTTCCAGCCTTCACGAGGAAAGTGACAGCGGAGGTTGCTTCGCCATTGTCGACCGCAGCGACCTTCACGCCAGCGGTGTCAACGACAGTCGCGAAGTTTCTTGCAAGACGCGACGCCCTGCGTGCGGCCGACGTTCTGAACATTGAGGAAAGATATAATAGACGTTGGGAACGAAGAGGAAGGTTCACTTCACGTTGAGATGGATGACGGTGAGGACGCTCCGGCTTTGGCCGAAGCCTTACCACATTAGAAACCGTACTGATGTGATTAGAACCTTGTTCTTATCGAGCTACAAACCTCCACTAATGGCATACAACATATATTACATGGCATACAAACACCTATCGACCAATACGACGTCAATGATTGGGTATCGACTGCTACACTACAAACCAAGTAAACGACATGGGGCATATTTGTGACATACAACAAAACACATGAAGCAGATGAACATAGAGACCAAGAAATATACGCCAAGGTCGAAGGATCAAACACGGCGAGCCTGGACGACATAGTAATGCGAAACCAGGCCTGACACGGTGTACAGTTCGTCGACGTAACTACGCACAAGCTCATTTACCTCCGCTTCACTCTTACCAGCCTGAACCATCATAACTCCCATCGAGTCAGCGTACAGCTCCAATATACTCCGATATTGGAGCCCAAGCCGTTGATACACCGGGTTCTCATGCCAGTCACCAATAGGGATGGCGAATCGATGGCTGTAGATTTGGTCAAAGCGACCGGAATCTGAGATGTAACGACAGAGGTTTTGCGCAACAGGCGTGATGCCATGGCTCCGATGCAGAGTATCGATGACTGCGTTGAAGAAACGACAGGAACAAGGCAAACGCGTCACCACGTCCACTTCCTCAGACATAGCGGGATACCGGCCCCATTCGCATGCCAGGAAGAGTCCGCCGGGACGAAGGACCCGTGCGACTTCTTTAACGAGGTCTGGGTAGCATCGAACCTGGGAACATCAAATGGCAGTGAGAATCGGTATATGACATCGCTAGTATGAATAGGATAGAGTTCACGAACAGCCATTGAGACGGATCTTGCGTGGACGAGATCGATGTCACCGTCATGAAATCGCAATGTCTGATTAATATCCTGCATTTCAAAGAAGACGTTATGAGGCGGGTGCCTTGTGGCAATGGGCACTGTTGCAGTCAATTATGAATAAGATGTTCATTGTGTTCAAATGCAACCCGCTCTACCTATGTCAAGTCCATAGACTTTCACATGGGTGAACTCTGCGGCCAAGTCCAATACCCTAAGAGCTGAACGTTGAGAATGTTTACATGAGCGAAAGAGCTTGTGCTTACCATTTCCCAGTGCCAGTTGCCAAGTCTAGCGCTCGTCGTTGACGCGTAGGCGAACCTCGTAAGACCTCCCTAACAGCATTCCTATCGACATAAATGCCTAGCAAGAAATGACGAAGGATTTCATGCTGTCCGTTGATTCTCTGTTCGCGTAGACGTTAGTGCCTGAGCGACCAAATTGGAAATGACACAGAAGATCTGGCATCGGGAGACGCGTGATTACGGCACTTACATCCTGCTCAGCCGTGTCCACGGGCAAGGGATACGGAGAGCTACCATGAGAATGAAAGAGTCGTCCATCCCGCTCAGTGAAGTAAAGAGGGATTTCTTCTTCGCCCACTTCAGTGATTTCTGAATCCGTGTCAGATCGGTCGTCGTCACCGTCCGGCGCTTGCATGTTGGTCGCATGTACGTTGCCAGAAGGATGAGTTGAGTAGGATCGGAAGTGGTTGGATTCAATGGCCATGGGTTGTCAAGGCACGTTGAGACGATGGCGCGGGACAAGAAACGCTGGTGAGCGGACGTGACTATATACCCTCCTGCTGAGGACGAAAATGATCTTCAGAACTCCGACATTTGAACGCAGCCACATATCGTCGGAGTGCGAGAAGAGATGATATAGCGCCATCAAGCGACACTGGAATGTGCACCAACGTGGGATCCGGAGAAGATGCTCACCAGAATGTGAAGACCGAACAGCAGGGCGTGGGGGAGGACGGGCTGGCACTAAGATCGTCGTGGGCGTCACTTCTGTATCAGCCTGCTTCAGATAATGCAATCCAAGGGATAGGTCCTCCCAGCCTAAACGGGAATAAAGCACACAGTATGGAGCGATGAATCAGCCTAGTGAGGAAACGAGATTGGAATATCAGCGACTTTCTGATAAGTGACAATTGGGGCAATATATCGCGGAAGGAGAAACGTCACTAGCCTAGGTCATGCTGCATCAGGAATACACAGAGTATAAGTCCGCGAATATGTGCCCGTTCGTCGGAATACATCGTGGCCGAGGTTCACAAGAGAGACGGACGATGGAACGAAGAAGGCATCTTGATAGGAGTGGTGGTACAGAATTGCACTTAAAGTTCACAGCTGCTAGTTTCGTGATTCCGTCAAAGGGCCCTTCTCAAACTTATTAATTGCAATTAGTTGCCGCGGGAGAAGTGCGTTGCAAATCGACCTTGAAGCAGAAGCTGGGTTCTGGGTTATCCAGCAGCTGAAATGGAGAACTCGGCTAGTACATATCATCTGATCCCGCCAGCACACGGTGCTCAGGTCCAAGGGAAACGCATCGAATATATCGGTTTGTATGGTGCTGTTATGGTTGGTGTATGGTTCATGTATCCTAAAAACGGAACGAGCATATGAAGCTTTTTGAGGACTCTGCTTTGCTATCGCCGGTCTGGGTAACTGTACTAGCACAGATAGTACATGCATTTAATAAGGCGACAGTATCCGATGAGATTATGGCTTACCAGAAAAAAAGGCAGATTGAATCATCGAGAAGAGGAACCTAGCCTATGGGTTGGTTACTACGACGTAAAGAAGTTCTAGCTCAGATACATCACGATGATAACGACGATGTTGATGTTTGCAGTCAAGAGGTCAGTGCATTGATTGTGGTCTGCAGCAACTAGCTGCGAAAAACCTGCATTGTATTCGCAAACATACCCCGTGGGAAACCCTATCCTAGGGGTTCCTAATCGGCTCCGAATCTACTGCCAGACCCATGCCCATCTTGGTCCCTCGCCACTTAACACTCAATAATCCTAGTCAAGGCTTGTACAAACTCGCCTTTTGCCCATCGTCTCTATCAGAGCGTTGTTGTATTCTCCTCTTCTCGGAATAGCTCATTGCATGTTATAGGAACCAACCTGACATTTTCCATTCTCATACCTCATGTCAGACATCACCCGCTTCTTTGCACAATTGGAAGAACGCATGAATATGCCAGATGAAGACGTCAGCGACTACCTCACAAGATTATCCGAGTCCCACCGGAATTATGATCATACGAAAACCGACAATTCTAGTAATGACGGGGCTGCATGGGACTCTTCTTTGTCCCACAGAATCCCTGGTGTGGATTACTGTGAAAGTAATGCAGCAGCGGAGATACAATCGTCTTGTGGTCCTGTAGCTTGTGACTTCTCTGTCGTTGACAGAAATGTTGATACCCATTCTGGTGCCTCTCCAAGTGGGGCAGCGATTAACCCGAATCCAGACGTGATCCCCAGGCCCTCGGACGCACGGTGCTTTTTTTCTGTTAAGCTTTGAGTCTCTCACTAACTCTATGCAGTCTTAAACGCAAGGCATCGGACGGAAGGCTCGCGTCTCCTGGAATACGCAACAAGCGAGCAAAGGCGTCTCCAGAGAACTCCAGGTTGACCGCAGCCAATGAGATTGGGGACGCTCAAATCCCACCAAGTACCCAGCATGACCCTGTCACTCGGTAAGCGTTTCATGCCCGATTTAAGTGAGTTCTACTTACGCCTAACGGTTATTTCCCGTTTAACAGTGCTAATCAACTACCGGCTGACTCTGGGAATGAGCCTGTCCAACAGGGTCTGCATCGATATGACACGATGCACGCTCCAGACACGAGGCCATCTGTTCGACGAGACAATTCTGCCAAGGAACCGACCTTTTTTGGTGCCAATGATTGTCCTGCCCCGGAAGAATCCGCTGGCGTCACAGCAGGCCAGACGCATGCATCAGAAGAGCCGCCACGTACGTTGCCTTTGTATCATCCTCTCTCACACGTCCTTCTGTTCCTTACCTCTCATTTCTCAGAGGATGTCGTGCAGTCAAGAACGTCCGCTCACTCCAGTAAAAGGAAACGTCCCTCCGTGCAGAAATCGCATGCATCTGCCGTTGCTGCGGCTTCAAGTAACGCGGCTTCTCTGAATGATCCTACCGCGACGTCCGAACCTCCAAGTAAACGGCCACGCAAAACATCGAACGTAAAGGAATCCGCGAGCGTCTGGCTGTCAGTGAAGGACCCGAAGCAGAAGCAGTCATTACTTCCCTCCGAGTATGCCAAGAAGATTGAAGATAAAATTAAACCCGCGGAGACATTTCTTTCCGGAATGTGCATATATTACTATGGCGCCGATCTAAATATTGCCACTCAAACGACGAGGATGAGGATGTTCAAGGTGAGCTACTTACCCTGACTTCGTAGGGTGAACTGACGAGATCATTGCCACCAGCTTGCTCAATATGGTGCAAGAGTCGCGCCGAAGTATGACCCTGAAAGTGTCACGCATATAATCGTAGACAAGATTGTTTCACGTCACATATTCCTTGAAAAACACAACCTACGGAAGCTGAAGGACGTTCCTGGGCATATTCCGATACTCACGTGGGACTGGGTGACTGACAAGGGAAAAGGACAATTTTCAAAATACGCCGCATTCAGACGAAGAAACGCGGTTGACTCAATGCCATACGACATCGACACAAACATAAGCTCGAAAGCGCAACGGACTGCCAAAGGGAAGAAGCGAGCTAGTCCCCGTCCTCCGTCAAGCAATTCATCGGATGAAGAAGTGAGCAGTATTCCGTGAGTGGTATCGGCGCAATCTCTGCTGCGCATTCCTTGACACTCTTTCGCATCGTGATGTTTTTGGTAGACAATTCACTTCAAGTGGAAGGGCGAAATCGAAACCGAACGGTCCAGGTCGTGGTGACAAAGGCAAGTAGTCGTCGGCGCGCTTTCCTCACCCTTCGGATTTGTCATGCTCACACCGAGTAGCAGGAGCCTCTGACGAGAAAGGGGCGAATCAAAGCGAGGTGTCTCCGCGGACAGAAGAAGATGCCGGCATTGGTAGCAATAAGGACCCATTGGCCGAGTTCTATGAACTGGCGCGGTCCGAGCGGGACGCGGAAGTGAGCTTGCCGTCTCTTTATCTTCAATGTCCTCTCACCCTTTTACACGTAAATCTCTCCAGCGATATCGGTACCGAGATGACGAGACGGACGATGAGAACGAACATCCTGGCTCACGCGCAGTTACTGGGAGCGGTCGGATTAGTCGGCAATCGGTATGTTTAGCCTCTGTTCTATCAAAAGAGTTTCGTACTCACGCTTCTGTGACTCTTCTTATGTGGTCATACAGAAATTCATATGCGATGGCATCAAGAAATCATATGCCAACTGTCCGAACCAGGACGTCATAGATAAGGTATGGTGCCTGCCTGCTCCATGAATGCGTACTCTCAATACCGGTTCCAGCTTACGGCTCTTAAGAGGATTCACGAGAACGGGTTCGCTAAGGATGATAGATTCAAGGTGTACAATTATAATAAATGTTTACATCCCCGTACACCATCTCTCCATGTGTTGCATTGACGTCGTCGATGTTTCCTTTACAGGTCTTGGTCAATTGCATTCGTACCCCACAAGAATACATTCTAGGGAAGAAGCAATGTTGCTCAACGGCGTCGGGACGGAAACAGCGAAGAAAGTAAGTAGTACAATTCGTGAGCTACAGCGTTATTGTTGTGCTCATCCTTGTCCAGATCATGGAAATCATTGAGACTGGTGACCTGCGCCGGCTGCACTACGAGAGAACCGGAGACATAAAGATTGTGGAAACATTTCGGGGCATTTACGGCGTTGGTATGGATTTTTGCTTCGGTTCTTCCCTTATTTTGCGCTTCAATAAATGCCTTAGGGGGTAAGACTGCGTACAAGTGGTATGTCAATGGGTGTCGTACTCTGGATGACCTAAGGAACCGCAAAGGAGGGGTCAAGCTCTCGACCGTTCAACAGATTGGTCTAAAGTATTACAATGGCAAGTCAGCTTTTTTCTTACAGTTATCTGTTGTCTTATATGCCCGTAAGTAGATATCAATTCTCGAATGCCTCGAAGTGAAGCTGCGACTATATTCGATAAGATCAAGGCCATAGGTGAAAATTGGCGACAATATAGCAAAGACTTACTCCATCTAACTGTCATTACAGCACTCAAAATTGATCCTCACTTATTCATCGAGATTATGGGCAGCTACAGACGGTCCGTTTTTATTTAGGTTCGCCCCAAACTCCACTGACAGCATTTTAGAGGGAAAGCGGATTGCGGTGATATCGATATCCTGATCACTCGTCCGACAGATGATGGAAAGACACACGCCGGTACGACCGTCAGCTCGCCGTATTTCTTATTGACTATCTAACGCTACCTGGCAGGCGTCCTCTGCAAACTTTTGCGAGAACTACGCATTGCTGGAATCATCACTGAAGATCTTTGTCTTCCAGATAGTTGGTCAGATCTCGAGCTTGTATATCGCGGCTTGTGCCGGAAAGACAGTAGTAGTCGTAGGCGGCGAATAGGTCAGTGTTCCTCCATATGTTCCTTCAATTCTATGCGTGGTTTATTTCACTCATCGGCGTTTCTGGTAGACTTCTTGACTGTGCCGTATGAATCGCGGGGAGCTGCTCTTCTGTACTATACGGTGAGTTGGTTCTATAACATCAATGTTTCAAAAAAAAAAAAAGACTGAAGTTGATCTCCTGGCTGCAAGGGCGATGATATCGTAGGACCTTGGTCTTCCTGGGAAAATGCTCGATCTGCTCACGTTTCTTTATGATAGTTCAATCGTTCAATGCGAATGAAGGCTAATAAGATGGGATATTCTCTAAATCAAAAAGGTTTATTCGCAGGTGTAGTAAGAGATCCTCACGATCGCACCAGGAAGTTAAATCAAGGTGGGTATTCGACACGCTGTGCATTTAGTTTTGACCTTCATCATCATGGTCAGGTACGAATATCGCCTCATCAAGCGAGCGACAGATATTCGAGATACTTGGTAAGGCTTTTCTGAATGCACACAAACTGTACTCATATGCAAATATAGGTGTTCCATGGCAGGAACCTCATGAGCGTATTCGTGGATAACGCAACCTGTGCCTTTTCTGGAATCACAGGCGTCTCTGTATACCTATATTCGAATCGGCTCAGGTTGTGGGTCACTTCTCTTGTTGAAACTAACTGCATTTCAGCACGTACGGAATAGTTATGTAGTAATTACTGTGGCAGAAACGTGACAGCCCCAATGAATTTCTGTAACCGAATACTTGGTGGCTTTGAGTATCTTAATACTAGACCTGCCTTTGTTGGCTCACCGGTACCCAAGCGCCCAAGTCCTTGTATTCTTAAACAATTCTAAAACCTCACAACAGCGATCATAAAAGAACAATGGAAAAGCGTGCGTACAGTACCTGATCTCCGAGGGAAGGTGGTTGAAACGCGTTCTTGAATAGGTACTTGCAACTTACATTCGGGCACTCGGGTTGCTCATGCTTTGGACTACTTCGTGCAGCATCAACTGAACAGAATTACACCAGTCATTAATCGTGATCGTTGGTGTACGCAATAGCCCTCACTGCTTAGCAACTGAACAATAGCTAACCCGTGGCGGTGCGGATGCTCATTGAGGCCACCAGGCGACTGTCTGTAACGCGATATCTGGACGCGTTTTGACCGTCGCCGTAATGTGAGTCGAAGCTTTCGCGACCGTTGCTATTGCTAAAGAGGTCATACCATTAGCTACTCGAGGAAGGTCTAAGCCTCTTCAACCAACAACACATATAACTCGACATCTTCCATATCATCATGGTGTTCTTTCCTCGATACTGGTTCGGCCTTCGTTACCCACCAAGCTACCTCGCCACTCACGACGTTGACTTTGGCATCGACTTCGAGATGTCCGAGGCTTCGTCCTACGAGGATGAGGTTGCAGATAATCCTGTCCCACTCCCAAATGCGTTCCGCAGAAAGGCTCGATCTGAACCGAAGCGCAGGAAGCCTCTTGTCTCGTTGGAACCTCGTCTCAATGCCACTGGTAAGTCCTCAACCCACCAACCTGTATTTCCTTTATGCGGCTGATGCTTGTGTACTGTATAACAGCGCCGACGCCGATCGAAGCCTGTCTTGGTGCAGTGAAACGAGAGAAGGGGTACAAGGATCGGGCAGTGAAAGAATTCCTGAGGGCACAATTTCAAGACAAGACCGATGTCGACTATCCAGTCCTCGACTTTGTATCGCACGTCTTCAAATTCAATCCTGAAGACATTCCCCTTGTCGAGGATGGGTACGAATTGGACGGGGAGAATTGCCAGTGGTACGGGAAGAAATGGTACAAACGAGACGACCATGTGGATGGGCAGACAGTGCGGGGAGAGAGGGCTTGCTGCATTGCATTCGAGAACATCATGCGTGACCTCTGTAGTCAATTGTCGGTCGCCTCGGGTAGTGATACTCCAAGCTCCCAGGCTGCGTTCAAGTTCCTTCATGATACGACGCCGATTGGGAATTTCGCGCGATTCAAGCCTGACTTTGCATATGGGCCGGATGTCGAGCTTCGAGACCACACGTGGGCCTTCTGGGGAGCATATGGAGAGCTGAAGAAGAAGCACGTGACACTTGACATGGACCCGACGGCTCGAATCATTGTTTCGAAGGAAAAGATTGAGAAGGTACGCTAGTATGTTATCACTGCTTACCATAGTGTGCTCAAAGTTCTACAGCTATGCGACGAGTGGAAGTTGCAGCAGGCAGCAGAAGAGAGTGGGGAGACACGGCGGCCCTCAGACGATCGCCCAGTGTCAGATGATACAGTATGTAACTTGATTCACTCTTCATCAATGCAACACTAGTTTAACAGCCACAATAGATTTCTCCCTCCACACGTAAAAGAAAATCGGCCACACCCTTGGAGGCCTCCACTGTGAAAAGGGCCAAGACTTCGCCGACCGCAAAGGGCTGGGACAGGACGAAGACGGTGAAGTTGACAGCAAATCATGTGCAGTCTGCCAAGTATGCCAACGAGCTTCTGTCTCATGGAATTCGCAACTACGCTGCTGGATTCCTTGTGGAAGAGACGCGTATCACGCTATGGTATGCGGATCGTATGGGACTGGTCAAATCGCAGTCGTTCGACTTCTTCCAGAATCCCGAGCTGTTCCTCCTAGTGCTCGCTGCACTCCACTTTGGCAACCGTCACAAGCTGGGAATCAACCCGCTCATCGAGTATCCCCCCGACGCTGTCCAAACTCACGATGACGCGATGCTGAAGCTCCCTCATGCTTGTGATATCACTGGAAAGAAGTTGAATGAGACTCTAACGTTCAAGCTACGGGTTTCAGAAGAGCATCCGCTTTGTGTTGCATACGGTGCCCTAGGACGTGGTACTACTGTGATCCCGATCAAGGCAGAAGGACGTGCAGAGGAGCTTTTCGGGAGCGATGATCTTGTTGCGAAACTGGCTTGGCAGCCGGTGAATAGGTGCAACACGGAGGATGGGTTGATCAGGGTTATTCGGAGGAAACTTGGCACACACGAGGAGGCGCGTTCGTATCTGAGGAATATCACTGACCTGAAGTGCTCCTTGGATATGAGCGACACGGAATTAGGTCTCCCGAGGGCGTTCATGGGATTGCCTGAGCCGTATGAACCTCGACTGTTTCGTGTGTTGGTTATGAGAGAATATATTCCGCTTGAATGTGTTCGCAGTCCGGAGGAATTCAAGACTATATTTCTTGAAGCCGTGAAAGGTGCGTAATTGGTACCTTCTTACTTCAATCTGTGGTTGACGCCAAGTTCCTATTCAGCTCACCATTGGGTGTACGAAGTCGCTTTGATTCTTCATCGTGACCTGAGCATCAATAATGTCATGTTCTATCGTAGGAATGATGGGGTTGTCGTCGGGGTACTGTCCGACTGGGATCTTTCCTCATACAAAAACGCACACCTAGTTATTGACGAATGCGTTGATACTCTGGAGGCAAAGGAATCGGTTGGCGATACACCAAGGAAGGAAGACGCACAATCAGATGAGGGTTCCAAGAGCGATAATTCTTCGGATGATTCACCTGAGGTGGAGAACTCAAATTCTCCTCGAACACCGAGGTACAGAACGGGAACAGGGCCGTTCATGGCGCTAGACCTTCTGAACTCCGTTCCAATCATTCACCGGTACCGTCACGACCTGGAATCCTTCTTCTACCTTCTTTGTTATTTCTGCGCCACCTTCAAACCTCCAAGACGTTCGCAGTCGAAGGGATCCTTTAGATTCCTTCCGGAATGGGAGCAAGAAGATCTCAAAAAGGTTGGCATGGTGAAGAAGCGGTTCCTCGATAACGACCTACCTGTCGGTAGCGACCCTAAGAAGCCCCAGGATCCTTTCGAGCTGTTTTTTGCGAATACGCACAAAATGTATCGTCCGCTGGTCAACAGCTGGATAGAACCTCTCTGGCTTCAATTCAGGGAGGTATCTAAGGTTGCCCACGAACTTGCTAGTACGTACGGTCTGTTACGCAGAGAAGCAACACGGGGAAACGTAGAGCGGGAACAGGCTCTCCGGAAGGCATTGGAGAAAGTGATAGCTAGAGCAGATGAGGACTTTACATTCGAGATGTTTATAGCACACCTGGAATAAGAACTGAAGAGTAGGGACGACGGACAGCTATTCTCTGCAATTGTCGTGTGGCAGTGTCATATTTTAACCTACTGTATCTTGGTATGATATCTGTGCCACTTACTCTTGAGATCTGACCAACTGCTCATTGTTCCCGATCGTCTCTAGTCTCCCTGAGGCGGAATAGACAGAGATGCAGCATTCCAGGATATCTCGCCTGACGGATCATCTCTACTAGCCTTCATCTGGTTGGGATCGACAGACTGGCGTTGCGAAAGTTCGTTTCGTCAGAAAGAGGCAGTCAGTGCCAATCAAGCTCCGAGGCCCACACGACCTTTGTGTGTATTGTTGCAGCGACAAACCAAAGGCAATAGAATTGTGAAAGCCACTGATATCTGTAGTAGGCCAGTCAAGATGTTTGATCTCAATGACGAATACTATCGTATGTACTGAAGGAGGAATTTATGTATCGAGTAGCTTGCTTAGTCAGCGCGCAGACTCTTCAGCTTGTACCATCCTCGTTCACTTGTGTTTTTACTTGGTCTAACGCCGTTTTTATCTGCAATATAACGAGGTTCTACGCAATCGGACGGCTGCAAGCCTCAACACATTACAGATATTCAAATCGTTTGCATTCACATCGCATGTGTTGATTGTGGCTGACAATTTGATGTACTACTCAAATAAATGTTGTCGTGGACCTGGCGCTTCCACATGTCTGTCACCATCCTGCAGGCGCTTTCGTTACTTGGCGCAGTATGGCTTGGTATTTTCACGGTTTTTTTCAATACACTTTATAATGGAGGAACTCGTTTGCTAACCATGTCACTGTACGTAGGAATTCTCATAAGCAGGCCGCGATCTGTATACCTGTTGAGATGTCTAGGAGCAACGCTCGTCGTTCTGTCTCAGTGATAAACATCGAAAATATACAGAATATGATTCCGCTGGGAGATCGGTACAAATACAACAAGTCTGTGTCATGGTATGACCCTGTCTTGAAGTGACGATACTGCTGTTATTGTGCGCCGCTTTACTCACTCCTTGCTTTCATCGCCCTTGTTCCTGTTATCCTTCTGGTCGCTCTCTTCCTCCATGTCAGACTCCAGAACGGCGCGTCTTTTCGACTTGGAAATGCTGTTCTTGCCACTCTTGGAAGTAGTACTAGCCTTCTTGGATTCCTTGGGGGCTGGCGCAACTTTATTTGCCTTGGACACCTTGGGCTTGGGTGCTCGTTTCTTTTTCTTTGGTATTTCCTCTTCTTCCTGCTCACCTCCGTTCTGATCCTCCACATTTATTCCTCCATCGTCTTCATCTTCGTCTCCATCCCCAGGAAAGCCTTCCACTTTGGTGTAATCGACTCGGACTCCCCTCGTCCTGCGGCCTTGTATGATATTGCTTGCTGCGAGGCCTTGCAGTTCGTCTATGACCTGTTTCTCAGAATGACTCACATCAAATATAAGTACCATACCATCAAAGTCGTCCTTTCCTTCGTAAGCATCACCATCACTCTCGTCGTCGTCCTCTTGGTATCTCACTCTGTGAAATATGAGTTTCACTCTATTTACAGGTGCAAAGCGAAGCGATCAACACAATGTCATCAATCATGCTTACTTCTTACTCTTACGAGGCGACTTCCTCTCTGGCTCTGCCCTACGCTTCGCTCTGGACGACATGATGACCACCAGATAAGTTAGAGGATAAGATGATGGTCGTGGTTGAACTTAAGTATATCCAATACCGTGTCCAAACCACTTATGTAAAGGCTCCGTGGCAGATTCGAAGCCATCAAACTGCTCAGCGTCATGAGTGAGGCACGCCATCCTGTAGTGTCTTTTTTAAAATATGTATATATGTGTTATATGCAATGCCTCGTTTCTTGACTTTGGAGTTGAGTCAAACAAAAAACATAAGTAGTCGGTCATATACACGACAATCAGGTCTATCAAGTTCATGGGGGTTATATGCTAACTCCGTATCGATCTGTATTCAAGTTGTGGTTAAAGGTCGGCGCCAGATTAACTAAATACACTCTCACTGCTGCCACCGAGAGCCCAACAAGAAACCTCGATTAAGTGGAAGTATTCGCTTCACGACCTCATTTCGCCTTCGTCTGTGAAACATCACCGACCAACTCCAAGTCACCTTCCCTCTCCGAAGTTTGACACTGCATAATTGCCACGATGTCACTATTAGACGAGGCACATTGGACATCCCACGTTCCGAACTCAGCAGTCTACCGAGAGCTATCTGTTCTTCCTTCGTATACAGCTTCCCAGTTTCAAGCCTCTAATGGTGGGCTTGTAGTAGCTGAATCTACCCCGGCTAATCATGCACTGATGTATGCTACCTTTTGTTACCACTGACAGTGATTCGCATCGCGAGTTCCACGAACGATCATGTTAGAAATGTGAAAAGGCAAAATCTACAGACTTTTGTGATCAAGGGCGATGATGTAATTGTCTCTCCGGCCACCGATTTGGTAGATGTTGTGAAATCTGCCATTTCCCCCTCCCGGAAATGGATAGCCATTCTACGAGAGATTCAGGACAATTCCACCCCAGACGGCAAGAAACGATTCGTTGAAGTCTGGAGCAGAGACAAGCTCGAAATCTCATTCGATGCTACTAAATCCCATGGTGCCTTTTATGGGGACGGTAAGCCAAATTATTGTGTCTCCTTCGTCCGTGCTAATAATCATATCATTAGAGATATTCTCCTCTTTATCTTTCTCCCCGTCGGAGAATGCGCTAATCTACATCGCTGAAATCCAAGCTGACGGCCCCAAGGAATCTGAGGCATCACCTTTGTCCAAGTACACATACACGCCAGAACTGGGAGAGGGCTATGCTGGCAAGAAGCGGCCAGGGATCTTCGTCTTTAGATGGGACGCTGAACATCGCGATGCTCTTCCGGCGGTACATTTGCTGCGACCCAAAGAATTACCTTCACAGCCGACGCTTTTCACACAAGCAGTTTTCGCCACAAATGATCGCATCTTTGCCATTGGTCACGAATATACTGCTGACGAGCGGCTCTTGGGTTTAAAGTTCTGCACAAACCGAGCAGCATGCATATGGGATTTCGCCCTTCCTAGCGAAGACAATACTGCAGAGGTGTTACTCTGTGAAGCCTGGAAACGCACGCAATCATCTCGATCTGCTCGTTGTCCTCGAGTTCACATTGTTGACGGCAAGCCTTTGTCACTAGTCTGGATGTCCAACCCTGTCGGAGGTCCTCATGCTTCTTGTTCCACTCTTCATCGACACAATTTTGCGACCAACGATTGGTCAGACCAGATTATTGTGGAGTCAGTCACTGATCCAAAGCCTGATAAATTCCCGGGAATATTCGCTAGTTTACTTCCGACCGAACCTTTCGTTCAGCTCTCCACTTCAGAGTCTTCCGAAACGTTTGTCGCCATTTCATCTGCATGGCGATCTCGCGGGGTGGTGGTGCTCATCTCGTTGGAGAGCGGCAAAGTTATTAATTTGAATCCGGATGACGCGGAATATCACTTCAGCTGGAGTGTGCTTGCTACGGACGGTGGTAATCAGCTGGTCGTTGTGTGTAGTGCGCCCACTACGCCTCAGGAAGTTCTCCTTGGGAAGATTACAAATGACCGACATGTTCATTGGCAAGTACTCGTCAAGCCAGACCTATCAGATTCTCGTACGTTTTCATTCTTTTTCAATAAACGTCTCGACTCATAGTCTCTTGAAGTGCGCGAAGGCTTGGCGTCCCTGAAGACATCCATTATTCCAATCCCTCATCGATATCCAATTGAGACTGTTGTCTTGGGACCGAAGGATGGTTCGTCGCGGGCATGTATTACGAATCCTCATGGTGGTCCTCATGGCAGTTCGACCACTTTATTCAATATCTTCAATGCTGTATTTGCGCTAGAAGGATGTCAGTCATTGCCTGTTTATCTCCTGTTTTTCTAATGTTAGTGATGATACCTCTGCAGATACAATCTCTATGCCACTCTACACGGGATCAGTTGGGTACGGAGAGATGTACATCCAAAAGCTCCTCGGTCGGATCGGCGATCTCGATGTGCAGGACTGTCTCGAGACAGTCAAATATCTCAGTACTCTTGGTATCACAGAACTGGGTCCTGGAAAACAGTTCCTCTTCGGTGGCAGTCATGGTGGTTTCCTAATAGGACATCGTAAGTTACCTTGAGTTCACAATGTTCGTGTATGAGTGCTAAGCACGGTTTTGCAGTGATCGGTCAATTTCCGGACGTCTTCAGTGCCAGCGTCCTAAGAAACCCCGTCATATCGCTAGGGGAGATCTCCACATCGGACATACCGGATTGGTATTACGAGGAAGCAGGACTTCCATTTCACGCGGAGTCGCTAATGACACCGGAGGCGTACTCAAAGCTCTACCAAATGTCCCCCATTGCGTATGTGGACAGAGTGCAGTCGCCTGTCTTATTAGGTGTCGGTGAGAAGGATTTACGGGTGGCGCCGACGCAATCCAAAGCCTACTTCCACGCTTTGAAGGCCCGTAAGCGCGACGTCACGATGATCTGTTTCAAGGATGATACACATGGACTAGAGGGTGTGGAAGCGGGTGGAATAACCGCTGATGCGAGTCTTGCACTCTTCAACAAATATCGGAAATAACTGGCGGAATGATGTTTAGCATGCATTTGTACGTTACAAGAACAACGTTACCCATGTGCTAAATACAATTGTACGATATCACATTAAGTGACAAGTGAGTCTGTTAGAAACCAAGTCCCAGAAAATCTATTCCCAGAGAAAAATGAAAGAACCCTCAATCTCAATGTGATTGATCCATAGGCAATAAATTGTCAAGTACATGGATACATAATATGGTATTTATACAAGCCATGACTGGTCAGGGAACGACATCATAGCTGCTAGATAGTCCGAATCAGAAAAGCCTAAAATGGGTGGCATGGGCCCTGAAGTAACATCGTTTAAGAACATTTCATCCCATGAATTGGAAATGATAATCCCAGGTAAGTCCGTAGATGATGATAAAGTATCACCTGAAGAATGCGATGAAAACTGGGGAAAGTGTTCGTTACGCATTGGTGTCAACGGGGCCTGCGTCTCTTGCGGTGCATGATTCGTGTCCAGAGGTTGATTTACCTCCTTTTGGGCTTTGGAATCGGATGAGCAACCGCTTCTTTGTTGAAGCTCCGCGATGTGAGGTCCGAGAATGTTCTGTATGAATCTAGCATATCGCTTCGTGATGCGTTGGTCATCCTCTGCGTCTTTGTCGGAAAGTGAATCAAGCACATTGACAAGCCGCTGAACCAGCTCAATGATCCGGTCTTCTTGTAGCCGGTCGATTTTCTCTGAAAACTCCGGTCGCAAGAACTGTTCGACGTAAAGATGAGACAATAAGCACGCGCTCGAGTAAAACTATGTTCGACTTGCCTTCAGCAGAATGACAGTAGCGAATGCTGTCAGTGCGAATACTTGCTCTGGACAGTGGCGGATAAAGCCAGTAGGTATTAACCCATCCATCATGAGGTTCAACACCGCAGAAGCCGATTGCAAACACTGGCATTAGATTTCAATCACTGCACTCATACATAGAAAAGAAATAAAAAAACACATACGCCCGTGAAAAAGACGACGTCGTCTTTGAGAGCTTTTCGCTTCATCACTTGCTGGAGACCGGTAGACAGTACAACCAGTCGGCAATACTGATACACACTGGCGGAAAATCAGAGTTTGAACGATAATGAATGCGTGAAAGTCCTCACGATTGCATTAATGCCATCTGCATGGCGTTCGACGGGTCTGGGCATGGACGGTTATTTGTAGAAAGTCGAGAAGCAACAAAACACGAACCACTTATGTCAAACTCCTTATCGCAACGTTCCAGTGCGGTCTTTTTCCAAGCAGAAAGTTCACCGTCAATGACACCGTGCATTGCGACGAGATCGAGATCCTGAAGACGGAGGGATTAGTTAAGCAACCAAATGTGGTACGGAGAATACAGCAACGTACAATACTGAGACCTTGTCGGGCCTGGAGAGTAGGGTTTGCCGTTTCAGAGAAGCGAGTAATGATTCTCAGCAGTTCTACTAAGGAAACTAGGTACCCGTCGCCGGGATGTTGGTAGTCACTACCCAAAAACTTTTCGGCGGCGTTACGAATAAGCTATGATAGATTTTAGTGTCAGCCGGCAGGTCATGAATGCGGCGCAACAAGTACTCACGTCGTCTTCGGGTACCATGAAGGGTTTCCCAAGGTTGACACAGATGCAGCGGTCCATAATGTAGCAAATGATCCAAGTGCGGGTTCTGTTGAGAAGTTCTCGTTCATCACGTTCATTGGTAGGCTTGACCCGTGGCAGGCGATTTAGATTAAGTTCAATGGCAAGGCGAAAAGCAAGGCCAGTAAAGAACCAATACCGATCCTCTTCCCACTTACGGGCCGGCGGAGTATATGCGCCAAGTAGGATGTAAGCCTGACACATTTCGATAGTCTTCCAGCCGTCCAGAAACGCACTGGCAGCAGCAGCTTTGGCGATATGTATGGCCAACATATACATATCCGGTTTCTCGTCATAATAGCGAGATGCCAATGCGCACACTGGAATACGAGCTCAGAGAGGATGTGCCGACCAGCGCGGAAACAGAGAGACGTACCAACGGTGAACAGAAATGGGCATCTGCCGAGAACGGCAGCAGGAGTGTGAATGTTTTCGTCAAGAACGGGTATGAAGGGCTGGAAGCTGTGGTTAGGATTGAGACATTTTTTCCAAACACTCGGAGACTCACATTGACCCATTTAAAGTAACTGGAAGGGTCAAGGGAAGGGTCAAAGATCAGCTCATATTCAGAGCGTATAACTTGTAAGCACACTCACAGTTGAAACAAGATGATAGCGTCATCATATGTGACCAGACCGGACAAAAGAATATCAGGAGCAGCCTGACGCTCGATGATGAGACGGCGTAAGTCAAGATTGGCTGATGGACCTGGATGAATGTTATAACTAGTTTCGGCTGGACACACTGTCAGAGAACTTACCGGGTTGGAAATATAACTTGCTACCAATACCTTGTTCGACCTTCAAGTCTTGCAATTCCTCTCCTTCCTCTGAGCCTGCTGACAGCGATGGAGCTTCTTCGGATTGAGTGCTATCTAGCACGGCAGATACTAGCAACCCAGCTGGCGCAGACGGACCAGGAAGAAATCGCAACTGACGAGCCAGAGCAGCAGCGCAAGCGTCAGTGTCCTGGGAAGCATCATGATTGACCTCATCATCACTATCAAGTCCTTCCTCATATCCGTCCTCCAAAGCGGAAACATCGATCTTCTCTCTCCCATCTCCTCGGGTGCCACTCTGCGCTTTCTCAAACCATGTCAGGACATCACGATACACGATTCGTTGCGTATCGCTCAATGCAAGACGGGAGGGTACGATAGTCAAAGGAGTGGACAACGACGGCTTCGGATTAACTTGGAACAGCAAAGAGTCGATCATAGCGTCCTTCTCGCGAATTTGCTTTTGCAGGATTTCACGCATACTGGTAGGGAGACAAAATATGAATAAGACGTTCATTCATGCAATACAATGGACCACTAACCCAGGAGACCTAGGTTTACGACCAAGCACAATGCATTCGTGATTACCAGCCGTGCATCTCGAACAAGCTGCATCATTATCGGCGAAGGTGCATTTCATCTGACGTCAGGCGTGAGTCGTTGAATGTATCGTATACGAGCATTCGCTGCCTACCTTCAGACGTTTACACCTCGTACATGCACCCGACGGTCTAGGACCCTTAGCTTCGGGTGCTATGCGCCGACGTTTCGCGGACGACACATTGCCATCCGACATAGTATTCAAATGAGGCTCCGAAATCTCCCGCTTACGTTCAAGTTGGCTCAAAGAATCATTGAAAGCGTGCATGGGCGTTAGTGTAGGTGTGGTGAAGTTGGAGGCCGTCACGCTAGGGTATCTTGCGAAAGGAGGAAGAAAAGGTGGATGGGTGCCGGGAGATGGTGGTCCGCTTGAGATTGGTGAATGTTCTGTGGAGCGTGGTCAGTGATGGAATTCAAACAGGTAGATATATTATAGGAAGTCAGACTTTTCATGAAAGGCCACGGGGAAGACTGTGTAGACGTTACGTCAGGTGTCAGAAGCCTCGTGGAGCTCTCGTCTGACGAGGATATCGAAGAGGACGGGGAGGAGGTATTGATAACAGCTGAACCAAAACCAGGGGATGGCGGGAGACCGTGCTCACGCTTTTGCGGATACTGAGGAAAATCAGCCCAAAAAGAAGGAAACTCTTGTTGATTAAGAGGAATGGACGTCGTCGACATGCTGTAACCGTCATGCAAATTGAAGAGAAAGCCGTCATCGGAGATGTGTTGGCGATCGAGCATCCTTGGCAGAAGAGGGGAGGGGACGGTTGGTCCGATAGATTCCTTACCAAGTCCTATATAGGGTTTCAGAACCATACATATCTTCTACCCACCCGAGTAGATTTAGTGCGTGCCTGCATGCCGCAGAAGCATAAAGCCCGTAAGGCACATACACGATATGTCCATCGGGGCTAGGGCGTCCAAATCAATACAGAGAATATTGTAAGCCGCCCTAGATGCATCCTCGGGCGTCCTCTTCGATTGCTGTGAATCATATAATTAAATCGCGGCGTTCAGGAAGAAGAGTCCGACGTAGTAAGCTGCAAGGCGCCTTGATATTGATGTAAGGACCTCTCGCGGGTACGTTAACCGCCTGTACTCCAAGGAGTGGTCAGTCGGAAGCTTTGCTTAGGTGTACACGAGGGAAGATTACTATGCACGTATCTAAACCGGAAGCAGAAGCAGGATAAGGATAATCAGCTCCTCAGTGGATGACAGAACGTGTGTACTTCTAGATCCAAGTCGGCATGCGTGTGCTTTTCGCAGAGCTCTTTTTAGAACAAGGCAATCACACGTTCACCTATGAGGTTGAATGCTGACTCTGAATATTCCTTGCTTGCATATTAGAAGTGCTTCTCATTGACGAGCTGACCAACTCTTACCAAGTATCTATATCTGCTTATAGAAGGCTATCTGAATGAACTGATCCGAGGATTTGAGAAATGAACGCCGTTAAGTGAGATGCTATTTAAGGCGAATCGAGAAATGGACCACTCAGGCTGAGCGCTGAACACTGCTGTAGAGAAAGCCACATTCGACCTCTTCGTGTGGGTAACATTAGTGACGCCAGGATCCGTAGATTCTGCCAACGATCGGAGGCGGAGCATTCGGTATACATTTGCTTACGCACCAAGCGAGCTAAACGAAACGGAAGAAGATACCGGCGGCATTGAAAGGTACAACTGGCAAAGGAACTCAGGATGACGATCAGTTGTTTCCCTGGAGCCTACGTTACGAGCAAGAGGGATGAGGCAGTTCAAGAAACTTGCGCTAAAACCAACGAAAGGTCAAAGCTATCAACGAGAATATGGAGAGGCAAAATGCAACATTTTGAACAGTCATCTGCGAGAGCTGGCGGCGCAGGACGATACCGTATAAGTGGGAGAATAAATTGCATAGAGAAGGCCTCATTGCCAGAAGAAGACTGATGCAATTGGCCTCCCGAATCCAATCGGAAACTTCCTGACGGGTTGGTTTGCGGTGGCTACTGCAGTTCAAGCCACATCTCGGCAGTTAAGATGTTGCGAGTCCAAGACAAACTGGTCAGATGGATGCGAGGTTTCTTTTGTCCTTAGATTTCGGTAGCACGGTCGAGAAACACCTTTGATTCAGCTTGAGAAGGCGATGCACATATGTGACCCCTTTCGGCGACTCAAATTCAGCGGACAATTGATCAAGCCTTTCTGAAGAGGTTCCCTAAGATGAGCAAATAATGTGTGTACTACTTGAGGACGGTACCTCATCATAATTGGATATACGTCATGATTCATGAACTCTGCCTAGCAGAAATGTCTGGATTATTCCCTGGGGCAGATTCCAATTTACTAGAAGTGTGTCGTAGTCCAGAGCTCAAGCATAATCAGAGAGCAGGACGTAGTAGGAGTGCAACCTTTTGAATGTCAAGTTGAAAGCTTTCAGTATTGTTTACCGTGGGAATTTATTGGCAATACTCGGCGTCTGCTGCATGATCTCGGATCTGAATCTTTTGAGCGCTTTAGGCTAAAGCTCGAGTTTGGTTTTTACTACGCGGACTCCATTTCTTCCCTTTATCCTTATCCTTTAATACTTGGAATGGCATCTGAAGCAACTGAAAACAAAGCTACTGCGGTTGTAGCCGATGCCAACAAACCGCAAGTAGTGGCGGCAGCTGACGGGGTGAAGGCAGAAGATGCAGTAGTGAAGCAAGACTCAGTCGCCGGGTCGAGCTCTGACGTTGTTATGGATGATGATGAAAAATCAAAAATGTTGAGGGCAACTCGTCAACGTACGTTGTCTATAGCAACTTTCGATATTTGGCTGATGGCATTTTCGCAGTCGAGTTCTACTTTGCAGATGCAAACCTGCCTTATGACAAGTGCGTCATAAATCCTCAGTCTATCCATATACTGGACTAAATGTACTTGGCAGATTCATGTGGACCCTACACACAGCAAACCCCGAACACTGGGTTCCCATCTCTACAGTTGCATCGTTTAAGCGCATGCGCGAGTTCAGTCCCTTAGGTCTGGACTGGGTCGCAAATGCATTGAAAACTATCAGCACGGAGTTAGAAATAGATGAGACCAATACAAAAGTACGTCGGAAGACCGAGGTCACAGAACCGAAAGGCCAGTTCGAACGAAGCATTTACGCTGTGAGCAGCATTCTTATTGTGTCTACATATGTCACCTGAGCGAACTTGTCAGAAAGGCTTTGGAGAGGAAGTCCCCGGTTTGCAACGAAAACTGGAAGAGTTCTTCAACCAGTATGGCAGGACGAATGCTGTGCGTATGAGACGCGAGGAGGAGACGAAGCAGTTCAAGGTCAGTCCATGTTCACGGATCGTTTTAGCATTGGCTGAATGATATCTAGGGCTCCGTATTCGTCGAGTTCGATAGCGCCTCTACAGTCGAGAAGTTCCTGAATGCTGACCCCAAGCCTTCCTGGAATGGGCAAGAACTTTTGATCATGACTAAGTACGTCGCGCTGGAAATATATTGCGTGATCATACAGTGACATATTTTTTGTTCAGGGAAGCCTATTGCGAAATGAAGATCAAGGAAAAGGGTATAACTGGCAAGAATGCTGTTCTTCGTAAGCAAAATATGGCAGGAGGGCGGGGCTTCAATGCCTTCAAAGAAATGGCCGCTCAAAAAAGCGGCAGTCGAGATAAGGATAACAAGCCCAAGGACAGGCCCAAGCCCGAAGTTTGGCTAGAATTCCTTGGTAACCGGATCCGGGTCTACGATGAGGATGGTGGTACTATCAAACCCGACGAACTTCCCTTCGTCAAGGGCGCGAGTCTGAAATTTGAAGGCGTTGAAGGCGACGTAAGCTTTGACGAGGTCAAGGTAAGGTTTAATACAGGAGTGGAGTTCACTCGAATGGAAGATTAACCGGATCCACGCAGGGTCCGCTCAAGGAGCGTTATACGCGCGCCCCGTTCGTCAAGTACAACAAAGGAGATACATGGGGTCTCGTTGGCTTTGACAGAGCCTTGTCAGAAGAAGATATCGCTTATGTGAAGGAGAATATTAAAATCCTTGGATCCAAAGAAGTAACGTGGACAATTCCTGACGGTAAGTAGAAACCTGCGATTGCTTCTGTACCACTCTGCCGCCACTGGAACGTTCTAATGCCGTTACTGATGGTCCTTTTATATTTTTAGAGGAAACTGAAAAGGCATTCCAAACTGAACGCGCTACCGGCGCAGCAAAACGTGTCATGGGCTTTGCAAACAAGAGTGAGCAAGGCAGCCGAGGCGGACGCGGCGGTCGTGGCGGTCGTGGACGTGGAGGTCGAGGCAGAGGGAGGGGTGGCAGGGGTGGCAGAGGTGGCCGAGATTCTAGGGCTGGGGACTCAACGTCTGCAGATGCCACGAAAAATGACGATACACAGGCAGGTGATAAGCGGAAACGTGCCGTGGAACCTGATGGTGGCCCTGACGTGGGAGTTAGGAATCAGAGTATTCCCCTTGTACAGAGCGCGAAGAAGACAAAAGTTGAGGGTGGCGCAGGAGATTCATAGTTTGGGTGTTTGTTGAGTGTCTCTCTTCATTGCAGTGTTGTCCACTCGTGTCATATTTCATGCAAGTGTACTGAATCTTGTAGCAGTCTAGTTACCAAATGTATCCTGTAGCTTCGCACCCTTGATTCGATGCGACACTTCTCAACGCCCATTATCGGCATCATGAATGTCCCGTTCTGCAATCGACCAACTTTGTTCACACTGAAGCCTTGATTGATCCTTCTTTTCATACTTCGAACAAGGACCATACATTTGGCCACCAGCAGGTTAGTATTACTGTATTTCCCGAGCTTCTCAGGGCACCTGATGTAACCACGAGCACTCTCCGTATGCAATATATTCACTTCGTATCTTCCACAGGGCGAGTAGAATGGATCTTCGGGATATCGTCGGGGGGACACAATAGGAGGGAAGTCTTCTTTAGGCAGCTCATGCTACGACCATCTACAGGAATACTTAAGAACACTACGTGTTGGACGTTGACTGTGTTGTCAAACGCTGAAGGAATGTTGAAGACATTCATTGGTTTCTTAGGCTTGGCTGTGGCTGCACTGTGTGCCAGCAGTAGCACCCTCCAGAACGTAGTCGTTCCGAAGGATCATCCGTTGATTTTCTTCCATGGACGCTGGGATAAATCGCCTGAGACCTGGTGGTATATTTCTTGACAATTCTTGCGTTCTATACTGTATTTGGACTAAATGGTCCATGTCCCACAGGGCTGGTTCTGGTTTCAAGCTCCATGTAGAAAATTTACAGTCCCTTTCGTTAAGCTTGGGAAACCATACCACTACTCCATTGGCTTCTATCGGCGTTTCTGTGGACTACGAACCATTTGTCACTGTCAACGTCTCTGTCGGAACAAACACGATTATATTTGAGAAAAGCCTCACCGGTGCAAAAGCTAAAAGCGTTGTACGAATCAACGTAGAAGGCTGGCAGAATAACAGAATCAACCTGGAAAATATTATTCTGAACCCTGTAAGAGAATGTTTCCTTCCACAGTGTGACCAACACAAACCTCGGTTTCGCACTCCAGGGCGCTCGTTTGCTTCCATACACGCCCTCGAGATTGGCCTTTCAGTTCATAGGAGATTCTCTATCTGCGGTACGCCTGTCTTTGCATCTCAGTGATCGGCTAGCTCATCCTGTCATGATGTAATTACATATATAGGGACAATTTCTTCCACAAGGCGTAGATCAAGCATGGCCGATCCTGACCGGCGAGTACGTTAAAGCGGAACATATAGTGAACGCCCAATCTGGCGCTGCCCTGACGGTTAGCCACTATGTTCATCTGAAACTGTAACGAGTTGACGTATATTGGGTGGGTAGGACATTGTGTCCTTTGGTAATCAACACGGTTTGTCGTTCCAATTTTTCAGAGTACGTTGTTCTCTACTGGCACGTTCTCCGTTGTATGTCCCCGCTTAGTTTGGAAACAGACGGAGGACACAGGCTACTACTTTACAACCGACCATAATTTTACGACACCATGGGAGTTCAGGCGTGATGTTCCACCAGCGACGCACGTTGTGATTCACATAGGGCAAGTATGACGTTGCAATATCAGGTGTTGTACTTGCCAATCCTTACTAGTATATTTAAGCAGTGCGAATGACTCGTCACAAAATGTCACTCAAGCCGCTTTCATTGAGGCACGCCATCCAGTTGTGATTTGCTGTTTCATTCGTTCAAGAATATACATCCGTCACGTTTCAGACGTTCCTAAACTTCCTCTCTCGTCTTCGGACGATCTATCATACACAGCCCATCTTCGTTTTCACACCTGTACGTCGCACGGGTTGCTTTTCTCTTCTTTGTGCATACCCGTCGACTGTACGTTCTAGTGGGGCTGGCTTAATGCAGGTGGTACAGTCTCGCAGTACTATCCCGATGCTTACCAGCAGATTGTGGATGGGCGGTGAGCGAATGGCCTACGCTTCTACTAGCTCGGAGACCACTGATATTGCCCCGTAGTCATCGATTAGGTGACAGGAATGTGTTCCTCGTGAATACAACAGGATGGGTCACATTCGCCGACGTCTTCCCCGAGTACGTTCCTCTTATATACCGATTTTTTGCAGCCTGACCACAACCCTACCTTCAGTAACCAACATCCAAACGTCGCCGGCCATGCGAAGATCGCAGGACTGTTTGAGAAATGGCTGGAGCAATGGGGTTTGCAGCCAGAGATCCTTTGGTCGACCCCAATTTGACACTCTTCATTCAGAGAGTTATGACACCCTCAAGCATACCGTCATTTTTTTGTCTCGTACATAGAAAGTAACGCATTGACAACCAGTACACCGATTACAATCGGAACATGGTAGACGTCGTGCAAGGGCGCTACTAGAACCCCCATCCTTCCAGCGGTTGCGAACTCGGAGTCCGTTGTCGGATCGGGAGTGCTCTCGAGTGGCTCTCAGTTCGAAGAAAGTCTAAAAGACGCTGATGTCGAGGTTGTTGGCTTTCGAACACGGTACATACGTGCCTCCGACGTTCTTTCGCGTTGACCTCTCATGACATTCCGACCCTTATTCATTACGGTGAGAATGAATACAATTCGCTTTAGAGGTAAGACACAGTATCATCCATCAATATACGACTATACTTCAGTATCACTTCGACGAATTTCTTGTAGGTGATAATCCTGTCAGCTTTGTTGGCGACCTTCTTTAGAGATTGCAGAGACTCCAGATATTTTGCCTCGCCATCGACATGCTTGAACTCCCAGGCAAGCCTGGCATGTCCGTACGTATTCTCAAGCTCCTCGGCAATGCCACGAATATTATTGAACTGCAACCAAAGAGGCTCAACCCATTTCCCAAGCAATGGTCGATACGACTTGTGCGTTTCTGCGAAGAGAGTTTGAAACCCACGGCCTTGGGTGTTCAGAAATGCCTTCTTCGCAATGCAAACACTTTTCAGGTTGGAATCTTCCCATCCAGGGAGGAATTTGAAGGATCCCTCGGTTTGGTGGGGCTTCGAAGGAACAAAAGTCGCGCAGAAGTAGCAAAGCAGATAGAAGAAAGACTCTAGGTCATGTCGGTAACGATGCAGGATTGGTGTGGAGCCCAACAGATCCAAGGCCATGAATGGGCCTGTCCCTGCCTTGCTCCTTGGTTTCTTCGTCTGGAGCTGCTCTTCAACGGACTCGTCTTCGGCAGCTTTTCTCTCGTTATCTTGGGGAATGGTCAAGGGAAAATCGCCCTCCACTTCGTCAAAGACCAAGGGGCCATTCTTATACGTCGAAAGATCCCAGTCCGATAACACCCCAATCACGTTCCCCCCAGGTTCCCGGTAGAACATGACATTGCTTACGCTGATATCACCATGGAGGATTTTGACCGTATCGAAAACATACCGATGCACTAGATGCGCTGATAGGTAAGAAAACAGAACATATGAGGCAGGTTGGACTCGCACCTTGCACCACGTCGATAAAGATTCGTTCATACTCGGCCACGCGGCGTACACATTCCAAAGGCAGGTACTCCTTCACGATGAGAACGCGGAAGATGCGAGGCTCGCAGGCTTCCGACAGATACATTGACGCCCTCGGCAGACCGAGCTCCGTGGCCGTCAAATCCAAGGAGCACTTGAGGTCGACAATATGCTTCAAGAGATGCTTCCTCGTCCTGCTCTTTCCGATCTTCTGTCGAATAACTCGAATGATGCCATCCTCAGTGTTCACTCGGTCTGTTGGCTGCCAGGAAAATTTGGCAACTAAGCCCTCGTCCTCGAAGAGATTCTTCGCAGCCTCGATAGCCTGTATCGGAAGCACCGTCGTTCCACGTCCTACAGCACCGCGTGCAACCGTAAGGGGCTTCTCTGCCAAGACGTTCAACAGGAACGAGAGATCTTTCAATTCCCGTCCTGTAATATCGTATGAACGAGATAGCTTAAGGACTCCCTTCTCGTAACTTTGAATAGACTTCTGTGTGTATTCAATGAGGGGATTAAAGCCAAGCTTCGGGGGGCGGGCAAAATGAAGAGCAGCGATCACAAGAAGAAAATACTCTGGTTCGTCAAATATGTCAAACCGCTTTGACTTGACCAGACCCATACGATCAGTGTACCAAAGGGACATCTTCGTCTCCTCGACAAGGAATCCGCTTGCATAGCTGCGAATCCCCTGCGATATGAGCTTGTCGACATACTTCGCGGCCTGGAAATCGTCTTCTGTGAAACTCACGCTATGCGGAAGGTCAGAAGTTGGTAGCGTGTGTACTATCTTGCGACGTTTGGGCGGTGAAGATTCGTGCTGGCTGCCGGCTTTGCGCTTCCAACTCGAAGTAGGAGTTTCAGTCTATACTATTCGTTAGCAAAAGCTTACATAGTAGACGGTAGATTTGAGCGTACAATAGAAGGAGGAGTCTCCTCCTGAGAATTCGATGGAACAGATTGTGTCCTCCGACTCTTGTTGCCACCTGGTAATTGGGAAGTTTGAGATCGGTTGCCGAGCTGACGGGCAGTGAGCACTACATATCGATGGTCTTATCAGACTAGATTCGTACCATGTCAAGCATGTCGTTCGTGACCACTGGAGCTTTGTCAGGAGTGATTCTTCGCTTCTTTAGCTCTCCATAGGCCCCCCAGCTGGCCCACATGTGATCTGTCAGCTCTGTCTCAGGCACGTACCCAAAGTCTGGTTCGAAGTCTACGACGTCACTAGCCGGAGCCCGGTCGTGCAAGAACCTAAACACGCCAGGAAACCCGCACGTCTCAGATCGCTGAGCTTCATCCAAATCTTTGCAAAGGCCTGTGATAACGTTCTCGAACGCGCGACAGCACTCCTTGTTTCCCGTGATACGCTGCTTCCGATACGTGTCATCTTTGGTGTATCGTTTGGCAGCGTAAAGAGAGCAGTTCGCTCTGTCGAACTGGTATCCTTTCTCACGACGAGGAATGTCTTCAGGACCAAACTTCCAGACTTGTCGAACAAAATTGACGACATCGTATTCAACTTCAGTCACTCTCTGAAAGTCAGCCTTGGCTATATAGTGACTGCAACTTGTGCCAGTACTAGTGCTTGAATTGGGGCCTGGTTAATGGACGCATCCAAGAGTTATAAGATCTCGATTTCTACTGTAGTAGTTACTGGTAATGTGAATGTTTATTGGCGTGTATACAGAGAACGCTGGGTACATACCTCCGAGTCAAGTGGAACAACTTTCAATTCCTGAAGGTACAGTAGGAAGAACACCGTTGCGCCGCTGAGTGGCTGAGCCGCGCCGAGTCAAGGTTCATGGGCGCTTACTCTGTACTTAACAACAACCTTAAAGAAAGCGACAACCATACATATATTCTACAGGACTTGTGATATCGATACAAAAGATCGGATAGTATACACTTCCGGCCACTCCCTCACAACAACACCTCGATGAATTTCTCATAGGTCAAGTATTTATCTGCATCTTCACACTGCTTCTTCAACTTCTTCGCTAGCTGCCTCTCCTTCCTGACACTGCCCGCCTCTCTTTCCTCCAGAATTGACACAATAGTTAGTGAAACATCTGTAGAAACCTTGGGCACAATTTTGAATAGCTTGTAAAGAGGCTGGATCCATTTGATCACCAGCGGACGATAGACGTCATGTGTATCCTTGAAGAGGGAATCAAACATGTTCAACTCGTCTTCCGGATTGTCTTTCCTTTTCAACAGGAAGTTCATTTTCGCCTTCGCAACCGCCGAAAGATTCCCGTTTTCCCATCCAGCAAGAAATCGGAAGGTGCCTTTAGACTCCGAAGGCTTTGGAGGGTTGAACGTCCCGCAGAAATAACACAGCAGGTAGAAGAAGGACTCAAGGTCGTGGCGATATCCATGAAAGATGGGAAGACCATCCAGAAGGTCCAACGCCATGAATGGACCCGTCCCAGTTCTGTACCTCGGCCCTTTCTTCGCAGGATTATTCGAGGGAGGTGGGTCTCCCTCGGGAAGGTCGGTGTCTTGAGATTCCGAGTTTTCAGAGGCCCGTCTCATATAGTGGGCTTCAACGAGCCGCATCCATTTCTCAACATCGTCAAGATCCAGTTTGTAGGCCGCAAGGTCCCAGTCCGCCAGCACGCCGATCGCATGACCAACGTCATCGCGATAGAATACGACGTTCCCTGCACTGATATCACAATGAAGGACACCCACAATTTCGTAGACCTTGTGGTGTGCTATGGCAAAGATGTTATAAGCAAATAAACACGGAGGGAATATTAAACTCTCACCTTTCACTGCATCGATGAAAACACGCTGAAAGTCATCCAGACTCCGTACATATTCAAGAGGAAGATACTCCCTCAGGATCAGCACACGGAACAGGCGAGGCTCATATGCTTCAGGTAACATCATCGACGCCCGGGGAAGGTTCAGCTCCGCATCCGTCAGGTCCAGCGAACATTTGAGGTCGACGATATGCTTCAAGTAACGACGTGTCTTCTTGCGTTTCCCCAACTTTCGTCGAATCACTCGAATCAACTGATCCTCCGTATCCTCGCGATTGATAGGCTGCCACGACATCTTCGCAACCAGATTCTCACTCCCAAACAACTCCTTTGCTCGACCTTGAGCCTTAATAGGAACGATCGTAGTACCCCGTCCGAGAGCGCCATACGCGACGACAAGCGGCTTCGCTTTCGTGATACGCAGACCGAATGACAGTTCTTCCACAGGCTCCTTCGTATGGTCGACAGCACGAGGCAGTCTCAAGACTGCGCTATCGTAGCTTTGGAAAACGTTGGCAGGGAACTCGATCAGTGGGTTCATCCCCAGCTGAGCTCGATTGGCGAAATGTAGAGCAGCAATGACAAGGAGGAACAGCTGCGGGTTGCGGAATATGTCGAATGATCGTGACTTTACAAGTCCCATCCGGTCAACATACCACAGCGACATACTCGTCTCTTCCACAAGGAAGCCAGTAGCGTAGTTACGGATGCCATGGGACAAGAGCTCATTCGCGTATTTGGCAGACTGGACCTCGTTTCCTGTCAGATCTACAGTCTTCCGCGTCCCGTGTGAAGTCTTCGTTCGCTTCGAGACACAAGGTTCAGCTGGTCCTTTTGCCTTTCGCTTCCGTGACTGTGTGGTTGGTGAAGTCTACGATGATGATTTAGAAGATGCGACATCGGCGAGAATAGGAAATACAGACCACAGAGGACGGAGTTGCGTGATTTGATGTGGACGAGGAAGACAATGAACCTTTCTCCTTGCCCTTGCCAGGTTGTTGTCGCAATTCCCACTCCTTCACAAGCTAAACCATGGTCAGTACATGGCACCGGTGACGAAAACAATACACCATACCCTCTCAATTCTAGTCTTCGTGATGACGATCCGAGTAGTCGGACCAATATTCGGCGTCGCACGCTTCTTCTTCAATTCTCCATATGCTCCCCAATGCGCCCACGTATGTTCGTTCAACTCCACAGCCGGTGCATATCCAAAGTCAGGCTTGAACTTCGCGTAGTCACCTTTTGGAGTCCTGTCATGCAGGAAACTGAAGACGAGAGGAAATTCTCGTTCATCGAAAGGTATAGCTGGAGTGAGCTCATGACAGACACCGCGAATGATGTTCTCGAAAGCACTGCAGCACGCCCGTTCTCCCGTGATCTCCTGGTAAGAGATTCCGTCGATACGCTCATATTCTAGCTTAGCGTATGAATGACAATTCGCCCTGTCCAGTTCATAGCTAGAATATGGGATGTCTCCAGGCTTGAACTTCCACACATGCTGTATGAAGTCGATAACGTCATAGTCAATGTCTGTCTTGTCCTGAAATTGCTGCTTGATCAAGCCTTTGACCAACTTGTCCTCGTAACCCTTTGCGCCCTTAGCTGCAAGACCAAAAGGAGAACGAACCAGGATCGGTTCTGTTACAACATAACGTTAGGAGTATATAGCAGTTTGAGAGTACGTGACTGACCAGAAGGACGGTAGAATTTATCGACAGATGCTGGTGGGTTTTGTCGGGGGGTCGGTGCAGATAATGCCTGGGGCAGTGTAACAGGCATATCATGGGCCTTATACAGACTTGGATCCTCCACCATATCTATTTCCCGGTAGACCTCTGCGAGGTACTCGGGTGGATAGGGAAGTCCGCGCCAGAATCGAGGAAAGAGCACCATGGTGAAGTTATGAACGTGCGGTTTTATGTGTCGTCGTTGCAACGGAATGGACCCTTGTGCAATTTCTGAGGTATGACCCAGCGACAAAAGATAGCAACAGTCGTCAAAGCTGGGTTCAGGTGAAAGATAATGGTGGAGCTAACGTACACTAACGCTGTTAGAAATGTTTGTCTTGGTGATCCCATGCATTTGAACGTGCTTACCCAAGTATGCTAAAACACGACGTGAAGGGTTCGTCGCAGGAAAATAGTACAGTAAAAAGGTCGACTCCGAGTCGGGTAGTTAGTTTCGATTCGAGTGAGCTCTAATTCTGTTGGGTCCCGGCGTAGGTGACCAGGGTATCAAAAGATATCTCGACTGCCCGGATGCCCATGCAATGCCACTGCCACGATATGAAAGAGTGGCCAAGACTAAATGCTGAGACAAGTCGCCTTTCATTATTGTTCGAGGTGATGGTTCGGGTTTTGCATTCAGGAATACAAGACCTCAGGCGCTTATGCATTGTGCTGTCCAAGAAAGGCAAGCGTGGTAGTCAAACACAGCTCAGTGTGCTAATATGTTGGCTCCTACTCGCCTCTGGACACGATGTTGAGCAAATTAAATATGTGATATTCCAAAAATAAAACTGCCAGGGATGGATCTGGCTTGTCTTTTTTTATAGGTTGACTGAGGCCCGGCACAATAGCAATGAGACTGAGCTGGAATAATGATTTGATCATAAATTGTTCAAGGGACAGACAACTTCAGCCTTATAAGTACTGTTGTAGCAATACGAATGATAACCGTCGCGATATTCATCATGTCGCTGATAAGTAATTGTATCCCTCAGAGACGCCGATGGAACTTCGGGCGTCTATATCCTCTCACTGCAACGGCCAAACTGAAGTGCCACTGTTCGATAAGTGTAAGTACTGTTGGCTGGGATTGCATTTAGGTTGGACTTTCAATTCGCAACCTCCTTCAAAGCTTGTTTCTGGTGAAAACGTCATCTGACGAACATGCGACCTTCAAGTTCGAGCTCCAAATTGCTTGGTGGGAAGCGACAACCTGAAGGCAAAGGCAGCAATGTGCTTGCTACGAAGGACAATCAACAAAAGAACACCTCTTCACATTCACCTAAATCCATACATGAATCGCTCTTTCTGTTGGGTTCGACTATCTCTGAGGACGACCTCACACGATTGTGCAAAGGACCTTGCGGAGAGGCCTTGTCATTCTTCGTAGAACATGTGAAAGGTCGTCAAGAAACTGCGAAGGCCCGCGAAATGATACAGTGGTTTGTCATTTTCCCTTGACTACAAACGAAATAATGGATTCTGAGTGATACTAGCTCCTATGAATCTCAGGGTCATGCTGCTTCTGCTTCCTCTTCTCTCAATAGACTGAAGAGGGCGCAGTTTCGTCTACGAGCCGTAGATCGTCAAATTGAAGCGCTGCAGGCTCAGCATGATGAAATACAAAGACGCCTGTTTACCGCGGGTAAGGAGATTCTGCTACGCATGCTCTTCAATACTTATTCATCATGTTTGGTAGAGTCCGAAGTCAACTCACTGCAGCTTCAATGCGAAGAGAAGCGACTACAGAAGCTTTTGCTCTCCGTATTAACCCAGAAGGAAAATATCCGAATATGTAGGTTTGCCGACCTAGGAAACAAGTTGGAATCCGAACGGTAATGAAGCCTTATATACTGTCGACACACAAGTTCCTGACTACCCGCCGTATAGAACGAAGTCCTTTGTAGGAGTTCTCGTTGCTCTAAGCATTTATCCTAACCTAATCCAGCGGCGCCATTCAGAAGCAAACTCTTTCCGAAGACGTTTCAAAGACCTCTAAGCTGAAACCACATCAACGGCTGATCATCCGTACTGATCATACTCGCGACGCACTTGCGGTCAGTGGCTCTTTGAACCTTTTCTTTCATCTTGCCGTAAACGCTCACCACGGATGCAGGAGATACAAGCTCATGTACTCACATTAGTCCATCTCTCTTCTGCGTCTCTGTCACATCATCAATTAGAGGCGCAGGAATTAGAACTTCGACTTCTCCGCCTCATTGCGAAGTCTATGAACCTGCCAGTTGATGATGAAGGAGTGATCGCCAAACAGTACGAACTCCGTATTATTCGCCGCCCCGCAGTTAAATTCAACTGTTTTTCGACTTGTGTACAGTACTGCCTGTCTCGACTCTATTCGAAAATCAGGCGGAGAAGAGGCAAAAGAAAGCAAGTCGCCCACAGATACCGTTGGAGGCAGTTCACTACTAGATGTAGATGAAATCTCAGAACGAGTGGTAAGTGTAAAGTACAATGGATGACGTTCTATCAACGAGATACTGACATCTCTGACCAGGCACGGAAAAGTAGTAGATTACAACGAACCTCGGACGAAGTGGCTTGTCTAGGAACCTCATGTGCAGAAGCGTTACAAGAGGTATTCTTCGTTGTTCATCATTATCCGTCACCCTCTTATTTTAACCCATTATCCAGATTGACACCTTTACAACGTCAACTATTCCAGTTCTCAAGGAGTCGCTGGATGAGGACGAAGTGGCCACCTCAGGTTACGTTAGCGCGCTTCGGTCCTCTATTGAGGACTATCGCCCACTTAGGCATAACGAGAAGACGGACGGCAAAGGCACAGAAGGCAGGGTAAGTGAACTTTGTACTTCATCGGGATCGGATTAGTTAACTAACATAAATGTATTTCTAGACCATAGCGCAGGTTGTAGAAGACGTCCGGAAGGATATCGTGCACAGTAAGCGAATTCTTTTACCAATCCTAGTATTTTACGACGCTGACTCCAATAGCCTATGAAACAAATGTGTTGCTTTCAAACGCCATCCTTTCAACGTTCGAACCGTCTGCTAACCAAGCTTTGTCAATTCGTACGTTCCCATTCTACGATGGTCTTGATAGACACCGCCTGATTGTCCAATTTAGGATCTCACATCGATAACGAGAGACATACTTCTACCAGTTCAAGTCAGTTAATCCAACGCAAGGTGGAGAAGAGTCAAAGAGTGGGGGAAGTTCTCGTCAGCAATGTGGAGACCCTAGTGAAGGAGGTCGAGTCCGTTGGCCCTCTTACATGAGCCAAGAAAGCTGTCTTGCGGACCTAGCGCACTAATGCATGCGAGCAAAATCAACTTGAAATCTCCTCAACGACAAGTGCGAATATACAAAGACACGGCCAGAAGAACAAAATCGACGAGGGTACTTAATCAAGAATCACACTTGAAACATGGATACCGCGTCCTTCACATTTCAATAACTTCTTACAGTGCCATGGCTCCAACGGAGTTATAACGTTATACCACCACACTTCGTAAATTTCATTACCGTTTAACGAGAAGTGCAAGGACAACAATGAGAACAAAAGAGTATGAAGAACAAGTACACAGCGCGGCGTCCTTGACACCCTCCAGTTCTCCCGTTCCGTCCATCGAGGTTCATGTTGGTTCATTTGTTACTCCCCCTCATACATCCAATTATCTAAATACACCCAGCGCAGAAACGGTTTCGGTTCGTTTGGTCTGCGCCGACCCTGCAGAGAACTCGGCCTTCCATGTCTCCTTCTCGAGCTCGTTTGTTCTATACATTTCTCCTACGGAGCGGAGCTCCAGACATTAACCAGTGCATAGACATAATAAGAGCAGGAATGGCTCAAAGATATTTCTATTGACATTGACAGTATGAAGTTACGATACATACCGTATATCGACAACATGTGCTACAAGTCAAGAGTCCAGACCGCGCGAAATTGAATTCCACGACATACGTACAGAGGTATGACAAGAAAACACAAATGAGAATACACAGGGAGGGATATAAATAGCTTTGATTTCTGGGGCTTAATATCGCGAAGCCCTTCGCTACGAGTACCTAATGAGAACTCTTGAGATACAGCTATTTCATGAGGCAAGAGGTTAACTGGGTGGAAGCAGATGGGAGGACGGGGAGATAAACACAGTGATAACTTGTGAGAGAGACGGAGAGAGACGGAGGGAGGGAAAGAGGGAGAGAGGGAGAGGAAGAGAGATGCGAGAGATGGAGAGGAAAAAAGACGGAGAACATTATGGATATATGGCAGACAGACAGACAAGGAGGAAAGCAGCAGAGGAGCGTGATGGGTGGAAAACAGGGAGGAAGGAAGAACGCGGAATGCGATGGAATGCGGAAGAACGAGTCTGCTAAGTGCTAAGAGTGTGTGCAACGAGGTCAAAAAAAAAAAGGTGCGGGAATATGCGACGAGCGAGGGGGGGAAGATCTAACGAAAATGGAAGAACTTCGGGAAGCAAATGGAATATAACCATGCATGATGCAATCACCTGAAAGGAAGAAGAACAGGAGGAGGAAGAAAACGGAAGATAGAGATAGCTACATCGACGCTTGAGGGAAGCGCAACCCAGAGAAATGGAGAGGGCAAAAGAAAAGATAGGAGAGACGGAGAGTGAATTGAAAACGACGATCGTCCGAATGCACTGTTCACAACGCAACGGGAGTCCATGGCCAATGCAGGGAGGGGTTGGGGGTAACAGAGAGAGAGTTCAATACGTTTGCATCGAAGAGTCATAGTAATCATGCGAAGCACCGGTCCAGTCGTTCGGAAGCATCGGCGGGTGGGGATGCAACGAGCCCATGGACACCTTCGGCGACTCGTCCGGAGGAAGCATGGGTGGATGCAGGTACGTTGCGAATAGAGTCTCAGCGTCATCCTGTTGCATGGGATGATGGAGGAAGTCCATCGCCGAGTCCTCTCCACCGTTCTGAGGCAGCATGGGAGGATGAACGAAGCTATGTGGGGAATTGTCGGGAGGCAGCATCGGTGGGTGCCACAACGCACTCGAATTGCCACGCATTAGGCTGTAATTCGAAAAGTTGTTGTTAAACGGGAAGTCGAGAGACGATCCTTGAGAATGAGACGTGGCCGAAGAGGTATTTGAAAAGTCCGAGAACGAGCTGTACGACACTGCAGAGGAAGGAGGTTCTGACGCCGAGTCGTTGCTCATCCTTCGTCTCTTGTTCGATCTCATCTCCGAGCCGTCATAATCCGAAGAATCACCCATCGTGAAGGGGTAAGCATCCTGGTGTCCGCCGTATACTTGTGAAAGGTAGTCAGGATGGTACGGACCGGGGAACGAGGCATTGAAGTTGTAGTGCGTGTTGTAGCTTCCATCGTTCGCCATATGCGTGTTTTGGTTGTTCCCGCCCAAAGCACCCATCAGCTCAGACTGGACCTGGCTAGAGTAATCGCTCTCGGGGTATGACAGTTGCGTCGTGCTGTCTGGCGCGAGAGTGGGGGTATCGGCACTGGGCGAGGCTCGACGGCTTGCTCCGGGAGAGGCAGAAGGAGTTTCTGACACCGTGCCTCCTGCGGCTCGTCGCGCGTCATGACGAGCTCGCTTCCTAATGACGTCAGACTTCATGGAGATAGGCCGTGCAGAACCATGCAACTTGAAGCTGTTTACGTCGATCAGCAATCTAATGAAGTATGATAACTAGAAGGCAACTTACTAAAGACCACATCTAATCGGAAATGAAAAAGAGAGACGTAAGTTGGTGAAGCGATGGGAAAGGACTATGCAAAGTACGTACGCATTGCAAACTGTCTTCCCTTCGTCGTCTTTGCGCCACAGGGGAGTAGCGGTCGTATGGCAGTTGTAGCATTGTGCTGTGAACAATAATGTTAGCGAGGAATGATGGTAGCGTACGGAAAGTACGTACCAACAATTTCTTGCGATTCCTGTCGCGGGGCAGCCTGAGAGCGATTCTCACCGTGGCTATTACGCATACTCTTGGGACGAGGACGCTTATGCTACAGACGGATCGTCAACAACGTCTATCGCATGGAACAAAGAGGGGGGGACTTGCCAGCTTGCAATACAAACCACATGCGTTGCAGTTCAACTCGTCGTTCAGCCCGCGTCGCCAGAGAGGGGTATGAGTAGCACCGCAGTTCGAGCACTCGGCCTTGACGCCACCAGGGGCAGAATTGTTGTTCGCCTGCACAGACGAGACGCCGCTGACGGGAGTGGCGCTGGGTCCCGAGTTACGAGTGGAAACTGAGTTTGTACGTACGCTCAGAGACGGCCGTCTGCCGTTGGTCTGCTGTGGTGGCGCACCAGGTGACGGGTCGGGACCGAGACGAGAAGGAGTTATAGTGCGTGGGACAACGTCTTCGATAACTTTGTTAAGAGGCAAGTTGCGAAGGGAGTTCTTGAGATGAGATTGGTCGTGGTGGTCGGTAGCGTCACCAAAGGAGTCATCCTGTAGAGACGTCTTCATGTCAACGTCTTCTTGAGAGTTGAAAGAATTTGCAAGGCGAGATTGAGAGTTGTCGTTGTTGAAAGCACCACAGGACCAGCCGCCAGGGCTGTCGGCGTCGAGTATCTCATCAAGAGGAAGCTCTATTGTAGGCCGCACGATAGAAAATCCGTCAGAGGAAGCGTGGGTGTTAAGCCCGACGCCCTCGCCGTAAGTCATCGTGTTCGTAAGGGTGGGTGTTGGATACAGTAGTGCGGCAGGACCAAAATCGTTGGAGAAGATGGAGGGGAAATGCAGTGAGACAGAGGGATAATCGTCGGACGAAGCATTAAGAGAGTCATTAGCAGCCTTGCGACCGCGTTGAGTGAGTGGCGCATCCTTATTGTTGGCGTCGTGGGTAGCACCGTCCGTTACGTTGGTGGAACGAGTACCAGGGCGACGCCTGACGTTGTCCTTGAACTCTGGAGATGGCTTCAAGTCGGGCTTCCTTGCGGCAGAAGAACCGGTGGGAGGAGACGGCTGGTCGACGCTAAACGTGAATTGCATGCGATGAATCGTTCCTGGTCGGCCGTTCTGGTTAGCTTGGCGCTCGCGCTCCTTTTCAGCAGCACGCTGCTTGATGAGTTCTGTAGAATGGTTGCGTCTGAAACCTGGGGCCTGAAGTTCTTCGATGCTCCTAGGGTGAGTCAAAGCAAAGGCTGAGCACCAACAAAGCGCGCGTTAAGCAACATGAACCACATACCGTCCTTTTTCCTTGTCGAGCTTATCACCCATACATTTCGACAGTTTGCGGAAGTCGCGCTTGGACTTGGCGTTGTCGGTGTCGACGATGAGATTCTGGAGGTGCCAGAGTCGCCAACTAAGGTTCTCAAGCCGTTGCCCTTGCTCGAGGAAGCCGGCGACCTTTGTGCAGACCTTAATGAGGCGTAAAAACATTAAGCCACTCGACGAAGGACATGCAACCGTTATCCAGCATACCTTCCATGTCTTCGTTAGCGAATCCGCATCGCCCAAGTTGCTGAACGGGACGAAAGACTTGTTCCCCTGTGCAATGAAACGCCACAAACAAAAATGGGTACCAAAAAAAGGAGAAAAAAGAGGAGGTGAGTGGGTTGATACAACGCCGGGCAAGAACTACGGACTTTGAACTTGAGGTTGAGGATGGAGGGCATTGACTTATTGGAGACGAAGAGGAAGGAGTCAAAGATAGAGCGACAGGTTATATGCGGTGGTATCCTGGCGGGCGTCAGACTTTTCCCTTGCACGTTGCATCTCAATTTCCCGCCACCACTCCGCTTTTCTGCCCCGCTGTTCCGGGGGTATCCTCATTAAAAAAAGAGCTTGTGCTTGAGCTGGCAAAGCCTGGCGATGGCATTCTCTGACGCATCGCCCTTGAAAAGTCTCACCAGCACGCATGAGTCGACGGCAGCAGTGGGCATCAGACGTCCGCAGACGTCCGCTCCCTGCTCCAATAATTGTTTCATTGTTTAGCCATGAAATATGCAGTACACTAGGGTTCAGGGGATGCCAGCTTCATTGTAATTTTCAAATATTCTCGGCTCGTTTGATGTCGCTGCAGCTCTCCCCAACGCACTTGACGAGCACATACAGAATGCTCAAGGGTCCCACTTTGCACTTACAAGCCGAGAACAAAAGACATTTGTGTTTTATGAAACGGTGTCCGCGGTCTATCCTCCTGTGAATAGAGCCGTAACAGAATTAGACCTGCCACTCCCCTGGTTTAGGTCAGGCTGTATGCATCCTTTCCAGCTGGAAAACACCCTTGGCCTCGCGGTGTATCTACAGATACAGAACGACGCATCTCCAACGAACTCTGTCCCGTTCACTATCGCCCGTAGAATACGAAGCCAAGAGGCATCATCAACGCGCTAGCTCCGTTCCGAAGAGCCGTTGGCCCATGATCATATAGCTCCCAAGCCAGCCACCAACCCACGGTCCGCAACCCTCGGTTCACGCTGCTGTGCCTGCGACATCCCATATTTCCTCCTTCCACACGTGTCGAGCCACTGAACGTTCTGAATGAACCTCGTCTGGCAGCATGCGGTTGAACTAGAGGCGTGGAAGTGTCGAATGACAGTACATAGCCAGATACTAGATTCCGCCGACGTCGACCCGAGCGTTCAGAAGAGAAGCTATGCTAGTTTCAGATTGATGCACCTAGCTTCTCGAGCAGACACTCAGCGTTCAACGTTGTCAACCCTTAAGACCCTGCAGGCGTGTGTGAAGTTGTCGCCGAGAGAAAAAATCAAGTTACCAACAAGTTGTCAGAGTACTACCAGCCGGCATACGGCCATCTCCAGTTCGTGTCGCCGCATAGCACGATTCCATGCGTCACAGAGAGTATATGGAATACGCGTTGATTGAGTATCACAGAGAAGCCTGAAACCACAGACAAAGTCACATCGAATCGTCCTCTTGGAGCCTGCTGGACCAAAAAAGTTCAACAAGCAGACAACGCTGGGAGTATCAGACCATCCAGAGAGTACGCCGTGGAAGCCTTCGTAATTGAGAAGCACTCACTCGTGATTAATGAATACGTATCCCGGGTACTATATTCGACAATCCAAGGGTGCCACTTACCTACCACTTACCCCAGGAATTTGATTCTAGCACTCAATTACTGTCGACTAGCCAGGGGCCGGCGGAGCCCTATCTATCCGGTCTACGTTCATTCCAAACCGAAGTCGCAATCTCGACACCTTGAGCTGACAAGACAGACACGGCAGTCACGGGATCGTGTATGGTGGTCCATCTGCTGATGAAGGGACTCACCTCGAGGCCTTGCTGCGATTCACATGGTTGTTTCTGGAAAAGACCCAATTTTGACAAGACGAGCCGTATTTGGGGGAAGGCGCCGCCTTACTCGGAAACCGGAGGGGAGACGCACACAAGGTATAATGAGAGTGAACTTGGAGTTATAACATACAAGTCCCCACAAATACTTCGTGCAGCTCCTCGTCCGAGCTTTCCATTTCGTCATGTCCGCTCATTCGGACAACAAGATGTCTCGAAAACATGAAGAAGTCTAAAGATAGAAAGGGCGAATATATTCATCAGTATATGGGCATCGCAAGGGTCGCAGAGAAATCAAAGTGGCGTACTAGTTGCTTGATAGACCCCTCCACGAAGCACAAAACCGCCTAGACAAATGGGCGTTAGGCATCCATTCAATCCGTCCTGAGTTACGGAGAACTGAACATAGAACGATCGAAAACACGCCCAAAACCAAACGCGTCAATCATCCGCATGTCCCTAGTGTTCAGCTGCGCATGTTGAACAGTAACACAGTCTGTCAAGGACAAGTGTATCTGCGAGTGCTTCTAATGCTTGGAAGGGGTGGGGGAAGTGATCCCCTGATCTACGGAGTAGAACTATGGAGTGGTTCGAGTCTCACACGAAGTGACATCGTTCAATTAACTCGCAGGAGTAGGCTGAGCAGGAAGAAGAAGTCCGAGTGCCCTTTGAAATTCATAGGGCCTCGACGTCTCGACTCCAACGCCTTAAACGCGTCAACAGGCTTCTGTTTTGGCCGATCAGAAACAAAGAAGTATTCGCCCGTTAAACGCGCCGCTAAACCCATTATGATTAATAGATACCTAGCAAGGCAACTCAGGCCTGCGCTTTCGTCCAGTATTCAAACAAGGTGTTTCAAAATATAACGGACACTCTCACCTTTAGCTCGCCGTACGAGCAAGGTTGCTCCATTTCGAAAGGCACCTGCCTCAAGGCCCAGGGAAGAAGTGCGCGCGGAGGACAGTGGTCATTGTGCTTTCTCTCGTTCCTCTCGTGGTTGTTCTGTGATCCGATAAGCAAGAGGCGGTCTTATCGATAACGACATCGAGAGGCAGGATTAAGTCAATGGTCACGTGTGGTGTTCTCCGAATCAAATGAATAATGTCAGTTTCGGGATCGACGCGGTATAACAGGGGGAAGAGGAAGCCCGTGGCAGCAGGCACAAGGTGGCGAAATCGGAACACCGAGCAATGAACTGGATGTCTATATCAGACATGCGTATAAATGCAGGTGGCTTGGCTCTATCAAACTAGGCTGGAACAGACTAAGACGAAGCGGGCATACTGAGGGCTCACAGCAGGAGCGAGCAGGCCGGGACACGTTGTAGAACACAGCAAGGATGCAGCATTGGGGTGGCTCACGAATAAAATCATCACCTGGCAAGTGCGAGGCATGTTCAGAGAGGAAGTATGTACCCGAAGTAAGGCTCAGAGAGCGCGGACCAATATACATTCGTCCTCGTTGCCGCACATATGAGATTGACCGGAAAGTGCCCTTGTCTTCGATTCATCCCTGTGAGAGGTGTGGCGACATGAACTCGGCACTCTGGAGCGATCATGACACTTCATGATCCCCCTCCCCCGTGATCAGGGACCCAATTCCAAAGTGTCAGTTTGTGAACGCCAAAATCCGAGACATTGCAGCCATATATATCGGAGATAACGTTCAAGATGAGACGATAGGAAGCTAGAAGCTGCCCCCCGAAGGAGAGCCTGAGAGAGATAAGTACAAGAACTTGATCAGAAGGTCACGGTGCATGATTAGAGGAAGTTATAGCCATGTTGAGAGACAAACCGGTTCCGTACAACGAGGGTTTCGGTGTGAGGACAATCGGGTCGACATCCGTGCAACTGCCAGCTGTTCCCCAGGTGTTCGGGACGGGAAAAGAAAGCAGTATGTAAGAGTGGCTTGAACTAAAGCCAGCGAAAGGTGCAAGGGTCACCAGGCTAGCGAGAAGAATAAAAAAGAGAGGCGGTGTGCAGATGCAAGCCAAGTCTTTGCTTCCCGCGAGGGCGGACGCGGCAATGTATGACGGAGAACCAAGAGAAGATGTGTATCCCAACCAAGAAAGGCAGACCGACGATCATGATACGTCAACCTGACGTCCATGGAGAAACGTCGCTGAATTTGAGGCTCAACGTGTCTTCTGAATCTCGGGACCGGGCCTAAATGTTTGAACGGGCAGTTCAGCTTAATGACGGAAAAATGGCACTCAGAAAAATGCTCGATACAAAATGGTTAAGAGAAAGATGCCGTACCCGTTCGCGTATACAGTAATCCGAGTTGCATTCCGAGCATCGAACGAATTATTCATATCGGCCTGGGGAAAGTCTCTTGCAACAGCGATGATGTTAGAGGTCTTGTCCATATTAAGTATCATGCCAATAGTGATGCGTCGACAGCTTCTTGAGGTGCAACAACGCGTGTGTAGCATTTTCGACTGGCAAAGCGAAATAATGTCAGCCTTCACCAGGGAGTTGAGACGATAAGATATACCAGAAAGACCGAATCGTATGAAATTTTAATGTAATACAGGAAGTTCTAAACGTTCTTCATGCAAGCGATAGGTAACATTCGTTGCTCAGTTACTGAATTCTGTGACGGCGTCCTGCATCTCTGTTTGTCAAATCTCCCGGCATCTCGAGTATTTGAAAATCAAAAAAGTACCACCGTTATAGGGATCTACGATACGTTAGAAGTGGAATGCAAAGAAGTCGTGGAAGCAGGTCTGGAGACAATAGTTCTGAACGACTCAACGAGTTGCAAAACGCAGGAAAACGCGAACACGCCCAAGACGCGTGTTGTGTCACGCCATCACATTCACGTGATTAGTGTCACACTCTCAGGCTTGGATCCACTGAACTTCGAGCTCTTTCTTTCTGCATTCATTCTACCACCTGGTGCTAGATACGAGAGACGGTCATCAATTCTGCACGGGATATATCAGGGATATCCATCGTCCTACTCTTTTAGTGATGGGTCAGACGGATCACATCTCAAGTCTAATGGTAAGTAAATGTACTTCTTGAGGCACTTTCTCATTGACATACAGTCCGCCTAGATCCCGTGTTTTTGGAAGATAGTCTTCGGTCTCCTTATGTAGCCGTTTCTATTTGACTTTGAGTAGACGCGTCGCAGCGTGTCGTGAACACATATAAGCACGTTGCCTCAACACTCCGAAATTGGGTACAACGTCGAGCTTCTCATCTTCTTTCCTCACCTAAATTTACATAGATCTGAACCAAAGGTCGCCAAAATGCTAGTGTGTGAATTGGGCTACTTTGACCTTTTTATTCTTTGCTGATTCAGTTGCCTTGCGTCGATCAGCATGCTTATGGATACGAGTCCTCATCTATAGCTATCTCATGAGCGCGCTTCTCCACATTGTTGCATGCTCTATCCTCTGCGTCCTGCTGTCCTCTGTACTGTGCTAGCTGTGATAGGTACGTAGATTCTGAGCTTGGCGTAAGTTTGTTAGGAATTGTCGCATTACCGTCAGTTATGCCTCGCATGTTCGCTCTCAGGTCTTCTTTCCAACCTGTGCAAATGGCTTATCTTCACCTTGTCAAGCACCACGAATTCCGTATACGATACGGATATAATACGTTATGGTTGCTTTCAGCAGGAAGAGCCAGTTCGAGGACGTCCGTACTGCGCCATCTAGTCATTGTTTCTTCACTCATCTTTTCCTTGTGCCTTCATCTAGACACTCATATAGACCTCGAGCGAACCATAAGCACGGGGAGTATTTTCTCACACCCCTTTTGACGATCGGAGGCTTCGGTCGACGACTTCGACCCTTGTTTTACCCACCCAAAAATTACTCTTCTATCCCGGGACGCCCAGTCAATATTTGACCTTATACCCCGGCCCGCCGTTGTACGTGCAACCCTTCCCAATATTACTGGCTGGGTCAGCCGGGGCTGATCGACATTTATGGAGAGTCAGCTGCTCAAAATACACTCACATCTCTGCCAATGCGTTGGGGAGACAACTGGCACAAACGTACAATCCATGGCATCGTCAACATGCCCATCATCAGCAGTTATAGCTTGCTAGTTGTCAGACCATGAGTCAGAAACTCCTTTCAAAGTTGAATGTCTATCTGTTGCACCAGGCAGTTCCAACTCGCTCTTTTGCTGAACGATGGTGAGTTATACTTCCTAGTGAGCACTGGATCCCCGCTTTTTGATGAACATATAGCCTTCGAAGAACCCCGTCTACCATCATTCCTCCGGTGTGCGGTCCGCACGCAGGCTGCGGGAGGAGTTGATTTGCTTCTCAAAGTATGAAGTGGCCTCTATTTAAGAAGCTTCCTCGTTGTCCAAGAATCTTGTATTCAGCCACGATACTCTTGGCTGACCTTGGGCTCATTCTAACGACTCTCATGGCACCACTTTGTGGCCGACGACTGTACTATACGATCAACGCTGGTATGTGCTTAACTAATTGAATACACTGGATCGATTGAGTTGATGAAATTTTCGCAGTGGCTGGCCTCGCTATCTTCTTGTCAGTCCCTTGGCGATTGTTCTTGACGTCAATCCTGACGTCCAAGTTCCCTGATAGCTTCGGATATGATCAGGGCATGATGGGTGGTGTGAACGTTGCACCGGACTACGTTCGAACGATGAAGTTGGGCCACTCAACGTACGTATTTCATATGTTTCTCACAGCGCGTCCTCATCTCTGTATTCTGCGCTTAGGTACAAGGGTCCCTCTGAAGGTTATGTAGCCACTATCACCCAGCCAACCCGGCAAGGCGGTATTGTGAGCATCTATTATTTTGGGACCCTTCTCGGTTGTCTAATGGGTGGTATCGTCGGAGACAGGTAAAATTTTGCACTGTCCTTTGTGTGATTGCTGATTCACCTGTGTACAGGATCGGGCGTCTGAAGGGAATGATGCTCGCAAGTCTGAGATTTTCGTACTGAACACGATCGTTCATCTGATAAAGTTCACTTTTAGGCTAGCGGTTGGGTTCTTCTTGGAGCTGCACTGCAAGCTTCGGCTCAGAATATTGCATGGTACGTATCCCTAAGATCTGTTCTCGATGGTGCCATGATCGAATCATTTCTAGGATGTGTTGTGCTCGTGTGATTAACGGAATCGGTACTGGGTGCCTCAACGCTATCGTTCCGGTGTGGTCTGCGGAGGTTGCTACTCACACTTCTCGGGGTGCTTTCATTGCGAGCGAATTCACACTGAATATCTTTGGTGTCGTCGTGGCGTATTGGCTAGAGTTCGGAATGGGTTTTATTGGAGATGGTAACACTCAAGTCCGGTGGAGGGTGGGCAAATTGTTGTCGGGCCCAAGTTGTGTACTGACCAGCCCGTTATGATAGTTCCCTATCGCCTTCCAAATTATTCCGGTTCTAGGCTTCATAGCATGTTTGCCTTTCATGCCTGGTACGTCAAATAATATCATGTGGCATCTCTCCGTTTGTAATTCCTTTCTAGAGTCACCTCGTTGGTTGGCTAAGGTAGGCAGAAATGTAGAAGCCAGGGCTATTCTCGGGCGTCTTCGAAGTGAGGATGGTAACCCTGAGGCTGCTCGCGCTGTCGCCGAATACGAGGATATCGTTGCTGTCGTAGCCCTCGAAAAGGAACATGCGAAGCGCAACTCTTACATATCCATGTTCTTCGGTCGTCATGACGGAAGTCTCCACATAGCGCGTCGCGTACAACTGTCTATCTGGCTGCAAATCATCCAAGAGTACGTCAGCTCCTGACACTGACTACGATGTGTCACTGATTATGCACGCTAGATGGGTTGGTATCGCTGCCATTACGGTCTACGCACCTACTATCTTCTCTGAAGCCGGCTACGGCTCACGCAAATCTCAATGGCTAAGCGGTCTCAATGATGTATGTGACACTCCAATGGTTTTTTTTGCTTGCTTGCACCCTTACTATGACTTAGATTACCTACATGTTGAGTACTCTCATGGCCGTCGTCACAATCGACCGCTGGGGACGACGCGTTGGTCTCTATTGGGGTGCCATCGGTCAAGGCATTTCTCTCATTCTTGCTGGAGCGTTCAGTCGTCTTCTCAAAGATCATCCTGAGAAATCCGCCCAATATGGTGGTGCTGCGGCATTCTTCGTATTCTTGTACACTGCTGTGTTTGGTGCCACTTGGCTCACGATCCCTTGGGTCTATCCTACCGAGACATTTCCTCTAGAGGTACGAGCTAAAGGTAACGCATTTGGTGTCGTTGGTTGGTCCATTGGCAATGGGTACGTGACTTTGCGATCATGCGAATGTCGTACTGAACTTATCACTTTAAGGTGGCTCACTTTGTTGAATCCTGTCATGTTTTCACGAATTGGCGAGAATACACTCCACATCTTCGGCGCAATAAACTTTCTCAGCATACCTATGGTCTACGCTCTATATCCCGAAACCGCTAATCGCACATTAGAGGAGATGGTGAGTGTCTTCATAAGTATGATAGCGGCAGCATCCTGATGAAGTTCATTCAGGATTTTTTGTTTGCAAGCGACAGCCCATGGGTATGGGATGAGGAGGAGCACTTCCGGAAGCTTAAGGCTGAGAATGCCCAGCTGAATCACCTCGGTCAAAAAGACGCTGATGGACTGCCCTCTCCTGCCCCTGAACTAGAAGAGAAGAACGTTGGTGATAAGAAATGATGCGATTTGTCTTTCTCACGTTTCTAGTCTCATTCCCAGATTGGATGTGTTCGGCTTGACGACTCCTGTGCTCTTACGGATTCTCACTGTAGATTATCCGTGTATTCTGTAACGGGCCATCCAATAAACAATCCCTGCATTCACAGTGACATTCAAGGGCAAGAAGACCCGAATGAACATAACATAAAACCGCGGCCCAGAAGTGACTTGCCGAGTTGTGGACTCACGATCGAGATTCTGCTCGATCACCGCCACATCGAGAATATTAGAACCGTTCTTGTTTCGATGCTCTTCAGTCTGTTCTCAAGGAATAACGACTTCACCATTATAAGGATTACAAGAAGGCCTTGCTACGACCCATCCCTCGACGAAGATCGAACCATGTACCGGCAACCTTCAGCGAGCGATGACGACCAAGGTCAGAATAATAGTACACACAGTAGTGAGGTAGAAGCAGGAAAAGTGGGGAATAAAGATACAAGGCCAACACAAAAATCAATCGGCGAGCTTAGGCAGCACGGTGATAAGCTGATCAACGTTCAGGAACTGTACCCACGACTCCAACGATTTCGGGTCCTTCTGCCATACGAACCGGGACGTTGGCCATCCTCGGAAGAATGCACAGGCGCACTGGTATTTCTCGTCAGTCTGCTCTTCGTCTTTCTTGATGACGGTATTGCCTTGCCAAACCCGAAACTCCCAGCCTCGCAGAGGCTCTCCGTCCCCATATATTTTCTCCTCTGGGACATTGAATTCTAGGCGCGTGAAATCGAAGCCGACTGGCTGACCGATGGCATTGAGATACGATTGTTTCAATGCCAAAATTAGGCAGAGGCGACGGAGGATCACCTCGTCTTCATTGCCTAGTGAATCTATCTCCACTTGCGTCAGCTGTTGGTAGAGTCAGTACGACATTTAAAAAAAAACACTTCCACAGACGAGATGGTGCCTACCTTATGGTACTGGGATTCAGCGTAATCTGATACAGACATATTGAGGGGCTTCGTGGAAAGTCGCTGGATGCCTAAACCAACTGAGACTACTTCTCGCTGTCGGCCTTGCACCATAGCCATTCCGATAAGGGAATCGTCGTTTGCGACATGGTAGCCGATTAGAGATTTCATACGTCGAATTGGATCCATTTGTCGGTCTGCAGCCTAAAGATGAATGAGCGGATGAACGGGATATTTTTGTCGGACTATAGACCTGTTCAATCCAATGCTTTCCATTCGGCAGCATATTGTCTCGCCATTTGGCACGGGGTATCCGGCGATGTCTCATCATGAGCAGTGGCATCAAGTACATGACAGTATTGACTATGAGAACAAAGATTAATGGCCACTGGGGAACAATCCAATGTAATAGGCTCACTGACTCGATTGTTGACGATTTCCGGGTTCATATAGAATGTCAGCGTGAGGGACACATATCTGAACTGTCTGGTAGCATTTCTCGTATTCCTACACGGAAGAACAGGTTAACGAGAAGTCCAGATCGTTAGATCGATTAGCCACGCTCACCTCGGGGGTTAGTTCTCGATTGTACCATAACATCCATACAAGAATAGGACATTCCATTCTTCACGTACATGCACAAAATGCGACAAAGGACGTGAACGAGAGTCGTCGTGAGGGAAAGTGATAACCCCCAATCCCTTGAACGAATGTCTCGTATTTATACGAAATGGGTTTCCGGTGGCAAGAAAAATTTCCTTGGCGCTCAAGTCAAATGTGACCTTTGTTCTGGTGGCCACTATGGAACAAAGGTGCCAGAACAGTCGCGTTGATATACAGCAACGATCAAAGAAGTTGAAGAAAGGGCAGGAGCCAAAGATGATAAGTCCATAGCATCACGTCGAGAACAAACATGCCTTGCTGCGCCACGCCCCGATTATCTGATCTCGCCGTGCTTTGTTCAATGATCGCGGAGGTTCTATCTTTGTTGCATTGGGCGTTGTAACGACGAGTTGGTTACCAATTGTCCATTGAACGTCGGGTTGCTCATTGACTTCTTTCATTTTGCTAGCACAATTGACTCTCGAATCGAACGACCTTCGTTTGCTACCTATTCATTGTACGGACAATCATAACGTAACTGGCGCCGATCGCTATGTGTACACAAAAAGGATCGGTGGATAAGGTACAAGAGCAACGTGGAAACCGGAGTCACACGAAGAGAATACCAGACCTATTTCCTCTCTTACCTAAAGAATACATTTGGATATCATACCAATTGTAGTTTTCAAAGGCAACCGAGCGAGGTTATTGTACAGTAGACAAGCATTGGCTTGGGTGCGACTAGAATAAGCAGTCATACATATATGACAATATGTACAAGACGTGAACAGCAAGGAATCAAAATCCTGGTTGTACAGGTTGGATAGACAAGGCCCTAATACGGCGAGTGCTGATGCCTTGGGCTGAAGATCTGGCTATTGTTGACATGCCTCGAGGCAACCTGCAGGAAAGAAGCCATGGAATCAAAACCGGAAATATCGGAGTGACGTATATAGCACGCATTCGTACACGTCGCTCTCACCGTAGCATCGTAGCCCAAGCACAGTATGAGAACATGTAATGCAAGCGAATTCAAGTCGCTCGTGCCATTTACGAGAGTTCTGGAGAGAGCCGCCTTGCTTGCCTTCGCCTCATGTAAAGAGCATGGTCACGGACGTTTCCGTAGAAGAATGATAGTGTCTGAGAAGTGTATTTACTCGCCGGGGTGAAGGATGACGCGTGGTGGGCAGATCCCTCTTAGGAAGCACCAAGTTCGGCTGAGGATAATTATCATTGGGCTCATTTATGCAGTGCCGATCATTTGGACGATCTATTGTGGGACGTTTCGTATGACCACTGAGGGTTCAGCAGAATGGTTTGAATACTGATTTACTCACCGAGACGTCGCCAAAGCGACCGCACACGCGCTTTTAGATGGGTTAGGTAGCACAGCGGGATGTTGAAAGTCGGAGTTGACACTGTGATCACAATCGTAGTGCTGATTCCAGAATCAGAAGGTTCTCTCATCCGGTCAGAAGTGGTTTCCCCGACCGGCTGGAAGGCATGTATGGACGGGACAATGGTGGAAAGAAACGTCGAACGGTACATGTACAGGAAGGGCTTCCGTCAAAGTACGAGAACTCCGAAGAACATTTGTATGCTATGGCCAAGAGCAGGATTCCGTCGTAAAGGGTTGAACGTCACAAGTCGCTACTAAAATTGAAGAAAGTCGGTGAGAAAGAGTGAGAAAGCTAATTATCCGAGCGTACAATAATATTCGGAAGCCGTGCGAATGCAGTTGTTACTGTGGGAAAGGCTGCACTTGCACTCGGTGTTTACTCGTAGTCCGGGAGTATCACAGGCCTAAAGCTGAAAGGACGAGCAGATGTCTTTCGGAATTCATCTTTACGAGACACCCTAGGTAGGGTTTGCCATGTTATGCTCTATGGAATGATTACAGAATCCACTTTGGTAGGGGACCACGAAGATTAGTACTGCCTTTGGCCTTGAAAGGCAGTCCGAATCGCAGAGGTGAAGGACCGTAGTCGGGCGCGAAAGCATGGGTCCACCAGGTTGTGCACAGAATGCTGAGGACGTGAAATTGGCTCGAACACGCTCGCGCATCGAGGTGTCGGCAGTCAGAGATTTCTTATATGGTTCGTCGACATTATATCCATAGCAGACTTCCCCGATTTACATACCGAATACACTCTCCATTGCTTGCAGGAGGACGTGAACTATGGGATGAACATACTGAGATTGCGAACGTAGTATCCGAGGATCCCGTGTTTGACAAGGCTCAAAGGTCAGCGTTTACCATTCTACGTCCTTCGCTATAAAGTTTCTTAGAGAGGTTCTTGCCAGTCAGGCCGTACCTGATAAGGACTGAACGCTATGGAAATTCCTTGAAAATGATGAACAGAATACAACAATTGAGGGAAGAACATCATTGGTCTTCAAGGGAATATTCGAAAGCATGTTCGCTCTTAGATGAACCCGTTGCTGTGGATCTTCATGACATGGGTATGTACAGTTCCGCCTTACTCCAATATTTTCACACTTCATGGGATTGACTGTATATAGCATTCGCACCGGTCTTCATGGCGCAAGCGTCTCAACCACTCCTTTCGAAATATGGAGATTTGATCACGAATCATGGAATCCTAGGGTGCTTTCATTTGTTTGCGCTTTCCCGGATTGCGTTAACTTATGTGCGCAGATGTTATCTCCAGACGGAACTTGGTCATGGTTCGAATGTTGCGTCTTTAGAGACTACAGCTACTTATATCCCCGATACCCGAGAGTTTGAGATCCATTCGCCTACCTTGACAAGTCGGAAATGGTGGATAGGTGGACTTGCACGAACTGCCACGCATGGCGTGGTACAAGCTCAACTCGTGCTTCCCGGAGGAAGGATGATAGGCCCACATCTTTTCTTCATCCAACTGCGATCTCTTGGTAGGCGATTCTGATCGAATCTGATGGACGGTATTCAGGGTCGTTTCGTAGATGACCATAGTATCCTTCCTGGAATAACACTTGGCGACATTGGTGAGATCGCTGAAGCTAGCCTTCATATTTGGACGCTAATGTGGACTTAGGGCCCAAGGCAATGGATGGATATACTGCTATCGATAACGGCTTCGCCTCCTTCGATCACGTTCGCATCCCGAAGGATCATATGTTGTCGAAATTTGCACAGGTGACTGATTCGGGACAATATATTCAACCTCCTCATGCGAAGATGAGCTACGGTGGTGTGAGTTCTAGTCCTACCATAACGATATCGCGTGATTGCTAACATAGCATAGATGGTTTATATTCGAGCACAGTGAGTATTGGACTCAAATAATTCGTTATTGTCGCAAACCATCTATCACAGAATTGCAAGTCGATCCGGCTGGACCATTGCCAGAGGCAAGTCAATTGGTTGCACATGTTAAGCTTGGTTGGTTCTTATAGGATATGTGTAGCTGCTACCGTTGCCATACGATATGCCACAGTACGTCGGCAAGGCAATCGAGGCGAAGACGGCCTAGAACGCCAGATCATAACATATCCCTCTGTGTATAATCGTCTGCTGCCCATACTATCGCGCGCCTATGCCTTCATCTTACTTGGTCACAATGTGGTAAGTGTTCTTTTGTCGCAATATGACAAATGCTCGATTCCGCTTCAGGGCAAAGTTTTCTCTGTCATGTCGGAGAGGCTCGCAAGCGGGGATACATCTGTACTAGCCGAAATGCACACAATAACAAGCGGACTGAAAGCGTTATCAACCAATACAAGCACCCAGGACGTGGAGGTTGCGAGACGTGCACTTGGTGGTCATGGATTCAGCACCTTTGCAGGTTTGGGCCGTCTTTATGCCAACAACCTCCCTAGCGTCACGTAAGTCATTCCATTCAGGTATTCCCCAAACGTGCTGACAATGACACGCAGTTATGAGGGTGACAACTTCGTTCTTGATCAACAAGTTACCAGAGCAGCAGTCAAGGCTTACAAGAACTTTGTCTCGTCCAAATCACCATCAGAATCGCTTCTCTCACCTTCGTCTTTGTATCTTCGATTACTTCTGAAAGACGACACAAACGCTTTGACGGCTCTGATTTCGTGGACGAACCCGCGAGATCTAGTTGACTTACTCGAACGTCGAGCACTTTGCCTGGTCCAACATCATGTGGAACACATCAACGATGCAGATGCTAGTGCCGATCAACGTGTATCGCGGGCAGTCACTGAATCCTTTGCTGCAGCACAAGTTTTGGTATTCATCAAGGAATTACCTGCCGCGCTTGCTGCCACCGACGCAAGCATCATCACTGACTTATTGACGTTGGTATGTTCCACATTCGCTTCGATCTTCATGTTCCGATCCTGAGATCATATGTGTAGTACCTATTGACTACACTCGAATCCGCCTTAGTTGACCTTCTGTCCTTTGGGCTCCCACCGGGAGACAGTTCTCCCGGAAGATCTTCAGCGGATCCTACCTCGTCACTTAGAGCAGCAATCAAGAACCTCTGTCTAAAACTCCTTCCTGAATCGATTGGACTCACTGATGCGTTCGGCTTCTCTGATTGGGAACTCGATAGGTGAGTAAAGCATTGTTCCACTCGTCCGATGCACCCTACTTAAATGTTTGAAGCTCTCTTGGTGTGTACGACGGACGAGTGTACGAATCACTTTGGGACAAAGCACAAACTGAGCCACTCAACAAGATGGAGCTCCCTCCGGGATACGAGGTAAGCAGTAGTTTCCTCATGCAGCGACCTCATTCCCCGATTAATTGGCTTGCAGGAGCACCTAAAGGTGCTCTTACGCCGTGGCCAGAAACTAGCTGCGAAGAACAGCGCCAAGCTCTGAAATAACGTCCAAAGCCATATCTTTTTCGCGTGTTGGATAAACAACAGGGTCTCTATAGTGCTTCTATCTTGTATCATTGTAATATTATGTGGATTGGGAATCGGAAGGGAAAATATGTTCTATATTTGTCAACCACACACCGTTTGATCATGGGCCACCGGCGTTGGTCCATCTCGTAGGCTAGCGATATTGAAGGAGACGAGGAAAATCCCGGGGACCATTATAAGAGCATATTGGAATCTCCGATAAAATCTGGAAATAACGGCTACATCGTGCAGTGATGCCCTAGGCCTTATGACACTGAGTGCAACGCCACCCTGTCAGTGATGCTGAATACCATAGATGCCTTTCGTGGATGGTCCAAAGTATAGGCGCCCCGTGTCTTGTATTCCAGAATGCGAAACTTGAACGATCACCGAACAATAATGAAAGGCGACTTGTCTCAGCATCTAGTCTTCGGTATTCTTTCATCTTGTGGCATTGCATGGGCATTCGGGCAGTTGAGATATCTTTTGATACCCTGGTCACCTACGCCGGGACCCAACAGAATTAGAGCTCACTCGAATCGAAACTAACTACCCGACTCGGAGTCGACCTTTTTACTGTACTATTTTTCTGCGGCGGGCCCTCCACGTCGTGTTTTAGCATACTTGGGTAAGTACGTTCAAACGTCCGGGTTCGCCGAGACAAACATATTTGACAGCACCAGTGTATGTTAGCTCTACCATTATCTTTCACCTGGACCAAGCTTTGACGATTGTTGCTGTCTTTCAAAGTTCGTTGCTGGGTCATACCTCAGGAAATCGCATGACGGTCCATTCCGTTGCAACTACCACACATAAAACCGCACGTTTATCGCTTCACCATGGTACTCTTTCCTCGATTCTGGCGCGGACTTCCCTATCCGCCCGAGTACCTCGCTGAGGTCTACCGGGAAATAGATATGGTGGAGGATCCAAGTCTGTATAAGGCCCATGATATGCCTGTTACACTGCCCCAGGCATTATCTGCACCGACCCCCCGACAAAACCCACCAGCATCTGTCGATAAATTCTACCGTCCTTCTGGTCAGTCACGTACTCTCAAACTGCTATATACTCCTAACGTTATGTTGTAACAGAACCGATCCTGGTTCGTTCTCCTTTTGGTCTTGCAGCTAAGGGCGCAAAGGGTTACGAGGACAAGTTGGTCAAAGGCTTGATCAAGCAGCAATTTCAGGACAAGACGGACATTGACTATGACGTTATCGACTTCGTACAGCATGTGTGGAAGTTCAAGCCTGAAGACATCCCATATTCTAGCTATGAATTGGACAGGGCGAATTGTCATTCATATGCTAAGCTAGAATATGAGCGTATCGACGGAATCTCTTACCAGGAGATCACGGGAGAGCGGGCGTGCTGCAGTGCTTTCGAGAACATCATTCGCGGTGTCTGTCATGAGCTCACTCCGGCCATACCCTCCGATGAACGGGAATTTCCTCTCGTCTTCAGTTTCCTGCATGACAGAACGCCAAAGGGTGACTATGGGAAGTTCAAGCCTGACTTTGGATATGCACCGGCTGTGGAGGTGAACGAACATACGTGGGCGCATTGGGGAGCATATGGAGAATTGAAGAAGAAGCGTGTGACGCCGAATATTGGACCAACTACTCGGATCGTCGTCACCAAGACGATGATTGAAAGGGTATGGTCTATTGTTTCCATCGCCGCTACCATGCACTGACTATGGTTTAGCTTGTGAAGGAGTGGGAATTGCGACAACGACCTGACAAGAGGAAGGACACGGATTCATCGTCTTCCGCGTCCACATCAAATCATGCAACCCTGTCCCCTGCAGTCTGTATTTCCTGTTCTCACTGATGTCGCGCCCTCTAAATCATCATGGTAGGCTTCACCAACGACACAGTCGCGGAAGCGAAAGCGAAAGGCAAAGGCACCCGCTGAACCTCGTGTCTCGAAGCGAACGAAGACGTCACACGGAACCCGGAGGGTTGTAGATCTGACAGGAAACGAGATCCAGTCGGCGAAGTATGCGAACGAGCTCTTGTCCCATGGCATCCGTAACTACGCCACCGGATTCCTTGTGGAAGAGACGAGTATGTCGTTGTGGTATGTTGACCGGATGGGACTAGTAAAGTCACGATCATTCGACATATTCCGCAACCCGCAACTGTTTCTCCTCGTCATTGCTGCCCTACACTTCGCCAATCGAGCTCAACTGGGGATGAACCCACTGATTGAGTTCCCTCCCGGCGTTTTCCAAAGCTACGACAGAGCTGTGTTGAGACTGCCTCGTGCTGTGGACCATGCGAAGGAGCCAGTGGAGGAACTGACATTCGGTTTGCGCATCACGAAGGCGAAGCCTCTGGTCGTCGCGTACGGTGCTCTTGGACGTGGTACCACGATCATTCCTGTTAAGGCTCAAGGTCGGGCAAGGGAGCTGTTTGGGAGTGAGAATTTGGTTGCGAAGATGTCGTGGCAGCCTATCAATCGCGAGGATACGGAGGATCAGTTGATTAGAGTGATTCGACGGAAGTTGGGGAAACGCAAGAAGACACGTCGTTACTTGAAGCATATTGTCGACCTCAAATGTTCGCTGGACTTGACAGATGCGGAGTTGACCCTTCCTCGGGCGTCGATGATGTTACCTGAAGCATATGAGCCTCGCCTGTTCCGTGTGCTGATCTTGAGGGAGTATCTTCCTCTTGAATATGTACGGGGTCTGGATGACTTTCAACGGATTTTCATTGATGCCGTGAAAGGCGAGTGAAATATTCCCTTCGTGTTTGTTTGCTTACAACGTTCTTCCGACAGCGCACCACAAGGTCTATGAAATCGCAGGTGTCCTCCATTGCGACATCAGTGCAGGGAATGTCGTATTCTACCGCGATGACGTTGGTCATGCGATCGGCGTGCTGGCAGACTGGGACCTTGCGGCTTATAAGCTGAACTCTGACGATGTTGAGAAATGGATGCGGCTCGTGGAAGCCAAAGGTATAGAACGGGCGTCTGAAAGTTCAACCCTTCAAGAAGACAAGGATTCGGGTGCCGCCCCTCCTGACGGCGATTCGTCTCCCTTGAACAATCATGGGAAGAGAGTGCCTCGGTACAGGACAGGGACGGGACCATTTATGGCATTGGATCTTCTCAAGTCCATTCCCATCTTTCATGGATATCGCCATGACCTGGAGTCTTTCTACTATCTGCTGTGTTATTTCTGCGCAACTTTCAACCCTCCCAAGCCTTCGGAATCTAAAGGCACCTTCCGGTTTCTGGCTGGATGGGAAAACGGAAACCTTTCCGCGGTTGCGAATGCAAAGATGGCTTTCCTGTTCGACGAGAAAGACGATCCGGAAGACAAGCTGAATACGTTCGATTCGCTCTTCAAGGATACTCATGAAGTCTATCGTCCGATGGTGATCAATTGGATACAGCCTCTCTCGAGTCTGTTCATGACGGTACCCAAGGTTTGTACAGATATTGCATTCACTATCGCATTAATTAGGGCGGCGAGAAAGGCGGGCGATGTGAGGAAGGAGAGACAGCTAACGAAGAAGTTGAAGAGGCGGTGTGAAGAGGCGGATGAATACTTCACTTATGACAAATTCATGGAAGTGTTACTCTTATGAGGCCGGAGGCGTATTCTATCCAACCTTTGTATCAATATCTATTTTCACAAGGACTGTAAAATATATGATCACCTTTTTCTTTGTCGTGTTAACTACATATCAATAAGCGCCCTCAACAAGCAGAAGTTCTTTGTTCTCGACAGAGCGCTCAGCTACTCTTCCTACCTTCAAGAATTGAAACTTGTTGCACTTGACTCGAAGGTATGTACGCAGCATTCTCTATATGGCTACTGACGAGTATTCACGTTACCGGTAACTGCTCTTCACGTAGAAAACGCATCCATTGATCAGCCCCAAGTCAAGTTGCACAAGCTACAATCGCTATATATACCCGGTTGTCTTGCTTAAAATGGTGCTCTTTCCCCGTCGCTGGTTCGGTCGCTCATATCCACCCGAGTACCTCGCCCAACACGACATCAAGAATGAAATGTCAGGCGCATCTTACGCCAATGATGAAAGAGATACTGTACCAAGAAAGAAACCAAAGGCAGATTCTACACCCAACGCTTCAAACCCAACTACCATGGAGCACAGAAAGGAATGCACCTTTGCCTCTGGTAGGTACTCGACTTCTTGCGCTACCATGATATGACTGGAGTCCATTTGTGGCTATAGACGTTCCCAAAGTGCCCATTCGTTCGAGTCTCATAGAGACCGAGACGATGGAAAACAAACTAGCTAAGGCTGACTTTCAGAACATGACTGAAGTAGATTACAATATCATTGACTTTGTTCGACAAGTCTGGAAGTTCGGTCCTGAAGACCTTCCTCGTCGCGAGAAAGGATACCAGTTCGACAGAGCGAACTGCTCTCTTTACGCTGCCAAACGATACATCAAAGATGACACGTATCAAAAGCAGCGTATCACGGGAAACAAGGAGTGCTGTCGCGCGTTCGAGAACATTATCACAGGCCTTTGCAAAGATTTGGATGAAGCTCAGCGATCTGAGACGTGCGGGTTTCCTGGCGTGTTTAGGTTGCACGACCGGGCTCCGGCTAGTGACGTCGTAGACTTCAGACCAGACTTTGGGTACGTGCCTGAGACAGAGCTGACAGATCACATGTGGGCCAGCTGGGGAGCCTATGGAGAGCTAAAGAAGCGAAAAATCACACCTGACAAAGCTCCAGTGGTCACGAACGACATGCTTGACATGGTACGAATCTAGTCTGATGAGACCATCGACATATAGTGCTCACTGCCCGTCAGCTCCTCAACCGATCTGAAAATTCTCAATTACCAGGTGGCAACAAGAGTCGGAGGACACAATCTGTCCCACCGAATTTTCAGGAGGAGATTCCTCCTTCTATTGTACGCTTAAATCTATCATCGACTACATAAGCTTTTGCTAACGAGTGGTATAGACTGAAAGTCCTACTTCAAGTCGGAAGCGCAAAGCCGGCAGCGAGTATGAATCTTCACCACCCAAACGTCGCAAGATAGTACACACGGTGCCAATTTCTGACCTTCCACATGGCGTGAGTTTCACAGAAGACGATTTTCAGGCCGCGAAGTATGTCGACAAGCTTATATCGCATGGGATTCGCAACTATGCCAGTGGATTCGTTGTCGAGGAGACGAAGATGTCCCTTTGGTACACTGATCGTATGGGTCTGGTCAAGTCAAAGGGGTTTGACATATTTGACGAACCAGAGTATTTTCTTCTTGTGATCGCTGCTCTTCATTTTGCCAGCCCCCCGAAGCTTGGCTTTAATCCCCTCATTGAATACACACAGAAGTCTATTCAAAGTTACGAGAAGGGAGTCCTTAAGCTATCTCGTTCATACGATATCACAGGACGGGAATTGAAAGATCTCTCGTTCCTGTTGAACGTCTCGGCAGAGAAGCCCCTTACGGTTGCACGCGGTGCTGTAGGACGTGGAACGACGGTGTTTCCGATCCAGGCTCTCGGGGCTGCGAAGGATCTCTTCGAGGACGAGGGCTTAGTTGCCAAATTTTCCTGGCAGCCAACGAACCGAGTGAACGCTGAGGATGGCATCATTCGAGTTATTCGACAGAAGATTGGAAAGAGCAGGACGAAGAAACATCTCTTGAAGCATATTGTCGACCTCAAGTGCTCCTTAGATTTGACGGCCTCGGAGCTCGGTCTGCCGAGGGCATCAATGTATCTGTCAGAAGCCTGCGAGCTTCGCATCTTCCGCGTTCTCATCGTGAAGGAGTACCTGCCTTTAGAATGTGTACGCCGCGTGGCCGAATTTGAACGAATCTTTATCGACGTGGTGCAAGGTGCGAGTCCGACCTGCGTCCTATGTTCTGTTTTCTTACCTATCAGCGCATCTAGTGCATCGGTATGTTTTCGATACGGTCAAAATCCTCCATGGTGATATCAGCGTAAGCAATGTCATGTTCTACCGGGAACCCGGGGGGAACGTGATTGGGGTGTTATCGGACTGGGATCTTTCGACGTATAAGAATGGCCCCTTGGTTTTTGACGAAGTGGAGGGTGATTTCCCCTTGACCATTCCCCAAGATAAGGAGAGACAAGCTGCCGAAGACGAGTCTGTCGAAGAGCAGCTCCAGATGAAGAAACCAAGGAACAAGGCAGGGACAGGCCCCTTCATGGCCTTGGATCTGTTGGGCTCCACACCAATCCTGCATCGTTACCGACATGACCTAGAGTCTTTCTTCTATCTGCTTTGCTACTTCTGCGCGACTTTTGTTCCCCCGAAGCCCCACCAAACCGAGGGATCCTTCAAATTCCTCCCTGGATGGGAACATTCCAACCTGAAAAGTGTTTGCATTGCGAAGAAGGCATTTCTGAACAGCCAAGGCCGTGGGTTTCAAACTCTCTTCGCAGAAACGCACAAGTCGTATCGACCATTGCTCGGGAAATGGGTTGAGCCCCTTTGGTTGCAGTTCAATGATATTCGTGGCATTGCTGAGGAGCTTGAGAATAAGTACGGACATGCCAGGCTTGCCTGGGAGTTCAGGCATGTCGATGGCGAGGCAAAATATCTGGAGTCTCTGCGATCTCTAAAGAAGGTCGCTAACAAAGCTGACAGGATTATCACCTACAAGAAATTCATCCGAGTGTTACTGAGATAAATGGTGTTGTACGCTGATGAATGATACTCTATACTGTGTCTTACCTCCAAAGCGAATTATATTCGCTCTCACCGTGCCCTTATCCGGGTCCAGAATGTCATAAGAGGTCAATGGTGAAGGAGTGTCGGAGGCACGTATGTACCGTGTTGGAAAGCCAACAACTTCGACATCAGCGTCTTTTAGACTTTCTTCGAACTGAGAGCCACTCGAGAGCACTCCCGATCCGACAACGGACTCCGAGTTCGCAACCGCTGGAAGGATGGGGGTTCTAGTAGCGCCCTTGCACGACGTATACCATGTTCCGATTGTAATCGGCGTACTTATTGTCAATGCGTTACTTTCTATGTACGAGACAAAAGAATGACGGTATGCTTGAGGGTGTCATAACTCTTTGGATGAAGAGAGTCAAATTGGGGTCGACCAAAGGTTCTCTGGCTGCAAACCCCATTGCTCCAGCCATGTTTGACTACCACGATTGCCTTTCTTAGACAGCGCAATGCATGAGCGCCCGATGTTCCAGAATGCGAAACTTGAACGATCACCGAACAATAATGAAAGGCGACTTGTCTCAGCATCTAGTCTTGGGTACTCCTTCTTGTTGTGGTATTGCATGGGCATCCGGGCAGTCAAGATATTTTTGATACCCTGGTCACTACGCTGGGACCCTCAGGAATTAGAGCTCATTCAAATCGAAACTAACTACCCGAAACGGCCCTCTTACTGTACCATTTTCCTGCGACGAAGCCTTCACGTCGTGTTTTAGCACACTTGGGTAAGTACGTTCAAATGTCTGGGTCCACAAAGACAAATATTTCTAACAACACAGGTGTATGTTAGCTCTACCATTATCTTTCACCTGGACCAAGCTTCGACGATTGTTGCTGTCTTTCAAAGTTCGTTGCTGGGTCACACCTCAGGAAATTGCATGACGGTCCATACACACACACATAAAACCGCACGTTTATTGCTTCACCATGGTACTCTTTCCTCGATTCTGGCGCGGACTTCCCTATCCGCCTGAGTACCTCGCCGACGTATACCGGGAAATGGATATGGTGGAGGATCCAAATCTGTATAAGGCTCATGATACACCTGTCCCTCCGCCTCCAGCACTGTCTGCACCGACCCTCCGACAAAGCGCGCCAGCATCTATCGATAAGTTCTACCGTCCTTCCGGCCAGTTTCAAAATCGCGTACTCTCATACTGCTGTATATTCCTGACGTTATATGTTATAATAGAGCCATTACTTGTTCGTTCTCCTTTTGGTCTTGCAACCAAGGGCGCAAAGGGTTATGAGGACAAGTTGGTCAAGGGCTTGATCAAGACACAATTTCAGGACAAGACGGACATTGACTATGACGTTATCGACTTCGTACAGCATGTGTGGAAGTTCAAGCCTGAAGACATCCCATATTCTAGCTATGAATTGGACAGGGCGAATTGTCATTCATATGCTAAGCTAGAATACGAGCGTATCGACGGGATCTCGTACCAGGAGATCACTGGAGAACGGGCGTGCTGCAGTGCTTTCGAGAACATCATTCGCGGTGTCTGTCATGAGCTCACTCCGGCCATACCCTCCGATGAACGGGAATTTCCTCTCGTCTTCAGTTTCCTGCATGACAGAACGCCGAAAGGTGACTATGGGAAGTTCAAGCCTGACTTTGGATATGCACCGGCTGTGGAGGTGAACGAACATACATGGGCGCATTGGGGAGCATATGGAGAATTGAAGAAGAAGCGGGTCACGCCGAATATGAGACCAACTACTCGGATCGTCGTCACCAAGACGATGATTGAAAGGGTATGGTCTATTGTTTCCATCGCCGCTACCATGTACTGACTATGGTTTAGCTTGTGAAGGAGTGGGAATTGCGACAAGAACCTGACAAGAGGAAGGACACGGATTCGTCGTCTTCTGTGTCCACATCAAGTCATGCAACTCCGTCCTCTGTGGTCTGTATTTCCTGCTTTCACTTCTGTTGCGCCCTCTAAATCATCATGGTAGGCTTCACCAACCACACAGTCGCAGAAGCGAAAGGCAAAGGCACCTGCTGAACCTCGTGCATCGAAGCGAACGAAGACTTCACACGGAACGCGGAAGAGTGTTGATCTGACAGGGAACGAGATCCAGTCGGCGAAGTATGCGAACGAGCTCTTGTCCCATGGCATCCGTAACTACGCGACCGGGTTCCTTGTGGAAGAGACGAGTATGTCGCTGTGGTATGTTGACCGGATGGGACTAGTAAAGTCACGATCATTCGACATATTCCGCAACCCGCAACTGTTTCTCCTCGTCATTGCTGCCCTACACTTCGCCAATCGAGCTCAACTGGGGATGAACCCACTGATTGAGTTCCCTCCCGGCGTTTTCCAAAGCTACGACAGAGCTGTGTTGAGACTGCCTCGTGCTGTGGACCATGCGAAGGAGCCAGTGGAGGAACTGACATTCGGTTTGCGCATCACGAAGGCGAAGCCTCTGGTCGTCGCGTACGGTGCTCTTGGACGTGGTACCACGATCATTCCTGTTAAGGCTCAAGGTCGGGCGAGGGAGTTATTCGGGAGTGAGAATTTGGTTGTGAAGATGTCGTGGCAACCTATCAATCGCGAGGATACGGAGGACCAGTTGATTAGAGTGATTCGACGGAAGTTGGGCAAGCGGAAGAAGACACGTCGTTACTTGAAGCATATCGTCGATCTCAAGTGTTCGCTGGACCTGACGGATGCGGAGCTGGACCTTCCTCGCGCATCGATGATGGTACCGGAAGCATATGAGCCTCGCCTGTTCCGTGTGCTGATCCTGAGGGAGTATCTTCCTCTTGAATATGTAAGGAGCCTGGATGACTTCCGGCGTATTTTCATCGCTGCAGTGAAAGGTGAGAGTTTAATATTCCCTCCATGTTTGTTCGCTTACAACGTCTCCCCAACAGCGCACCACAAGGTCTATGAAATTGTGGGCGTCCTTCATTGTGATATCAGTGCAGGGAACGTCGTATTCTATCGCGATAATGTTGGTCATGCGATCGGCGTGCTGGCAGACTGGGACCTTGCGGCTTATAAGCTGAACCCTGACGATGTTGAGAAATGGATGCAGCTCGTGGAAGCTAAAGGTACGGAACGGCCCTCTCAATGCTCGGAATCTCAAGGAGACAAGGATTCGGATGCCACCCTTCCTGACGGCGATTCATCTCCCTTGGACAATCATGGGAAGAGAGGGCCTCGGTACAGGACAGGGACGGGTCCATTTATGGCATTTGATCTTCTGGACAGTCTTCCCGTGTTTCATGGATATCGTCATGACCTAGAGTCCTTCTTCTATCTGCTGTGTTATTTCTGCGCAACGTTCAACCCTCCAAAGCCTTCGGAGTCTAAGGGGACCTTCCGGTTTCTAGCTGGGTGGGAAAACGGAAACCTCTCGGCGGTTGCAAAGGCGAAAACGGACTTCCTGTTGAGAAAGAAAGATAACCCGGAAGACAAGCTGGACGCGTTTGATTCGCTCTTCGAGAATACCCACAAGGACTATCGTTCGGTAGTGTTCAAATGGATATACCCTCTTCGGAACCAGTTCAAGGTGGTAACCAGGGTCTCTGTAGATATCTCAGCGACCATTGGAGACATGAGGGAAGAGAAGAAGAAAGGCAACGTTAGGAAGGAGAGACAACTGGCGAAGATGCTGAAGAAGCAGTGTGCAGACGCAGATGAGTGCTTCACCTATGAGAAATTCATGGACGTGGTATTGTCATGAAGAGGCTGAAATGTATACTATCCAACCTTTTGTATCGATATCGGTTATCGCAAGTTCTATAAAATATATAGTTGCCTCTTTTTTTAAAAAAGGTAGGTGTTTGGCATTGCTGAGCAGGTCCTCTACTTAGCCTGGACTCGGCTCAGGCTCTTGACTGGGACATATGCCAGTACGCCGCGTTTTATGTATACCTGGAAGGCGGCAAGTGTTTCCTTTGCTTCTGTGTTTTTGGCATGGACGAGCTTGAAACTTTCTTGCGCAAACACCCAGGACCTTGGGCGCTTGATCACGGTTGTATCGATCATGATAGGACTCAAATCAATTTAGAAATGAGTAGGTAAAACCATTCGAAACTTGGAGTTAATCCGAAGTTCGTCTGGTGTATATATACAACTATTATCTAAATACATGCGGTAACAATGTGTTCGTATATACTTATGGTATCGGTCAGGTTCGAGCATGGATCAATGAATGTGTTTGGGCAGGTTTTAATAAATGGTTACAAATGAATAACGAGAGGGAAAGGTGTGTTCGTAGATCTGAAATGAAAGTGGTCGTAACATTACCCCCTCCTCTAGAATCGTGTCCTCACGATTAATTTATGATAGATATGGAATTGTTCAATCATACCATGATGATCCATTCTTCCGAGTTTTCTCTCTCCCGTTCTCTATACCATACAACCCAGAGTATTACTCCAACAGTGCATAGAATTATGCCGCCAAAGACGCTAAGGATGATGGTTCCGTCTTTGTCCATTTCTACCAAAGAGCTTTCATTGGTTGAGTGAATGAGTTTTCTAAGATAGGGGAATCCATACTTGGGATTGATGTTGGTTCGACGAGTTGATAGAAGGAAAGAATGGGGTATTGCCATTCGAGTTTGACTTTTGTAGGCGCGGATGTGATTGCCACGTGTGTCAGTTTGAGCGTCTGCTCATTGATGATCCATAACTCGCCGGCATTCGGGTAATGCTGATTAGATATGATTTGTGCTTTCCTTCGATTTTCAAATAATTTAATCAAATCTGGATCCACAGATATCATTGCTTTTTCTTTTTTACGATGTTCTGCCCATCGCTGTACTTTCTGATCCCAATAATCCCATTCTTCTTGTGTCGCTTCTCTAGGAAATGACTGTTCCATAATTTGTGCCTTTAACAATATTCTCGTGGGTGCTTTTGGCGCATCGGGATGATCTTTATGGAATTTGTCAATTATCTTTTTGTCTATGTTTTTAATAATTTTATGACATGGTTCCCATGTATTTTCAGAACGTGGTTTTCCAGCCCACTTGATTAGATATTGAAGGCCTCCACGTGCCATCTTGGAGTCTAGTACGGATTCAGCTTTGTCTTCTAAAATATCGATAATTATTGGAATGTTTTTTTGTGTTCTCTGATTAGGGAATTCTGGTGCGTGATATGGCAATAATAAGGTTTCATTGAATACAGGATGTACGCCTTTCCATGATTTTGGTAATTTGAGCTTGTATGCGCTAGCTCCAATTTTCTTGATAATCGGAAATGGTCCATATCTTTTATCATCCAATTTTCGATTTGATCTATCCGTGCATATATGCGTAGCTTCAAGCCACACTAAATCTCCATCTTTATAATTTATGGCTTCGCCTTTATGTTTGTCGTATTGTCTTTTCATAACATCCTGTGCTAACGTTAACGATGCTGATGCTTCTTCTTGGATTTTCTTCATTCGTGCTACAAACTGCTCTGCAGTTTCATTACGAATTTCCTTTTTGGTTTCTACACCAGTGTAGGCTTCTCGTCCGTGATTCATATAGAATGGTGAAAATCCAGTCGCAGAGTGGACTCTATTTCGATATGCAAATGTTGCCAGTGGCAACCATTCTGGTCAGTCAGTTTGTCGATGATTGATGAATATTCGTAAATAGTTTTCAATTTCCTGATTGATTCGTTCAGTTTGTCCATCTGTCTGCAGATGATATGCCGTGCTAGGATTTCCCTGAATTCCTAGTTTTTTATATAAGTCTTTTATGAAGCTGGATACAAATTGTGGTCCACGGTCTGATGTCATCTTTTTTGGTAATCCATGCAACGGATATACATTTTTGATATAGAGATTAGCCCATCCTTCTGACGTCAATTGCTCTGTGGTTGGTATTTCAATGTAGTCTTTTGATTTCATATCCACAACTACTATAATCGCATCATGCCCTTGCGATTCTGGTAAATGTGTAATCATGTCTACAGATTGATATTCCCAGTTGTGTTCTGGAATTGCATTTGGGTGCAATGGAGCATTCTTCGGTTGATGGTTAATCTTAGTTTTTTGACAAGTCTCGCAGCCTTTTACATATGTTTTTACATCTTTTTTGATCGAAGGCCACCAGTACGATCGATAAATTAGTTCTTGTGTTTTTGCTTGTCCAGGGTGACTGGCACTAATTGAGTCATGATGCGAATGAATAATTTCTCCTCTGAGTTCCTTGTCAAAAGGGATAACAATCTTCCCCCTTCTCCAGATAAGACCGTCCTCGGTCTCATTGAAGTCAGCATCTTTTGTCAATAGTTTTAATCGTACATTGTTTTCATATTTATCAGTGTTTTTTATAATTTTCTCCCATAAAGCTGATGACCCGAGGATTTCATTGGCTCGGAACCATTCTGGTTTTAACAATGTAATGTTTTCATTATGACTATCGCCAATATCATGGTGGGTCTGTCGCGATAAAGGGTCTCCCTTCGTCATTGTGTTTCCGGGTTTGTGAGTCAAATTGAAATCATATTGTTGTAATTCTTGGATCCATCGCGCTTGGCGATGATTCAACTTCTGGGGTTTTTTGAAATAACCAAGGTTCTTGTGATCGGAATGAATTTCGAATTTCTGGGCAGCTCCCATCAGGAAATGACGCCATTCTTCTAATGAGATCATGATGGCTAGCATCTCTCGATCGTAGATCTCATAGTTTCTTTCAGCCGGTGAAAGGCTTTTTGATAGAAAAGCAATGGTTCGCCAATGTCCATCTTGCTTCTGTGCAAGTTCTGCTCCAATAGCATATTTGGATGCATCGCATTCAACTTTGAACTGATCTTCATTGTTTGGAATACCTAATACTGGTGCCGTGGTAATGGTTTTCTTTAGAAGTTCGAAAGCTTCCTGCTGTTCTGGACCCCAGGTCCATTCTACTTGTCCGGTTAATTTATTCAAGGGAGTGGCGATTTTGGAAAAGTCTTTGATGAATTGTCGATAGAAATTAACGAATCCAAGGAATGACTGTAATTCCTTTTTGGCTTTTGGTGCTGGCCATTGTGTAACTCCATTGACTTTGGCAGGATCCATCTTTACAGTTCCTTGCGAAATAATATGTCCGAGATATTCTGTTTCTTGAGTTTCAAACTCGCATTTTTCTGGTTTGCAGGTTAATTTATTTTCTCGTAATATTATAAGGACTTCTTTCACAATACGGCGATGTTCTTCCAGGGATTCGGAAAATATGAGTATATCGTCAAGATATATGATTACTTTTCCTTTAAGGATGAGATTACGGAAAATGTCATTCATCATCATCTGGAATGTAGCAGGACTATTCGTCAATCCAAAGAACATGACGGTTGGTTCGTATAGTCCTCTATTCGTGATGAATGCAGCTTTCTCTTCGTCTCCTTCTTTCATACGAATATTGTTGTATCCCCAGCGAATGTCTAGTTTCGTAAAATATTTGGCACCCTTGAGCTTGTCAATAAGCTCCGATATCAATGGTAAAGGATATTTATTTTTCTTGGTCATATCGTTGAGTTTTCGGTAATCCTGTACCGGTCTCAATTTGCCATCTTTCTTTTTGACAAAAAAGAAAGGTGCTCCCCAGGGAGACTTTGATGGTCAGATTCTTCCCGTCTTTAGGTTTTCTTCGAGGAAACCATCTAGGATTTTTTGTTCTTCAACAGTCATGGAATACACCTTGCCTGCATATGGCGATGAGTCTGGTAGCAATTCTATTGCATGGTCCCATGGTTTTCTTTCCGGAAGGACGTCAAAAGTATCTTCAGTGAATACATCCGTGAATTCACGATACTGTTCTGGAACCATTTCTTCGAAGGTTTTTTTCTTTTTTTGTTTACTTTGTTCGATTGCTATGTCCATGGCTGTTACGCGCATTCGCTGAATATATTCTCCCCGTTCTTTATACCAAGCATTGGTATTGAGTAAATATACGGTATCTCCTTCTTCGATCTCTTGTTGTCTTATGGTGATGCACGTGTGTGGACATCGGTTAAAGTCAACAAGTTGCAATTTGAAGTCTATTGATGGATTATGGTATTCAATCCATTCATATCCGAGGAATATGTCTGACTTCCCCAGATCGGTAACTAGAAGCATGATCTTCTCTTGGTGATCGCCGATTCGAAGTGTGAGTCGGACATATTCTGTGATCGGTCCCTGAGAATTCTCGCTGTTATCGGTGTTATAGACTTGGATTGGTTGATCAAATCTAGAGGTTTCAATTCCATGCCTTTTGACAAAATTATAATTTATGCATGATCCGGTACTACCGGTGTCGACTAATGCTACTGTATCATGGATTCTTTCTGTTTCCGGGATGATCACAGTGACCGGTAGGTCCATTTGTTTCCCTCTTCCAAGTCCTTTGACAACTCGAAGTAGTGGTGGTCCAATGTCTGTGATGCTTTTGTCCGACGCACTCGGTTTATTTTCAAATTTTTTTGTATTTTGTTTAGAGAAATCAAGCACAGGTTCCGCCCTGCCGCGCTTCTTGGTAGAAGACGCCTCTGCGTTAGGTAAAATATTTACAAAAGGGGACTGTCTGATTGATGTATTACAGGCATGTATCGAAGATGTTTTCATAGAACCCTCCAGGGGTTTGTCCGAGTCATTGTTCATATCCGGCAAGTTACTTTGTGCGTTTAAGCCTTGCCCGAGCCAAAATTCAACTTCTTCGCCTTCTCCGGGTTCTTCTCCATCCATCGCCAAACCATGGCGATCATCTTGTCATCATCGTCATCATCTGAGTCGGGAATTTCCTCGATCTTTGACTCTGTCTTGGTTTCATTCTTTCGAACACATTGAGTGTTCGTGGAAGTTCCCGATCGATTGGGAACATGCCATGCACTTCCGCAAGTGCCCTTCTCTGATTGCTTAGCCTTACACTTAAGGCAATTCCTGTCCAAGTCCATGGGTTGTCCACGCCCTGTGAACGTCGTCCCGGTTCCATCTTTCTTTTCTCCGTAGTCCTTCTTCGGACTCTGATTCTGGTTTTGACCCGATCCTTGGGTCTGCTGTTGATAACTAGGGTATTTCTGCCCATAGTTCTGGTTCGATCGGAAAGGTCGATATCCAATCTTCTTCAAACACTTCTCTTCTTCCCGCTGTCTTCGCGAGGAATCAATGTCAATGATTGCTTCCTTCCACTGTGCATAAGTGGTTGGTCGCGTATCTCTGTCAAGAGCCCTATCTACTATGGACTCATTGCAGTTTAGTTGGACAAGGTCGATAGTGTGTTTATCGTCCTTCTTTCTGCCTGCTTGCGTGATATACATTTCCAATTTCTGGAAATATTCTTGCGCCGTCCCATTGCCTTGGGTCAAGTTATCCATTTGGATAACTGCTTGTTCGACTCGATTTGTATCGAGGAATTGGTCATCAAGATCAAGAATCAATTAATAGAAATTGACTTTCCAGTGATCGGTACTGATGTCAAATTCATTTTCAAAATAATTGTTGACCCAGTCGTCAACCTTTGGACCCTTCATGTATGAAAGAGTCATGTCAATCTTCTGTTCATCAGTAAGACCGGTGTTCTTCGGTGTTCGAAACCATAAGTACAGTTGTCTTTTGAAAGACGGGTATTTGTCTTTGGTTCCATCGAAGTCTGAGGGTTTCCCTCCAGATGCCTTTGTATTGGGCTGTGGTGGGGCTGCTGGTGGATTGTTCGGTGGAGGTGGCAGTGGATTTCTGGGTGGATTTGGGTTTCCTCCCGGAGGTGGTGGTGGTGGTGGATTCACTCCGAGACTGCCTGTTCCAGATCCAGTAGAACCCATTGGTGATATCGGTGAAGGTGGTGTGTGATTTGTAGGGGATGAGTGTGGTGATGGTACGAGTGGAGGTGGAGATCGACGTGTATAGTATTGATAGAGTGGTGCAGAGAATTCAAATGAAGACGTGGTGTGTGAACAATAGTGTCTTGTACCGGGCGCACGACCCTGTTCTGGTACTTAGACGAGTATAGATCCGAGGTAAAGGTACTCCTTCAAAGTGTTCCGGCCAATTGCCGATCCGGACACACGAGGTAGGTAGATACAGTAACTACATAAAATGGTTTGGCCTTTGAAGGCGCAAAAAGAGAAATTGATCTCTGCGGTAGTTGTCTTTTGACGTGCGAGAGGATCAAGAAATACCAGCGAGGTTTGAAACCTCCTGCCGTACACTCAGTCGTTTAGGTCTGAGCAGGGTAAATTCTGGTAGATTTTTTCAACGGCCCCTCTGTCAAGAAGGTTGCAGCACCGCCTACTTCCTGGTTGCTTCAAGAGCGGACTACCAGGTGAGAGTAATGGTTTATGTACAAAGGGAATACAAGGGTCGCAATCTACAGTTGTAGTCGCGTGATTACCCAGGTGGAGAAATAGAGTGCGATATGAAAAGTAACTAGGAGTGTGGAATTCGGATCCCTCCGAATGAGGTCTTGAGCGAGTAAGAGTAAAGCAGAGTGGGATGAGGAATGAGGTGGTTGCCGTCGAGTACAACGGACTTTGAGTGAGGTGAAGTGTGGGTGGAGGACGAGGCAATGCCTGTCGAGAGAGTGCGAAGGGGCAAGTTTCGAATTATGATAGAACTCAAATCAATTTAGAAATGAGTAGGTAAAACCATTCGAAACTTGGAGTTAATCCAAAGTTCATCTGGTGTATATATACAACTATTATCTAAATACATGCGGTAACAATGTGTTCGTATATACTTATGGTATCGGTCAGGTTCGAGCATGGATCAATGAATGTGTTTGGGCAGATTTTAATAAATGGTTACAAATGAATAACGAGAGGGAAAGGTGTGTTCGTAGATCCGAAATGAAAGTGGTCGTAACAGATCAGAGCCCTCTCAGGCAGGTCAGACAGAGATATCCTGAGGTACGAAGGTTGCGTCTCTGTCTACACTGCCTGTGGGAGACTACCAAAATGTAAAGGTCAGACTTTGTATAAACATACATTGATCATTATTTTTAGAGTGGCTGACGTCTGAATACCTCTAGTTAACACGGAACACCTAGGTACAGGTGTTACGATGCTATACTGATGCGCTCCACTCACATTCGTTTCAGCTACAGGGTCAATTGAGCACATCACATTGAGCGTCCTGTCCAGATTGAGATCGCATACTCTCCTTTCTCGGCAGCCTCAGGCTCTCTTCTCCGAGCAGCTTCACTATAGTATAAAAATGCATCCGCGGATGGGTCCTCTAATGCGCCAGCGAGGATGCAATGAGCTCCAACAGTGCTCCAATACAGATGGCCACTATGTGACGTGGCACATGCCATTCCCTGACCAACTGGGTAACACTGCGTGAAATGTCAGATTACAGATGCTCAGCATATGGTCAGCATACGCAGATGCTGACCATATGCTCTCCAAATACTACTCATGTTCCCAAGTCCTTAGCATCTCTTCGTCATCTTCGTATGCCTTTGAGATGCTGAGTATATGCTTAACCCGAATATTGTGAATTTATATTCTTTCTCCATTTCCTCGCGATAGGTCACTTACCTGGAAGCTCAGCAAATTACCTAAGTCTTGACCTTGACACTCGACATTGCTGGCCGCCGAGTCTATACCTGGCTTCACTCACTTAGACTGTTGTTCTCATCTGGGGCTTGCCAAATTGTATCCACCCGCCGGCCCTTCCAAGTTGTTCTCGAGCATAGTGCAAAGGCTGAGTTGCATCTGAGCCTCCCGTATCTGACCTATTGCCCCAGCCTGTCGAGGGCGTATCAGCAGACTTGGACATCATCTCTGGTGAGTTTCTGTTCACTAATTAGTCCCCGCCCTGCATAGATTTTATCTACGAGCCCGCCGGGTATGCGATAATGACCACAAGGTGAGTTTCGCATCTCAGGCGTCATGTAAGTGACATTTGACTCCTCATATATATTACTTGTGGTTACTTGCACTCAGTATGTCGCCGCTTCGAATTGTGACCTCCTTCATGTGTGATGACAGGTGTGTGAGCTGTCCATAGTATGTACATGTATATAGCAGTGTTTTTGGATAGCTCATGTGACTGAAACTAGCAGGTGAGTTACATCTCCGTCACAGTATGTAGTCATCTGAGTCCTGCATCATGTAAGTATGAGGTACCATGGTAGCACTCAGCCGCCCTGGTCCACTTTGACACTTGCACACCAGGTGAGTCTACACAGTCACTGACTTTGCCACTCCCTACTCACTTCAGATTGTGGCAGGCCCCCCTTGACAACTATCCTGCCACTAGCATATATACTTCTTTCATAGTGTTCCATGCTTTTGAGCCTCCCGCGAGCCAGCCATCATCTATCGCCATTTCCTGCGGGCTTCCTTCCTTACGTCTTAACTTCTAGTGGCCCATAGTGTAGTCACCCTGCGCTCATACTGTTGCGAGTACAGTGTCTATATTCTTGCGATTAACAGGTGCATCTTTAGTCTCAGCCCAGTTGAATCGCCTATAAGGTTTATTTGTTGCAGGGGTCCTTAGGCCAAGCTTCCGAATTTTCATTGGGATCAGAAGGATATGTTGGTAGGTTTTTCTTGTCAAGTTTCGTGCCCATGAGGTGCGCGAAGATGTGATTTACACAGTCCTAACGGAGGTGAGTCTTGTGGTTGTATGCATACAAACATTCACTAACTTTCATTGGCTTGCTCTTGGCAGCTTCCTTACTTTTCGTGCTTCGATCCAACAGTTCCCTCGTCTTGGGAGAATGGACGATAGGTGTTTCTACAGCAACGCCACCTTCTCCTGATCCATTGGGCAGTCTACCATCTGGTGCGGCTCCCGCAAGACTACTCTGCCCTGTTCCCATCGTAACGGCGTTCATCTCAGCCAACTGCATTTGTGCGCCTGTACTCAAAGAAGCTTCTACCCCAAGTAACGACTCAAGATATTCGACACGATCGCTCGCAAGTTGCAGCTGCGCGCGCGTCAAGTTCATGCTCGTAAACAAGACCGTTACTTGTGATTTCAGCTTCTCCAACTCAACATCTTTCTGCAGCCTGGCAGTTTTCAACTTCTCGAGTTCCATCACGACGGCTTGCAGCTGGGCTGATTGAGGTGTGCGACCCGGAGTTGCCATGAGGGATACAGTGTGAGGGCAGACGTCGGAAGATGATGGATTGGTTTGGGTATGTGCTTTTGGGTGAAGATGGTAGTTACAATGGTCGCCGTTGTGTTCTCGTAGTTTCGATGGGGGTCTATAGACTCAATTCAATGTTTTGCGCAATGTTAAAATGCATATCACTTGAGGAATTGTGCCCAATATAGACAAACCGCATTTATCTATGATAGATTCTACGCTTACATAATCGATAAGGGTAAATTCTATTCTAGATTCCTATATGATGAAGAACCAGAACCTATAGGGCATCTAGCTATCATTTACACGTCATATAGCTAGGAATACGACCATTCCTAACGTGTGCTGAATTCGAAGGACTTTGCTGGGCATACAGACGTCATCTGGTGAGCATCTGCGGATGCTGGGCAAATGCCGAACTTCCATAATTTGACATTTCACGCAGTGTAAGGTATCATGCGATCGGGGCTCTCCTGGATTGTTCTGCTCTGCATTTTGGGACAGGTTGCTATAAATACGTTCGATCTCCAAAGATAGCGGATCGCTCATTGGCGAGTAGTATTTTTAACCATCACACTCTCAGACGCAGCAGTCCTGAATGACAGAGAGCAGTATAACAGGGGAGGCCCGCAGTTCTATCGATCCTGTTGTCATGATGATCCCTCGCATGTATTCTCGGGCCCTTATATATACACTTCTCTTACTCACTCAAGGTCCCCTTTCCTACCCTTGCTCGGCCTGCTTGTCATGGTCTTTCTGTCGCTCCTTGCTATCTCCTGGATATTCCTACTGATCCAATACGCTACTGCTTCTGTCACTGTCTATGGCTTAACGGGAGCTATTGCTCCAACTGATACCGCCTCAGCCAGCACATCGGCAGCGTCACCAGCGTACACCGGTCAAGCTGCCTTCAACACAATCGTTCTAACCGCACCCGCTCTGCCCAATCCAGCACCTGCAACTCAATTCGGTCTGCAGCTACAAAACAGTGCACAAAATGTTGTGGGTTTGTCGATCCAGCAGAGTGGCGCTTTCTATGGTTTCTCCATCGAAATGAGTGTAGTCACTCAAGTCAGTCAGTATCCTCCTTCTCTTTCGGCCTGCGCCACTGCTGTGCTCACTTCTCCCATCCGTCTGTCCAGTCGGTATCAATTCGTGAGTAGCCTTTCATTCTTGGCCACGCCCGGGCGGCCTTGTTCGCTTCGAACTTCTGACCTTCCAGGCCAGGACATTCATTAACCCTCCCTTCCTTAACCTCATGTCTCTCATTACGCAACGTGCTGGACGTGTGAATATTCGCGTCGGAGGTAACACGCAGGAAACGGCCGTTCTGGTCGATAGCCTGCCTGATGGTCTTGCTATCCAGAAGGACAAAGTCGACTCTTCAAATCCCGTAAGCATTTATTGAAACAATATGTCACATTGCAGGAAAGATTCACAGCTGCATATATTTATAGACTGAGACTCCGACTTTGATATTCACGGCGGAAATTATTTACATGTTGGCGAATGTTTCTCAGCTCGTCAATACCAAATGGTATCTAGGTACACAATTTTGAATCGGAGAGATATGAAATTCGTCTCACCAACATATATCGCAGGTGTCCCTATGAATGACACTGCCAACCTCCGACTGCAAATAGCCGAAGCAGCGGAATCAATTCTGGGTAACAACCTACTCGGTCTCCAACTGGGTAACGAACCAGATTTATATTCCGGGTAGGCTCTCCACTAGTGTTACATGCCTAACGTACATGCTGATGAATTCTATTCAGACATGGTCATCGACCGCCAACGTACTCACCTTTTGACTACTTTGGCGAATTCAGCGTTGTAGTCCAGGCTATCCAGGACAACAGCAACATACCCATTCGGAATAACCTCATCGCGCCTAGTGTAGCTACAGGTCCCTGGATTCCTGAAGATGTTTGGAATACGGGGTTTATTCCAGCTTATACTAATTCCCTCGGTGCACTCGCAGTCGAACAGTAAGCCCACCCTCCTTCCATCCACAACCTTACTCACCGTATGCTAATTTTTCAGTTACCCCGATGACAACTGTGCCGCGGCCTTCCCCGACGCAGGGTTCGGTCCTCCGAAAGACCCACAAACGGTGTTCCAAAACTATCTCACCCACACTTCCGGTATCAACATCGTCCAGCCATACCTCAACTCATCTCTCATAGCTCAACAAAGCGGGAAACCATTCCTCATGTTTGAGACGAACTCGGCTAGTTGTGGTGGATTCCCGGGAGTTAGTGACAGTTTTGGAGCAGCACTGTGGGCGTTGGATTACGGATTGCAAATGGCGTATAGTAACTTCTCTGGCGCGTTGCTGCATGTGGGTGGAGCGGATGACACCTATAATGTATGTCTACATTTGTTTCCCGAGTTCATTGGTCATTAATATGGCTGATTATATAGCCCTTCACTCGTAAGTCATGAAGTTCCTCTGTTTTACTGGCATCGACTCACATATACTTCGTTGCAGCTCCACCAACCAACGAAACAGGCTTCCACCAATGGACCATCGGCCCAACCTTCTACTCCGTCCTCGCCATGTCTGAAACCCTCGGAAACACTAACACGTCTCAACTCGTTGATCTCCAGGCAAACGGGAACAACGAGTTCACACCTGCCTACGCCGTCTACGAGGGAGGTTCGTTGGCTAGGTTGGCACTGTTCAATTTTATAACTGACCCGAGTGGGGCGAACGATTATACTGTGAGTATATCCATCGGGGGCGGGGACACTGGACAGCCGAATGGAACACCAGCACAGGTATCTGTCAAGTAAGTAGATGACCTCCTAGAATTTGTTTGCGACGAACATAATATTGATCTCCAACTAGGTACCTTCTTGCGCCCTCTGTCGCGGAGAAAGAGAACATTACCTGGGCGGGTCAAACGTTGGGTGCAATGTTCAAAGCAGACGGTCGTCTTCAAGGCTCCGAACAAGTGCAAACCGTGACATGCGACCAAAATGCGAATACTTGTGATGTCAAAGTCCCTGCGCCAGGATTCGCACTCGTCTTCCTCACGGACAATGCCTTGCAAGAATCCAACCCGCAGAGCACGATGACGTTTTCGACGAGCAGCGTTACAAGGACCGTAAGTTCAAGTTTCCATCTTCCACCATTTTCTGATATTTCGATGTTGACGTATATTTCATTCCGTTTTGTAGATCAACACAGCGACAGTAGACCCAGCTGTGCTCGCCACTTCGAACGGGCAGAACGGACAAGTCCGAGCAGGGCTTGGGAGTACGAGTAAAGGTAGTGTGAACGCAGCTCGAGCTGCTATCATCGTTCCCAGTATCGCTACTCTGCTTGCGTTGCTGGCTGGCCTCAGTATACTGGGTGTACTGTCAAGGACAACATCTTAAGCGTATTAGTATAGGACCGGGACCTTGGGTAGACTGGTATAGGACAATTGTAGGTATATTATGTGGACATTTTGCTCCATCTTCACAGACAATCTATTGTATCGCATCTTACATTCTACTCAATCTTGTTTGCAAGCTCATGCTAAAAGCTCGTTTGCTTGAGCTTCCGTCGTTCCATGCTGACGTACAGACACGCCCCAAGCTGACCCACAAATAGAGAAACAGGGATGTAGAGTAGGATGCGAAAAGGAAAGTCAGGGATGGTAATTACAAGCTAAGTCGCCCTAACAGCGTCCAGGAGAGATTTGGTATCTAATTGTAAAGTACGGAACAGAGAGCGACGTGCAGCAGGACTACAAATGTTCGTCCAAGATGACGACGAAAATCCAATGAATGTCCATGATGGTCCATCCGCGACACCCACAAGGTGCCAAAGTAAGAGTCTGGCATATTACCGGGTGAAGGCTCTGAAAAGAACAAGCACACCAGCGAGCAATGAAAACAAGGCTGTCAAGCTGGGGATGACGTGCGAAGCTGGAGCAGCGCCTGTACTACCCTTACTCGTGCTTCCGAGTGCTCTGTCCTTTCCACTATGGCCGTTGGACGTTGCCAGAACTTGGGCGTCGATCGTCGCAGTATTGAGCTATAGGGCGTAAAGTCAGCGAGAGCACAAAGCGGGAGACGAGAAGAAGCGTACCGTGCGGGTGACAGCGGTGGTAGCGAAGGTCGCGGTGCTTGAAGGCTCTGATTCTTGAAGAGCTTGATCGCTGAAAAATACCAAAGCGACGCCGGGTGCGGGAACCTTGATGGCGCAAGTATTCTGGCCCTGGTCACAGTTGATGGTCTCGATGGTCTCGTTACCCTTCAAACGTCCATCGGATTCGAACTGGCCACCGAATGTCTGTAGAAGTACAGGTTATGAGAAAAAGAGCTTGTAAAGGGAGATATATGGACGCGAAGATACGAACCTGACCAGCCCAGGTGATGTTGAAGTGCTCTGCGACAGTAGGAGCGCTAAGGTACCTGCAGACATGTATTCAGCCGACAAATCTACTAGTAGGCATTAAGTCCCGATACTCACTTGACCTTGACCTGAGCAGGGACAGCATTGGGTGTACCAGTGTCACCACCGCCGACGGAGATGGTAGCAGTATAATCGTTGGCACCAGAAGCGTCAGTCATGTAGTTGATTAACAACACTCGGGCGAGCTGATCGTTCTCATATATAGCGTAGCCGGGGGTGAAAACATTGCCATCGTTGGTGAACAAGTCGATGACCCTGGAGTTGTTCGTGCTGCCCAAAGCCTCGGAAACGACAAGAATCGAGTACATGAGTGGCCCGATCGTCCATTCGTGGAACGCAGAAAGTCCAGTGGGCGGAGCTAAACAACGCTGTTAGCTAACAGAACCGAAATAGAACGAGAATACGTACGAGTAGCAGGCTATTAAAAAGTACGTTAATTTCTACACGACGTCCAAGATCTAGGAAGCCACTTACGTTATAGAACACATCCTGACCACCACAGTGCAGAAGCGCATGCGAGAAGTTGCTATATGCCAACTGGAGACCGTAGTCCACACCCCAAAGCGCAGAACCAAAGGAGTTACTGCTTCCAGGGAAACCACCACAAGAGGCGGTGTTTGTCTCAAACATGAGCATTTGCTTCTGACTCTGCTGCGCAACAGCTGACGCGCCCAAAAACTTCTCAATCATGTGTTTGCCGGAATACAGTCCATCGTGAGTCAAAAAGTTGATGAACTCGTCTTGAGGGTTGTGAGGAGATCCGTTACCTCCGTAGATGGCGAAACAATTGTCGGTGGGGTAACTGGAGCGTATGCATTAGTGCCTAGGGAATATGGAAGAGCAATCAAGTGCGTACTTTTCGACGCTGATAGCGGCGAGGTTGTTCTGATATTGAGTGATGAAGCCTGCGTCGAACACCATCTCCGGAGTCCATGTAGCAGTCGACACACTGGGACCGATGATGTTGTTTGTGTTAGGAATGTTCCCGTTTGCCTGCATGGCTTTAATCACATCGCCGACTTCGCCGACGTAGTCCGCTGGTCCATAGTTCTCCGGACGATGTTGATGCCTAGATGTTTATTTAGAAGAGCAAAGCAAGACCCTAACAAAGGACACACCTCGCGTAAAGATCAGGTTCATTTCCAACTTGAAGACCGAGCAAGTTGTCGCCTAGGAACTGTTCGCCGTACTGTGCGACTTCCAAGTGAAGATCACTCGTATCGTTGAGGGGTATACCCAGATACCATTTGACGTTCATAAGGGACGAAATGTTGGCTAGGAGATAGAACATCTCCATCGTGTATATCAAGACGGGCGTGGCGGTCGGGTTGTTCGGGTCGATAGACTGTTTCTCAATCATTCTGCCATCTGCAGTCTGATCAACCAGACGAGCCGTTTCCTGGGTGTTACCTCCGACACGGATGTGGAAGCGACCTGCTCTTTGAACGATATTGGAGACGAGGTTGAGAAAGGGGACTTGAATGAATGATCTGAGTATCGGTCAGTGACTGCTACGCTACAGCACACAGTGAGTGTGATCCTTACGAGTTGACACCCACTGCGAAATAAACTCATTCAGTATTCATACACAATATATATTGAGCTCTACACAACGCGATACGCACAAAACTGGTTGATGACGGAGGTTTCGATAGAGAACCCAAAAAGTGCGCCGCTGACAGGAATCGAAAGCCCAGTCACAGCAGCAGCGGAGCTCTGAAGCTGGATGCCGAACTGTGTAGCAGGAAGAGGATCTGGAAGACCAGGGGCATTCAAAGTTGCTGGGTTGTACGCCTGGTAACCAGTGTAGGCCGCTCCATCCGCTGATGATGTTTGTGTTTGACCAAGAGGTTGTTGATTGTAGACTGTGATAGCTCGCACAGCGGCCAGAGAGGACAGGAAATATAAAAAGAGAGACTGGAAGGCCATTCTACCTGTCGTCGTCGGCGTGCTGGACGATGAGCAGGAGGTTGTGCGCACTGTTGCCGTTAAGCGTCTTCGTTACAGCGCATGTCTCAGACAGGAAATGTTTTCTCACGTCCGCAATACCTTCTTGTTTCAGAACAAAGTGCTCTTTCGCCGCTGGCGCCAGCAGACTATAGAAATTTGTGCAAACCAAGAGTAATCTCCTACTTGACGGCATTAAAATGCCACAGTCGAGCTCGAAGACGTACTTGTGAATTTCCCTAGCTCATTCACCAAGGAGTTGACGGTTCGAGGACGCCCTAGGTTAGCACGCTATCATAGACAGGGGTACGTACCAGAGCTTCAGCATGACCTACTGTGGTTCATCCGAGCTGTGAATCGCATTAGGTAAAGAATACTATTCTGCATGGGTCCGTCTGATACAAAGACTTTCAGAATGACTATGAAAGGCATACACTGGACACACCGGCTAGGATGAACAGGCAGAGGGCTGCCAGGTGTGGTGCAGATACCATCTGTGCAGCTCCTGTACTTCCCTTACTCGTACTACCTTGCTTCTGGCGGTCCTTTCCGTTCTGACCGTTCGATGTCGCGAGCACCGCTTGGTCAACAGTCGCTGTATTGATCTGACGAGTCATTCCATCATCGATGAGCATACTCTGAATCAACGAGAGGAACAATAACACGCACCGTCCTCGTCACAGAGGTGGTTTCGAATGTCGCCGTTGACTGAGGGGCAGCCTGCTGGAACGCATCATCGCTCATGAAGACAAGAGCGAACCCGGGGGCAGGAACTTTGACGGTGCAGGTATTTGACCCCTGGTCACAATCAACCGTCTGGACTTGTTCTTCGCCCTGGAAACGTCCGTCGGACTGAAGCCATCTGCCAAGAGTCTGGCCAGCCCAAGTAACATTTTGTTTGTCCGAAACGGAAGGAGCCAAGAGGTATCTACGTATGACAAGTTCTTGGTAAGTCCTCAAGCATTTATGCCAAGATAACTCAAGACTCATTTGGCGTACTTGACTTTCACTGATGCTGGGGTACCATTCGGCTGGCCTGTCTCACCGCCACCGATGGCAATCGCCACGGTGGAGTCAGAAGCACCGGTCGAGTCGCTCACGTAGTTGAACAATGCAAGGCGAGCGATCTTGTCATTCTCGTAGATGGCATATGCAGGCGTATGGATATCACCAGTGTTTGCTTGTAGATCGATCACTTTCGAAGCGTTAGTCCTGCCAAGAGTCTCCGCCACAGCCAAGACGGAATAAAATATCGGGTTGACACTCCATTGGCTGAAACCCGACGCGTTGGTCTGTGGGGCTGTATGATTGATCGGTAAGTCGAAAATGGAAGTCAGCGATGGATGGTTAGACTTACGGTTGAAAGGCTGGAATGCGACGAATGTATCCAAAGTAAGCACAATCATGCCAATGCGGCAAAAGACTGTTGAAACGCACGTTATATACATCGCTCACACCTCCGACATGCAGCAACGAGCCAGAGAAGTTACTATACGCCATTTGCAATCCAAAGTCGATTGCCCACAATGCAGCGCCATACGAATCACTGAGGCCCAGGAAGCCTCCACAAGAAGCTGTGTTCGTCTCAAACATGAGGAAAGGCTTCCCCATTGCCTGCGCAATATTACTGGAGTTGAGATATTGCGCGAGAGTATCTGTAATCCGCTCTTTGTGGTTGAGGTAATGAGGAAACTCCCTCTGCGGGTCGATGATCTGGTCGGCAGTCTCTGGACTTGGGAAGGCAGCTGCACAATTCTGGTTCGGGTATCTAAAACAATCTCGTCGGCTCTTTTTCCGCAGTCAGGGTGTAAAATAACATACTTTTCAACAGAAATAGCACTAAGGGAATTACCGTACGATTGGAGGAACCCGGTATCCCATACGGATTCAGTCGTCCAGAAGGTATCCGAAATACTAGGCCCGATGATGTTGTTGCGAATGTGGATCTTATCGTCGTTTGCAACGGCCTGGATCATCACTCCAAATTCGCCGAAGTAGTCGAACTGCGCCCATCCCTGAGGACGATGTCCATGTCTATCCAAAATGTCAGTCCGTCAGTCTCGTTTCGCTCCATTAAACGCGGAGGAAAGAATAGTACTGACGCTGCATATAGATTCGGTTCATTTCCGAGTTGGAAACCAAGAAGGAAGTCGCCGAGGATAGCCTCTGCAGCTTCACCAATCTGAAGACGAGGGTTGTTCGTATCGTTCATCGGAATACCTGCAAGTGCATTAAGTTGTTGATACGTTACCAACGAGGTGCGGAGCATGATTTTCTTACCCAGGTACCATCTTGCATTGAGCAAGCTAGAAACATTTCGGAGCATGTACAAAATCTCCGGTGTAATGTAGAGCGTAGGTGTCAATGTCTAAACCCTCATGTCAATCAAGAGCATTCGCCGCTACAAGTTTCGATACACACTGGGTTGGACGAGGCTTCCTTGTCCTTTTCCATGATCTTGCCACTTGAAAGGCTGTCCACCAGGACAGCAGTTTCTTGGGTGTTACCTCCAACTCGAATGTTCACATGGCCGGCACGCTCGACGATCAGTGACATCAGATTTAGGAATGGGGGATTCAAGAACGACCTTGAACGACTCGAGTCTGAGATGTCTATTTATACTTATGTTTCACTGACTTACGAATTAATTCCAACTATTAACATGTTTATTATTCCAACGCAGTGAGAGAAGCTGTAAAAGTCACTTACTAACTTGAGTAGCAACGGACATTTCTATGGAGAAACCATAGAAGGCCCCTGATTGAGGAATGGAAAGTCCATTAACATCTTGCGCATTCTGAAGCAACTGTAGTGTAAACTGAGTAGGAGGTGCAGGATCAGGGATTGCAGGGACATCTAGAGTAGTCTCATTGAACGCAGGTGGAACGTAAACAGCAACGACTGGTGAAGGAGTGCTGTTCGGGCCACTCAAAGCAGTTTGCGGGACAACGCCAGTAACGCCATAGACAGTTACTGCTCGAGCTATCGAGAGCCCCCCAGCGAAAGTAAGGAGCGGCAGGAGTTTCATGGGGACAAGCACACAGAGAGAGAGAAAGACGAAAGGAAGGCGTTGCTCCCCGTCGAGACGCATCAGTATATATGAAGGCGTGGGCGACTAGATCAGAACAACAGAGCCTGGGTTTGTAAATTGTGTGACCGAAGATTGGAAGTCTCCGTTACTCAGGAACATATTGATTGGTCGAAAGACCTGGACCTAGTTACAATGCAACGTCCAATGTAAATTCTCGAGAAGCCCTTCTAGACATAATAGTTTGTACACCTATGGAGAGAATCCTTTCATAACGCCTGCATTGAAAGCAGTCAATGCAATACTCCAATTCTCCAATGATATATACACCTACCTGTTGTGACCGTTTCTAGCTTGTTTCTAGCATTTATGTCGCGGCTAGTGCGGCATGTTAAGGCCGAATTCTATCTAGAATTCATCACTCCAGTTGCTATGATTCATCAGTGATAACGGAGGAGATAAACCCATTCGAGGCGCGGGGATTGCCCAATGGCTAGGGCCGAGAAAGATTCACCGATTGTTGTTTTCGGTCATCCTTTCCGCGGGTGATAAAACGCATGTACTCTACGTCTTGAAGATTCCCTCGGTGTCCAACGGCATGTCATTCAAGAGAGCGACTTACCAGTATGGCAAAGAGCGAAGATCAGATTCAAATTGAGTGCAGGAAAAGGCCTGTGAGCCATGCCGGCCGAGTGTTCCGTTTGCTGCGGATCACAGAGAAACTATACATGATTACAATCGAGCCTTTGCTGGCACAAGAAAGACTACCTTCAAAGGACAGAAAACATGAAAAGAGACGATAAAACGAACGAAATGCTGTCGTTCTTGGCAAGGTGGATGAAAGCGTTGAGTAGACCACCTCGATCGTTGACCCGCAACGGATCAATCACGATCGGGCGGGGATACGGTCTTGGGCACCCTTGGTGTAGCTTGGCACTCGACGCCCTCCACGCCCGCGCTGAACGTTGAAGCTCGAAGTCTGGGTTCAATTCGCTTGGGATATTGGTATGTATTTCCTCTATCAGTCATTGCTATGAAGCCATGTGTCACAGTTGTACTCCACTGAGAACGAGGGAGGCTCACCAGATCATCATTTTGTTTAGCCAACACTGTCACTCGCTCTTTGGCTATCGTAGAGGCTTCGAAGTTTACAACCCGAAGTGGCGGGTAAGTACAAGGTTCTGCTAGGGTTATGACAGAGTAAAACCTAATCATGAATAGATTCAGGTATAGCCATCCACTAGCCATGTCTGGTGTTCCTCTGACCGCAGTCATTCTGGAGTCCATTCCGGTATTCCTTGTCAGGTATGATACTGCAATGCCTGTACCTTTCAAGGGTGACAGCTTAAGTTTGGCTTTCAGAGCTGGTTTGTTCTACACGTCGCGCAAATACCTTCTTCGGAGTCTGTACCATGATCTGAAGGACCTTTCTACCGACACCGAGACGTACAACCCTGTTTCAACGCAAGATGATGACGACACAGTCGAATTGGATTCTTTGCCCGTTACGTCTCCTTCCACAAAGAACCATGCCGTTCACACTCGGAAACGTACATTCCATTCGCTTCTTTCACGGACACTATTCTCGCTTTCATTCTCGGAAAGCTGCACATTGTTTATTCTACTCATGTTTCAAGGCCTAGATATCCTTCATGCCCGGTAAGTCTTTTCAAAATGTGTTTCCTTTGGTCATATTGACGATTACTGTAGAACACGTCTCTTCAACTGGAACCTTTCCCTCGCCATCTTGCTGCTTTCGATTACGGCCTTGATACCTCTATCATACAGTCTTGTACTGAGCTACCGATCCTCTTCGCGTATGTACCTTTGTGCTCGTTCGAGCGGCTCCTGATCTAGTCTATCAGTCTCTCAAACCCTCCAACGTCCAACCGTGCTCCGGCTTCTTCTCACAACCCTCCCGGTTGGCCTCTTCCTTTTCGCCCTGTCCTTTGTTCCGCTACCTGAAGGTGTCTCTCCGGGCCCAACAGTAAAGGTCCTATGGCGTCTGATTGTGGTAGGCACCGTGCTGCTTGGCCTTCTTTCGGGGTTTGGTGCTGTCAACAACGCCTGGATCTTCTTCCCTCGACTATCTGGAAGCAGGAAGTAGGCCAGCTGGATTTCTTCGAGGAATAACCTGCTAATCTCTATCACCAGGAACCAACCTACGGACGAGGATGTCAGGATTGCTGAGCGCGGGCTTGAACGTATTCGTAATGACTTAGCTGAACGGAGAAAGGCGATTGAGAGACTGGAGGCGTCGCAAGTACGCACAGTTTTGAGTCAGTCCAGCGCAGAAGATGCTTATGATATGTTTTTACAAGCCCAAGTCGGACGGCAGCTGGATCTCTCGAGTGATGCCAACATTTGGCGGAAGCAGCGGTGCGTGCATCAGGACCACCTCTAAACGGTCGACGCTGATGCCCTCTGCTGTTAGAACTTAGCGCAGCAAGTCAAGAAATCAATGGCCTAATGGCGCTTGAATACCAAATGTCCCGTAATCTCGAAACTCTTCGCAGTCAGCAAGCACAAGTCAAGTTTTCACAAACCATCCGTGGCAAGTTGTTCAATTTCGGTGGAAGATTGTTCGCACTGTACTGCGTATACCGTATTGTTGTTGTAAGTACTATATGTTGTATCTATATACATTGTCTAACCTGATCGTACAGTCTACCGTCAACTTGATCCTGCCCATAGATACGGCCTCTCCGACACAAGGTGGGGCAGATGGGGCCTCTCGGTTGGATTTCTTAACAATGGCTTTGGCTCGTGTCGTTTCCGTCGTTCCGTGGATTCACTGGGAAACTGCGGATATTGCTGTGATAGCCAGACAGATCAGCTTAGGCATGGTCGGCGTGATCATTCTGAGTAGTATTCGGCTCGTCCTGCGTGGTGTTGCTCGGGTAAGTCGTTGAACCCGAACATGCAAGGACATGATCCACTGACTGTAAGTCTAGGTGTTACGTGTGACGAGTCGAAATCTCGGAGCGTCTCTCATGTTGCTTATGCTGGCCCAGCTCATGGTAAGTCATTCTATTCTCGTTCACCGGAGATGTCATTGATGTGTCCTTTAGGGTATCTATCTTTTGTCGACCCTCATTCAACTGCGCACCTCGTTCCCTCCACCACCTTCAAGGCCTGATACAGAACCGGACAATGGGACTATCAACCTCTTCTCGACGCTACCTGAGTATCAGGTGTTTGGCTCGCTGTTCGATGGGTCGTTCCTCCTTGCTGCTGCTGCGAGTGCAGTGATCCTGTGGTTCGATGAGCGTATCAATGGGTCAGGCGTAACGAGCGATGTTTAGTCTTGGCACGCATCTCATTTCAGACGTCAATATATGTACTCAAGAGAAGGTAATATGTGTTATTGAAGACAATTAGAAAGTTTCCCGGCGTTCAAGTGCTTGTGTCATACTCTGTCAAGCACCACTTCTGCTCCAGGCTGGTTAAAATGCGTTGGAGCATGCTACCCTTTCCGTCTCTCTCTTCCACCATCCTGACGAGTCCATGTCCAATGGGAGCCGCGTGGATCTCAACTTCGTCTCCATCTTCCTTTTCGCTCTCCACGCTTACGATGGCAAGATTTGAACAGATGCCCTTTTTAAACATCAAAACTATGTATCTGGGCAGACGTTCCGCCGTTCCCCTAAGCAAGCTAAAACGTATCTTTCATTTCTACTGTGGTTGCCGGCAATCTCGAGAAGGGTTGTGTTCGTAGTGAATATCCCACCTTGTCGACGACCAGCAACCCATTGCGTTGAAAGTGAAACCCGTCAAAGTCGCAGACACTATCTAGATGATAGTTCCGCTCTGCCGATCTCCGGGAGGCCATATGAATATTCATTCGTAATTCTAAGGTCAAAAGGAACTTGGGAGCCCAACGAAATGGTGCCTGTTCCAAATTCTCAGCTTTGGAATTCGCAATACTCAATTGTGCGAAAATGACTACCATTGGAATCTCGCGTAGTAGGAGACAGAACCGGATTATACACACAGACACAGTTTCACGCTCACACTGAGAATGTCTGTGAGGTCTAGACAGAGAGAACCCAGTCAACATGTGTTCTCTGATCAATACACATCTTTCACTAATGCATCAATACAGCACTGGCAAGTCAAAAAGAGAACCACAAGAAAAAAACAGATATAAATCTTATCTGTAGAGTTAATGTAGTTATATAGGATGAATGTATCATACATATAAACTACAGTCAATTTATTTATAATAATGGCAAATTAGAGAAATAGTATATAATAGGCATGCAGCTAATACAGAAAGCTTTGAACTGTTTTGAATAATAAGGTACAAAATACTGCCAATAGAAAATAGTAAAATCTGAATGAAAAGAAGCAAACAGCAGATACAATAGATAAAGCAAATAATGAAAACTGAAATAGAATAGAAATTGCCAAGTCACAGAGATAGTAGTAAGATAGAGAAGAGTACAAATAAAGAGCAGAGAATATATAATAGATCTAGACCATATTCTGAAGTTCAATAAGGTCAGCAGCTATATTCTCCTCAGTGAGAATAGGTTCTTCATGATTCTGAGTGCCAGAAGGCCTTTGAAAAAGATACTAAGTATTGCAGAGATAAAATAAGATAGAAAATAAACTCTCACCCAGCTTCTACATTCTCTGGCTTATTCACTTCACTAGTCGCAATCTCTGGCAATTCAATGGCAAGTGAATTGTCAGAGTAGGTGATAGACTGATGTTCTTCTGCATTTTTCTCTGCCTCTTCATCTTCTCCAGCTGCCCAGGGTGTATTAATTGTGAAGCCCATGCTGCCAAGAAGTGAGTTAGCAAAGTGAACACTAGAGCCTTGGTGGTTAGAGCTGGAGGTGTTGCTGCCTGATTGAGAGAAGGAGCGCAAGTCCAGAAGAAAGTGAGAGAGCAGAATTGAGGTTACACTATATTGATATTGAATCAGTAAGTAGCTATAAAATATATATAAAAAACATGCCTGTCATTGATTACAATAAAGGCAGATGAAACATTTGATTGCTTTCAAATATATAGAAATAAGTTCTATAAAAGAAAGATAATCATAATTACTTACATTTGATGTTGTTGCAACTGAGAGTATATCCAATATCACTAAAATAGCATTCAGTATCAAAAAGACACTAGAGTGAGAAATGTTGAGCTATATAATTTTGATTATAAATAAGAATAAAAAACAAACACAAATTGAAGTGCTCCTAAAGTATATTTACAAGTGGTTGAGATTAGGATTATGCAAGATATAATAGTAGACAACATACCATTGTATATCAGCATAGCAGTAAGTGTGGTCTGTGTCTGTATAGTCTGTACAGATTGCCCTATTCTCCAGATGTGAACAGTCTCAAGAAGGGTAAATCCAAGTACTGCCAGATCTGTTGCTACAGATATGGCTCTAGTTATAATAGGCACTTCAAAGATAGATATTAGCAGAGGTGAAGCAAGAATAATTTCAAATACAAATAGCTGAAGATCAAATAAGTAATTAGATTGTAGTCAAAAATAGAAATACTTACTATTGATATGATTCAACAGAATATATATTCCAACAGCCCATCATTGGCCCAGAAGATACAATGATCCAAGTTTGTGGCATGAAAAAGTTGTACTGCAAAGACATACAGAATAAGTATTTTGAAGATTAGAAGAAGAAAATATACTGTACTATGTTCACACTTGGAACAAATATGCTAAGAAGAAACACAACTGTAAATGAAAACCATTTCTTCTGGCTGATGGCCCAGATGCGCAGACAGTTGAAGGCTAGTTCAGGAAAGATTAGAAATCTGTTGCATATTATATTAAGTGATAGATACTTGCCTGCAACAGCAAATAAGCACACTATATCAATGATATACTGTAGAATAGTCACAGCTTCACAGCTAGTGAGCATATTTATTATTATCAATGTAACTTATTATAAGACAATTACAATACCTCTATAGAGTAGTTTAGAATTTGAATGCAATAATATATTATGCATAACTCACAGAAGCAGTTGTGAAATTCCAAAAGTTATCAAAGACTTGACTAGACATATTCAGAATAGTGCCATATCTGATGAGGACATAGAGAAGAGTGACTGCAGAGAATCTTCTATCCCAGATGCACTTCCATTCTTGAGGCCATGCTAAGATAGCATCATAGACAACCAGAGCTAGAATATGAATTATTTGCAATGTAATAGATAACAAAGTTAAGTGGAACAGACTTAGTGCTGCAAGAGTGATGTAGGCCTCAAGATAAGCCTGTGAACTAAGTTATGGCAATTAGCAATGAATGTGTTATTCATTCTAGCAAGTATAACATACAGTTGTGAAATGATTTCATCTGGGGTTAAACCTAGCTCTGACATGGCAGAGTGAAAGATGGATTGACTAAGGTTTTGAAATTGTCTACAAGAAAAAGAGGCAAGTTCAAAGGTGTTGAGTGCCCACTACCCAAGCAAAGTGCCTGTAATATATGGGCCCACTTCTGATCACATCTGCGCAAACATGATAAGTTGAGGAACTCCCACCTCAACTTAGTTTCTGAGGATCACACCAGCAGTCCATGGTCTACCCCGCCCTCTTCACAACTGATGCATAGTTCACCTCATCTTGACAGTGCGCTCACTTGAGGTGCATCAAAGCCATTACGGCGGGAATATCCATGAAGTCATCTCGCAGATCCGCCTCATAGCTACCAACACCCATCCAAATCACAAACTTACCTCAGTAACTTCACGCAGTCTTCCGACATTCATGACATTTAGCGATGCAGATAGCGGAGCCTACGAAAACGATAGGCCTTATTCGGTTGGTAGAGAAGCTTTCGTACACATGAATGTCAATCAACATGAAGTGAGAGAAGGCGGAGAGAGTACGCAGCGAGACGAGGCAAGAAAGCCATGAGATGAATCCCGTTCATCTTCCAAGGGTATGAAGTCAGGTTGCACCGCCAACGAGCCCAACGGCATGATACATACGAACGGATATGTGCAAGTTGTTGAACTTACCGAATGTTGATTTTCAAATGGTCGTAGACACGTCCTCTGAGATCTTCCATCGACGTCCTACGACAAGGCCCTTTTAGATTTGATTGTCACCGCCGACTCTGACCACCCTGTAGGCAAGGTTATCATCTATGGAGCTTCAGGCTCGGTTGAATATCCGAGAGACTGGCAGGAACATGCAAGTGAAAACGTACCGTGACAAACGCACAGCTATCCCGCCACCGAAGCCGTCAAGACTTCAACTCTAAATAGATTAGAGGTGAAAGAGTCAGTACTGACAAGTCGTCCGCATGCACAAGACTCGACGCTACCCATGCCGTGTGTTCGAAGAGCGAAAAAGATTGTCTCGGTGACAGTCGCTTGGCTGTCCATACGACCTGAGGCCTGATCGACTGCAAGCCCACACGGTAAGCCCACACGGTAGTCTTAGTTGAACGGTCTGAGTCGAGACGGTGACGGGGGAAAGTACTGTAGTTGCAGGACAACGAATATGCGGTCCAGTAATCACGAACGTCGTGAGGCCCTGAAAGCAGGTGGATATCAGTATCTTGATTGAGGTGGATGAGCACCACCGGACGTGTCTCGTCTCATTATGGCTCGACAAGCACACGGCGATATGATGTATTGACAAGTTGTGTCGAGAGGAATGAAACGAGAAGGCGGACGAGAAGACCTATTGAGGTGGTTGGATTCGTACCAAGGCCTATCCCAGTCTTGTACTGAGCTACCGCCGATCGAGGTATCACCAGTGGAACTGCGGCGGTGCCAGGTTCTAACCCAAGAAAAGAAGCCAGACAAAGGGATTCATCTTCAGTCTCATTGGTGGATCGGTTCTGTCCTGCTTGATCAAGATCTCATCTTGAGGACGAGATTAGAATCCCAACGTGCACTTTGTACTTAAGTCTTGAGCGGATGGACGTTGATCATGGACACGGTGACCCAAATCTCAAAGAGTTCCTGGAATCTCTCGTACAAGGTTTTAAGGAAGAGACGCATGGTGTAGACGGTATGGTTTCTCACTATCATACAGTCCAAGCCCGCTGAGCCTGCCAGTGAAGGAAACCATCATTGACGCTTGGTTCGTGCACGTGTTCCCGGGCCCCATATGTACCACTACAGAGGAGTGTAGCGTATTCACCTTATGGGTACTCATATACAGAGCTTAGGCTATCGTAGGGTCATCATCCAATAAGCCTACAGCTAGCGGATTATCCGAGTACACCTCCAACGCTTCCTGTTCAGCTTCCTCCTGTTCAGCCTCTTGGCCAACATTGTGTCTAGGGTCGCCTGTGGCCCAGGAGCCATGTAGCGATGCACCGATATTCCCGGCGATGACAGAAGCAAAATGTACGGTTGACACGGAAGGTTGCGTTTGCTGATCACCGTCAGCAGAGAGATACACTGAGCGTAGATCCAAGATGAAGCGCGAAACCACGATAGAAGTCAACCTGAAAACGGATCAGTCTGAGCACGAAAATGTTTAGAACGAAAGACAGCCTACGCGTCATTAATAAATATGAAGCACGACGCAGAGGGTGTTTGTCCCTAATGGTTGAGCGGAGTGATTCATGGCTATGAAGAAGCTGGTGACAAAAGTAGACTCACCACTATGGGTACGGCAATGTTCAAAACATCAAGTAACACTGTGACAGAGTTCAGAAGTAGGAGCACGCTGATGGTTCCTCGCACTCAGAAACGTATTCCACCATCGGGACCACTGTTAGCTGATACGTACATGAACTGCACAGAACCTACAGGGCGCGAATCATATAAACAAGAATTCTCTCCACATAGATTGAACACACATACCGTTATGAAGCAATACTTTGACAGTAGGGGCGCGAGCACCTGAAGTTCGGCTACGTTTGTATATGCTCGCCGTCTCGATCCAAGTAAAGCATATAACCGCCAAATCCGACGCTATAGCCGCAGCTCGCGTGATAATCGGAACTGGAATGTGACGAACCAGTTAGCCCGACAAAATACGAGTGCTCCTTAGAAGCTCACGAACGACTATGAATCCTTGTTTGTCAGCGAGGAAAAGCATTGGAATCAGTGGAATAAGTAATTGCATACTAGATATATGGCAGCACCACGTATGCGCTTGCACAGGTGAGGAGAGTAGAACTTTGAGGGTAGCGTAGAATGGCAAACGTTCGAGGGAGGGCGAAATTATACTGGGACAGGTATTAGCTTCCGTTGGGACAATATTCGCCAATATAGGCACATACCACGTTGACACATGGTACGACAGCGCTGAGCAGCAAGACGATAAGAAAAGGGGGTCCATCTTCCGCGACACGTTGCCCAGATTCGGAGACAACTGAATCCTGAGTTTGTTCATTTATCAACGGTATGGCCACTGATAAAACTCGATGAACGACAACTCACCAGCAATCGCAAAGTAGAAGAGCGGCGCAAAGACGCAGTTTAACTTCTCAAAAACTATACAGCTGCATGTTCAGTTAGCGTATTGCTTCACGTATAATCCGGCAGTCCAGTGCGCACCTGGACACCTGTGGGAATTTTGTTAATCTTTCATCGTATCCGAGGAATTCTAACATACCGAAAGGTTTGCAAACCACATGCCATCCAGAACTTCCACAACCTGTTCAAGAAGGGGGACGTAGCGCACGAGGATGTATAGGACGGTTACACCGCTCAACTTTCTATGCCATATACACTGCACCTCCGAGGGGAACGCGAGGATGGTATCGTAGGCCATTATAGCTAATACCCGCAAGTTGACAAGTCAATGTATACTGAATGTTTTGAAGCCTATATATTAACCCAGAGCGGCAATTTTGAAGCTGAGGGTGATCCTGGCATCGTACCTGTATGTTATGAGAATGAGTATTTCGTGCAGAGTAATTCAGATTCGACAAGGATACGTGCAGGACAGGTATGAGTTCGTCTGGAGTAAGCCCAAGATCTGACATCTTCGTGGTAGATTCCTTGCAGGAGAGAAAGACGAGGCGGCAAGATGATTCACAGAGTGAGTGCTCCGAGAGACTCTTTTATCTTTGAGGCACAGAAGAAGCAGAGACAGACGTGTTTCTCTTGTCTCGTAGAGTGTGTTCTGGACGATTTCCATCATGGCATGGACATATTCTTCGCATGATGACATCTATTCATAGCCAGATAGGTACATCTCCCACGAATCAAGGAGTAACTTTCGAATTGCCAAGACTGTTCGTGCAGAACCGTGTAATGGCAGTTCAGCACTTGAATGCATGCTGCAGAGAGTAAACTTGCAGTTTCTTTCCCATTCTGACCACAAGAGAAAGTTGTTTTGACCTAAGCCTACCGTCCTACATAAACAAGTTAACGTAAATTCGTTGTCCAGGGCTTACTCGTGACTCTCCACGTATATGCCAAAGAAGCAGATTGAGTTGAGACATGAGTGTCAAACTGCATCACAGCAGTCAAGATAGCAGCCGTCTAGGTTTCTCAAGATCTTCGATGTCGAGACGGTGCTCATGAATTGAGTGGAGTGCTGATGTTTGTTTGGCAGCGGTGAGAATCTCGGCAGTCAGTATCTGGCGGATTGAATGAATGGAACGGAACGTTCCAAAGGTACTGAATGTGATACGTTGGTCCAGTTTACCCGCAGAATCGCCTGAAAATGAAAGATCCTAAGAGGCACGTCCATCAACAGTGGAGATTCGTAATCAGAAGAAGCCCTTTCCCTTGAAATAGACTTGAGCATGTAAACCATCGCCGTGAGTACGAGCCAGTAGGAAAGAAAGCGGCCGAGGTCGGTGTCCAAGAACCAGCCCTATCCATAGACTGAATACTGGCTTGAAAACTAGCTGTTCTACGGAGGGCCTCATGCACTTCGATTCCCGCAGAGGAGGCATAGTGAAAAGTTACGTTCCACGATTGCTGCGAGCAATCGCGAAACGTAACTTTTCGCTGTAGAAATAAACGCATCAATGTAACTCGTACGTTAATCGCAAGTGGAAGTTGGTAGCTTTGAAGAAAAAGATATCGAACAGAGTGTCTAGATATCATAGCGTGGCTGATTTCTACAAGTAGTAATTCCCTTTGTCCAAAACATTCGGCGGTCAGCCTATAGATGTAACAAGTCCAAGCGCAACATGCACCTTTATACTGATCAATACTCTACGTTAAACACCACTTCTGCTCAGAGCTGGTCAGAATGCCTCGCAATTTAGCTTTGACCTTTGTTCTATGTCGTTCCTCCATTTTTGAGACCAAACCATAACCAATGAGTGTGGCAAGATATTCGATATTGCCATCGCCGTCTTGCCTTTTTTCCTCTATGCAAACCATTGCCACATATGCGTCAATGTCATTCTCAAAGATAAAAGCCATGTCCGAAGGCGGCCGTTCCGGCACACCCCCCAGCCAAACCAAGACATACTCTTGGACTTGGCCATTGTCCATGACTTCAAGGATGTATCTTCGGCTCAGAGCACCTTCGTGCAGATCGGTGATAAGTAGCCCACGGTGTTGAAAGTGAAACCCGTCGGGCTCGCAGATACCATCCGAACGATGAAATATTGGCCCAGTTCGTTCGCCAGTTGCCTGCCAACGGATATATTGAGGGTTCTCCAAAGTCGAAAGTAACTTCGGAGCCCAACGGAAAGGTGCTTGTTCCAGATTACGAGCTCTAAAGTTTGGAACCCCACGTTGGGCGAATATGATCGCCATAGGCAATTCTCGAAGTAGCAAATAAACTTGTATCATGCGCTCAGATGTGGATTGCACGCTGAGAACCTTTGCGAGATCGAGGCCAAGAAGTGACGCCAAACAGATAGGTTCATCTTCAGCCTTGCTTGTGGAGCGACTATGCGCAGCTTGAGATACCGCTGCAAGGGGAGCATCCCAACTGGAGCCCTGCAGGTCATGAACTGAAGGCAAACGCTTGTTCAGAGACGTTTTGACCCACATCTCGAAGAGTAGGATTGTTTTGACCTCGTCAACGGTGTCAAGCATTGGATCAGGTATCGGCAACAGACGATACGCTTTGGGTCGTTTGTAAACGAAAGTTTGATCGAGGTTTCTCCAGAGAACTGGTCCGTCCAACATCTGAACATATAATCGCCCTTCAGCTGTAGAACTCCAGCCCTCGACTGCCAGCGCGGCCTCCTGAAGAGTCCACAATCGCTTGGTCCATCCGCTACATATGACTCTGATACCCAACTCGAGAATAGGAGCTTTGCGTGAATCGAACAAGCATAATTCTCGATCAAGGGCTAAGACTGCTATAGACTGTTGGAAAGTCTGCGCCAGAAGTCGAATGGCTAGTTTCCTATACTCCTTGAGGTGGGGAGCCACTGGAATGCAGAGAGTATCGATCCAAATTCCTACGCGACGACGACGGGATGGATTGAGACGATAAGTATTGCAGAGGATGTTAACCAGATGATGCAGTCTTTGTAGTTGACATCGTGGCAATGCGTTTTCAAATGGGTTTCCAAGACCGTCGACCCCTGCGAATGAATATATGAGTACCGTAAGGTGACTGGGAACGATATGAGATTACATACTCACAGACATGGCTTATAGCGACATATGGAAGGGTCTCATCATCAACGAGAGATAATTCAAGGTCATCCGATATGATAACCTTTGGGATCCTCTTCGCATCAAGCGCAGAGCGGAGACGTTCAGGATCGATAGCAATGAATTCACAAGTACAGCCAGGATATGTATGAGCAGTCTTGTATTCTGCTTCAACAATCTGATGTGCAACGCACTTCGTTTCCGTACAGCCGGTATGGTCTCGAAGCGCTGCACCAGGACGTTTCAAGTATGGCGCAAAGACGAAGACATCCTCATCCCGCATAAGGTGGATGTCACTTTTGCACCAGCCTCGTTGGGCGAGTCGATCTAAAGTAAGGACTCCCAACCTTGCTAGACCCTCAGGCACTGATCTCCACTCCGGAGATGGTTGCACCAGAGGGATATGCATACCATCAGTGGGACCTAACTCCCAATGCGGTGCATGACAGAGGAGGGAAAGGCAAATTATCCGAAGCAGGACGTGAATCGAGAGCAAAACTTCGCATTCTGCAAGAGCATACTCGTGTTCGTCATCCACCTCGTGCGCTCTGGTGGTGATGAGTTGCATATGACGCATGATGGTATGAAGCTGCCTTCTTAGGTTCATTGAACCAGCCAGCCCAAGTTGCTGAGACGATTTATATAATTTAATCGGTAAGCCGTTTAGTGCACCGGTGTCAACGACATCGCCTGAATGTAAGGACTCGTGAAAGTCGAATACTAGCCCACAAATGGAGCAGACCTCCGTTAACGCGCCGAAGAATAGCCAAGCCTGGAGAAACGCGACCTTCTCATTCACGGGGGCAATACTGCCGTCCGTACGAGATACAGCAGGTGCGTGGAGTCCATATGGTAGTGAGAGGCCTTCGTTCGCATTGGATTCAACGCAATTGCCTGGAGGACAACGGCCTTCATGACACCGGTTGTCATGCCTGTTGACTTTCCAGCCTACGCGGGAGGGATAGTTCCAGAAGTCAAGGCCATCATAAGGTGTATTTCTACACATGTAGGGGACCTGGAAAGGGATGAATTCAGGACGGGGTTCAGTACCATAAACCAACTTGAGTAATTGTTCTCTGGGTTTCCAACGTAGCTTTCCATTCCAGTAACTACGTGCAATACGACGTCGTATTTTGTCTATAGAATCATCTATATGCTGCATGAGTACGAGAAGGCACAAGGAAATCAAAGAACAAGGAAGTATAGAATATGGCTTGAAGAGGCTCGAAGGTTCCACACACTGGAATTTATGACAATGAGCAAAACGAGCGCAATCGAAACGAACCTAGCATAGTAGGTTCTCACGGTCACACTGGTCAGGGTTAGGGCTAAACCCTATCGATTCTCAAAAATTTGACTCCTGGTGCCGACATCGATCCCCTTTCACGACTTTCTTTACGACCACTACCTTCCCTCAAAAATGGCATCCATTGGCACCCTCTACACCACCCCTCAGCAAGGCAAGGGCCAGCGGGTGCGTTGTCTTTGCTTTAATGTGCTTTTAAGCGGAATATTTACTTATTTTTGCGCTAGATTCGTGCCGCTGCTGCCTTCGCTGGCTTGCAGCTAGATTTGCCTGCTAGCTACGTCCACTATGAAGACAATAAGAAGCCTGAGTTCCTTGCGAAGTTCCCTCATGGAAAGATCCCCGCTTTGGAGACCAAGGACGGCTTCCACCTCTTCGAGGCCGTTGCAATCGCTAACTACGGTAAGCATTTACCCCCTGTCGATCACCATACTATGCGGAAAGAAGAGATATACATCTTTCAGTTATCCCTGTCTTAAAAACAATGTCGAGGATTTAAGGATTCTGACCGTTCTTTGTATCATTCGATCTGGTTTGGATTCAATGCTAACATTAGTCTTCAGTTGCGTCACTTGCTCTCAACTCTACACTCCTCGGAAATAACAAGGAGGAGAGGGCTCTTGTTGACCAATGGATCTCGTTTGCTGACAGCGAGATCGATAACTATGTCACTCTTATTGCCCAGCTCTGCCAGGGTAGGCTCACGCCATATGCCAAGCCCGTATGTTCCCTTTTCGATCTCTATTGCAAACAGCTCCAGACACTGTCTCTGTACAGATCCACACTGCCTTCCTCGAGCGTGTGACTCGCAGTTTGAACACCCTCGAGAAGCACCTTTCCACCCGCACTTTCCTCGTCAACGAGAGAATCACCCTCGCTGACATCACCGTCGCCTCCGTCATCCAACGCGCCGTTTCACTTGTCATCGACGCCCCTCTTCGCGCCAAGCTCCCTAGCATCATCCGTCATCTTGAGACTGTCGTGAATCAGTCCGCAATTAAGCCCATTTTCGGCGAGATTCAATACGCTGAGAAGGCTATCCAGTTTGTCCCCCCTCCTAAGGAGAAGAAGGAGCCCAAGCTTGCCGCTGCTGCTGCCCCCAAAGCTGAAAAGAAAGCTGAAAAGAAGCCCAAGAAAGAAGAGGACGAAGAAGAGGACGACCTTGTTCCCAAGGAGGAGCCCAAGGCCAAGAACCCTCTTGACTTCCTTCCCAAGTCCACCTTCAACCTCGAGGACTGGAAACGTGCATACTCCAACAAGGACACTCGTGGTCCTGGAGGTGCCCTTGAGTGGTTCTACCAGAAGTGAGTATCAGCGCTCGTGATTGCGACTCCACCTTTTGACGAGCGACATTCAGCTTCGACAAGGAGGGCTTCTCCGTGTGGCGCGTTGACTTCAAGTACAACGAGGAGCTCACCCAGACCTTCATGTCCTCTAACCAGATTGGTGGTTTCTTCAACCGTCTCGAGGCTTCCCGCAAGTACCTCTTCGGTTCCGTTGGTGTCCTTGGCCAGACCAACAACTCTATCATTTCTGGTGCTTTGATTGCTCGTGGCCAGGAGATCAAGCCTGTTGTTGAGGTTGCTCCTGACTTCGAGTCCTATATATACACCAAGCTTGACTTGGAGAACCCCAAGGACAAGGAATTCTTCGAGGGTGCTCTTGCCTGGGATCTTGAGATCGATGGCAAGAAGTGGGTTGATGGCAAGAACGTACGTGACACGTGTGCCATTTCTAGATTGCGTGTAGAAGAACTGACTTTGCGTTATTTACAGTTCAAGTAAAAACGCCTTCGTATCCATTGCTTGATTTTCATCTGCTTGTTCATCAGAGGTGTATCGATTTACTGTTTTGCTAGATGGTTCTTTCCTCGTCTTTCTTGCCATGATTGTATCACCCCCGCCCGTTGTAGCCCTTCAGAAGTAGAAAAAGAAAAATTGAATACGAAGAAGTTTGATCTTGCGTCATCTAGTCATTGCTGAGGTCATGGTCGTGGCAGTTCTTTCCGTCTCATTGAGTGTCCAAATATCCATGAAGTCAAGTTCTAATGAGATGAAGAACCATGCACGCTGTCAGCTTCGAGCTCGGAGCTCCAGACAAGATGGTTCTAGTGATACGGGTGTACAGCATTATCCAAGGAAAAGGACGACGTATTCGTAAGTTCTACGACAACGCTTTCGCTCACTCAACACCTATATTTTCTTCATGGAACGCATTACGGATGAGAGCAGCCGCCTTCGCCGAACGTGGGCGAATATTACACTTGAACGGCTTAGGGTGACTATGCCATGATGGTGCGCGCGTCAGACAAAAATCAATCAAGTGCTTCCTCCTGAACTTACCTCGTAACACCTGTAACATATTCAAGATCAGGCTCGATCTCTCGTCCATTCTCGTCCACGGCCTTGGTGATGTCGAATGCGGCAAGTATGGAGGCTGCGACGATCCATAGACTGTTCTCTCCTAGGAAACGGCCAGGGCATTTCCTATACCAAACAGACACAAAGAGAGAGTATCGTCAAGTGAGTGAGATATAGGAAACGACTTCTGAGTAACGTACCGGCGTCCATAACCGAAAGCAGAATCAGGCAAAGGTTCGGCCTTGCCCTCTGGTTTTGGTAGGAATCGTTCAGGATTGAATTGGTAGGGACTGGAATAAACGTTCTCATCAAGAGTCATAGCCCTGATAAATAAAAGAAAACGATTATGAGCAACTCGTCAACTTCACTAAAAGCACGGGAACTATTACCGGACGTTCGCGATAACCATGGAGCCTTTGGGTATGAACATTCCCTTATAGACGTCATCCGCCGTCGTAGCATGCGGCACACCTTTACAATGTTCCAATACTTGAGTATTACCAAAGAAAAGAAAAGGGGGAGTAAAGACATACCAAGTGGTGCGCCTTGCTTCCACCGTATGGACTCCCACATAGCGGCGTTCACGTAAGGAAGGGAATCGCGATCGGAAAAGTCTGGTAGACGGCTGTTTCCTATTACTTTGTCAACCTCCTTTTGGGCTTTCTTTTGGACTTCGGGGTTCATTAACATGGAGAGGATGAAGGTTTGAATGGCGGAGAGTGTCTAGGAATTGGCAACGGGGAAAAGTCAATACAATGCGATAGAGAGGGTTTGAGCAGCGATAGTTACGGTATCTCCGCCAGCTTCGCAGAATAAATCAAACAGACGAAGAGTCAGAGACATTTACATTGATAATAATACTTGGACTTACCACCGTAGAGATGAAAAGCAGCAACCTTGACATCGTTGATGTCCTCATCCGTCGCGCCACGTTGCGCGAATTCTTCAAGGTACATAGACAGAAACGAAGGTTGTGCAGTTCCTGCAGCCTACAATCCAACTTGGTTCAGCCACAGTAAACGAGTCAACGATAACGTTTACGTACCATTTGTTTCTTCACTTCGTCGAAAGGGTAGTTCCTAATTCGCCGAATAATGGGTTGCGCATCTTGAGTTGTATAATGAGCGAATGTGAATGATAGAGAGAAAGAACAGCTACTGACCTTGAGCGACGCGAATGAACCATGCTCCGGGAAACCATGCGGGGAGATGTCTCACTATATCCACATGAACATCTCGAGAGTGAAAGATAGGCAAAGTAGCTTACGGAAGGGGAAGACATCGACTGGAGACATCCCGGGGATGCCAGATTGAGTCCCAATGTAGTTCACGCCTTCGGCGATTTCGATGTATGGGTCGTCATCGGACTGGATACGATGGCCATAGGTGATTTCCATGATCACCGAAACCGCGAACCTGCCAATGGATTCAACTCATTAGATACATGTCAACAATGATCGTACCAGAGGAAATGTACCGTTTGGTATGATGCTCGACTTCATTGGGGTCTTCAAGCAAGTTATGGAGTAGTGTGTGTGCTTGAGCTACTTGAATGTGTTGGAATTTTGATACGGCCTGACGACCGAGGGGCTGCTGAAGCAGTTTTCTTTGTTTCTGGAATTGTTCGCCATATGGCAAGAACACCAGAACATCTGTCCACCCTATCCTAAAAGGTAATCGGGCGATTAGTAGAAATACAACCCAAACTAAATCAGGAAAAACGAACAGATCCTGCATTGGAAACCTAGGTCTATCGCTGTAGAGTGAGCTTCGTTTGTCCAAAAGCTCGACAGCTGCCTCTTCACTGTTCAATATAACGATAGACTTCCCCAACACGCTCAAATAGAGCACGTCACCTAAGACGTTTGGACGTGAGTCTGTAGGGACGGAAGATAGTGACCTCATAACGTACCATATTGCTTTGACCATTCATGGTACACTTCGCCATGATTCTTCAGAGGTGCGACACGAAGATGTCCAATTATTGGATCTGAAGGTGGACCTGGAGGAAGCGGTGGTCTACCATCCTTTCGTCTGATTTGTCGCCAGAGCAAAAATACAACGACAACCAAAGCACCGTATAGGACTATCGGAGTGGCCATGGCAGTACAGGGGAAAGAAAGAAAAATCGTGCCTGTAAATCTTGCCTATCCGTTACCTGTATTGATATATCCTGTCGCGGAAGCATCGGCGGCGGCGGAAGTGCTGCAGCACTTATCCGCATTTTCACTAGTCTGACAGTCAAAATTATGTCATCCGCTGGAAGCCACAGTCGTTACGCTAGCATGACAGGGAGTTACATTGGATAGACTCAAACAAGCCAGACTTGTGGAAGCGAGAGAGAGGCGCACGACTAGCACGTCTCTTGCGGTCTGGCCATCTTGCGGCATCTGACATTGACAGGCTCCGTGCAGACAGGTCAATGGCTCCAGTTTCGGAGAAGAATAGTGAGTGGTTTCATGTCAAAGGAACGTCCGTCAATGTCAGGCACGCGATGATTGCGTGCGGTTCCGAAGGGTTTGTAGCGTAACTGCTGTAAGCGAAATCATGAAGGTTCGAAATAGCAAGTTGCAATTGTCGGTTAGGTGATCCAGGGAGCGCCAGGATGAACTAAGTAACTGTCAAGTGTACTTTGGAGGGAACGAGGAGGTTGTCACAGGATTCATGAAGTAATTGCGTTTATACCTCTGCTCAGCGTAGTCGGTTTCACTACTTGTCCTATCGTTTTATGTTCAAGTTTACCTTAAGGCCTGATTGAGTCCAGAGATATAAGTGCTGCCACGCATGCGGCGAGCATTCAACGCACGTGCTACAGGGGGATAATAAGTAACTGCAGATAAAGCTTAAAGAACAGAGTGAAAAACAGACGAATGCAGTCTGGTCAGTCGACCTCGGCCGGGGAAATCGTACACGACGTCAAATAAGGGCCACGGATGCACCCGGACAATTCATGATGCAGATGATCGACTGCGATCGAGAACCACGCGACCAATCCACCCAGAGTGGTTGACGTTGCGAGCCCAACTTGCCCTACAAATATCAGCTTGCTGCATCGTCTTCTCGAGTGTAGTAGCAACGGATGGATAAGCCTGGTATGTAGTCACTTCTCTACTTACTTACTGATTTCTCTTCCTATTCCAGGCTCCCTGTGTGCACCCAACCGCTGGGTCGGGCTTGTCTCCTTTCTCGGTCACCCTTCCCCAATACACCTGAAGGTCTGATGCCCACATTCTTTACTGGAAGACGCCACGTTCAACAACACTTGCCTACCTCGACTAGCTTTCTGACATACCGGAGATCTCAGCCGACTATTCAGCCTTGTTACTCATGTCTTCAGGACGATCCATATCCAACAGCAACAAACGTACATTTCACAGGATCCCTCAGAACTGTCGACATCAATACTGTTGATAGAAATTACACGTTAAACCTCCTGTGCGTCGTCCTCTCATGTTCCCTTGCTCTTACAACCACAGACCTCGTCGTTTCGTCTCGGTTTGTACTGAAGTCACCAACGACGGGAATCGTTTGGGTTTCAGGGACTATACATGACTTCTTCTTGATATCTCATTGGTCTCTTTATCTCTCTCCTGTGTTGATCTCCGCTTTCGAATCAGTTTACCAAATGACTGCCATGGTACGATTCTAACCACCTCAACACGTCTGCTCTTCCTTCCTCTCGTTTACTCCCTCTCAACACAACTTCTCAATACATCCTGACACTGCTGACGGTCTTCCCATCTGCATCTCCAGCCAGGATGAGATACAGCGAGCTGAAACGTGTTTTCAGTTGTCTTCGTCCATCTCAATCAAGATACTGATATCTATCTATCTTCAGGGCCCCACGACATTCGCTGTCCTGTGACTACTTCCCTGTCGCCGTTTCGAATCGGACTGTTCAACCAAGTCTACACTGGCCGTCTGCAGCCTTGTTCTTGATCCGATCATGTCGATGCTCATGCACTCGTTTCGCATCTGTAACTCTGCGAACACAGGGCTTGGACGGCCTTAAGTCTTCTGCTTAGGATCGGCTTCTTAACACTAGCCGTTTTACTTGCAATATGGATGGACTTGAAGACTTGACGGCTTGGGTGGTGGTGTCGTTTTGCATCTGTCACAGCACGTTTTCACTTGGGTCTTCTTGCCGGTCTCTCGGGCACTTAATCGAGCCTGGAACTCCATAGATGATGACTTTGACTACGTGGTGCTTGGAGTGCAGTAAGGGTGTTCGGAGATGGCGTTGACAATCATAAAAATTCAAGGGGCATGTTGTCGTAGGACTTGGATGGGGCATCTCAAGCGCTACGACCGTTTGACAATTGACATTCCGGAAGTTCAACAAGTTGCACACATCTGTTCGTGCGTATCGCGTGGTTGGGCTTGTTGGCGGTGCAACTTGACTGCACACACTTGGCAGATGAACAGAATCCGTAGCGTGCGCCTCTTGCCTCGTCTTATTACGTACCCCGCCTCCGTCTTCTCTTCGCGTCAAGTTCTATTCTTGTGTATGCGAGCTTCTCTACCTACTGATTAAACGCTGTCATTTTCGTAGGCTCTGCTATCTACATCGTGAATCGCCGTGAGTGCCATCCTGCCGAATGACCGCGTGGAGTCATCGGAATGTGTTTGTGATTTGGATTGGTGTTGGTAACTATGAGGTGGTTCCGTGAGCTGAGGGAGAAGGCTTCGTGATTACTCGCTCGTTAACTCTGACTGTAACGCGTCTCAACTGAGATCAGTATCAAGACGAGGTAACCTGTGCATCAGCTGTGAAGAGGACGGGATAGACCCTGAACTCTTGGCGTGATTCCGAGCAGCTAAGTTAAGGGGGAAGTTTCTCAACTTCTCATGTATTCTCAGAAATGATTCTCATGCAAATATGTTGTGCAAAATCTCATATAGAACTAGTAGGTGTCAGAATGAATATCTTGCTTACAGGCATTCAAATCAGGACTACTTTAGCATCTTGGAGAATACAGGGCAGCAACACTTCATAATTTATTTTGGCTAGAAGATGATGAAATAAATATGAAATGAGGCAGCCCATGCCATGCATCTCAGTGTTGAGAAATGTGATGATGAGCTGAGAGGAAGTTGGTTTGCTCAGTGAATCTAGTAATGTCAAAGTGAAGTATACATTTGAAAGGGTTTAACAGAATATAAAGAAAATGTGTATATGTTTTCTACTCCTCGTCACCCTCCTCTTCTTCATCCGAAGGTGCATCCCAGTCAACAAAATAGGATGTTCCGTCATAGAATTGGATCTTCCGTCTAGGCCTCACCGGAGGTCGTACTCCCATATGCTTCTCCACGAATGCTTCTGGTAGACCGGCCCATCGATCCTGAGTTTGCCAACGAAATGTTGTACCATGATGCGGAGGTTGCGGAACAGATTGATCTAGGCGTTTGGAACTGAAGCCATATTTTAAGACAGTGAATGCCTTAAGAGCCTCGACAGCTGTATAGCGAGATGGGATGTCCGGCGTAATCATGCGATCGAGAAAAGGTGCGAGCTCAGGTGCAAAAGGGGTAAGATACTATGTTTGGGCGAAGTCGGCAGAGTCAGCCACACATGTTGTATACAAACATAGAGAGGGCGTACCCCAATGGTTGCGCACAAAACGCCACCCAGACATGCCACGTCATAAGCAAATGGATCATAAACGGTCTCACCATTCGCTACGTCCGGCGGATGATATTCGGGAGAGCCCCACTCGCTCTCCGAAACAGGGAGGAGCCGATTGGCCAGAGGAGTATCGGAAGGAAACATGACAGAAAGGTTAAAGTCGCACAGCACAAACCTTGCTTGCTTGGTTGTAAAGAATGGACGAAAATCATAACAGAACTCGGAAGAATGGTAACAGTTGATCAACACATTGGCCGGCTTGAAGTCCTGTGAAAGGGGAGTCAGTGTTCGATGGTGAGAGCGAGACCGTGAAGCGACATACCCTGTAAACAATACCATTGTTGTGAAGGGACGTCAATACCTATACCGATGTGTTAGCAAACAAGGGAGACGGAATAATGGTATGTACCTGGAGTATAGACATAGCGAACTGAAATGCGGTTCGCAAGCTGTCGAACCCAGTATCCGGTAGACTACTAGCCGTTGCCCATCTTTACCAGTGTTAGACGAGATATCAAAATACTCAGAGAATAATCCGATACCTTGGCATAACGACAAATGAATAGTTGTCGTCGTAGTACAAAAGGTCCAGAACGGGGACCGTCAGATTCATAGGATTCGAACGTTGTGGTTCCGTCACGAGGTGTTTGAAGATGGCAAGTTCAGGACTATTGCTAGGAAGTATTTTGATAACGACGTCTCGACGATCTCTGTTTACTGCGGGAAATACAGCGGGCTAGCAAGAACGCGTTAGTGCCATTGATATTTGGTTGATAGGACAGTTCCATACCGCGGGACACATCATTCGTCCTAGAGAGGTCTTCTCAGGAGCGTAGGCGTGAGGAAATTGAACCGCGTCGGTGCAGAGGTCATACAGGACTGAAGCGGGTGGTATAAGAAAACCGGCGGGAGTTCGAGGATATAGGATGTAGCCATGGGTCTGAAACCACGGTTCCAACGCGTCCCACACCTGATTCCTTTCTGTCCTGATATGCCAAAAACGGGCGAAATCAATAGCTAGTACATCATCGTATGCATCTGGTTGAATTGGCCCTGGCATCGTCAGTTTGAGCGTGAACAATGACAAATATGTGGATCAAGGCTAGATCAGCATGCTCGAGAGACAGTGCTGCTAGAATCCAAATTTAGGCATACATGTCGTATTCACACAAGAGGACACAAGATTCGTCCGGTGTGCAAGCGCCAGCTACTAGTACTACTTATATTGATCCTGATTCCTGACATCTTCGGGACTTCAGATCTGTAGAGTTTATACCAAGCAGTTAAACCAGTCGTTTATGCGATCATCAAGGATATTCTTACATCTTGTTCTGAAGGTATGAGTTAATTTACACCAGACTTGGCGTTGAAGTAATGAAGCGATGAATGATGCAAAAGATTCCGTACAATTATAATAATGATAAAATAGTGAGTGCTATGATGAATCACAAGAATGACAGCAATGCTTCGTAAGAGACTAAACTATTCCTAGCTCTAACTTTACGAATAATCCTGTCACCAAGTTCCTTCAGTTGAGCAGCTTTATTTTTCCCATGGTGATATGCGATATAATCCGACTGGAGGTCCCTCAAGTTGGCACCCTTTCGTTGCACGTCACGGAATTTTCTTTGCAGCGGTTCGATGGTATCCTCCCACAACGTGTCATACTGCCTATTTCGCTTCTTCAACACTTTCTCAGCACCCATCTCGAAATCTTGCAGGAATGTTAGTTTGGAACCGTATACAGCCTCCAGGTTGGAGCCTTGCCATTGGTTGATACGGCCAAGGGTATGAGCAACTGGATTGTGTGTGGCGACAAACCAAACGAGGACCCAGAAAAACGATTCCAGGTCATGACGATAAAGATGTATAGGAGCAGCGCCCGGAGCAAGTAGATCCATCGCCATAAAAGGTCCCGTACCAGTTCGATACTTGGCCTTGCGGCGGCGGGTACTTCCATCATCTTCGAGTTCATGGATGCTATCTTCGCTGGGTTGATCCTTCGCGCAGCCAGAGGTTACCTCGACCGCGGGCCTCTGAGCTTCAGGAGCCGGAGGAGAGATCGTCTTCATCGCGGTAGCAGTATTCTTGCAGGCGTTAGCAGCCTTCCTATCCCAGGCGGCCTGCATCAGTCTTCCAAATGCTTCATATTTCCCTCTGTCAACAGCTAGCTCAGGCTCCTCGCCAATATATTCCTTCGTTTCAGCAAGGTCCCAATCACATAGGACACCGATTATGCAGCCTCTTTTCCAATAAAACATTATGTTGGAGACACTGATATCCCTATGAAGAATTTGCGCGATGGTCCAAGCCCAATGATGGCCTTAGAAAAGCTTAGCCCGATATATACCCAAGGGAGATGAAGAAATACGTACCCGTCACGACGTCGCGAAATACTTTCAATAGTTCGTCCGGCGTATCGATAAATTCAAGTGGAACGTACTCTTTCAAAATGAGGATGCGGAAATCTCGCTTCTCATCGTCCGCAGTCTCAGGCAGTTGAGTCATGAACGCTCGAGGGAGATTGATGTTCGGATCGTTGATGGCGAGCTTCGACGAACATTTGAGGTCCACGATGTATGCAAGAGCAGCATGTGCATCTTCATTTTTGCTCTTTTTCAGCGCTCGATGAATAGCCCGGATATGGCCCTCTTCATCCCGTTTCACAGGCTGCCAGGACATCTTCGCAACGAGTCGTCTCTTCCCAAACCGCTTACGGTCCTTCTGAGCAACCGAAATTATAGGGACGACTGTTGTGCCACGTCCAACGGTACCGTAGGCTGTAACGATCGGTTTCGCCTCCGTGGTACTGACCTCGAATTCTACGTCGCCAATATACTTGTTCTTGTGATTGCGAGCTGCAGGAACCTTGAAAGTGGCGCCCTCATGCGATAGGTGGTTACGAGGGACATTGCGGATAAGAGGACAAAATCCAAGGTCGGCGTCGGATGCACGCATTATGGCAGTGACCATGAGGAGGAAATAGTGAGGCTCCTCAATAAAATTAAACAGTCGGGACTTGATGATTCCGAAACGGTCGCCGTACCAGAGACTGATCTTCTGGTTCTCGACGAGGAATCCAGTCGCATAGATGCGAGCTCCATGTGAGAGGAGCTCATTAAGGTATTTTGCAGCCTGTGTCTCGTTGTTGGTGAATTCTGGACAATTTTCGTCTTCGTCCTGGTTGAACCTAAGGAATGCAATCTGCTGCGGAGTCGGTCTCCCCTACAAATCAAAGTGCATCAGACGAAATTAACGGCAAGAGTGGACGTTCAAACTTACCGCCGATGGTTTTGCAGGGACATCTTCGTCCGGTTTAGGTTTCTCAGTCAGCACGGAATCGGAATTATACTTTCGAAGTTTTGATGATGGCCCCTCTTCGACTGCAGAATCCGGCTTCGAGCGTTTCCGGCCTTTGCAAAGGGGGGTATACAGTTCCTCCTTCTCTTGCTACTGGAGGTTGAGTAACGATAAAAAAACAGAAAATCAAGACCGCAACTCACATCTAGCATTGATCTGTCAATGATGACACGTTCTGCTTTGTTTACTGCGTCATCCACCTTCTTCAGCTCACCGAATAATCCAAATGCGTCCCAGGCAATCGCGTCCGTATTCTCACCGTTCTCCGTTACATAGCCAAAGTCGGGTTTGATATTCGCGTAATTCCCTTGCACGATCTTCTCATTCAGAAAACGGAGAGTGCCTTGGAAACGGGTCCTCTCGATCTCCTGTGCAGCCGTAGGATCCTGCTGATTCCATTGATCCCTAACCAGTGAGGCCGTCGTCTCAAACAGCTCCTGGAATGCAGCACATGCACGAGTCTCGCCTCTTCCAGCAAGTTCGATGAGCGGGGGACCATCTTCACCTAATCGTCTCAACTTGGACCTCTTCGAATATCTTCCAGCCCCGAGATACTTTAAACAGCGCTCCTGTGTGAGTGCGTAGTCACCATGGGGTATCTGAGATGGTGTTGTGTCCCACACGCGAGAAATGAAATCGATGACGGGGTAGTCTCGAATGACATTTCTCTTGAATTCTGTCTGGATGAAGGCCCTCAACTCTGGGTCACAGATACCATCGTCCATTTCGATGGCACTCAGTGATGGTTTTAGAGGTGTTTTCTGAGCTGTAGAAGTACAGGAGAGTGAGGGGAAGTCAACATTATTCATTGTTTCAGTGCTTACTCTTCATCGGTAGAGATTTAGACTTTTTGAAACCCGGTACGTCAGAGTCGGGAGTGACTCGTGGTTCCTCAACGGAGGTAACTTGGCGGCTACAAATTCGTCTCTGTTTCTTTATCTTTTCCTCTGTTTCGCTCAGTGGTGCGACTGTGTCGCGTGCCTCGTCGTGCATTTCGACGTCTTGGGGGAGTGTCGCGTCATCCATGATGATATCGAAGTCGGCGTCGAAGTCTGTATCAAGTGCAAGAGAGTAGAAGTGGCTGTGACAAGTGTTGGAGTGGTGGCAGTCACCAGGTAGGTAGTTGTGGAACAACAAAGAGTTGAAGAGTCCCATTTTTGCGGAGGGTCCTACAGATATATACGTGACTGCCACACACGTGACTTTGGCCAGGACAATGTAAGAGTTTCCGTAAGAATGTGACACGGAGTGGCCCAAGCTATAATGAACCTTTGACCTGTATAGCCACACGATCTGAATATAAGTTGGAAGCGAGAGTGGTCATCACTCACGAGTGGCTCAGACTGGTTGTAGCCGGAACACAGGCAAGATATGTAATAAGGATTACTTTGAATCTCCTAAGGACGCTGAATCGAGCGTGATGATATACAATGCTGCAGTTTCGTAAACAAAAGGAACAAGGTTTCACACTCGCATAAAGAATCAATACAGTACTTACTAGCTTTCTACGTCAATTCCGGAGATTAGAAGCCTGTACGCACTTCATGATATCAACACTAACAATATATGCTGTCTTTGTTCAACGAATCATATACCTTTCTCAGTATTCCGATAGCGAGGATAGCATTCAGTATGAGGTTGAAGTTCAACTTGAACGTGTAGACGCCGCAAACCTCTTGACTTCCCTAATTCCATACGTCGGAAGTCGCCGCTCATCATCGTGTCCCTTGAGGAGCACTTTCTTCATCATTGGCACGGCGGGGGGCTCATGTATTATAATGTTTCCGAAGAAAAGACATATGCTAGCAGCACGACAGAAATATCTGTTTTGTTTTCATATTCAGGCATGTTTTCGCCATGTTTCCTGCATGTTTCCGCGAGCTTTCTTGGGGCAACATTACCACGTCCCGCTGTGCATACAAGCCAGCAGCGCCGAAAACGATAATACACCTTGCAGATAACACGACAGACTGCAACGAAGAATGGTACAACTTTATACATGTCAGAACAGGTACACTAATCGATACCTAAACAACGGTGCATCGTTGCCTAGAACATTTGCGAGCCCTGACCTTATCAGTCTTCCAGCAGAATCCCACCAAATATAAAGGAAGAATACAACTTTGTACACGCTAGAACACATACACTAATCGACACCTTAACGACCGTACACTATCTTGACACTAGAGTATACAGCGTCCGAGTTTCGAAAAGCAAATGACAACAAAAACAAGTCAAGAAAAGACAGAGGGGAGGGTAAACGATAGGACTATTTCACACCAGAATCACATACAACAATCTAAAAGCGGGGAGGAAAGGAGGCTGCACAAGGTGGACAGGTAGAGAGTCCGAGGGTTGAAACGGACGGTACGCTAGTGGTGAAGAATCGTCCAAGGGGTATGATCGTCGGAGGGTATCGTAGTGTCTCAGAGCAATACAGCTGATAAGGATGCGATACCGCAGGTAGCAATGAGGGCAAGTACACCCTGTGCGCCGAAGGTGGACACCGCGGCGCTGTTGTTGCTTCCACTAGTGGGGCTGGCGTCACTGGAGGATGTGCCGCTAGGAGAAGTGCTCGTGGGTGCTGCGCTGCCCGAGCCAGTGCTCGTAGGCGACTCGCTGCTCGAAGACGCGGCCGGGGGTGCTGCAGAATAACCAACAATGCTAAACACAATGAAAACAACGAGGAAGGTAGGGAAGACATACTGCCGGGGGCCCGAACAGAGAAGGTTGAACTGCTAGCGAAGACCTCGGACTGGTTTTGAGGGTTGACAAGGGAGACGGTGTAGCCATCAGCGACACGAAGGGTGACGTTGGTCACTGCAATCCGGGATCAAGAAAGATTCAGCGTCAAGATGTAGAATTAATGCTTAAAGTTACCGACTCACCGGTGAATGTCTAATGGAAGCGGGAAGTCAGTATGGGCGTGTATGGTGACCGAAGAGAAGAGTACAACTTACCTTGTTGGACAAGTCCAGAAACTCTGCGATGGAGAAGGCACCGTTAAGGAACGTGTTGTTGGAATTCGTGACGATGATGGAGGCGGGGTTAGGGTCTCCCTGCTCGAACGTCCAGTTGATCACATTGCTAGTGTTTTGCACCCTTCAACCGGACAAGGAGTCAGAATACTTCTCATTCACAATCCTCCGTATTACAGCTCACCAGTAAGCACTCCCGCTGGGCCCAGTAATGGAAATCGCAGCTAGAGAACAAACCTGATAAGGAAAAAAAATTATTTTCGCACAGAAGGTGGTACTCACCAAAAGCGGCGGGAACGAAAGCGAGTGCGGGAGCGAGGGTAGCGAAAAGCATCGTGAAAGAAAAGGTTGAAGAGAGGGAGAACGCTTGTGGCAGTTCTGAGGGAGGAGGTGAAGTGCGGGTGGTTGAAAGTTCAACAACGATGTTGCTCGACTTTTCTATATGTTCTGGGCTTTTCCCACGTTTCTTGGGATCAATCTCGGGTATTGCCTCCTTGTATTTTTATGCCCCAGAAAGGGAAAGTAAACAGCTGTGTTGTGATTACAGCTCGAGTGCTAGTGTGGAAAATGGCCCTGCTGAGGGACTAACCTTGAGACTTTGAGAGCAAACTCGGGAGGTCTAGCATGTGCCGGAGGATCACTCAATAGCATGCATAGTACTTACGCTAACATAGAAAACCTAGAACAAAAAGAGGTAAAGGGATGGCGGCAGATGGGTGTTTAGATGGGGGGACATATCGTTCGGGAAGGGAGAATCATCACAGGCGGCGAAGAGGAAAGGCTACCTAGTAGGACGTAAAGCAAACCCTATGAACTTGCCTAACTGGTCACTCTATTCGGGGAACTCCGCTTACACGACTTTTACACTTGAAGCTTGCAGTTCGAACCAAGCTCGAACTTATTAAAAGCTTGAAGCTTGAAGCCCAGCCTCTCAACGACAGTCACTCAAACCAATCAACGAGCTCTTTTCTCTTTACAAATTCTCAAGTTTATCGTTTCTCTACTGCTACTCTCGTCTCATCTTCCATATCGCCGGGACCCTCATAAGTCTACGAAATTAGAGCGACTGAGGATGGAGTCTCGCAACTCTCCTCCGAGCTTTTCATCGACCATCTTTGGCCCTTGCTAAGTAACAGTCAGAGAACAGTATTCACTAGGACCATCACCGTCGCCAACCTGCTGCATCGCGAATTGTCCCGCAGTATACGAAGTGCCAGTACAGGTGGCCTAGTAGTAACGAGGCCGGGGACCAACCAACACCTTATCAAAACAAACTGGAATTATAGCATACAATGTAGGTGAATTTGTTTTGCTCACTCCCGCCGTTTTCATCTCGAATACCCTCGTAAACCCTACAGACTGACTAGCGAAGTGGCGTCGGACGAATCCAAGACATCTACGGGAGGCAACGTGAACAACCTAGGTATCATCAGATAATGGATGCATTGCTGAATGAATGGGAGAATCTCATAGTCTCCCGCAGGCAGCCGTTAATACGAGTCTATTGGAGAGGACGGACGATAAGAATCTCAGCCAAGAGGTTCATTCTTCGCTTCCCTCCGACTTAAGTTCTCAACATTTCGCTCGTCGATGTTTAACTCTGCCGCATAGGCCATGAAGCTTTTCAGAGGTTATGTCCAAGTCATTTAAGTATCCTTGTGACTTTTCAGCCCGGAACGCGCACCCTCTTCAGTCACAGGCTAGTCTGGATATATACTCGTACGCTCCTTTTGGCAGGGTTCTCGTTTATAGTCACCACAGGACAATGCTCACCCGCTTTCATTCCGCGCTATGGCGTGCCGATTTGTCCAGAATGCCTTGTTTTTCGCCAACGCTGACTCTCTCATGACCCGCTCTCCGATTCCGTGATGGCGTCATTGACTTTTCACTGGTTGGAGTCATTTGAATTTCAATTGGCAATCTTCTCGAGTGGAGGCGGATACGGCTTCCCGAGGGGTTGTTCTTCACGACTCATGCTAGCTAGCTAAATGTCGAAAAATCACCGTGATGGCTTTCGGAGTGATCCATGCATGGCTCTGTGGAATCCTTGTATCAGTGGACGCCCCGCAATCCGCATCTGTGTTCTGTGAAGCAATACCATTGTCGTCTTCCTTAGGGCTGATAGTAGGAAAGGGTCTTACCTGCAAGTAGTATGGTCACCGAACGGGCTGGAATCATGATTATCATCAATCGATGCAGACAATGGGAACATCAGTTCCAAGGACAATGGCGTGCACAGAACCAGGGGCAATATACCACGAATGGTTCTCAGTTAAGGCCTATTCAGTCGTGCTCCTACAAAGAGCCACAAAGTCCATCAGTATCGCCAACTCAATCGTTGATCCACATTTCCTCCTGACGCCAATGTTTTGACTATCGATCGTTCATTCTACTGCGATCAAAGGAAGCTCTTGTATTCGGGTTCGCGGTTGTGAGAGCATCTTTCGGTACATGATACCAGGGAAGTTCTGATTCGACAAATTTGTCAGGCAGTCCGGAGGATGGGTTTTGCCTTGGCATACATTATAGGTAGTCACTCGTAGACTCTTCGTTGTGGGGGCGTGGGCATTGGGATGTATTGTCGTCCGATCCAGTAGAATGTTTGCAAATGATTTGTATGAGTCAAATTCACTGAGTTAACTTAGGCTGATATCAGACGGCCCGACAGCAGGTGCAATGCAACAGAAAACGCAAGGCGATTGTAGACTAGGTATTCTACCCATGACAGATCCATAATATGGTAACGAGGAATTGATAGCTAAAACTCCGTAAGGTTGTTCCAGTCGACAAAGTAGGATGTACCGTCGAGCAGTTGCACCTTTCGTCTAGGCCGGACAGGAGGACATTTGGCGAAATGTTCACGTACAAACTCCTCTGGAAGATTCGCCCATCGATCATACGCTTGCCATATGTAGGTTGAGCCCTCCGGAGGAGATGGGGCACGCGTCTTGCCCAGGAACTCCGAGTCCAGGCTCTCCATTAGCTGAACAAAGGCCTCCAAGGCTTCAGACGCCGTGTACCGAGCTGAAATATCTGGTGTTATCATGCGATCGAGAAAGGGGGCAAGAGGCGGAATAAGGGGCGTCATATACTGCAGGGAGACAAATCAGTACAGCGGGGCGAACCGAAATGCAAGACATACTCCAATGGTCTTACACAGGAGACCTCCTAGACACGCGACATCATATGCAAAGGGATCGTAGACTGATTCCCCATTTGCAGCGTCGGGTGGATGAAATTCAAAATATCCCCATTCGCTTTCCGATGCAGGACACACTCTCGCACACGGAGGTGTTTCTGGAGAGAACTTGACGGATAAACCGAAGTCACAGAGCGCAAATCTAGCTTTCTTCGAAGCAAAAAAACTGCGGAGGCTCGGTGAGATTTCACTCGAATGATACTTATTGACCAATATATTGTCAAGTTTGATATCCTGTCGAGGAAACGGTGAGAAATTTATACCTGTCGAGGGTGGAATCTTACTCTGTGGGCGATGAGATTCTTATGAAGAAAAGCTAGAGCCTGATGAGAAGGTTAGAGTAATACAAGGTGGCGAAAAACATATGTCGACTAACCTTAATCAAAGATAGAGCAAATTCTACTGCCGTCTCGAGACGGTCAAAGCCATCCCATAACGATATGTCGCCCCAACTAGCCAGTAAATAGATCAAATGGTTGATGGTTACGTTACAAGACTCCGGGGGGAAACATACCGAGGCATGACAATGAACGAAATTTCGTCGTCGTACGACAAAATTTCAAGAGCAGGAATAGTCGTGTTCAAAGGATCACTGCGCATGGGTTCAGCTGCAAGGGACTTGAATATCGCAAATTCGGGACTGTCATTGTAGAGGAGTTTAATGATGACGTCTCGCTGATGTGAATTGACTGCAGGAAATAGTCCAATCTGAACGAAGACGTTTCTCGAGAATATCCGGTTACGAATACTAGTAAGGCGTACCATCGGCCAGAATGCTCGATCTTTTGGCTCTTTGCTGTCGATAAAAGCATAGGGGAATTGCACAGGTCGGCTACTAAGAGCATAAATTGGAGAACCGGATGGTTGTGCTTCCCAGGCTGAAGTTTGAGTATAGAGAGCGTAGCCGTGTGCTGCGAACCATGGTGATAAGGTACTCCATACTTCAAGCACCTTATTCTTTTCGACAGATTGTATCCATAGTTTCGATAGATTGATTATTGGTACAGAGTGTACAGATGGTTTGGACTCGGAGGGGAGCCCCATTTCAGGGATGTGAGAAGATGCTGCTGAGTAGCTGGGCAACAGTCGAACGGACATGTTCGAGAGTCTACTCGTATGTGACCCAGGCACACAAGTGTCCTAATTCGGTCTACAACTCACACAGGTAACTTAGCCACAAGGTTGCTACTGAATGAGGCGCTAAATGTCCAAACTAATCGATCTATCATGAACGTTTGAACGGTGCTTCCATGTCTCAAATTTGACACAATGACTCTCAATGGTTACGTCCATCGCTTTTTGGTCATTCGGACTACATTTTCCGAAAGCTCCTTATGGTCTACTAGGATAGTCGGAAGGCGGGCCTGAAGATAGTGATAACTGTGACAAGAATCTCCGCTGGAATGCACAAATACGGATGTGAACACCAAGTCCTGACTCCTGTTGCGGCGTAGTATCGATGACTAGGATTACCACCTTATGACTAGTTCTTGCTAATTCTGAAAGTCCTTCGCAATATGCAGAGCATCCCTCAAGAGCGTTCCCGTTGTCTGCTCGACATATATAAGAGCTCATCAACTCAACCCAATTTCGTGTGTATCCTTCTCCCTCATACACATATCCAGTACTCTCTATACCTTTCCCGCTTTCGCTTAGCTATGAACCGCCGAAGTGGCGTTTACCACGTACGTGCCATACTGCTCCAGGTAGCGATGTATCCCGTGCTGAGGTTTACTTCTATACAGAGGAATGATATTCTCTATCTCAAGGTGGCCAAGCCTCCTTTGGCGAAGGGAGCCCAGGTGTTTGTGAGCGGGGTCTACAGCGGTGGGGTGCGTCTGTCGCTTCGATATATCTGCCTCCATAGTTCTCATTGTTTGGTTGACCTCAAAAGATACAAAGGCATGCACCGAATACCAGTACGAAGTTGGCTAGGTACTCTGTACAATATCGCAGGATGGAGCTGAAGGTCGCAGAAGGCATAGCTTTCAAAGTCAACCCCGAGGACATCGATATCCCAGGAGTCGATTACAAAAAGAGATACTATACGGCACGCTCTGTTTTCTTTGTATATCTAGTGAAACTAACGACTTTGTTCGTTAGTCGCGTTCGACTGGGACGTTGAAGACCGCCCGGGAATTCCGCTATCAGAAGGAAGGAGAGGACGAGAGTTCTCGTATTAACCTTCCTCCCGGTACCCCCATAGTGATCGGTCGGCGTGACAGCGAGCCTACTTTAACAGGACAGGTATGCTTCAGTTGGTTCCTTTCTACTCTTACTGAGAGCTCATGCTGGTTGTCAGCGTCATCCCACTAGGCCTTCTGAAGCTATATATGAAGTTAAGGCTCAAGTGCAGTATTATGTGCCTGTGATGATTACCCTTGCCGGCCTTGTCTTGCATGAAGAGCTCTCTGTTACTCCGGTTGTGTGATTATGAATGCTTTGAAACTTACCCCTTTCCCGGAACTGTGTTTTCATTTTGTGCTCTTAGGTCCCGAACCAAATGTGACTCTGTGTACTACGTATCTCCATATCCCGTGTATAAATAGATTATCTGTCGTGCAGTAGTGTTCATGTACTAAGCAATATTGCCATCGCTGTCAAGTCATCTATTGCTCGACTCAGACGAAATTTGTAGTCTGTCGAATTTATTTTCTCAGAAAGCAGGTTGGGAAATTGACTATGATTCTAAATGCCTAGCCACGTAACAGCCATCCAGCTATCATGCTCCGTTCAAAAGATAGCCAAGGCCACACTTCGAACTGCCAATGTAGTCGAAGGGATACAGGCGAACTTGTGAATGACCATAGAAGACAACAATTGACAATCATCGAATCACATTAGATTTATGCCTATGTACAACTCTATGATTTGCCCTATAACTCAGGAGAATCCCAATCAACAAAGTATGATGTACCGTCCACTAGAGCAATTTTGCGTCTAGGTCGAACCGGCGGCAGGCGTGCACTGTGTTCCTTGAGAAAATCAACTGGAAGCCCAGCCCAGCGATCGTAGGCTTGCCACACACATTGAGGGAATGACGGTGGCGCGGGCGCCGGAGTGTCAAAACATTTGGGATCGAGACTGTCCTTCAGCTGAAGAAGGGCATCCAATGCTTCGGCTGCAGTGTATCGAGTACAAAGGTCGGGTGTTATCATGCGATCTAGGAAAGGAGCGAGTGGAGGAGCTAACGGCGTCATATACTGTAAATTACGGAAAGATGTTAGAAAAGTGAGAGGGAAACTAGGTTGCGCCCACATACCCCAATGACCTCACAGAGAAGACCACCCATACAAGCAACATCGTACGCGAACGGATCATATACAGTTGCTCCCTCTGCTACATCAGGCGGATGATATTCAAACGTACCGCATTCGCTATCTGCTGCAGGACAAACCCGATCGGCTGGGAGGATGTCAGAAGGAAACATGGTAGAACAGCCGAAGTCACAAAGTGCAAATTTGGTATGTTTAGAGGCGAAGAAACATTGGTAATTGGCCTGTCCGGGGGCATAAAAATTGACGAGTACATTGCCAGGTCTGATGTCCTACAAACATGGGTCAATGATAAGGCAAATCACAGATATCAGTAGTTTACCTACCCTATGCACTATGAGGTTCTTATGCAAGAATGCTAACGCCTATGTTCTACAAGTCAATTCTCAATCTTCAATATCAAATCATGTTGACTACCTTCAGCAGACATAAAGCATACTCAAATGCTGTACCCAAGCAGTCGAAACCAGTATCGAGCAAAGGGTCGGTTGGTCCCCACCTGACCTGAATAAGCATTGTAAAGGGCGAATTCGCTCGGTTAACTGACCTTGGCATTACAAGAAAGGAGTAACGGTCGTCGAAAGTCAAGACATCAAGGATAGGTATTGTCGTATTCAATGGGTCGGAGCATTGGGGTTCAGACATTAAATGTTTGAGGATATCCGTTTCGTCGCCTTCGGTGGACAAGACCTTGATCATGACGTCCTGATGTTGTCTGCTCACCGCAGAAAATAGTGCAGGCTGGAGATGATCATGTCAGATATCCGTAAAATACTACGAATAAACGTAGCGCATACCGGAATAAATATCATCGACCTCATTCGCGCGCGTAAGCTCTTGTCTCCAACGTGTACACTGGGAACGTCTGTATGCTCTTCGCTGAGATCGTACTTGAAAACTTCAGATAATTTCCCGGGGTAGCGATTGGGATACAGGATGTACCCCTGAGCCTCGAACCAAGGCCTCAAGGCATCCCAGACTAAGTGCCTCTTCTCCAAATTATAGAGATAGGCGATAATGTCATCTGGCATCGTACCAGGAGTCACAACGCCGTCTTGGGCAGGCACTGGCATTTTGTGCTCGATATTTTCTGCGTGTCAAATGTTTAGTGCCAGTAGCGACTAGGAAGCAGATCTACCCAACTTCAAGGGTTCAAACGTTCGAGTTGAACAATATCGCGATGTCTGTGGCTAGCGTGTGAATCGGGAGCGGAGTTCTATTTACTTGTTCTAATCACCGAACTCGAGAACGCGGGCCACGGACGTGAACAGTCACAAGCTCGGAATTCATGGAACAAAGTCATCCTGTAAGTTGCATCATTATGTTCAGCAGAAGACATATGTATTCTGGATACCATTGGGCAAAATCATAACGTGGTTGAGTGTACCACTCATAACTACACGATACGCAAGATGCAACATCCTGTAGTCGGAGATTCACGCCCCGGTATAATTCGCTATCTCTTGTAGTGGCTCATCGTGATTCGTTCGCCTTAGCTTGCACTCCTATGATACGTTCAAAGGTGACAGAAGGAGTACTGTGTTTGTCACATGTGATGGCATTTTATCCTAGCCGGAATGTCTGTAAATCTCATGTACGTGTCTTTTAAATTCACCTATCTTTCTAGCTTTTCCGTCTTTTTATTTCCTCTACAACAGGAAGTTGAAAATGTTCAATACAGACGTGACTTTTTTTTCGCAGTTTATATTCTTTGCTACTGCGACGAGTGTATTTTGCAGGACCTCTGGAAGATTTATGCATGAGAAACAGTGGGATACTTTTGATGATCAGTTGGGCTTGTGTCGAAGTAGGTCATGTGAGTCGTATGTGTTCAGAGTTTGATAATCTACGCATCTAGATTCTTCTTTTCGATAGATAAGGGGATGAGATTACGGGGATGCATTTGCATCCCCAGACCCGACGTCCTCCATCAAGGTCTCCATCCATTCTCGCAAGAATAATACGTCAATACTGCGCCTGAGCTCATTTCTGCGATGCGTCTCATGCCCTCATACATGTTCTAGCGCTCGACGCTTTACGATCTCGCTTTCATCTTGGAGACGTATGAAAGACTGTCAATCTTGACTATAGTGTCCCTACGCACGCTCTCGTTTTCGTCTGTATGCAACATTGATCGCTGATGGAATCTCTCCAGATGCAAGTTCTCGATGATCGCTGTCAAGCAAACTTTGTGCATTGACAGTGAGCTAGGGCCGGCGCAGTATAATTGGAGAAAGGGTTAGTGTAGCCAGTTTTTGAACAAAAAGGATGATCAATAATCGGCTATGAGAGTGAGTACTATTTCAGGACACAGCTGTACTTCATGCTATGCTGACCGTCTACCTTTTAGCTGATGAATAGTGGACCTGTGGACGGCCTCGCCGCGCCACTGGATTCGAATCACTTCGCACAGCCTATCTCTCTTCTGTTTCCAGAGAAACACCCTAACCGTAAGGTTCACACTATATACCTATGTTCTTGTCGGGCTCCTAGCCAAAGTTCAAACTGGAACATTCTGACTGGCGATCCCGGTCATAAATGCTTCCCCAACTAGAAGTCCTGACTGCAACAAAATATGCTGCAGCTGCGGTTCTACTTCCTTCATTTGCTCGTTCCTAGAACGTTAACATGCATGACTAGTTAAGCTGAGGCCTGTCATTTCAATTTACCTACACTGTTAGAGTTTGATGACATTCGTCTAGTCAGATGGATCGCGAAACATGATGGCAAATAAAGCGGTTCCTACGAGTCAGTTAAAAGTTTTGAATCCGCTTTCGCATTCAAGACCCAACTATCTCACCCTTTGACAGTACACTTTCTTTATAAATATCTGACCTAGCTCTGACCCCCGGGAAATTCTTTTAACACTGTGCGTTATTCTCCAGCACATCGTGTTCCAATCACTACACCTTGTATCCAGCTATCAAGTTCGGGTACCTATGTGCTGTTTTCTTCCTGCAACCGGTTCGTTCTTTAGACAACACCTTCCTCCCGCTGCTCATGTTCACGTTTATCTTAGTGTTTACGACATATGATATCGTCCTCACGTTTTCACAAGAGCTTCAATGCATCTGGAGAAGAAAACACAACGGCGCAATGGTACTGTGATCAACCTCGTTCTCGTTTTGCAATTGTACGTGGGCGCATCTGCGTATGTATTTTCACTTTATCAACCTTTTTGAAACACGTTGCTGAAGGTGCGGTTCACAGAGGTATGTTTCCTTTTCTGCTACGCTGAAACTCGTTTGTTAGTCCAAACGCGGTTGTGAAGGAGTAGATATTACGGTCTACTCTACAACCGTGATCCTCTTTCTCTCTATTGCAGGTAAGCAATCACAGTTCGTGCGCCGTGTCTCGGCCATGCTCAACTATTTGAATAGCGTTCGATTGCTTGCGAGTTTGGGCTCTCTCTCGTCAACGATGGCGGCCTGTTCTCGTTGTCTTCGTTCTGAACATGCTTCTTCCTTGTGTCAATATAGTATGTCTGTCTGATTGCCTTTTTTTTTTGATCTTCTTCGGTAACCGTTCGATACCGACTACTTATGTAGTACGCCTGCCTAATAAATCCTTGCACATTCCATTGACAACACCCGGCCCGACCTCCGTTCTTGTCTTCTGCAGCTTCGCGTGCGGGCATCAGACTTGACTTGAAGCTTTCAAGCATTTCTCCTATAAATTTCATCTGCGACAGTCTGGTCTCTATCTTTCTATCTTTGCTATCTGAACGGAGCGATAACTCTTGTGATCATGAGGCACCACTGTCTGTGATGTGGGTCTACAAAAGGCACTTGTTAACTCTCTCGCACGATGTGGATGACACTTACGAACAGGACCCCTCAGGAATCACTACTTACTCAATTTTATCTATTTGATAGTGGTAGCACCAGGTTTGCAGGTTTAACGCTGCCTAACACTGGCTTCACGCACCTGAGGAGTGACGATGACCGTGAAACGCCTCCAAGCAACTGAAACGTACCTCGCTCGAACCTGCCATGCCCGCTCGATCATTCAACATTCATCTATCGATGCAATAATGAAATTTAAGCGGCGGTGCTCTATACTTCAATCTAAACGCCATCAAAGTAACATTGACAAATGGAGCATCACATTCCTCCCCGTAGAATCTCCGCTTCTCCACTTGTACCGCTTTTTCTACAGACCACCATGTCTTCCACCGCGAGAGTGGGTATCATAGGATCGGGCGCAGCTGGGTTGATCACTGCGCACGTCCTCATTCAAGATGGCTTTAAGAGTGTCGAGATCTTGACGAGGGATAATGCGCCAGGTGGGGTTTGGGCGGCTCAGAGAGTCTATCCAGGATTGACGATCAACAAGTAAGTACGGTGCTTCACTTTGTCTTGTGTACACTGTTGTAAATTGGGCGCTTCGGCGACTCATGGAGATTAGCGGTCGGAGCATGAACCTTATGTAGATCGTAGCGTACACGAATCCGTAGCATACTTGTTTTCTTTATGCGTTTGCAACAAGACTACCGTTACCTGTCTTAAGCCAAACGTACTTTGTCGTTCATCCTCCGGGCTCCCTGCTGGTCGATTTTCATCACAAACGCATCGCCCGCTTGTAGGCTATACAAGCTGCCCGGTGGATTCCTTTCCTTCATTCGGTCACTCATTCCCACACATCGCTTCTCATGTCTACCAACATCAATTCGCTCATCGCCTCGATCATCAAACTCAATGGGTCGAACTACTATGATTGGAAGTTCGCCATGCAGATGATTCTCCGTCGCGCCGGCTGCTGGCACGTTGTTAGCGGCAAACTCTTACGTCCAGATGATGACCCTAAGAAGGCTGCGATCTGGGATTCGCTATCTGAGGATGGTCTCACTGCGATCGGGCTTGCTGTGGAGCAGAGTGAGACGGCGCACATTCGTGAGTGCAACACTGGTCCTGGAGCCTGGAAGGCTCTTGCCGCTATTTACGAGCGGAATGGTCGCGCTACGCGCATCATGCTCAAGCGTCAGTTCTACATGTTCTCCCATGAGATTGAGAACCCCATCATCGAGTATGTCACTGGTATCACCACCATCGTCAGCAAACTCAAGGCCATTGGCGTCACCATTGAGGATGAAGATGTCACCGATGTCCTTATCTACGCCCTCGCACCTGAGTACACTGCTGTTGCGACTTCCCTCATGCAATCGACTTCTTCCCCTTCCATTGCCGACATCACTGCTAGCCTCATTGAGGCTGAGGAGCAGATGAAGAAGCTCACCCCCGAAGGTGCCCTTGGTGCTCTGAATGTCAGCACACGTAAGCCCAAGTATTCCACCAATAATCATGGTTCCTCTCCCAAGTGCCATCGTTGCTTGAAACTCGGTCACATTGCTCGTTATTGTCGTGCTTCAGCTCCAGTCGAGGACACTGCTTTGGAGGATGATGTTCATGCGAAGATGGCCTTCACGGACCCTCATTACCCTGGACTTCAGTTGTTCTAGACAACTATCGCTCGACTGCAGGATTCAGATCATGCCGACGTGGCAAGTAGGAGTTTGGCGGAACTCATTGTTGGGTCACTTACTCGGAGGGTCAGTCGCTGGAAGATGCTGGATATGTAGGTTGTGGATAGGTTGATTTTTGTTGTTTGTTGTGTTATCTCATTCAGTGGGTGACTTTGTTATTCGTCGCCTTTAGCGAGTGGGTGTGTTGTAAATTGGGCGCTTCGGCGACTCATGGAGATTAGCGGTCGGAGCATGAACCTTATGTAGATCGTAGCATACACGAATCCGTAGCATACTTGTTTTCTTTATGCGTTTGCAACAAGACTACCGTTACCTGTCTTAAGCCAAACGTACTTTGTCGTTCATCCTCCGGGCTCCCTGCTGGTCGATTTTCATCATACACTACGGATCTTTATTGGTTGGTCGACCCCAGTGTGCATGGGGAATTCAGGTTCTCGGCTTTACCGATGCCTCTACCTGCTAATGCCAACGTAACCGGTGGACGACTTTCCGGAGAGGACATGCGAGCGTATATGGAGAGCTTCGCCGATCGGTTCTTGAAAGACCGCATCAAGTACGATACCGAAGCTTTGAATATCTGTCGTCGTAATGGGGGTGGCTGGGTCGTTACAGCCAAGGGTCTCAATAGTGGCACAATGTTTGAGTTGGAATACGATAAGATCGTTTTGTGTACTGGGGTGAGCTGAACGCTTACGCTTCTTGTGATTTGTGATTGGAAATAGAGGGAGCCTTTTATTTCTTGTAGGGATGCAATGAACCTCGTGTTCCTAACGACCTGTCTGCGGAAGTAGCGAAGGAAGCTGGTTTCCGAGGACCCGTAATCCATAGTTCTCAGTTTGCTTCGCGTATTCTTTCAATCCTGAATGCCGTAGACCCCAGTGAAGGAGCAGTCATTGTCGTAGGCGGTGGAAAGTCAGCTCAAGAGTAGGTGACTACGAAATGCATTTTTGTGTGGTGTGGTGGACTCACTCATCTTTAGCGCTGCATCGTTTTTGGCTAGAGAAGGTCGACGGGTGAGAATGGTATTCGAGGCTGCAGATCCCGTTGTTGCTGCACCGGTACCACTTCCTGCGTTCATTCGGAAAAGCAGGTCAATCATTTTGTCTTATGGTGTTAGTCTTCTGATTTTGATGGTTATTGCGTCTTGTGTTTATAGGTTTCTGGCACTGATTTCACCTCACGTTGAATTGAAGACGCGGCTAGAGTAAGTTTCCAATGTGAGTTTCGGATATAGAATACATTTACTGACTTTGAACGGATAGACGCTTCTTGCACACGACTTGGCTTGGAAGCAAAATCGTCAAAGCAATATGGGCGTTCCTGTCATGGAGTTCCGTGAGCACCACAAATATCAACAACATAGACATTTCACAGACATCAATATACTCTCCGCTATAATCTAGTTCTTCTCACTTAACATTCCCTCCAACTCCCCTCTCCGCCGGACTCACTCGCTGTTCTATGGTGTCCGAACGAATGATGAAGGTGTAGGGAGGCCAGATGGTTTCCACGCTCTTGTAAACCAGGGAAAAATCGAACTCGTCGCTCCTGTTCGTGTGAAAGGTTATGCGCCATCCTCGGGATCTGAGGGCAAGACTGTGAAGGTGGTGTTGAACGATGGGAGAGAGTTGACAGCTAACGCTGTAATACTCGCTACTGGGTTTATGTCTTCATGGAGTAAGATATTTGATGGTACGTATCTACGAGGTGGTTGCGAACGTCTGTAGTGGAGACGATTGGTTGACGTTGGGATCGTAGACGCTACTGCAGAAGAATTGGGTTTGAAGACATACCCAGTCAAGAGTGATGCGTTCGCGGACGAGTGGAACTATACTACACTTGACTCTTCCGTCTTGACCAATCATGAACGTGGGGTTGCCAGGGCAGCCAACATTTACAGAGGTATCGTCCCAGCGAAGAACATAACTCAGAGGGACTTTGCCATCAACGGTGCCATCGTGCGTATTTCATCGACTCCCATATTTCATTACATTTCCTGAAATGAATATCCACTTTCATTTTGTATAGTTCACAACGAACAACGGCTACGCTTTCGAAGTCATTGCGCATTGGATCTCATCATACTTCCTCAAAGACCCTTTCCTCCACTTGCCTCTAACACCCCAGGCCGCCATACAAGAAGCTGAGCGGAACAATGCGTGGTTGGGGAAACGGTACCCAAATATGTTGAATGAGATTAATGAGAGTTATAGCAGTGATTTAGCCTTTTGGAGGTACGCCCAAGCTTTCTTTGCCATGTTTCTATTGCTTGAAGTTGGGGATACTTACGTGGAATTCTCTGTAGTTGGCCTCAAGTGGTTTCGACGTTGTTAGAAGACATGAGTTTGCCAAGTTGGCGAAGTGGAGGTAATTGGTTTACTTGGCCGTTCAAACCGATTGACTTGGAGGAGATTGCGTGCTTGAAGCAAGAGCGGGATCAAAAGCGTGTTGAATGTATGCAGAAGAACTAGGCATACAGTATCCAAATTTTATGCATATCTACCAGCTGTATTCAACATAAACACTTGGCTTATTATTGCATGCGTCGAGCTTGAAGAAATACATCGGACGTGCTTCCCAAAAGTTTCATCCAACGAATTCAGCGCCCAGAACTCACCGCTTTGAAATGCTTACGTAATATTATGCGCCGACGGTTTGCCATTTCGGGAAACGTAATCGGTCTCGACAAGCACATGGATTTATTCAGCTTTATTCTTTACCTCCACCACCCTGTCTTGTGGCGAACTTTGACGTCCTAATTCGCCTTTCTCTTCAAGACATCGGTGTTATTGCTTTTGTGGCTAGCGAGCAGGAACTCGATTCGACTGTTCTACGAATAGCCCTTTGCTGTACTTCTTCCGACAGACTTGGCTCATCGCCCTCGTGCGGAACCTCAATTCGATCGCTTGCTTCTCACCAAGTCTCTCACTCTCGAGCATAGATGCCTGCTCCGAAGGCAAAGCGAGCAGCTGGAAAGGCACCTGCGACTCGCGTCGCTCAACCCATTGTTCCTCCACCAGCGTCTGTGCCTATGTCTGCAGCCCCTACAGTGACTATGGATGGAAAGAGAAAGAAGAAGAAGAAAGGAAAAGGCAAAGAGATAGCTGCAGAGCAGGATGAAGAAGACGAGGATGACGGGATGCCGCCGTTAGAGCCAGTAAATGGAACTCAAGGGGCGTATGGACACCATTCGCGGCCTCACGCACGCACGGGTCTTTCTCCTGAACTCGAGTCCGTTCATCTGTCCACGACGGCTTCTCTGTCAGCTTCAGTTGCAGCCGCGGCACGCATGAGTCCCGCTGCAGCGATCGCCGAAGCAGACCTATTGGCAACGGCAGATCATCTTGCGAGGAGCATGGAAGCCGATCCAGAGGGCGGAGTGAACGACGAATATTGGGCATCGTTTCCTGACCACCTGCGGAACTTTGTGCGGAACACTTACTCTCAGCTGAGCCAGCGTGTTGGTAATGAGGACGAAAAGACGCAGGCGATGTATGCCATTGCTCAACAAATCCAGTCGGGAGTGGGCATCAATTTCAATGCGAACGTGACTACGACAACGGGCAGAGGTCAGACTACGACGACACGCTATTCGTCTACCTATCCGTCCTCCAACATACCATCCATCTTCACGGACCCTGCGTTTATGATGAACTTGGAGCAGGCGGCGGCAGGGAATGGTATCCGGCATGCAAATGACCGGGGTACGCTGCCGCCTGCGAATGTGCTGCTGCTGAACGAGTACCAGGGGGAGGTGCAGGAGGAGTATGAAGGGTACGACGACAGCGAGGGGGAGTACGACGATGAGGAGGGGGACGTGCATACGGGCTTCACGATGAGCTACCGCGAGACGCCAGTGCACTCTACACAGGAGGTGAACGGGGGCGGGGCAGAGACGCCAGGGGGCAAGAAGAAAAGGAAGAAAAAGAAGGGCAAGGGGGTGCCGGCTTTGTCGCCGGTTCACGGACCGGAGCGGTACTCGGGGGGAAAGTTTGCAGGGGAAGCGGAGGAGTCGCCGCAGTTGTCGCCGCCATCTGTGGTGAAGACGGCAGCTTCTCCTGCTCCCAACTCCCGTATGCCTGCGCCGCGTCCGCCGCCTGCTGCAAACCCCCCGCCGAGCTCCAGAGCTGCTGGCAAGCAGCCCATGTCCTACCCACCGTCCGCTCCAGCGACTAACCCCCCTCCGCCATCGCGACGGGCAGCGTCCAAGGCTCCGATCAATGCTCACGCGTACAACCATAACCATCCTCATCACCATCCATCGCCTCCATCCTCCAATGCTTCTGCTCCACACAAGCCCAGACCACCTGCGAATGGTACCGCGAACCCTCTGCCAGCGAAAAATTCAAAGATCTGGTCAACCAGCACTATAGAAGAGCGCGAGCGCATCAAGGAGTTTTGGCTGGGTCTCAGCGAAGAAGACCGTCGGAGTCTCGTCAAAATCGAAAAAGAGGCCGTCTTGAAGAAGATGAAGGAACAGCAGAAGCACTCGTGCATGTGTGCCGTCTGTGGTCGGAAGCGGTTTGTCGTCTCTCGCTTTGCTTTGAAATTTTTTTCGCTGACTCTTGTCGATCGTTTTCTCGTCCCAAACTGCCGTCATTCAACTCCGTGCTTCAACGTCAATGCGCTGTCACTTTCCATCACAAACGCAAACGCGCATATGCAAACCTGTGCATCATCAAAAAAAACTCACGCTGCAAAACTCTGGCTTCAAAATGAGATAGAAATGCAATAGAGGAAGAGCTCGAGGTACTGTACGATGCTTATTACGAGGAGCTAGAACAGTACGCGAATTACCAGCAGCGATATATCTCCTCCGGCGGCACGATTCCCCCACCACAAGGACCAGGGCCGTTCCCGGGCAGCGTCGAGCTTGACAAGAACGGGGCTGTCATCGGCCCTCACGCGGTACCCAACACTACCCCGCGGGTCAAGACCAGCGTAGTCAACGGTAGAGGGAAGCATCCGAAGCCAGCTGAGAGTGAGTTTGACGAAGACGACGCGGAGGAGGAAGAGTATGAAGAAGAAGAATATGAAGAGGAAGAGGAAGAAGAGGAGGAAGAAGAGGAAGAGGAGGATGGTGAGCCTGAGGATGATGATGATTTGAAGCCTCCACAGGATGAACAAGTTCCGTCAGGTCGAACGCGAGCTAAACCAAACGGAAGAGATGATCTCATGAACTTTGGGAATAATCTCACTGTCACAGGCAAGTGTTCTTTTGATATGTGTTTTGCGTTACAGTCTTTGATCTTGACGTTCGCAGGTGCAGGTAATATTCTTACCGTTGCCGACGATCTCCTCAAGAACGATGGACAAAAGTTCTTGGAAATGATGGAACAGCTTGCCGAACGACGTATGCAACGCGAAGAGGAAGCTGCGGCATCTATTGAAGAAGACAGCGAAGAAGAGGACGAGGAAGCGGAGGATGAGGAGGATGAGGAAGACGAGGACGAGGATGAAGACGAAGACGAAGAGGAGGAGGTACGTTTGTCTCGCTCATCTCACTTTTGTTGAATCATTTTGACGCTCTGTAGCCCATGACCGAGGAGGAGAAGCTAAAGGAGGGCAAAAGGATGTTTTCGATATTCGCGGCTCGGATGTTTGAGCAACGGGTACTTCAGGCATATCGTGAGAAGGTCGCACAAGAGCGCCAACTGCAACTTCTTCGTGAGCTTGAAGATGAAGACAAGGTCTCCAAGGAGAAAGAGGCCAAGAAGCAAACCCAGAACCAGAAAAAGAAGGAAAAGAAACGGTATGGCGTTATGCTCGTTGTTCGTTTCGGTGCTTTCCTGACTTATTCCATGTCGTGTGACCAGACTCCAAAAGCTTGCAAAGGAGGAAGAGCGTGCGCAAAAGGCTGCTGAGAAGGCAGCCGAAGAAGCAGCTATCAAGGCCAAGCAAGCTGCTCAGGAGGAGGAAATTCGGAAACGACGGGACGAGGAGCGAGCTCGACGTGAAGCCCAGCGTAAAGCTCAAGAAGAGGAGAAGGCACGTAAAGAGGAGGAACGGAGGAAACGTCTTGCGGAAGAGAAGGAACGCGAGGCGGAGCGTGAACGGAAACGCAAGGAGAAGGAGGAGAAAGTCAGAGCTGAACGCAGAGAACGCGAAGAGCGGGAACGCAAAACGCGCGAAGAGCGTGAGGCTAAGGCTGCTGCTGAGCGTGCTGCTCGTAAAGAGCGCGAGGACCGTGAGCGAGAGGAGAGGGAGAAGAAGCTTGCGAAGGAGAGGGAGGAGAAGGAGAAGGTGGAGAGGGAGAAGGCTGAGCGCGAGAAGGCTGAACGAGAAAAGGCGGAGAAGGAGAGAGCTGAGAAGGAGGCTCGTGAGCGTGCGGCGCAGCAGCTGCAGCAACAACAGCAACAGCAGCAACGAGCCAAGAGCTCACGTCCCCCTCCGTCGCCTCGTAATAATGCAGTCGCGTCAGGCTCGAACATGCGTTCTCCTCCTAACAATGGTCTTGCACCCAAGAAGATCCTTCACAAGACGACCCCCCCCTTGCCTCCTTCTCCAATGATACAACCACCTAGGCCTCAACAACATCCGGTACGTCCTTCGGTCGTGACAAGTCCTCCACCTCCGACACCGATGCTGTCTCAGATGCCTCCTCATCTCACTCCCTCCACCCCTCTCTATTCTCCGGTGCAAAGTATGATCCCTCCTCCCGGAATGTCCCCAAGACTACCGTTCCAGCCTTCTGGTCCGTATACCGGTCAATTCGTTGCTGGACCTTCGATGGCTCAGTCAGCACCTCCCTTGGCGCCTTCCGCTTTGCCACGAACATTCGGCGGTGCAGGACCTTCATACGATCCTATGCTTCCTAGTCGTAACAATTTGGCTCCTCCAGCTCCTATCGGGCCTCCTTCCAAAGCAGTTCAGAACAACCCTCTGGCTTCTCCAACGCAACTTGCTCCCGGTCCTCCAAGACGTCCTTCCATGCATATGGCTGACCCTGGTCCAATTACCAGGCCTATAGCTCCGATTGCTCGTCCTGCTGGTGAACCTACAGGATCAGGATCGACGTCCCCAAGTCGTCGATCTCCTAGTCCGAAAGGTGTATTGGGTTCTTCAGCTCTTGCTGCGGACGATGACGAAGTCATCACTGCGCCTCCTCGTCGTAGTGTGGCTCCTCCTGTAGGTTGGGGTTCTGCAAGCCCTCGTGCGAACCCTACGCCGTGGGGAGCTGTGGGACCTCCTGCTCCTGGACCTCCTGGGTTGTCACCGCGTATGCCGCCTGGATGGAACCCGTCTGCTGCGACCCCTACGGATTGGCATCCTTCGACTCCTTTCTTTGGTGCACCGTTTGCACAGACTCATAACCCTTCACCGCCTCCTCATACTGGTAGTTGAGAGGTACTGTAAGAGAAAGCAAAGAAGTGGAGGGTTTGTAGCTTTCATGTAGCTCTCGGTAGCTTATTATAGCATTTATCCCCCTTTTTGCTGTCTTCGAACTTGTTCTTTTCTGTCTGTCTGTGTGTCTGTTGTTCTGACAATTCTTCAATCGTTGTTCTTCCGCCCTACTACATCACTACATCCTCGTATTTTACCTTGTTTCTTTGACATACCTGCAATCTGTTCTTTCTCCATTCCGATCTTGCTGCTCACTCATTCAAATTGCCACACCCCCACCACGTACCAGCATTGCTGTCACTGACCTTGATGATAATGATATCAAATACAAATTGAAAGACTCATTTACAAATGACCATGAAAAATCCACGTGAGTGATCGATATAAATGAGATAAGTTTATAAGTTAGAGTAGTTTGCTAGAGGCGGCTGGAGCTACTCTGCTCCGTATGAATTTGATTATGTATAGAGGAATTGCGCTAATCGCGACGATGACGGCAACTTTCCAGGCGAACCGAGTGGAGAGGGCGAATGTCAGATCTGAGGGAATTGGTGAGTCGATGATGAACGGGTCTCGGATGATAGGAGGGTGAACTAACCGAAGTATTCCGGTAAGAAAATCATACTGAGCATGTAGAAGCAAAGAGTGACTATCTCTGCGACGACCATGTAGATATGCCTGTGCATGATGTGCATTAGCAAACAAAGCAAACAAGGCAGGCTACATGAAATGGCGGGCTGACCATGTTGTGATTTCGAGGGCAACCATGATAAGCTCGTTGAGAATGAGCGCGGTGAAGGAAATGGCGACGATATTGAGGAATTCGTTCTCGAAAAGAACCAGGGACATTATCATGATAGCAGCACCTATAAAGAAATTTTCAGAAGACGGACAAAAAGACGAAATTACTAGTACTCACCTTGGTACAGACTGATCATCAACCAAATAAAGAATGTCTTATATGACAGCACCCGACCCTGTAAACGACGATTGTAAGTTAAACATTTCAGATGACCAAAGTATGAAGACTTACCTTGGTCAACTCCTTATACAGTTCAGGATACAGAAGCGCTAAATCCTCGCTGACATCCCGGTCCAGGACCAGCGAGAACACCGGCGCCATCGTATATACGGTGGCATATCCTGCCATAAGCCAACCTTGGTACAACGCGATTGGCGCGAAGTAGAAAATGGCTGAAAAGACGGCTTGCATCACAGAAATGATAAGTCCACGATGAATGACGAATTGTGCCAGTTTCGCAGAACGCCTGTACGAATTTCGGCCGTGCCATAGAAGCAACTTCGTGAGATAGCTAAACTGCGTAACGGAGAAGTCGGCCGCTAATGAGGCCTGTTTGCCTTCCTTTCCGACGATACCGACACCTGTAGGACTGTGAGAGGGTGAAGACAGGGAGAAGAAAATAGTCTGCCTACCGACGTCTGCGGCTTGTATCATACTAACATCGTTGCCACCGTCACCGATACAGCATACACGTTTCCTTGTATGCCTTCTGATGAGTCTTGCAACATCTGCTTTCTGCGTTGGTGAACATCGACATGCTACGACGGCTGAAAGCTTGGTAGCGATTTCGATGAACTCGTTCTTGAACATGTTGAGGCAAAGCTGTTGAGAAGATAAGTTAGAGGAAAGAGAATGTTTGATTAAGGATTGGTTCGACACACCTGCAGCGAGTCTCCGTCAATGACCAAACAACAGTCCAGCTTGTTCTGAAGGAACTCCAGTTCATCGCGAACCTGATCTGATGTCTTGACTGCATATACCGAGGAAGTGTTAGTGGGTATAAGAATAATAGCGGAGGTACTGACGCTTGGCGACTTGGTGAATATACTGATTCCGTGCAACAAGTTTCGTCGAGATAGCAATACACGTTGCTGTTTCGATCTTGTCACCAGTAAGCATCCATATCTTGATACCTGCATTTCGCAACAACTCCAGAGTCGATTTGACATCATCCTGCAACTTGTCTTCGACACCAGTCAAACCCAGAAGGTCAAGATCATGCTCCAGATACTGCGCTACAACCTCTGCCATGGCTTCGTTCCGACCCTCGAGACGGACGCTCGCTTGATGATACTGCTGTTTGAACTCTTCATAACTCGATTGACTCAGCTTTCGCCGCGCCATGACCAAGGTACGAAGGCCTTCACGAGCCATGTTAGCGCATTCTTCTTCTAGCCAGTCGTTCCGTTGCACGATCTTAGCCATGACTACATCGGCTCCCTTCTGAAGGAACGTGATCTCGCCAGTCTGGGAATCACGTACGACGATACCCATCCGTTTGGACTCGGACGTGAATGGGAATAATTCCAAAACTTCGAAGTTCATTCGGGAGCCAGTTGGGGTTTGAAGTTCGATTCTTGTGCGGTCGCGGGACGTTAGTGTGAGACCAACAGATCCCGTCCATTTCACGATGGCGACTTCGTCAGGTGACGATGCTTGGTATGTCACTGTACCATCATCGTTTAGCACTGGAGTAACCTGGTCTCGGGTTAGTATTTCTCATGAATGAGATTCCGAAGAGCGCACATTGTGGCATAGGGCCAGACTGAGGACCACGTCGTGCACTCGCGACGACATATCTCTTCGTCCTCTTGAAGCCAATTGTATGCCGGTAACTGTGGAACCATTTCCAGGTTCCGTCGAAGCGCCGAATGCCATAGCTAGCTGATGGGCAACTTCATCCATAGAGTCGTTTCCGTATGAGACAGTCCCCATATGGAGCTTCTTCATTTCCATCTCTACAATTGAAAGCAAAGCGACATTAGCAGAGATCGAAACTGCAAATATACGGATATAAGCACCGTTCTGTGTGAGGGTACCAGTCTTGTCACTGAGAAGGTACTCTATTCGACCAAGTTCTTCCGGGAGTGTGCTCGTACGGACGATGGTAAGGGGTATCTCGCTGTCTTTCATGATTTGCTGGGCATACACAGTTTTGCCCATGTCCAAATTCACACGCAGACTGAAAACAACCTTAGGAACATGTGCACAGTACGAAAAGAACAAAACATACCTGATGGGTATAATGGACGAAAAGAGAATAAGGAAACGGAAGATATAGACGTACCACTGTCCGCGGAAGCCGTTCAGTGCTACCAGCAGGACAGACAAGGCAAATGTGACTGCGCACAGGATCTGTTCCAAGTCAGTCTGACACAACGTTTCTGCATAGCGACGATTCCTACCTTTGCCAGCCTATTAATCTCGATATCTAGAAGACCAACCTTGGTCTCCGGATGGCTCGTATTCATGACTGCGCGAGTCTCTGGACCAGTGTATATGATGAAACCAATAGCAGAACCTGCTGCGAGGACGGTATTGGACCATAAGATATTTTCAACTGTTAGAGGCTCGACAGTCGGCACTTGAACCATGGGCACATCGTTTACGGAGTTGGTGGGTGGAAAATTAATCGTGAAAGTGCCAATGAATGTGTGAATATCCTTGATGGGCGCATCCGCTGCATAACTAGAAGTCAGAACAGTTTTGTAAGTTGCTCAAGACGACAGTATGTACCGTATATCTCAGCGTCCAACGTTAGCAGGTCGCTATCTCTACTGAACTTTTGGCATCCCGGTACAGCGACACGGAGCTTCCAATCCGTTTCTCCGTCCAGCTGGTCCGTACGGATGAAACATGTCCCTGAGGCATCCGAAGTTCGAAGTAGCACGAGATCGGCAGGCACTCGGTCGTTCTTCTCAAGCAAGACCAGGTCACCGACACTGAGTGACGAAGATGGCACAGCACGGGTATGTGGGCCGCCATCTGGGGCGGAAGCAGAGTAAGAGGTAGGCTCCAACACCAGATACTTCTGCGAATTGGCTTCTCGATCGCGAAGGTTCCGCTGGTAATCGTCGTATGCTTCTTTCCCTATCGTAACACACAACACAAATGCGAGAGGGGCAATGTAGGTTGCGATGAAACCTGTCGGGTGACATATCAGTATAGAAAGGTGCATAAAGAAGGAAACGTTGTACCGATCTTGAGAGCAGGAATGAACTGCGACAGGGCGACCAGCAGGAAATATAGGTTGAAGAAGAACTTAAATTGCTCGTAGAATACGATAGGCAGGAATGTAAATGCGTTGTACTTTTGATTGCGCACGATATTGGGTGGAAATCGTTTCCGGAATTTATCTATTACACAGCTTGTTCAAGTAGACGAACACCAGGAAGTAGACATTCGCTTTACCTGGTGGCCGAAATGGAATAGTCCGCGACTTGTCATTCACAGAAGACTTGTGCCTTTTCAAACTGGCCAACCGCTAGACGTTATGAGCACAAGACACGCAACATAATGATCGCGACATACCCGTGAGGATTCTGGCTGTTCGTCGTATCCACCTTCCTCACGATGCTCGTCCCCCAAAAGTGTGGCCTCCTCTTCAAGGACGTCCCTGCGCTTACCCTTCCTGTTGACTGTAGCCACAGCGGCCGCTCGAACGTTCATCGGCATGCTGTCCGAAGCACCCTCTTCGTTGTCAATGGGTGAATATTCGTTACTGAGGGCAGCGTAACCAGCTCTAGACTTTCGTGATCGACCAAATGTATGCAGAGGGAACTCAGACATAGACTCGAACCAGCATGAATAGAATCACTACACTCGACCGAGAACTCGGGAAAGTCGGACACAATGCGCAGCAGTGGGTGCGTTAAGACTTGGCGTTAGCACCAGTCGACAACCTCTTGAATGACCCAGGAACCGGATGAAGGGCCTATAATCAGGATGATACGGCGTAACAGTTAATGGAAGAAGTGGAAGAATATTAAACAGACATTACTATCGCTAAAAGTTAGTAGTGTGCAGGGGAGATGGGGTTAGGGTTTTATATTATTAACTTATACAATGATGCTTGCACTTCCAGCCAAACGTTCAACTTCTTTCCTCTGCACCGAATAGCAGAAATACTGTAGGTACGGAGCCCTTGATCTAACGGTGTCATGTTGATCTCACATGTATATATGGAACTATGTCGTCTTCGGAATTGACGCATAACCCGCGCATAACGATCCATTGGGTGAAAATTGTACAGTGCTCTGTTTAAGAATGCGCCATTGCAGAGCATCACCGTTTTACCGTGTCTTGCCAGGAGTCAAAAGTTCAAGACATGCTTACTAGCAGCATGTATTCGATTCAGCTGTAACGGGATTGAGCGAGCCACTTCTAGGGTACGCTGTCGCTTTAGACTTATCCTTAGGCATTTTCGATACACTTGCCGTCCTGACCGTCCGCGGTGGTCAACTTTGTTGTCGTCATAGCCCACTGACCAACTCGATCCTGCTTCACAATATATGCGACACACAAAGAGGCTCGTAGCACACCCGAGTAACTTCGTCAGAACACGTCCGACCAGACCCTGAACCGACATGCCTTCCTAAAAGTCTAGCGCTATGATAGCGAAGTGCAGTCTCTGCCCATTAATGGTCAGTACTATGATGGATTGTAAAGGTTGAGTCCTGCTAACTTTGTACCTCCGCAGGACCTCCCCTATCAATGCGATCGAATCTGACAGTGGAATACGCGATGTGAAGCTGAGGGCGTTCTCTTAAATTCGACCAACACGTCGTCAGAAACTACCTCATAAGCCCCGCATGTGGAAAACTACCCCAGACCAGGTCTCCGCCTGTGACTACAAACGTGTGCAAAGATCTCCTTGTTTTCATCATATTTAGCATTCTCGTGATTCTCCAGCATCCCTACCTCATCCTCTGATGCCGCTAACCCCACTGGTGGAAGCAACAACAGCGCCGCTGTGACTACTTCAGCCCGTAGGGCGTACTTGCCCTTATTGCTGCCTGCGGTATCGCATCCCTGTCGGTTTCATTGCCCTGAGACACTACAATACCCTCGGACAGTCACACCCCGGACGTTCCTTTCCCACTATCGTCTCATCCCTCGGACTCTCGACTTGTCTACCTTGTGTAGCCTCCTTTCCTCCCCGCTGTTAGATTGCTGTATGTGATTCTGGTGTGAAATAGTTCTGTCGTTAACACCTCTGCTTTGATTTATGTTTTTTTATTATCATTTTGCTTTTCGAGACTCGCAGGCCGCATACTTTGGTGTTAAGATAACGTACAATTGTTTAGGTGTCGACTATTGTATATGTTCTAGTTTTTTGACACTGCTGGCTTGTACAACGGAGAAAGTTCCCCAAAGGGATAAGATGGTTGCGGCGACTCCCGGGGTAGGCAATTAGGAAAGTCAAGAGGTTCGCGGCGTCTGCGTGAACTTCAACCTCACTCTGAATGATATCCTCGCTGTCGGAACAGTGAGAAAGGGAAAGGATTATCGTGGAGCAGAAATCGGCCGCTTTGATCTCACGAAGTGCATATAGGCCTCTCTACTCTTGGGAATTAACGTGGAAAGCCAGTAAGTACCGGTTCTTTGTGCCAATGTGAAACCTTACCTCTTTTATTTACGAAACGGCTGCATCGTAGATTAGCACACTCGATTCAACGTTCTTCAGAGGTTCGAACTAATACTTTCTACCTATCTTGCCTGTGTTCCGACTACAGCCTGCCTGAGCCACTCGTGAGTGATGACCACTCTCGCTTCTAACTTGTATTCAGATCGCGTGGCTATACAGGTCAAAGTAGTTTGAGCCACTCAGTGTCACGCTCTTCCGCAAACTCTTACATTGTCCTGGCCAAAGTCACGCGTGTGGCAGTCACGTATAAATCCGCAGGACCCTCCGCCAACATGGGGCTCTTCAACTCTTTGTTGTTCCACAACTACCTACCTGGCGACTGCCACCACTCCGACACTTGTCACAGCCACTTCTACTCTCTTGCACTTGATACAGACTTCGACGCCGACTTCGATATCATTATGGACGACGCGACTCTCCCCCAAGACGTCGAAATGCACGACGAGGCACGCGACACCGTTGCACCACTCGATGAAACCAAAAACAGGATACGGAACCAAAGGCGGTTGCCTGGCCGTGAGGTTGCCTCCGTCCAGGTACCACAGACCACTGCCGAGGCAGTTGTACCAGGCTTCCGAAACGCGATATCTCTGCCGTTGCAAAGTAAGTAAAGAGAGTCGTGAATAGCATCCACAGTCACTTATGCTGGTACTTCTGTAGGTCAGATGACTCCACTCAAACCCTCACTCAGTGCCATCGAAATGGACGACGGTGTCTGTGACCCGGAGTTGAAGGCATTCATACAGACAGAATTCAAGAAGAATGTCATCCGTGACTATCCCATTATCGACTTCATTGATCGCGCGTGGCACACTACTCCATCTCAGATACCTCCCGGCGATTACGCGCTCGCGCAGGAGCAATGTAAGGACTATCTCGGAGCCGCAAGGTATTCGAAGATGTCCAAGTTGAGGAAGCTAGGGGAAGACGGTCCACCGCTCATCGGGCTCGCTGAGAGGGCAGAGACTCGGGCATGTGTAGCATTTCAGGCGCTCTTTGAGAAGTTGGCTGCATTGGTCTTGGATCGATGGAAGGAAGAGGACGCTGAGGCTGCTGCTGAAATGGAGAGGACGCGATTCCAGGGGACTCTTCGGTTTTTGAACGAGAAGATCGTCAAGGGAAACTACGCGAACATCAAGCCCGATTTTGGGTATGTAACGGAGAACGGCGAGAATGTGGATGCGATTTCCTGGGATGCCTTCGGATTATTCGGGGAGTTGAAGAAGGCGGATGGGGTATCAGGTCCAATAGGAGCTCGCAACGTGGATAAATCTCTTTTAGATGTGAGTTGTAATGTTCATGTTGTTGTGATGTTCCCCTCACTAATCCTCCCACAGCCGGAGAGAGAGGAATTATATAAACCTCCTCCTGTTCGCAAGAGCCGCAAACGCTCGAAGCCAGACTCCCCAGTTGAAGAAGGACCGTCGTCAAAGCAGCGTCGAGATAGCCAGTCAGACTCTGTGCTAACCAGGAAACCTAAACCGGATGAAGGTGTCCCTAAGACGCCCTCGGCGGTATGTCCAGATGTTACTTTTATCTCTGAAATAATATATTCACTTTGATCCATAGGCAAAATTGACTCCGCAGGAGACTGCGTTGCTGAAGTTCAACGAGGATGAAGAGGAAAACTATTCAGAATTCACGAATAATGAGGTACAAGCAGCGAAGTACTTGAACGAGCTGCTCTCACACGGAGCTCGCAACTACGCTACCGGATTCCTAGTTGAAAACAAGAAGATCAGTCTCTGGTACGGCGATCGCTTCGGGATTATCAAGTCCCGGCTTTTCAACTTTATTGAAGAGCCTCATTACTTCCTTCTCATGGTCACTGCCATATTTCGCGCTTCTGATGCAGACCTTGGATTTTGTCCCCTGATCCGCAACGTCCCTACCAATCACCTGTCATACGATGGCGCCACTCTCAAGGTTCCAGCTGCTGTTGACATCAGCAACAAGGCTATTCCCGGCGACGTGGAATTCGAGGTTAGTCTTACGGAGCCGGAGTCTATTTTCACAGCGTATGGTACGGTTGGACGTGGAACGACCGTTGTTCCGATCACGGCAGTTGGGCCAAAGAACTGTAGGCGATTTGGCAAAGAACGACTTGTTGCGAAGATGTCCTGGCAGCCGGTGAAGCGATACGAGGAGGGCCACATCCGGACGATTCGCCAGACGCTGAAGAAGAGTAAAAACAAAAGTGCGCGTGCTGCTCTGGCATACATCGTGGACCTCAAATGCTCGTCGACTCTGGCCATCAATGATCCCAACGTTAATCTCCCGCGAGCCTTCATGACGCAACTGCCTGAGATTCCGGAAGATGAGAGGCGGAACTTTTGCATGCTCGTCATGAAGGAATATCTTCCACTTCAATTAATTGATACGGCAGACGAATTGAAGAGGGTGTTCCGCGACGTTGTGACAGGTATGGTTTCATGTTTTCCTTGAGTATGTGTCAAATTAAAGCTTCCATTCGCTAGGACATCACTGGGCTTGGACTGTTGCCGAAGTTCTTCACCGAGATCTCAGCATTTCGAATGTCATGTTTCACCGAAGAAGAGGTCGTGTAATTGGCGTTTTGTGTGACTGGGACCTCGCCGAGACGAAGAAGTATCTTAGTCAGGATCCTGAGCTGGCAATCGACAAAGGGAATTATGAGGCCTACGCAAGATTGTACACCACCGCAAACGACAGCAAGACTTGCGAGAACACCAATGGCACATCGACCAAGACCACGAACCGTCCCGCCAAGCAGTTGGATAACGAGCCAACAGTTGATGAAGATCAAGATGATGATAGCGTCCGCCGCCGCAAAGCCAAATATCGAACCGGCACAGGACCATTCATGGCTTTGGACTTACTTGCTGCAGGGCCTGCTCCGACGCATCTTTATCGTCATGACCTGGAGTCCTTCTTTTGGGTCCTCGTCTGGTTTATTGCCACGCACAATCCAGTCATTCATGCCCTTGGCCGTATAAATCAATGGCAAGGCTCAGACCTCCAGGCCGTGTTTGCTGCCAAGGCTACTTTTTTGGCCAATGATCAGGCGGCCGAGAAACTGTTGAAAAGGCGACATTCACAGTATGGCAAGATATTGGTGAATACTGTCGAACCGTTGGTGAACTTGTTCCATGTACTACAAATCAAGGAAGGCAAATTGACAGTACTCCGGCGAGCCTATATTAAAGCTTATCTGGCAGGAGACCAGCCTCAGCTGAGAAATGTTGGTGAGAAGCTTGTTTGTAAAGTGAGAGCAAGAAATGATTTCATCACATATGAAACTTTCATGTCTTACTTGTAATTCATTGTAGTAGTATTGTTATTTTAGTCATTTCAGTTTCTAATAGAGTGATATGTAATGAAGTCTGTAACTCAGCAGTAGTACTGTTGCAAAATATTTAATGGACACTGAAAAAGTGTAGTACTCATCTGGCCTTGCTGTATATGATGACTAACTCCTAAGATTAAAATTCACAATATTCTAAGTTCTGTTTTTTTTTCTTCTCAAAATTATAGACCTTATAGCCATAAAAGTCTTTAAGTGTGATATTTATTCAAAGTCTAAATGTATAGATATTAGTATCTGAGAATTTTTATCTAGAATTCTCTATCTCTGTAAACTTTAACTTTGTTGCTTTGAAGGTTTATCTGTTTATTTCTAGCTGCAATTATCTGTTATGTAGGCTCTGAGTTTTATCAATATAGAAATCACATTTTAGTTTACTTTATATTTTATCCATTGTCTAGATATTTAACAAGCTTTCTTTTTATTCACTATATACAAACTAGCTTCTTTGCTATGAAATGATTTTAAAAAAAAAGAACATAAAAAATGGCCCATGGTTTTTTATCCTTACTTGCTAGCAAAAAAAAAAAAAGTGATTAAAGAAATCTAATTGTTTTTTTTTTTTACTGAACTTATCAAAAAGTGTTGAAATAATTGACATTATTTACAGCATTGTTTTACACTTTTACTATGCTCAAAAGGCAGACTTTATTTACAATTTATCACTCAGAAGAAAATGAATTATGTCTTTTGAGCATGATAATAGTATAAAACAATACTGCAAATAAAGTCAATTATTTGCACACATATTATGATAAGCTTACTAAGAAAATAATCAGATTTTTTCAAATCACTTTTTTCACTGGCAAGTGAAGATAGAAAATATAAACTATTTTCTATATTCTTTTCTTAAAATTTATGCACAAAATAGTCCAGTTTATATCTAGTGCTAATAATTCTAAATAAATCTATTCAGTTATATCTCTAATATAGAATAAAGATGTTTATAAATTTAAATAAAGATGAATAAATAAGAAAATAGTATATAATCTGTAATTACAGATATTTGGCTCTAATTATAACAGATACTTGAAAGATAGAGTTTAGTAGAGATCAAGTTATAAGTAAGCCAAATATAAATAACTAAAGATACAAATATATACTATTAATATTCTTAAATAAGAAATATACTTCAACAATCTATTAGTGGCCCAAAAGAGAGTGGTTGCAGTTTGTGGCTTGAAAATGTTATACTGCAAAGATATATATAATAAGAATCTTATACTATATTAACATATGAAGCAAATCTGCTGAGAAGAAATATAATTGAAATTGAAAACAATTTCTTCTAATTAATAGTCTAGATATGCAGGCAGTTGAAGGCTAGCCTAGTAAAGATTAGAAGTTTATTATATATTGCATTAAGCAATAGATACTTGCCTGCAACTATAAATAAGTATGCTATATCTATAATATAGATCAGAATTGCCAAAACTTTATAGCTAGTAAGTGTATTTATTATTACTATTAATGTGAGTCTCTATAAGACAATTATAGCACCTCTATAGAGTAGTTGAGAACTTAAATGCAAGTATATATTGTGCATAACTCATAAAAGAAGTTGTGAAAATCTAAAAGTCTTCAAATTTTTGAATAGACATATTTAGAATAGTGCTGTATCTGATAAAGCATATAGAGGAGAGTGACTGTAGAGAATCTTCTCTTTCAGATGCATTTCTATTCTTGAGGTTATGCCAGGATAGCATTATAGATAATCAGAGCTGAAATATTAATAATTTGAAATGTAATAGACAATAAAGTTAGATAAAACAGACTTAGTACTGCAAGTAGGATATAGATCTCAACATAAGTCTGTAAACTAAATTATGGCAATTAAAAATAAATATGTTTTGTATTCTAGCAAGCACAATATACACTATTGAAATAAATTCATCTGGAGTAAGACCTAGCCCTGACATGGCAGAGTGAAGAATGGATCAACTGAAGATTTGAGATTTTTGACAAGAAAGAGAAGAAATGCCAAAGATGCTGAGTGCTAAGTACCCAAGCAAAGCACTTATAATATATAAGCTCACTTCTGATGAGATCTGAGCAAACACAACAAGTTGAGGAAAAGTTGGTTGCTCAGAATCGCACCAAGAGTTCAGGGTTTGTTTCGCCATCTTCACAACCAATGGATAGGTCACAGTTAGACTCAGTGAGGGAGTAACCACGAAGCCTTCTCTCTCAGCTCGCGGAACCACCTCATAGCTACCAACACCGATCCAAATCACAAACTCACCTCAGTAATGATTTCACGTGTCTTTTCGACATGAGAAGACTCATATTGATTCGTGATGTAGACAATGGAGCCTACGAAACCGATAGGCTTTATTCAGTAGGTGGAGACAGGCTCATACACAATAGTATAGATCAACATGAAGTGAGGGGAGGCGGAGGCGGAGGCGGGGTACGTAGCGAAACGAAGCAGGAAAGGTATGAAGTGGTCCGGCTATCTTCCAGGTGTGTGCAGTCAGATTGCGCCGCCAATGAGCTCAACGGCATGATCCACACAAGCACGAGCGGATATGTGCGAGTTGCCGAAATTCTCCAACATTGGTATTGAAAGTATTGACGCAGGTTCTGAGATCTTTCGTCCACGTCCTACAATGATAAGCCGCTTGAGATTTGGTCTCAGGACTTGTCCATCCCTGAATACTGCAAGCACCACGCAGTCAAAATCTTCGTCTATTAAGCTTCGGGCTCAATCGAGTGTCCGAGACCAGCGGGAAGATGCCAGTGAAAACGTACCATGACAAACGCAAAAAGGTGACCCCACCATCCGAACCGTCAAGATTTCAGGTCCATATAGATTACAGGTGAAGTGACCTGTGCTGACAGTGACGGGACGTTCGTACGTATTTGACTCGACGCTACCCATGCTGTATATTCGAAGAATGACAAACGCAAAAAGAGTGTTTCAGTGACTGTCGCTTGACTGTCCGTACAACCTGAGGTCTTATCGACCACAGGCCCTACGGTAAGTCTTGGCTGAACAGTTGGCTGAACAGTCCGATTCGAGACGGTGACGGGGGATATAATCGCAGGACAGCGAATATGCAGTCCAGTAATCGCGAACGTCGTTGGACCCTGAAAGTACATGGATATCAGCAACTTGATTGAGATGGACGAGCACAACTGAAAACGCGCCTCACCTCGTTGTATCTGATTCTGGCTGAAGATGCACATGGTGAGACCGCCAGCGGCGATCTGATGTATTGACAAGTTGCGTTGAGGGGAAGGAAATAAGAGGGAGGATGAGCAGACATGTTGAGGTGGTTGGAGTCGTACCACGGCAGCTATGCGGTAAACTGATTCGAAAGCGGAGATCGGCAGAGGAAAGAGATAGGAAGGCGAGTGAGTTGTCAATGGGAGGTCTTTTATAATCTCTGAAACCCAAGCGATTCCCATCGTTGGAGACTTGACTATGAACAGAGATGTGACAGACATCACAACGAGACCTGTAGTTGCGAGAGCAGGGAACATGAGGGAACGACGGCGGAAGGTCAAGCGTATAGCTGCCATCGAGAATGTCGATATTTAGAGTTGCAATGGATCGTGTGAATTGCGAGGGACGTGCGTTCGTTGCTGTTGGATATGGATCGTCCTGAAAATGCGGGTAACAAAGCTGAATAGTCGACTTAGATCTCTGGTAGGTTAGAGAAGCAGTCTACACAGACAAGCGTTTGACATGGTTTTCGCTGGAGACCAGATGAGTTGGGGAGATGGAGGGGATCCAAGAACGGGTGGGAAACGAGATGAGAAGGGAGACGAGCTTAAGAGTCGAAATACGTGTGATCGGGCGGAGGGAGTCGAGAGACTACGAGCGGAGAGAAATCAGCAAACACAGAAGGGGCTGCACACCGGGCTTATCCTCTCCACCCATCCGTTGCTATTCAACCGTAATAATGTAGAGGTGGAATCGCAAATCGCAATGCAATTCACTATTGGTCAAGCCATGTGGATGTGTCAGGATGTGTCGCGTGGTCCCCCGCCACAGTCGATCATCTACCTGATCGTCACCAACTTGAACTGCATCGCGAATTGTCCACAGTATACGAAGGACTCTATGATACCTCTATCGAGGCGACAACGCAACATACGATGACCCTCCGATTGAGATCGTTATGCCCAAAGAGAATTGACATCGAAGTACTTATCATTACACTGTCACCCCTGGTCGGATTCCTTGTATCTGTCAACGTATTTAGTACGTGTTCTGCCGTGGCCGGATTGCATCACGCGCTTCTCGTCGGGTACTTCTTATGTTGTTTCAACGAGGACGAATGCAAGTCGCGTCCAACGGGCGCTATAGGAAGTTCAGTAGCAGAGGTGGAAAGGTTTACTGCTCAGGTCGGTGGATCCAGCTGTTCAAGATTATCTACTACGGCTATTACTGGACCCGGTAATTCTCCAAGATCAAAGCCACACCCCAACGCTCAGCCACCCTCGTCATCGAAAGACAAACAACAAGCAACAGATAGGCAAATTCTCGTACGCAGGTCAGGGTGGTTTTATGGTCTACTTAGATGGCGTATGTAAGGGAAACAGGAAGCGAGGATTAGTCGCAGGTGTTGACACGTTGTTTGGGTACCCAACGTTTGTCTCCATATTCAATGTCTTGTTTTATTACTAAGTGAAGCGGAGACATGAATGAACACGGTGCGGGAGGACAGACCAACAATCGTGCAGAATTCATCGCAAAAAAATCGTGTTTTTCATATGCTTTCTCGCTGACTTATTTTCTAGGAGATCGTTCTAGTATTGGGGACTCGAAGGATACCATACAATGTTGGTACATGTCTCACTTCTATCGTTTTCAACTTGCAGGATCTTCTCGCAGGTCTCAAAGATCAACCACCAAAGTGGCATTGAAATGGATTCAAGAAGCCTCCAGGAGGAGGCGCGAACAATCTCGACATTTATCAAGTAATGGATATGTTACTCGGTGAACAGATGAAGCGTGCCCCAATGGTTCGTTTTTTTTGCCTTTCTCTCATTATCCATATTTCACTGAGCAGTGTCTGACTCTACCAAGTCATCGTTGTGAATTTTCCATTTCCTTTTCGCAGAATAGACGAGACGAACACGTCCCACATTCGCTTTACGTCGATCTCGAGTCTGGCGCGGTCGACGACGTGAAGACTTGCACATGCAGGTCTCTCTGTCACCCTAAAACCCTGATCTCCGGAACTGAGGACACTGCGAATAATCGTGAGTCGTCTTGATTATGGCATCCAGTAATGGCATCGTCTGACGCGTCCTCAACTCAGATGTTCATGAACACCGTTGGCGCTGAATTGATTAGCCCAGTCATGAACACGTTCCATTGTCTGGCAGACGACCGCACCGGTCTGCAAGGATTTCTTCGTCTTCCACTTCTTCGGTGGTGGATTCGGTTCTATCGAAGCTCGCCATCAATGGTCCGAACGTCAATTCCCCCCACGCATTCATAACGCAACTGTCTGAGACTCCGGATGATGAGAGGCGAGATTTCTGCATTCTAATCTTGAAAGAGTACCTTTCATGGTATTCATCGATACGGCGGACGAACGAACGAATATGTTTCGCCACGTCGTGACGGGTAAGTACTCTTCCATCTCCCTTCGGCATATATCGTCCTGAGGCTTCTTCCTATCTGGCGAAAGTCTCTATTCCAATACAAGTCTTTCAGGTTTCTCCCACGTTCACCGTTCATGCTGCAGCTCAAACTAATATAATACTTTTCGTTCTCAAGATATTGTAAGCGCTGTAGGTATTTGTTTTTCAAATTTCAATGCGTTCGATTCTCTGGTACCAGGTGGCATTGGCCGTTCTTGCGCGTTTGAGTTAAACTGCACGTCCTGTGGGTACGCTTTTGTCTACAATTATCGATATGCTGGCTGATGTATAAATACTCGGTTCCATAGGCCATGAAGCTCTTCAGAGGTGATGTCCAAGTCATTCATCCTATCAAATGGAGACACCTCAATAAATCGACATTCGACTAAGTGACTTGTGACTTTTCAGCCCGGAATGCACATCCTATTCAGTCGCAGGCTAGTCTGGATACTCATCTGCTTTTTTGGCGGGGTTCTCGTTCATAGTCGCCGCAGGGCAATGCTCATCCGCATTCGTTCCGCGCTATGATGTGTCGATTTGCCCCGAATGCCTTGTTTTTCACCAATGCCGACTCTCTCATGACCGCTCTCCGATTTCTTGTGGCGTCATTGACTTTTCACTGGTTGGAGTCATTTGAATCTGAATTGGCCATCTTCTCTCATGGAGACGGATACGGCCTTCCGAGGTGTCACTCTCCACGACTCATACTAGCTAGCTAAGTGTTGAAAACCCACAGTGACGGTTTTCGGAATCATCCGTGCATGTTTCATGGTATCCTTGTATTCATGGACGTTCCGCAACCCACATCTTTGTTCCGTGCGCACTCCGTTAGTAGCGCAATCATCCAACCTCCCATGGACATCGAGGTTGACTCGATTAGTCCACGAGAACTTCGAATCATCAAGACCGCTCGCAATCTAGACAACGCCCGACATCTCACCCTGATCTTGTTCTCCTTGGTGTTCATTCGTTCTTGACATTCTGCGCAGAGATCCGGTATTAATGAGACGTATTCACCCTTGTGGCAGGCCTACTCATCGGTGTTCTGATACCCGTCACTGCACCGCAAACAAGTACACCCCTCGGGGTTCACGGCTGTTCACGGCTCTCGGTGGATTCGCTATCTCCTCTAAGGTAACACAATTGCCTCATTGCTCAGGGCTGATATTATGAAAGGGTCCTACCCCCAAGTAGTCTAGACACCGAGCGGTTTATAATTTGTACTTACTATCAATAGATACGGTCATCGGGAATATTGATTCCAAGGACGGTGACGTGTACAGTTACTGCGGCAGTATGCCACGGATGGTTCTCAATCAATACCTATTCGGTCGTGCTCCTACAAGGAGCCACACGGTCCATCCGTATCGACAACTCAATCGTTGATCCAGAGTTCCTTCTGACGCTAACGTTTTGACTATCGATCGTTCATCCTGCCTTGAAGGGCTTCCATGTGCGGTTCTACTATGGAAAGTCTTCTCGGAAATTCTGATTCTAGGAGAAGTCTCCGATCATCCCGAAAGACCTTCCCTCTCAGAACCCTCATTTGTGAATACCAAAATGGGAACCATTGTCGGCCGACCCAGCATAGCATTCACGTTTGTGTACTGGTTTGCACGAGTCATCTTCGCTACATCGAACCAGCGTGGTATAAGCATTGCCGGGTGATTTCTTCAACTTAGCTCACGTCTAAGCCAAACTCACATGAAATTGCGAATCACATCATGAAAGAGCGTTTGAGGAGGCCTGATGAATTATACATGACGAAGATCTGCATCTGCAACGAAGGAGCTATTGCGTATCCTACGCGGCTAGACCACCGGAGGAGCATTCCACTCGACGAAAATGGACGTGTCATCAAGAAACTGCAGTTTTCGCCTAGGCCGAACAGGAGCGCGTTTGGCTGTATGTTCACGCACGAATTCTTCTGGAAGGCCCGCCCACCGATCATAGCTTTGCCATATGTACGTTCCAAGAGTGGGAGGAGCTGGAGCACGAGTATTACTGAGATATGTAGGATCGAAGCTATCCTTGAGTTGGATAAATGCCTCCAAAGCCTCAGCTGCCGTATATCGAGTAGATATATCTGGCGTAATCATGCCATCCAGGAATGGCGCAAGAGGTGGCGCAAGAGGCGTCATATACTAGAACGGCTGAACATGTCAGTACCTGCCCGGTACGAAAGAGATAAAAGTAAATGACATACGCCTATGCTTTCGCAAAGAAGACCACCTAAGCACGCTACGTCGTATGCGAAAGGATCATAAATGGTTTCCCCGTTGGCAGCGTCCGGCGGATGAAAGTCAAAATATCCATCTTCACTGGCCGACGCAGGACAGACCCGCTCTGCGGGCAGAGTATCTGAAGAAAACATCATGGAGATACTAAAGTCGCAAAGCACGAATCGAGCCTTCTTTGAGGCAAAGAATGAGTGGTAGTGGCTGTTATATCGGCGCCCGCCATAGCTATTGATGAGTATGTTGTTAAGCTTGATATCCTGGAGGAGATTGAGTGAGACATTGGCAGTGATACTAGGGCAAAGTACCGTTACCCTATGTACAATCAAATTCTTGTGCAGAAATGCCAAAGCCTGTTAGTTCAACTATGAGATCGGTTCTGCAGAAGTATCTTGACTGATACTGACCTTCAACATGCATAGCGCAAACTCAAAGGCCGTTTCAAGACAATCAAAGCCATCGAACAACACAGAAGGTGTGTCGCCCCATCTTACGCGGAGATGAGCATAGAAGAGAGCCTGACAGGTAATGATCCATACCTGGGCATGATAACGAAAGAGATCTCATCACTATAGGTGAGGATGTCGAGAACAGGAATGGTCAAATTCAGAGGATCCGAGCACTGTGGTTCAGATACAAGACGCTTGAAGATTGCGAGCTCGGGATAATCATGGGGTAGCAACTTAATGACGATGTCCCGGCGCTGCACATTTACCGCTGCAAACAACCCGAACTGATAATTCGACTAGTCAGCGTCGGTGAGGAGAAAGTAAAGAATCCATACTAGTGCAAAAAAGCTTCGATCCTCTGGATTCCTGCTTTCGGAATGAGCAAAAGGGAACTTAGCGGGGGATTCATTGAGAGTGTAAACAGGCTCGTTGGAAGGATATATCACGTTTCCCGAAGAGCTACGAGGATAGAGGATGTAACCTTTGGACCTGAACCATGGTTCTAGACTGTCCCATAGTGAAACCATGTCGTTTGTTTCAGCAAGTTTACACAGCGTGGAAAGATTGATTGGCAGAATGGTAGACAATGAAACAGGGCCTTTCTCAGACCCCATTGTACAATACAAGAGTGTCTGGTCGAGAAGGTTGGAGTGGAGATGGATTTCGACTTCTACGGAGAGCGATGGAGACCCTGCAATCTGGTGGCTATGTCGCAGACCTAGTTTTGGTCACCAACTACTCACTACAAGGTGTCCAGTGACAGGAAGCGCCTATGAATCAAGATCCCTTGTATCGACTCATCGATAGTTCACGTTTCTCTTGCGGACGACAAGCATGTCTACGAACGGAGACCCTGCTGAGCATGACTCCCTGGTAAGTGTCACTCTGACTGGTATGAACTCAACAAGTCCGTCTGATGGAATATCATGGCAGAAAGAGGACGAATAGCCCTACCAAGACTGGAAGGTACTTTCCAGGCCATAGCATATCCTTACCGTATTGACATTTTGGTACGGATTATCTTCGTCTCATAACATTTTCTTCTGATCCAATCTTTCGATGTCACACTTCAGGATCTAATAGTCACCTGGCAGGAGCCCTGGGCGTATATAAGTACCTGGGAGTTGGGCAAGATCTTTAACCCTCTCCCCCAATTTCCTCCTCTTGCATAGTTGAATCGTCTTCTATAGTCAGCGATGAGCAGACGCCCCGTTACGAAGTTCAGGGTACGTCGTCGTTACCATGATTCACTGAGAGAATTGAATACCATTCTAATCAATGTTATAGACGGGTGAAACTGTGTACCTAAAGGTCGCTAAAGCCCCCCTTCCTAGAGGCCACCCGGTCAAAGTGGAGGTTGTCCACACCAAAGGCGTACGTCTCACATCATGGCGCTCAGCTAACTGTGTAACTCATTGTTAGTATCCCAGCTAAACACCCGTGCACCTGCCACTAGCACTAGTCTGGTTTCCTACTCTGTTTCTTATGAAGCTCCGGTTCAGTACACCGTGCCTGCACTTGGTTCTCTCATAAATCGCCACAAACTCGAGGTATCAGGGGTGAATCCTGACAAGACGTTCTATAGTACTGTAAGTCTTTACGAGTTGTTCGTCCTGTTCGGGATGCAAAGGAAGCTCGTTGTTTACCATTATTAACAGAACGGGACGGCCAAATTACTGATTCCCTACGACGTAACCTATAACTTTGGGAATAGGTCTTACACAGTGACGGTGGCGGCTGGGACTCTAGTCACAGTGAAGTCCCGCGGGAGCGAGGGCGGACAGGTATATTTCAACCTTCATCAGACATCTAAATGACCCTCCTAACTGGCCTTGTCTGCTGTCAGCGCTTCCCAACCCATCCTAAGCAAGCGGTGTATAATTTCCAGTGCGACGTAGTTCACACTAAGATTGAGAGGCACAATCTATCGGCGGGGTTGGAACACAGTGAGATTTCGGCTACGCCAGTGTGATGACATGGCTGGATCCGCAAGTCCTGCAATGCACTGTGCTCTCTTCATTTTGTATACAGAATCGTATTCCAGTCTTATCCGTGTTAAATAAGTCTTTTTGAAATACAATAGAAAAATCTTGGCATATTATTCATCGGATTGTATGTTGCGAATGGTATGGCGCATGGCCTTCAATGAGACCCAGCATTGAGGCATAAGTCCGTAATATTGACGAAAATCAGGAATGCAAGCACTTCTAAAAAGTTTCCTTCAGGATGCCCTAGAAACTCCTATATCATACGTTACTGCTCCAATCAACGCCGGTTCAATACAAGCCAGTACTAATATATAACGAAGACAATCGATGAAAGCCGGAAACTTGTCTGAGATACATCGATAAACCCTGGCCAATCGTGTACAAGGAGAACAAATGCGGACTCTACTCATCGCGAATTCCACTCTACAAAGTAAAATGTACCATCCACTTGCGCCACCTTTCGCCTCGGCCTAACCGGAGGACGATGAGCACTGTATTCCTTGACGAATTCTTCCGGAAGTCCGGCCCAACGATCAAAAGCTTGCCACACGTAGTCTGGCAATGGTGGGGGCGACGGTGCAGGTGTCTCCAGACTTGCAGGGTCTAAGTTCTCCATCATGCGAATATACGCCTCCAACGCTTCCGCCGCAGTGTAGCGACTAGAAATATCCTGTATAATCATGCCATCCAGGAAGGGCGCAAGAGGTGGAGCAAGAGGCGTCATATACTACAGATTTAAAGAAGTGAATAAACTGATGTCCTCGTAGAAGTATGACGGAATAACGTACGCCGATAACATGACACAGAACACCGCCCATACATGCAACGTCATAGGCGAATGGGTCGTAGACGGCCTCTCCATTTGCTACATCCGGTGGATGATATTCAAACGTGCCCCATGTACTCTCTTCCGCCGGACAGACTCGAGCAGAAGGAGGCGTATCGGGAGGGAACATAACAGATAGGCCGAAGTCACAAAGGACAAATTTGGTCTGTTTGGATTTGAAAAACAAACGATAGTCGAGGAGCAAGCGAGGATCTTCATCGTAGTAATTAACCAATACGTTATCTGGTTTGATGTCCTACGGAGAATGTCAAAAACAGCACCACGCAAGATAGTAGGTTGTCGTCTTACTCTATGCGCGATAAGATTCTTGTGGAGAAAAGCGAGGGCCTAGGATCATCCCATCAGTAATCAGATACAATGAAATGGAATACTGCCGTTGACCTTAAGCATACACAAACCATATTCCAACGCTGTCCCAAGACAGTCGAAGCCGGTCTGTTCCAGATACGATGCCGGACCCCACCTGTGTGACTCATTCAGTGTCTCGAATAGTGCATCGACAGATGTCTTACCTTGGCATCACGACGAAGGAATACCGGTGGTCAAAACGGAAGAGGTCCAATATGGGTACAGTTAAGTTCAAAGGATCTGATCGCTGCGATCCCGACATTAGATACTTAAGGATCGCGACCTCGTCGCATTCGGTGGATAGGATCTTGATCATGACGTCTTGGTGCTCTTTGCTCACTGCCGGCCACAGTGAAGGCTAAAGTACGTGCTAAATATAATGTCCCATTGCAAAAGATAAATAAATGAAATGGACATACCATTTTATGGAATCTCATACGATCGAAGATATTCTTACTCCCAACATGGGCGTAAGGGAAGCTTGCCGGTCCAGGCCCAAGTTCGTACATTAAAAGATCAGTTGGGAGAGGGTCTTCCGAGGTAATGAAAGGGTAAATGAAGTATCCTCGAGCGTCGAACCATGCCCGAAGTCCAGTCCAAATTTTGGCCGTCTTCAAGACACTGTGGAAGATGGCACTGATATCATCTGGTATAATAATATCTCTCAAACTGCTCCCGTCATCGGAAATTGACATGTCGAATTCGAGAATTTTAGTGCCAAGTTTTGGCAGTAGCGTTAACGATTGAGGTTCAAGAAAGAGCTCTCATATCAATTTCGTGCGATGGTTCGAGTTGAACGCGAACACTGGCGTGCGATTTGAAAGCGGAGTTCTGATCAGACTTACGATAATCACCGGACAAAGAGGTCTGGCGTACAATAATGAATCCGAGCCGCAAGTTACTACCATCGACCTGCAGATGGCACATGAGTCCACTTCAGTTGGCTAATGGACCAGCAGTAGGACTCCAAGTCCTACTGCTGGTCGTTTGAACCTAGTAGTAGTAAGTACACCGCCGGTAACCTATGACTATTAGCGCCCATGGTTAATCTTACCATCCTTGTATCATAACCTAGGCTCAGTTTCAAATTTCAGCCATTACAGAGGAAGACAAATCGTCGATCAACTCCGGGTTCTCAGCAAAGGAGGCTCAAACTGGACAGCTAGCAGAGAAATATAAAGGTGATATTTTCCTGTAGATAACCGTTAGTTCGCTCTGTGCATTCACCATCGTTACTGCACCGAAGTCATTGATGGACGTTGTACCAGACGACGTTGTTTTGCTCCTTTTACAATACTGTGAGGTTCCTGGCCTCCTGAAATTCAGACAGGTGCGACTTAAAACATGTTAATCTCTATGCTTCTCATATGGCTATTCTCTAGACGTGTAGGAGAATTTACTCAATCTCCCTCGCGAAACAGCTATGGGTGACCCTCTACTTCCGCCACGTCGTAGGACTTAACCTACCTACCCCCACATACTTGAATGAGATTGATTCACTTTCCCCAACGCAGCTGCAAGCATTCGTTCTTCATTCCCTGAGATTGTATTACCGCACCGTTCTACAGCCTGATTGTTGCTCGCCAACCATTGTTCCATTTCATCGATCTCGTTCGGTAACATGGGTTCGCCTCATATACTCGACATGGCTCTTGGTTGCTTCATCCGATTGCACCATCAGCAGTATTGCACTCTGGTCAGTCTACGATCTTCTATTATCCAAGCAATCCTCGAAGCCAGTCACGGAAGCCTATCTTGAAGCACCCGTGAGCAACGGCGTGATCGATATCATCGATGGGCATGTCTTTATTGCTTTGGAACTTCGTGGAAGGTGAGCCTTCAGCCTATGCCACATGCTCCCTGTTAACCTCCCATTTAGAGTTCCCATAGTCGAAGTGTTGACGATAATGAATCGCCCCAAGCGGCCAATGTTTCACCACCTGCAAAGCGTTTGCAACGTGCCCCATATTCGTTTTCTCCGGGGCTCAATGATAGGAGCATCGCTGCATGATAACATTAACGTTCCTTGCGTGTTAAATTGGAGGCATGACATTACTGAGAGGTTACGAGCCGTTCCCGATTTAGAGGTGCATATCATTTTCGATTTCTTTTGCCCTACTGATCGATTCGTCTTTCATAGGGTGGCTCTGTTGCCATGCATATGGAAGACGATTGGATCGCTGTGGTTCGACGACAAGTCGTCGAGGTTTACATATTGTCCCCCGACGAGGGTGGTGACTATCGCTTCTGGAGATCCGTTAATTTACCCCACAAAGTCGGCTCTGCGGCATTCTCCCCTACAGTTCGCCGAGGTCCTTCAAATCCTAAGAGCCCACTGAGGCTATGCATCGCCTGCGATGATGGAATGTTTGTTTACCAGCTTGACTGCAACATCTCAGCGGGTTCGCTATCCCTTGTCGCATTATGGCATTACACTGCGCCTCGAACGGACAAGTACATCTTCGAGGCCTGTCAGGTGTCATTTGGAGTGACCGATGGAACCGTTTCCTGGTTGCTGAGCGCTCCTCGAAGTCTGGAACAGCCAGTCACTTTCGCTACGGCCAGAATTCCTGTTGGTGATAGCCATGCGACGCCACCAACGTTCGATTGGTATGATGATACAATGCCTGGCCAGTACTGCATGGGTGTTCGTGATTACGATGAATCGCGAGGGATCGCAGTCTTTGGAAATGCCTTTGGGGAACTGGCTCTGTATGATTTCAGTGGCTCGGATGCATCTTTGTTTGACGGTGCTTTCCGCGAGCTGAGTTTTACGCCGTTAGAGGACGGGGATCTCCTTCCTACAGTGAGTGCTGCCTCTATCTTCATTTCTAGTTTTGCTGAAATGCGTCGTAGGACCCGATTGCATCCACGCCGGCACCCCCATTTCCCTATAGCGGATCATTCTGTCTGGAGGAATGCCAGCCGATGATTTTCGATTTCTGGAAATCGTATAGGCTTGTTGATGCACCGGACGGATGGGAAACGGACTTCAAAGATAGAAGATGGTTCAGTCTTTTCTCAGGTGAAGTACGGGTTATGAGCTGGGACGCCTGGAGCCTGGAAAATGCCAGTCACTACTATGGTCGACCAATCCCTCTCCTACGAAAAGACTGTGGGTGGGGTGACATTATCATTTTCGATGCAGGTGGTCTATTATTCTTGTGGAATAGTGAGAAGGAGGGTTTTGACATTGTACATCCCGGCGTGACACTGGAGGAACTTACCTGGTTCATTGATTCCAAACAATATGGCCTCTATCAGACCTCGCACTGCGATGGAGATCGGACTCAGGACCACCGAGGTTCACAATTCTACACGATGTGGTTATGGGAAATAAAGTATATGGGCCGCAATGGGTGGCAAGAGTTACATGAACGTGGTGGGCAGGTTCACCCCGATTTGTTGGACAACGAGACCCTACAACAGGCGCTGCTTCCTCTCCTTTGATCGCCAAGTTGCGAGTTCTCCCACCTCGCGACGTGTGCATGAAGCTGTATAATTATTTAGTGTACACCCTTCCAGGCATGTAAGCTGGTAGACACGTATTCATTGTATTATGCAATCATCTACTATGGCGTCGTAGCGAAGAGCACTTGGATTGCACACATGTTGATCTGCGATACGTCTTCTTCTCTCCAGGTCCGTTTCGAGCGTTATAGAAAATATGCAGGGCCTCGTACATCTATTGTAATGATATCGGAAGCAATATAGAGGGGGGAAAAGGAGGCTTGAAAGGTGTTCCGTCCTGAAGACATGATCCTTGTCAGAACACGTTGCACAAAACCTTATACAGGACCCTTTACTAGTACTATCGGAATGAACCAATCAGAACTGTCTTGACGTCTTGAAGAACAATGATACAGTTCTCCCGAGCTACATTTGAGAAAGGAGACAATGGAACTCATGAATCGGAAACAATTTACCAGGTAACACGCACCGCCACACCGCTGTTGACAGGCCAGAGAGTCATGCTTCTCCTCTCCAGATGTCGGAGGCAATACTCACTGAGACGCATTCAGGTAAGGAATCAAAGGATATGCGAGCATGCTATTACTCATTGTGATGCCAGTGGGAATGTTTAAAAAATGGACAAAAGCAACTCACATAGAGAATAATTTGGACAAGGGTATGATATGCTCGAACGGTACAACCGCTACCCTATACATGCGAATAAGTCAAAGTGAAAGTGTTTATGCCATAATCCTAGTTACGAAAGAAAGCCGAAATTCTTAGAGACGACGCAGATTGATATATAACTCGGATCAGTACACGAACTGGGGGAAGCGGGTTGATTTCTAGCAATAGTGGGCGTAATCTTAATCGACGAAATAGGATCTGCCCTCGAACTGAGGCACTTTACGCCTAGGCCGGACAGGTGGCCTAATTCGCGTATGCTTCTTGATGAAAGCATCGGGAAGGCCAGCCCACCGATCACGAGATTGCCATGGTAAAGGTTCCTCCTCTTGCGGAGGTTGTGGTATGGGTTTACTGAGATACTTTGCGCTGAATCTTTCCGTTAGTGCAGTAAAAGCAGCGAGTGCTTGGGGGGCAGTGTAACGAGAAGAAACATCCGGTGTGATCATACGATCCAGGAACGGCGCAAGGGGCGGCGCAAGGGGCGGCGGAAGAGGGGTAAGGTACTGTATCGTTAGAAAATAAGCAGATTGTCCTACAGGCGAAGAGTAGTAACAGAACGCACACCAAGAACTTCACAAAACAGTCCACCTAAGCACGCCACGTCGTAGGCAAAGGGATCGTGCATGATGTCTCCATTCGCTGCATCCGGAGGGTGATATTGCGGGGAACCACATTCGCTCTCGAGTGCTAGACACATTCGAGCTGAGGGAGGGGTATCAGGTGGGAATCTCACCGATAGGTTGAAGTCACAGAGGGCAAATTTCGCTCTCTTGGAAGCAAGAAAGGGACGATAATCGAACGAGAACTCATTGTTGAAATAAGTATTGACCAGAACGTTGCTCAGCTTGAAGTCCTATGAGCGGAACTTTAGAAGCGATATAATCCAGAGCAACCGAAATATTACTCACTCTGTACGCAATGAGGTGGTTGTGCAGAAACGTTAGCACCTTCATAAGTTGATAAGAAGCGTCGATTACAGGTGTCGAACATTGGATCGCCATGGCAACTTACCTTCAACAAAGATATGACAAAGTCGAACGCGGTCCTCAAAGAATCAAAACCGCACTGATCCAAACTATCAGCGTTGCCCCACCTGTTCGGAAGGCTGAGAAAGTAGATCTTAACGAAAAAGAAATATGTATGCCTCATACCTCGGCATGATAACAAATGAGTACTCATCGTTATAATGTAAAAGCTCCAGCACGGGGATAGTTAAGTTTAGAGGATCAGACCGTTGGGGTTCAGAAATGATATGCCTGAAGATGTCGAGCTCGGGATTGTCAGATGGAAGCATCTTGATGATTACGTCTCGACATTCCTTGTTGACAGCTGGAAAGACGGCGAGCTGATAGGCACAAAGGAGGGGTGAGCTGCATAGGATCAAAGACAGAGACTCCTACCTTAGGAAGGAATGCCCGTCCTTTCAGACCCACATCCTGAGGATAGGCATGAGGAAGTTCTACAGAGTTCTTGCTAAGCTCATAGACAGATGACCCTTCTGGGCGTGTGTTTCCGCTGTGGTCAGGGTCTTGAGGATATAGCGTATAGCCATACGTTTCGAACCATGGTTTTAGCGCACTCCAAACGAGGTCTCTCTCCTCATTTGACTCCCAGAATCGAGAGAAATCGGCAGAAATCGCGGTGAAAGGAGAGAGAAGGATATAATTTCTGACTAGATTCAAGTGGCACTGAACTTCGAAGGGTTCTGGAGCGCGCGGTGGCGGTGTTTACTATCCTTCAGATCTGATTTCGGTCATGCACAAAATTGAGACGCAGCTGACTTTATCATTTATTCTGCCTCGAATGAGTTTCCACTGGCGTTCAACCTCTCTCCTCTTGCACTGGATAACAGAATTGTCATAGGTACGGAGTTCTCGATTTGACAGGTGTAGAGGCTACTGTTCAGATACAGTATCTTCGGAGTTGACGCATAATGGTTCATTGTGTCGAAGTATATGATGCTCCCTTTAGCGCCATTGCGGAGCACCACTATTTACCGTGTTTTGTTAGGAGCCAAAAGTTCGAGACACGCACACTAGCAAACATATAGTCGATTCAGCTGCAGCAAGATCAAATGAACCTCTTCCGGATCCAGGGTACGCTGTCGATTCAGAATTATGCTCATGTCTTTTCACTACTTTTGCAGCCGTCTTTGGTAGTTCCTCCCAAAGTACCAATCGCTTCTTCCGCCACTTCGCGTTCTGCCTCTACTGCCACTACTCTGATGCACAGCCCTCGAGACGAGCTCTGCCACTCACTTCATTGTCGCCATAGCCCACTGACCAACTTGATCCCGCTTCACAATATATGCGACGCATGTGGAGGTTTGGGGAGAACACATCCGACTAGGCCCTAAACTGACATGCCATTCTAGAGTTCTAGAGGTATAGCACCGATAGAAAAGTGTAGTCTCTGCAAATCAATGGTGAGCACTACGACAGGTAGTAGAACTTGAGTCCTGCTAACTTCGTACTTCTGCGGGTCAGAGGACCTCCTCTATCGATGCCATTGAACCGGCCATTGATATCTGCAACCTGAAGATGACGGTATTCGTTGAAGTAGAATTCGACCAACACGTCATCCAAAACCATCCATAACTCATTTCATTTCCCGCGTATGGAAAACTACTCCAGACCCCGCTTACGACTGCGTGAGTGCAAAAAGTTCTCCCTGTGTTCATTGTCTTGAGCATCGCTGTTATTCTCCAGCGCCTCGGACCGCTCCTTCAAGCAGTGACTCGCCTATGAACACCGGCTCAGGCGGCGCTGCACCCACGAACACTGCTCCTAGTGGCACATCTTCCGGTGCCGCTAGCCTATGACACGGTGCCATTCTAAAATCCTGACGTACTCTGCAGTTCTCTGTTTTAGATTTCACGCTCATTGGAAGGAGGCGGGCAGTCTTTCACGGTGCTTGACTGATGTCGCACCACTGTAAGAAGTCACTCTGCTGGTTCTCACAATGATGATTGCATATCTTGTACCTCCGAAAGCCCAGCAATCCAGGTCCTTGTTCCGTGCTCATTCCCATTGCATGGATCAGCTACGCCAATGTAAAATAGCTCCCGAATACAATTTGATCGACCAAGCAGAGCTTCGACTCCTCAGAGCCGCGGTTGTCGTTCGAGACCTGATGATAATTGTCATCCGGATACACAATCCATTACTCTCGAAGGGCCCTAGTTTCTGAAGAGATCCAAAACACAAACAGTGTGTATGCTACCTGATTCGCTGCAGTTCTGGTATGCGACATACTAGTCGTCTTCCTGGGCATCACCATCAGGCCCAGGACATGTCATTATCCTTGAAATCGCCGTGGAAATCTTGCTCCTTGCCAACAAGTGATATTGGAGGATTTAACAGTAGTTTGCGATCTACGATTTCTATCGGCAACGATGAGAAGATCGATTGCAAGTATACAGCTAGCATGAGTACGCTGCTCAATTATGCCAAATTCGTCGTGCTCCCACAAGGAGCCACAGGGTCCTTCTGTATTGTCATTGTATCAACAGCCCAATCGTTGATCCGGCAAGAGGCCTTCTGACAACGTTTTGATAATCGGATTGTTCATCCTGCTGCGATCAAGGGTCTTCTAACACACCATTGTATTAGTATCGGAAGTCGAGTGAGTGATTCCTTGCTACTGTAGAAAGTCTGATCCTGTCCGATGTTGATGAGGAGAAAAGTTGCTGTACTACCAGAATCCCGAGAAATCATATATTCCAATATCATAGTCTGTATGTAAGGGGGCCCTAATCAGAAGCCAGAAAGTTCACGGGAAATCGAAAAGCCACCGTCCTCGCGCCTAGTGCAGGCATTCATCTGGAGACCATCAGCATGCTCTATTAATTCAGACTAGGAGCATTCCAATCAACGAAATAAGAATTCCAGTCATCGTCTAACTCCTTTCTCCGTGGCCGGACTGGCCCTTCAGGGGTAGTGTGCTCCCGGACGAAATCCTCAGGGAGGTCGGCCCATCTATCATAAGCCTGCCACACATAGCTGGGAGGCTGAGGAGGCGGCGATGCTGGAGTGTTTAGATATTCAGGATCCAAGCTTGCCTTCAGTCGTTCGAGTGCTTCCAGAGCTTCCAGAGCGGTATAGCGGGATACGATATTTGGCGTGATCATGCGATCCAAAAAGGGTGCAAACATAGGGACGAGCGGAGTTAAGTGCTGTCAATGGTTCAGGTTAGCAAGTAGGCCCGACAAGGTTGAAATGCAACATACTCCGATGAGTTCACACAAAAGACCGCCTAAACATGCAACGTCGTATGCAAATGGATCATAGACCGTCTGTCCATCAGCTGCATCTGGAGGATGATATCTGTATGAGCCCCAATCACTCTCAGATGCAGGGCATACTCGTGCGGCAGGAGGCGTGTCCGGAGGAAATATGACAGAGAGGTCGAAATCGCACAACACGAATCTTGCTTTCTGTGATGCATAGAATTCGCGACAATCATCATACACCGCATCACCATTGTAGAGATTGACTAGTATATTGTGAATCTTGATGTCCTTTTGACCGTGATCATAAGCAAGACAGAGCGAATGCGTAAATGCCAAATGCATACCCGGTAAGCGACGAGGTTGGAATGCAGGAACGCCAATGCCTGTACACATGTGAATGAGATATAACAATACTTCCAACATCGACCACTAACCTTAAGTATAGAGAGAGAGAAGTCGAATACCGTTCTCAGACAATCAAAGCCAGTTCTGTGCAGACCTGCCGCAGATCCCCATCTGACACATGGATTAGGACTGAGGCTGAAGCATATGAGGGCAACTAACCGAGGCATTACGACGAAAGAGTACATATCATCCAGGTTCAAAAGGTCAAGTACAGGAACAATTGTGTTTGAGTCACCTGAACGGATGTCTTCAGCCGTAATATGTTTGTAGACGTTGTATTCAGGACTGTCATTGCGAAGCAATTTAATAATCACGTCTCGATGTTGTTCATTGACTGCTGGAAAGATGTGCATCTGGATATGAACACATAGGCCTAAGGGCTCGGACTGAAGAAACTATGTGCAGATCTTACCTGTGATGTGAATACGCGACCTTTGGGAGTGGCGTCAATGACATAGGCATAGGGAAAATGAACGGGTGCGCTAGAGAGATCATGCACAGTAGTAGTAGAGGGCATATTCGTTAGGTGTGGATCACGGGGGTAAAGGAAGTAACCTCGAGTCATGAACCATGACTCGAGAGAGCTCCAGAGCTTGCACTTTGCTTCATGGGAATCGAAAACTTCCGAGAGGTCATCGGGTATGAGGGGAGATGGAGCCTGAGGAGAATGCGCAGATTCATAGGGTACCCCCATAGTTTTGGCCGGATGAAGTGGAAGAAGTGAGTTCAGTCCTGGATTGAAGATCGGACAACGGGTGACGGATGGATGTTCGTGAGGCGGTGCAGCGACGTGACTTACTCACACAACAGGAAACATCTTGAACAAGGTTACGATACCCAACCTCGTTGGAAGCGCCCGTGTTTGATGCTGGACCATGTTCCCCAATCTGAGTAGATCATGGATACTAGTTCAATCAATTATTCCTGCAGGGCAGGAACGAAACAAGGAACCATGGAATGATCACAGCCGCAAGGCTTGCGTAAGATAATCATCCCATATTCACTACTTCTTCCGCGCTGATCGAAGTTTTGTCGACCACAGGTAGGGGTGGTAGATTCATCGATTCATCAACGTTCTACTAGGAATGTGCAAGTCCCGGGACGGTCAATCCTTTTTCGTGTAACACATGTTGTTCTGATTTATGTTTTGGAACGGAGGAACGGCCCTGCTGCGCGTTTCCATTGTTTCTTGAAGGTATAAAGGGTCAGTAGTGCAACCCGGTGTAACCGTCAGTTCTATCTGCTTGCGTGTTTCTGCCATCTTGGTGGTTTGTGTCTCTTCTCAAGATTGAAATAAACTATCATGGCACCCTTCAAGGTACGTGCATTGGTATAGTCACATCGTCATCATTCAGCCCTAAGACTCCGACAGGAATCAGATGTTCTATTCTTGCAGAATACGTATGGTAGTGCACCCAAGAATACGAAGGTAACGGTGGACAGAGTAACAAGCGTCGGGAGCAACAATGTACTGTCTTCGAATCTCATTGTAATATTCTAATACGCCCCTTATTCGTGATGCCATCTATCTGCAGACTTTTCCTCGCCCCACAGAGAAGACGGCACGATACCAAGTAATATACACAAAGCCTGTACAGGAAATGGTCGAGGTCATTGGCCGCGGTTTACCTCACGACTCGATTGTTGTCGATGGCGCAAATGCATATACCTTTTGGCCTGTACGTATTTCACGGCTTTGTGTCTCAATGCAAGGAAATATTGATCGTCTTCAACAATAGGAGGGAAGAGAGGGCAGACTGACGAAACCTTTCACTGTGCAGGTGACGAGCGAAGGTCGTTTGCAGAATCGTGTACTTTCAGTCGGACAAAAGGTTACACTCCTTGCTGGCCGGGATAGTTCTTCAACTAAGCAGGTAATGTTTATCTTCTGATTGGTGCTCTTAGTGAAACCGTACTTGAGCTTACACCCTGTATTCACAACAGAGTCGTCCCGTGACTTACCGCACTGCTCTGTACAAGTTCAAAGTCTACGTGCCGGTCATCACCTATGCGGCAGCTGTACTCAAGGATCTGAAGCACACGGACATTGCGAAAGACCCTGCTTAGTAATATGCATACGCCGAAGTGATTCAGTGGTTTTATCCTTTGCTTGAGTATGATTGTACAACCAATTTTGTTGCTTTCCGAGACTCCATATCTGTCATGAATATATCAAACCTATGTCCGACATTTTGTTTGCTTCTCGTCCACCCGCCTCAGGAGCTGACCTTATCTGATGTCGACCAGAGTAAACCTAAATGCACAATGTTCCATGCATGCAGTGCGCACTGTGAATTCGCTACCTGTTATATTCATAATTGATGAACGTGATAAACATTGCACGATATGGTTCTATCAAGCCGACGATCCTGATTCTCCATAATCAACAGCATCACCGTCGATGAAATAAGTTGTACCAGTCAAAAGTTGGATCTTCCGTTTCGGCTTCACGGGTGTATGATTCCGGGTATGCTCTCGCACAAAGTCCTCTGGAAGACCTGTCCACCGGTCATGAGCTTGCCAAACAAAGAAACCGCGCTCTGGAGGATCAGGAGCGGGCGTGGCAAGGTGATCAGTGGAATAGTTTTTCATCAATTCAATAAATGCCTGAAGCGCCTCCGCCGCCGTATAGCGAGTAGTAAGATCGAGAGTAATCATGCGATCAAGAAACGGTGCCAGTAAAGGTGCAAGTGGAGTCATATACTGTCGAAATAATGAGTGACTACTTAGCCATTCAGGAAGACCTACTTACACCGATGACTTCACATAGAAGACCGCCCAAACACGCCACATCGAATGCGAAAGGGTCATACATCTCTGCACCATTTGTTGCATCAGGTGGGTGATATCGACATGTACCTATATCACTCTCAGATGCAGGACAGAGGCGAGCAGAAGGCGGGGTGTCTGGAGGGAACATGATGGATTCGCCAAAGTCGCAGAGCACAAATCTGGTGCGTTGTGACCTGAAAAACGGTCGATAGTCGAAGTCATACTGTTCTGTGTTGTAGCAGTTAATCAATACGTTGTCCAGTTTGATATCCTGCCATCAGTAGAAGTTAGAGACGTCCAGAGTATTAAGAATATAAACTCACCCTGTGCGCTATGAGGTTTTTATGCAGAAACGTCAAAGCCTGACTGTGGCGTCAGAAGTAGATAACGAGGAAGAAATGCTACACGCTCGCCTTCAATACACATAGTGTAAACTCGAAAGCAGTTCCTAGGCAGTCAAAGCCACGCGTATGGAGGCTGTATGCCGAGCCCCACCTATCCAACGTCATAAATACAGCTGATATAAATGCCACGATAACAATTGACTTACCTAGGCATTACAACGAACGAATACCTTTCGTTGTATGATAATAAATCAAGTATGGGTACTACAGTGTTTAGCGGGTCAGAGCGGAGTGGCTCTGACATGAGTCGTTTGAGGATGGCAGCCTCTTGTTCTTCGCTATTATTGAAAAGGAGCTTGATGACAATATCCCTCTGCGAATCATTGATTCCGAGAAAGAGAGTAGGCTGTTTCTTTTATTATAGGAAGTATTTGAGTATAAGCAGCTACTACTTACCTTCAGTAGTTGGATCAATCGTCCCTGTAGTCTCCTGTCCGAGGCGTAAGCAAATGGGTACATCACGGGATCCTTAGAAAGCGTGTAAGGAGTGAAGTCCGAACGTTTAAGAGTAATAAGCGGTTCTCGAGGGTATAATAGATATCCATGGCTTTTGAACAATGGCACTAAGTTGGTCCAGATGAGAGCCATGCCCTCAGAATCTTCTAAAAAGTCAGATAGGTCGTCTGGTATCTCGAACATCCGAGCTGGCACGGAAGGCGATTCCATCCTGTTGTATCCCTAACAACAGGTAGCAGAGAGGTCTGAGTTGAAAACGCTGAAGGTCGAATGTTGAAACAAGGGTGAGCGACCATGCGAAAGTCGAACACACGATCGTTCGAACACACAATTGCTAAATCGGGCCAGATCGATTGGGCCAGAAGGATGAACTTCCCATGTTGAACATTAACTGCGGCATCAGTGACTTGGCACCAGTCCAGGCAGAACGCTTCCTTAGGACTCTAGTATTTACGGTCTTTACAATTTAAATGTCCTTGGATGCTGGAAATCTTCTTTTATGTCTGCCGGTGATTGACTTTTCTCGATTTTGAATTCATTCGAAGAGAGACCTCGTTTGGACTGCGTTGGAGCCATGTTATACCTTATATCCTCAACACTCTAGCCATGACGGAGTTATTATCCCTCAAGGCTCACCCGTTTATGAGCTCAGTAAGGACCCAGTGGAATTCCCCCATTCATATGCTCGGAACGGGAGTCCAGATGGACGGATGTTCCTTCCTCCAAATTTGCTCTCTATCATACTCATCCCTCTGCGTTTATCAGCTTGCTGTCTACCCCGCTATTAACAATGAACATCGAGACGTCGTCATCAAAATGCTTCCTTTCGATGACCCTGAGCGCGACATCTTCGAGTATATCGTCTCAGAACCCCTTTCGTAGGAGAGGGATTGGTCGACCATAGTAGTGACTGGCATTTTCCAGGCTCCAGGCGTCCCAGCTCATGACCCGTACTTCACCTGAGAAAAGACTGAACCATTGTGTATCTTCAAAGTCCGTTTCCCATCTGTCCGGTACATCAGCAAGCCTATAGGATTTCCAAAAATCGAAAATCATCGGCTCGCATTCCTCCAAGCAGAAAGATCCGCTATAGGGAAATGGGGGTGCCGGCGTGGATGCAATTGGATCCTACCACGCATTTCAGCAACAATAGAAATGAAGATAGAGGCAGCAGTCACTGTAGGAAGGAGACCCCCGACCTCTAAGGTAAAGCTCAGCTCCCGGAAAGTGCCCTCAAACAAAGACGCATCTGAGCCACTGAAATCATACAGAGCCAGTTCACCGAAGGCATTTCCAAAGACTGCGATCCCTCGCGATTCATCGTAATCACGAATACCCATGCAGTACTGACTAGGCATTGTGTCATCATACCAATCGAACGTTGGTGGCTTCGCATCGCTATCACCGACAGGGATTCTAGCCATAGCAAAAGTGATTGGCTGCTCCAAATTTTCCTCAGCACCCAGGAGGAAAGAAACGGTTCCATCGGTCACTCCAAATGACACCTGAGACGCCTCCAAGATGTACTCGTCCGTTCGAGGGGCGGTGTAATGCCATAATATGGTGAGGGATAGCGAACCCACTGACAGGTCGCAGTCAAGTTGATAAACAAAGATTCCATCATCGCAGGCGATGCATAGCCTCAGTGGACTCCTAGAATTCGAAGAATCTCGGCAAATCGTAGGGGAGAACGCCGCAGAGCCAACTTTGTGGGGTAAATCAACGGATCTCCAGAAACGATAGTCACCCCCCTCATCAGGGCATAATATACAAACCTCGATCACTTGTCGTCGAACCACAGCGATCCAATCGTCTTCCATATGCATGGCAACAGAGCCACCCTATGAAAGACGAATCGATGAACAGGGCAAAAAAAAAAAATAAGAAATGCTATGCACCTCTAAATCGGGAACGGCTCGCAATCTCTCGGTAATGTCATGCCTCCAATTTAGCACACAGGGGATGTTGATATTATTATGCAGCGACGCTCCTATCATTGGGCCCCGGAGAAAACGAATATGGGACACATTGGAAATGCCTTGTAGACGTTGAAATGTCGGCTGCTCGTCATGGTGCATTATCGTCAACACTTCGACTGTGGGAACTCTGAGTGGGAGGTCAGCAGGGAGCATGTGGCGTAGGCTGAAGGCTCACCTTCCACGAAGTTCCAAGGCAATGAAGACGTGCCCATCGATAATATCAATTACGCCGTTGCTCACAGGTGCCTCAAGATAGGCTTCCGTAACTGGCTTCGGAGATTGTTGACATAATAGAAGATCGTTGACCGACCAGAGTGCAATACTGCTGGTGGCGCGGTCGGATGAGGCAACCAAGAGCCATGTCGAGAGTATGAGGCGAACCCATGTTATCGAACTCGTTCGATAAAATGGAACGATGGTTGGGGAGAAATGATCAGGATTTTCAATTGTACGGGCGCACAGTCTCAGTGCGTGAAGAACGAATGCTTGCAGCTGCGTTGCAGAAAGTGAATCGATCTCATTCAAGTATGTGGGGGTAGGTAGGTTAAGTCCTACGACATGGCGGAAGTAGAGGATCACCCATAGCTGTTTCGCGAGGGAGATTGAGTGAATTCTCCTACACGTCTAGAGAATAGCCAGATGAGGAACACAGAGAATAACATGTTTCAAGTCGCACCTGTCTGAATTTCAGGAGGGCGGGAACCTCACAGTACTGTAGAAGCAGCAGAACAATGTCGTCTGGTACTTGAACGTCCATCAATGACTTCGGTGCGTAAATGACGATGAATGCATAGAGCGAACCAATGGGTATCTACAGGAAAACACCGCTTTTGTATTTGCTAGCTGTCCAGTTTGGACCTCCTTTCCTGAGAACCACCGGAGTTGATCGACGGTCATGCCAACACGGTTAAAGGTAAGATTAATCACGGGCGCTACTAGCATCGTCGGACCCTTCCTGGCACCTGCGGATTACACACGCCTCGTCTTCTCAGTGTCGTGATTGTTGTCTCTATTCGACTCACGCCAAATGCGGCGCAATCTGTACTATTTCCTCTCCTTTCCCCACGTTCTACTGTCTTCTTTCTGTTCAAGAGCTTTGAAAGCACGTCTGACTCAATCCCTGTCCTTCAATGACCTCTCTCAATTCTGGTGTCAGATGAAGACAGAATAAACACTCGGGACGCTTTGGAGAATTGGTTCAAAGTTTGAGGCCGTAAAGTCTGTATCCCTGTATTCAAATAGTTGGTCAAATACTATACGCGACTAGCTTTTATTCATCATGCTGTCGCACAAACTTGAATGCGGTGGGCTTTGTGCAGAACACTCAGCGAGATTGAATAAATTTAACCATAGTACGAAGAATGTTCTAAGGGGTCATGTTAGCACACGAAAGATTTATGCTAATTATTTGGAACAATCTGCTCTACACAAGGTACATGTAATACAAACGGCCTCAAAGATGTGTCGAAAGTCTTTAGAGACGTTGAGAATGTCTCATAATACCAAGTCTCGTACATTCACAACGTCCCAGTCCACAAAGAAAGAGGTGTCATCCTCCATTTGTAGCTTACGCCTAGGCCTTACAGGCGGCTGCTGCTCCGTATGCCTTCGGACGAACTCTTCCGGAAGACCAGCCCAGCGATCATGGGCTTGCCATACAAATGTCGAATAATCGGGAGGTGGGGGTGGAGACGTAGTGAGGAATCCAGGGTCGAAACTGTCCTTCAGCTGGATAGATGCCTCTAAAGCCTCAGCAGCAGTATACCGCGAAGGAATATGAGGGTCAATCATGCGATCCAGGAATGGAGCAAGAGGCGGAACTCGAGGGGTTACATACTATGTTGCCGATTAGGAATACCTAGTCGATGGAATTGATAAACACAACATACCCCGATGAGTTCACAGAAGAAGCCGCCTAAACATGCCACATCATATGCAAATGGATCATAGACGGTTTCTCCATTTGCTGCGTCAGGTGGATGGTATTCGTAAGAACCTGCCTCGCTTTCAGCTGCAGGAAGGACTCGACAAGCAGGTGGCGAATCCGGAGAAAACATGACAGATATGCCGAAGTCGCAGAGCACAAATTTCGCACACTTCGATGCTAGAAAGGGTCGGAGATCACGAATGGTGTTTTCTTCGTAGTAGTTTACCAAGATATTATTTCTTTTGATATCCTACGTATAGATGAATGTGTAAATAAGTAGAAAGGCAATTGATATTAACGTTATGTACGTAACTCACTCGGTGTGCGATAAGGTTCTTGTGCAGGAATGTCAGTCCCTACAGCGGCATTAAGTACTTCATTAAATGTACTGTAAAATGCTAATGACCTTGACATACCTTGAGCAGTGCCGTAACGAAGTCAAAGATAGATTCGAAGCTGTCAAAACCGAACTCATATAGGCCGGCCATTTCGCCCCACCTATACATATGGTAGGATAGAACCATAACGAAACACCGCTAAGCACATACCTTGGCATCGTAAGAAATGAGCATCCTTCACCATAGGTTAGAACATCAAGGATTGGTATAGTCAGGTTCAGAGGGTCCGAATGTAGTGGTTCAGAGGCAAGATGTTTCACTATCCGTGCTTCGTCGTCCTCGTCGAACAGTAATTTGATGATGGCGTCTCTATGTTGGGAATCGATTGCCGGAAATATGTTAGTCTGTAAGAAAATTCATCAGAATTTGCTATACCACAGACATTGTGTCTTACTCCTCGCAGATTAAACCTTCGACCCCACAGTGAAATGTCACCGATATAGGCAAAAGGAAGTTGCACGGGCTCGGAGCTGAGAGAATACACGGTGTCTTTAGATGGCATATTACAACCATAGCTATCCCTCGGATATAGAACATAACCTTTGGTTTCAAACCAGGGATGTAGCGTATCCCACATCAAGACGGCAGTTTCGTAGGATTGGAGTAACTCCGGCAAGTTTTCTATTGCCGGGGGCGAAGTGGTTGCCTTGACCTCTTCAACTATCCCCATGTTCTGTGCGGCGATGGATAGAGAATAGAATCAAGAGGTTACGTGTGCAACCGGTACGGTTTGACGCAGGTGATTAGCAACGCGGCGGGGTTTCAAAACCGACCACATTCAACTAGGGTTGTATTTGTACGAGCGTCGCTTAGACCTGCAGTTTTCTAGAGATTGTAGAAGAGCAAACAAGCGATATCACCAGCAGAAGTCGATATCATGGTTGTGACAAGCAGCGAGAAGATCCCAGTTAAGTTATACGTCCTCATCAGACATAAAATCCCAGTCAACAAAGTACGATGTTACATCATAGAATTCGATCTTGATCTTGTATCTCACTGGAAAGAGCCCTCCGATATCTTCCGTGACGAAAGCTTCAAGTAGACCAACTCACCTGTCTTTAGCCTGCCATAAAAATATTAGCTCATGATGTACAAGTTACGGAACCGATTGATTGACGTATTTGGAACCAAAACCATCCTGGGTACATGTCTCTAAGCTGAGTTCTTTATTTCCAGATATCCATGCCGATGGCCCCTTTTCGGCCGAATGACGACGTGCTTGTGTACTTTAAGGGGGACTGCAAGCGCTTCCTGAACTTCATGAGTACATGTCGCGGGTCCTTTGACGTAGGCCTTCCCGCAGATAGCGGTGCCTACGGAAAGCATAAGCTTCATTCGGAAGACGGAGATGGAGTACGTAGCGAGACGAGGCAAGAAAGGGGTGATATGAGTTTCGTTCATCCTCCAAAATACACACGAACGGATGTGTACGAGTTGTAAACGTCCCGAATCTTGATTTTCAGATAGTTCTAGACGCGTGCTCTGTGATCACCCTTCGAAGCCCTACAACAACAAGCCCCGGTCAGATTTGATGATTGTCACCGCCGTCTTTGACCACCTAAAAATGCGCTCCAGGTACTACGCGGTAAGGGTCTTTATCTATTGGGTCTCAGGCTCGATCAAATGTCTGAGCGACCGACAGGAAGACGTGAGTGAAAACTCAGCGAGACAAACAGTCCATACATAGTAAGGGCGAGGCGGCCTGTGTTAACAAGTAGTCCATACGCACAAGACTCGAGGCAACCCACGCCGTGTTTTCGAAGTGTGACGAACGTGAAGATATGACCTGCTCGACCGCAAGCATATAGAGTAGTTATGGTCAAACAGTTCCATTCAAGACGGTAACGGGGGAATGGTCAGCGAACGTGCAATCCAGTTATATGAATGTCGTGGGAATGTGTCTCGTTTCACCACGGCCCGAGAAGCACATAGCGAGATCGTTAGCAACGACATGATGTTTGACAAGTTGCATTGAGAGGATGAAAAAGAAAGGGAGGACAAGAAGACTTGTTCAGGTGGTTAGATTTGTACCAAGACTATGATGCAATGAATCGTCTTGAAAGTGCAGTTCAGCAGGGAGGGAGAGAGTGGGAAAAGGTTGAGAATGCGTTGAGATATCAAGGGGAGATCGTGTACAACGCCTGAGACCCTAGCGATTCCGCATTAAAGAGTTAACGTTCAACATGAAGCGAGATGCAACGAATATCACGACGATGTCTGTAGTTGTGAGAGGACAACACGCACGATCTCAAACGCGTAGGTTCTATCAAGAGTCTTGGTGTCGACAGTTCTGAGGAATCGTGTGAGTGGCTACGGCGTTGCGTTTCTTGCTGTTGGACATGTATTGTCCTGAAAACGCGAGTAACAAGGCTGAATAGTCGGCTAAGATCTCTGGCATATCAGAGAACCAGTCGAGGCAGGTCAGCAACATTGCTGCCGGTACAGAACGTGGGTCTCAGATGGGTTGGGGGAGGGGGGATAGAGGAGGAGATGAGATGAGAAGGGCCCCAGAGATACGAGTGATCGGGTGAAGGGAGTCAAGACCAGGGATCGGGAGAGGAATCAGCAAGCAAACAGAGAAGTGACTACATACCGGGCGTATCAGATAGCCTTATGTTTTCCACCCATCCGTTGCTACTACACTCTAGAAGACCATGCACAAGCTGGGCCGGGATAATATTAATTGGAGGGCAAGTTGAGGTCGCAAATCAAAAATCAATTCACCAGTTGCTCACGCCACGTGAATCCTGTCGTGTGGCGCTCGATCACAGTCGATCATTTACTATTTCCTGATCGTCACCAACTGCTGAATCGCGGATTGTCCATAGTATTGAAGTATACGACCTTGGCTCTACAAATTCCCTATCGAAACCGCAACATACGATGAGCCCCCTACTGAGACTATTGTGCCCACAGAGAATTGACATCGAAGTAAGTATCAATACACTGTCTCCCGTGGTCGGATTTCTGGCATCTATCAACACGGTAGTACGTGGTCCCCCATGGCGAGATCGCTTCACGCCCTTCTTGTCAGCTTCTTCTTATGTCGTTTCAACAGGGATGAATGCGACCCGCAAATGAAGGGATGTCCAACGGGCGCGACAGGAGGTTGAACAGCTCAGCGGCAGAGGCAGAAACATTGCCCCGTTCGGCAGATCCAGCTGTTCAGGATTATCTATTACGACTTTCGCTGGATGCAGTACTTCTTCAAAGCTTCAAGATTAAGGCACACCCCAACGCTCGGCCACCCTTGTCTTCGAAAGACACACAACGAGCAACAGACGGGACAGACGGGCGAATTCTCGTACGCAGGTCTGGGCGGCGTATGGTCTACTCGGATGCCAGCGCATGTAAGAGAAATAGGAAGCCAGGATCAGTCCCGAGTGTTGGCATGTTGTTAGGGTATCCAAAGTTCGTCTTCATTGTCTACGGCTTGTTTCATTACTGACCGACGTGGAGACATGAATATCGTATAACACTTCCGGAGGACAGACCAGCCATTGTGCAGAACCCGTTCAAGTATTGAGGATTCGCAGAAGAATAGACAGTCCCTTCTGATGCAAAAAAACTCGAAGGATACGATACGATGTGGGTACATGTCTCACTCCTACTGTTTTCAACTTACAGGGTCTTCTCGCAAAGAAAACCAAATTGCATCAGCACTGATTCAAGACGTCTACAGGAGAAGACTGGAACAATCCAGGCATCATTAATTAATGGATGCATTACTCGATGAATATGCGAAGCTTGTCCCAAAGGTTCGTTTCTTCGTCCCACATTCGCTTTATGCCGATCTCGAGCCTGGCGCGATGGCGACGTGAAGACTGACATTTACAGGTCTGTTTTTCACTCCGAGACCCCGATTTCTTTTTTTGGGAACGTGAACCCTGCGAATAATCGTGAGTTGTCTTAATCATCCCATTCAGTTATGGCGCCGTCTGACGCGCCATCAACTTAGATATTCGTGGACACCGTTGACGAAGAATTGATTGACCCAGTCATGAAGAAAGTTCGTTGTCTGGCAGACAACTGCACAGGTCTACAAGCGTTTCTTCATCTTCCACTCCTTCGGTGGTGGATTGGGTTCCGTCAAAACTTGCCATCAATGGTTCGAACGTCAATCTCCCCCGTGCATTCTTCTCCTTCGACGGAGAGAAAGATCCGATAGACCTACGACGCATAAGCAGCTTTATCCTGGTTAATTCAATAGTTTACTGCAGGTAGGTCCTGGGGGTCCTATTAAATCATCATGCAGCGAACAGATGCAACTGTCCGCTGTCAAACCAATCTATCGCAGGGCATGCATTATTAGGCTTGGCAATGCGTATTCCTCTCTGGTCTTCCGGCTCTTAACCCAGTCAATCCAACATCGGTCATACTTGATGATACGGATCCTAGTCTGATGGTGAGAACATTGATGTGAAGGACAAGATGTCTATGACTGTGTTGTTCTCAGTTATTTTTTCCAAATATGTCTGGGTATGTCGTCTTCTCGCAAGGGACCGCTGGTACATATGCATTATTCTTTGTATCCATGCGCCAATCACTCTTCCAACCGCTGAGGGTTATTGGTCGCTTCTTACCAGATTTATCTTTCATTGTCTTCATGTTCAAAATGGATAGTGCGAGAATTATGTCATGATCCTCCAGGACGCTAAGACAATTCTGATTCGAATGTCTGAGAACATGACGCTCTTTACCGGTACGTACTCCTGATTAAGGCTTTTGACAACGTGTTTTTCTTACCATTCAGTATGAGTTCTCACAAGGGTCATGTCGTCATACCGAGTCAGGTCAAGACAGAGTATTTTTTGAGCTTCCGTCTCCTTTCAATTCTCTGTACTGCTTCCGATGTCATTACAATGGCTGTGAGTATGATGCATGTGGGTCTCCGTCCGTATTGCTCGGAAACGGACCGGGAAATAAGGGGACATATCGTAGGTATAGAGTGCACAGATTAGGTGAATCGGTCCCGCCTTTTTAGAGCGAAGTGAAGTACGACACTGCCGAATGAATCCAATAGGGTATCAACGTGAGTACAAGCCGCCTACTGTTCGTTATCATCGTCACTGCCCTCGTCATCCGAAGGAACATCCCAGTCGAGCCAACAGGATGACCCATTATAGAATGTGATTTTGCGTTTAGGTCTGACTGGAGGTCGCACGCGTGTATGCTTCTCGACGAAAGCCTTAGGCAGTCCAGCCCATCGGTCCTGAGTCTGCCAAGAAACATTTGTGAAACGATAAGGAGGTTGCGGGATGGGCTGATCGAGATGTTCCGAGCTGTAGCTGCCACTCAAAACGGTGAATGCCTCTAGAGCCTCGGCAGCAGTATATCGAGAGGGTATATCCGGGGTAATCATGCGGTCCAGGAAAGGAGCGAGTGGAGGTGCCAGAGGTGTAAGATACTATTCTCATTGAAGATGAGGTACGTATGATGCGGATAAGATGAAGATGGAACGTACCCCAATAATTCCACATAGTAGCCCACCTAAGCATGCTACGTCGTAAGCGAAGGGATCGTATAAGGCTTCTCCATTCGCTGTATCAGGTGGATGGTACCAGGGTGAACCCCAATCACTCTCAGAGGCTGGGCAAACCCGCGCGGCGGGAGGAGTGTCGGGAGGAAACATGATAGAGAGATCGAAGTCACAGAGCACGAATTTTGCTTGCCTAGATGAAAAGAAAGGTCGAAAATCGTAAAATCCCTCCGTCTGGTGATAGCAATTGATCAATATATTGGTTAATTTGAAGTCCTGCATTAAAGATATGAGCTGTTAGCCCCGAAAAGTCTACAGCAACATCTTACCCTATAGGCGATGAGATTCTTGTGAAGAAATGACAGCACCTGTAGGAAGCTATTAACGAACGATGGGGTAGACTGAGCATGAGCACATATAGAAACAAACTTTGAGCAGAGACTTCGTGAACTCAAACACAGTCCTTAACGTGTCGAATCCATTGTCCCGTAAACTGGACGCTGTCGACCATCTATTCCCTTTTTCAGGAATGCGACTGAAAATTACAAAAGACAAACAAAATTCACCTAGGCATAACGACAAACGAGTGGTTGTCATCATATTTCAGGATATCGAGGACGGGAACGGTCAAGTTGAGTGGATCCGAGCGTTGCGGTTCTGACACGAGATGTTTGAAGATAACGAGTTCAGGGCTGTCACTTGAGACTATCTTAATGACGACGTCTCGATGATGTTTGTTAACAGCTGGAAAAACTGCAAGCTGGTTCCTGCACATTAACCTTGAGGCAATGAACACAATATCCATGGTTTCGCACCGCAGGATAGAACGCGCGTCCAAATGGAGTCTTCTCATGGGCAAACGCGTAAGGATATTCCACAGCATCATTACTGAGATCGTATACCGCTGACGGTTCAGGTCGAAGAGCGGCAGGGGAAGTCTGAGGGTACAATGTATACCCATGAGTCTTGAACCATGGATCCAATGCACTCCATGCAAGATAGCGATCTTCTCGGGAGTCCCAGAAATGAGAAAGGTCTACTGGTGTGAGTCTGGGGTAAGTATCTTGTTGAATAGGGACAGGCATGGCGGGCACCGGCTGTAGGTGGATGTTCAATATTCAATGTTCGACTTGAAGTTCAACTTGGTTCGGAAGGCGGTGCTACTGTCAGGGTCCCATTTTGGTAATGTTTGTCGTACTCACAAGGTTCGACGTTCGTCCAGGCAAGCGCTTATGACTCTTCGCAATGATCCCATCTTCGCGACTTCTGGTGCAGGGGAATCGTATATTGGTCATTCCTTCTGCTGCAATCACATTCCACGCTCTCCTTGGGCGCGAGTTTGTATGAACATGGAGAAACTCCGAAGCGTTTGAATAGGTCGAGTTATCGAGTCATCCTACAGGGCGCTGGTTTTCCCGTTTGATCGAGTTCAACCCACGGTGAAGTTGGTGTGTATATACTAGGCCGAAACGTTGTTCTCCAAGGACAGTAGAATTCTGACAGGACGCAGGTGAATCACAGCCTCTCATTCCAGTTTGGGATAGCTACTGAGGGCCGATGATGGATATCTACTGTCGGCTGAGCTATATAAGTCGCTCTATCTTAACCTCTTGAGTGCATCCAGGCCTCTCACTCATCGTGCACTACAACGTCTCGCTGCGTTACATTTTCCATCTCTCTTCACATACTGTCATGTCATTCGGACGCCCACCTCATATGAAGGAGTCTGGAAAACCATACAGGGTTTGCCCAGGTTCAACTTACGCTCACTTGGACCTTGCTCACCAAATTCTCTTCAGGTGGAAACAGATCAATGGTTATATTTCAAGGAAGTCGTTTCTGCCCCCAATCCTGTTGGTTATAATAGGCCGCCTGTACGCTGCGAAAGAGGGCAACGGGTGCGACTTATGGAGGTCATCAGTGTAGGCGTAAGTCAGATCTCAGTATATCTCTCCCTCTATCGTTCTGCGCCTATTGATGTATCATTAAGAGAAACAAACAATTCGCCTTGAAGGCGGCCGATGCCAGGTATAATGTGGAGTTCACCCAAGACTTCGTTATCCCCACAAGGGTGTATGGTGTGGCTTCTCACCGCAAGCTTGAGGTCATTGGGAATACGCTACCGAAGCAGAAAAAGCTTCCTGTAAGTAAACATTCATTGTCTAAGCCCTCTTGCGATTCTCAACACCTCCTTTCAGCCGGGCACGCAGGCAAAACTCGTTGAACCTATTGAAATACTCCACGGTGGCATCAGGCATCCTATACCGGTGGGAACAATCATAGAAGTGGCTGGCCGTGCTGTCAGAGAGAGCGCGGAGGGCACCGTAAGTGTATTGACGGTCGTAGTTTCCTCTTACACCTGTACTGAAGAGATTATAGGGCCAGCCGTTCCCCGTCGATGCCATGGATGCCGCTTATGAATTTAAGTATATCATTCATATATCCACTCCCTTCATGGTCACGATTGCAGACCTGCGTCACAACCAACTCTCCAAGACCCCTGTCTGAATTGTACCAGAGTCTTACGGCATTACCCAGAGCCTTGTAGCGTTTCCTCTTGAGTCAATAGCTGTCAATGTGTTGTGTACATAATGTTTTCGATAACCAGCTAGTATTTTCCCTGAACCTTCTGTATTAGTGATTGTTCCTCTGTAAACCTCGTTGTACGTCTAACCGCTGAAGAAACAACGTCGGTGAATTGGCGGTGGATCGTGTTGGAACCGTAGTAGTCAAAACCTAACCGTTTCGAACGTAGTTTCTTTCTTTCCTTTTTGGTAGATTTGATCGTTCTCACTCCTTGATCAAACCGTCTGATTTTCTCTTCCCTCAGTCTTTTTCGTACTAATCGTTTAGAACTGGACGTAATTATATTTATCTGCGGTACCTCACAAGACATGTTCAACACTACGTTGTCTCTTAGGGTTTCAAGAACATCTCTCAGTCGCGATGACCCTCTACTGAACAAATGGCGTCATCTACTTTCCTACCTATTCAATGGTAATCTTCGTCCTTTCTTGTCACAGTCCCGTATGTGATCACAGCTTCTGTCATCACACAAGTGTAATGTTTCCCCCATATTCTTCATTCCTTTAATCCACGGCTCATGATCTGTCATCCGCTGGTAAAACTAGGCGGCAATGCGAACTCAGCCGTGCCATACTCAGGACACTTGTGCTACGAAATTGGCGGTCTGGATCTCTAAATATATCCAACTCAACGCGATTCACCGAGAAGAGCCTCTAATTATTGATACCGCTCTCTGTTTGGACTGTGGCCATTCAAGGCCCGCATTGTTCACCTATCTGGTCAGACTTGTTCATCAGCGTTTCTAGTTTTGTAGAGAAATCCGATGAGCTAACGACACACACAGACCAGCTAAATGGCATCACTCATCAGAAAGTCTGATACGGGCTAAGGACTTCATCAACTCTTTCAACTATAGCACACGCCGCAAACCAATATGCTCTTCAGGGAGTAGGGTTGTATACTCGCCTTGGCGTTCCTTGTATTTTCCTTATGGCATGCCGGTTGACTCCGTTTCCTGCCTACACAAGACCATGTAGCCGCTGAACAATTTGGGCCCGTCTATTGTGCGAATGTCGATTCGATGAACGAAGGGTCGTATGGATATCTCTGAGGGGCAGTGCTCATTGCCCGTTTTCAATTAAAGCCACATTTGTCGCACTCCTACAAGGAGCTACGAGGTCCGTCTACATTCCCATTGTATCAATAAGACAGTGGTTTCTTCGGAGTCCCTCCTGACTCCGAGCTTCGATTTAATATCTTTGGTGTCCAGATCAAGGTCCATGGTTGTTTTCGCATTAGCGATTCATTGCAAAGGTACTTCAATAGGCGACGGTTCCCGGAGATGCTGTTTTGATGACTTGTTGAGAACCACGCTGTACTATAATTTTGTGATATAAGAGTTTTTTTTCGCTAGGGACAACAGTCGGATGTATTACGCTCTAGGCACTTGGGCGGAGAGTATTCCAATGGACAAACAAGTTAGTAATGGTGTGAAGGACTAAGTCAGTCTTTCCTTGGCCGGAAGGGACATCTGCTTAAATGACTCAGGCCCTGGACGGGAGATATGGAACATATTCAGCCGTAGTGTAATTTTCATTATCTACAGTAAATGTAGTACATTTGATGCTCGTACATAGCAAAAGTATACTAATTGGGAGTATCTATATCGAGGAAACATGATGTGCCGTCCAGATTTATAGCTTTATATTTCGGCTTCGCAGGAGCGTAGTGGCTAGTATGCTCACTTACGAAGTCTTCCGGAAGGCCAGCCCATCGATCCTGACCTTGCCACAAAACAGTGCCGTACAGTGGAGGAGGTGGCGCAGGTGTACCAAGGTAATGTGGCGCAAGGTCCTCATATAACTGAGTAAATGCCTCCAGAGCTTCACTCGCTGTATAACGGCTAGCGATGTCCGATGTGATCATACGATCGAGAAAAGGGGCTAGGGAAGGGACAAGAGTCGTCATATGCTGCATAGGTAATGAAGTAAGATACTTTGCCTATGGACTAAAAGAACTGAGCGTACCCCAATGACCTCACAGAACAGTCCTCCCAGACACGCCACATCGTATGCAAAAGGATCGTACATAGCTTGACCATTCGCGGCATCCGGTGGATGGTATTGATATGAACCTAACTCACTCTCAGAAACCGGACGCATTCGCTCAGCTTGAGGCGTATCTGGCGGGAACATGATGGATACGCCGAAGTCACAGAGAACAAAGTCGGCCTGTCTAGACGACAAGAAGGGACGATAGTCGAACATCAGCTGGTCCTTGCCGTAGACATTTACCAGCACATTGTCCAAACGGATGTCCTAGATATTACTGAGGAAATAATAGGGCGAATTTATGATCAGACGTACTCTGTGCGCAATGAGGTTCTTGTGTAGGAACGCTAATGCCTATATATGATGAATCAGGGAGCTGCAGAGATTCATATGCAATGTGACTGGCCTTGAGTAGACATGAAGCAAAGTTGAAAGCGGTTCCAAGACAGTCGAAACCGCAGTAATGTAGACTATAGGCTGATCCCCACCTATTCAACAGAATGAGCTGCCAAGCGATGTCAAATCAAAAGACGAACCTTGGCATTACAACGAACGAGTATCTGTCATCATACGTTAGGACATCGAAGACTGGAATGACCTTGTTCAAGGGATCTGAACGCAGTGATTCCGATATGAGATGTTTGAGGATGGAAACTTCGTGTGTATTCTCGGCGTCATTAAAGAGAAATTTCACGATGACGTCGCGACGATTCTTATCCACTGCTGGAAATATGCAAGGCTGGGAACGTAATATTATTAGTTGGCCACAATTGAGAGACACATCTCATACCCGTGCCATACGCATGACTCTCGAGGCAAGCCTCGTCTCCGAGGCGTATGCGTATGGAAACTTCACAGGATTTCCGGAAAGTTGATATGCGGATAAACCGGACGATGGAACTGCACATAATGATTCTCTGGGATAGAGGATGTAGCCCCGGTCCTTGAACCAAGGCGCGAGTGCCTTCCATATGGATGTCATGCTTTCGACATCATCCCAGAACTCTGACATCTTGTCCGGGAGGTCAGGGATTACAGGTAATACCATCTTAGACGTATTCTAGGAATCAGTAGGTCGATGAGGGACGACTTAGAGCGACGTGTCACTTAGCGAATCGTTCGAACGTTCAAGATCGACATGATGAAGTCGGAGTTTGAGCTTATCCTCGTTTTCGGCTTCCACCGGTGTAATGTAACATCTGATGACTCTGATCTTTTCCTCTATCGCATGCGCATACTGTACGTATGTAAATTGGAAGAACTCACAACTTGGCGACTAAGAGAGAGGAAGGGGCTTCCGGTGTAGGGTGTCATTGTCCAACAAAACCGGGTGGACCTACCCACCACGTTCATGCAACTCTAGCCACCCATTGCGACCCAGATACCGTATTTCCCATATCCACATCGCGTAGAATCGTGTCCCTAGGCAGATCTAAATCCGATCTCCAGCGCAGTGCGAGGTCTTATAAAGGCCATATTGATTGAAATCAATGAAACTGGCAAGTACATACCTGCAGTGTCACGCCGGGATCGACAACGTCGAAATGCTGTTCTTCGCTATTCCACAAGAACAACAGGCCAACTGCATCAAAAATTACAATCTCGTCCCACCCAAAGTCTTTTCGTAGAAGAGGAATCGGTCGACCGTAATAACGAGTGGCGTTCTCCAGGCGCCAAGCATTCCAGCTCTCGACCTGTACTTGACCTGAGAAAATAATGGACCATCTTGTATCTTCGAAGTCCGTTTTCCCTCCCTACGGCACATCAGGAAGCCTATAGGATTTCGAAGAGTCGAAAATCATCGGCTCGCATTCCTACAGACAGAAAGACTCACTGTAATGCGGCGAACCGATTTGAAAGTGCAGTTCGGCAGATAGGGAGGGATTGGGGAAACGATGAAATAACGTTAACATATCAAGGGGAGATCACGCACAACACCTGAGACCCTGACGAATCCCCTTGTTGGAGAGTTCACTATGAAGTGAGATGCGACTGATATCACGACCATGTCTGTAGTTGTGAAAGTAAGCGAACGCGAGATGTCAACATGCACGGGGTCATAACTTCCAAAAGTCCTCCAAACATGACCGACAAAGGACATGTGAACATGAAAGCAATATACACCGTGCGCCCTTGATTGAAGACATGCCTATTTCACAGTTGTAAGAGTTCTGAGAAAAGCACATTAGTTGTGTTGATGCATCGTAACCGACTAGTTTGTTTGTTAGTAGATCCAATTCCGGATGAGGTATGCTGCGGACGGAAGCATCAGGATATTCCGCACAAAAACCAGAAGCGAGTTGCGAACCTGCTCACCGTAGTATCGGTTCAGAACCTCGAGTAAAAACAAACTTCAACTCCTCCAGAAATATACCACCCCGTATCCATTCGATCCAGGAATAAAGAACGCATTCCCCTGCCTGCCACATATCTAACAGGCGCTGCACCAAGTTAACACTAGGCGGTAACCACGAATATGTCGCATATAGTGACAGAATCTGAGGCGGGTCATGGAGAGAATAATTTGGCGGTAAAAGGATATCCAGTAGTAATGGAGGTAACATGGACAACGAAACTAGATTCTGATCTTCTGCCGATACGAGTGAATGAGACTCAGAGAGCTCCACTGGAATCTCGAGACGGAGAGATCCTTTCAAGTAATCCCCGGAGAGACAATCTGGATAGATCGACTGTAGCGGACATAGGTCAAGGCATCCCTTCATGGATCCAACCTAGAGAACGACACACTTCAAAGACTTCACATTCTTCCGCCTGTAAAGACTTGCATAACTCCAAATCCTCCGAATCATGCTCATTTTGGTGTTCAGGCATGATACTTTGTAGCCAATCCGGATTTCGAACGGAAGGACCCTACGGCATAAACAAGCACCGAAGTAGTACAACCAAAGCGTGTTCCGGCTGAAGAGAACTTGAAGCGATGAGTCACAGAAGCACTAGATGCTTGAGGTCCTTGACAATGACAGTGATTCCGTCCAGGATGCCAGCAGCATGCGAAGGATGACTTGAGTGTCGACAGTTCTAAGGAAACGTGTGAATTGCGAGAGATGTGCCCCTCCCGCTGTTGGACGTGTATCGTCCTAAAAACGCGAGTGACAAAGTTGAGTAGTCGGCTGAGGTCCCTAGTATATCAGAGAACCAGTCGAGACAGGCAAGCGCTGCTTGACGTGACCTTCTGCCGGTAGAAGGCGGGGATCAGACGTACACGTTGGGCAAGGATAGATGGAAAGGAACTGAAGACGAGATACGAGCGGCCGAGCGAAGGCACCGGAAGCCTAGGATAGGGAGAGAAATCAGCAAGCAAACATAGAAGTGATCACATACCGGACTTATTCTAGGCTTCACCCGGTATAAAGCTATACCTTTCTTCCTTGCGGTCTGCCGTGTGATCTGCAAGGAGGCGGTTTGTGGTCTCGTACTCACTGCAGTGGTTGGGGTATGCGCCTGGGTAAAGACCAATATTGGCTTGCAAAACGAAGAAAGTGCCTCAAAAAGGACACGATGATTCACGGCGACTTCCGAGGTAATTGATTAGGGAAGTAAAGAGGTTCGCGGCGTCTAGCCTTGAGATGAACTTCAATCTCATACTGAATATTGGAATATTGAATGGTATCCTGGCTATCGCAACATTGAGAAAGGTACAGGATTTTCTTAACAAAGACCGAGTACGTTAATCTGATGAAGTGCGCGTAGGCCTCTCTACTCTCGGGAATTAACGTGGAAAGCGAGTAAGTACCGGTTCTTTGTGCCAATGTGAAACCTTGCCTCTTTTATTTACGAAACTGCAGCATTATAGGTCATCACGCTCGATTCAGCGTTCTTAGGAGATTCAAATCGATACGTTCTATCTTGCCTCTTTTTCGGATACAGCTAGTCTAAGCCACTCGTGAGTAATAACCACTCTCGCTTCCAACTTATATACAGACCGCGTGACTGTACAGGTCAAAGCTTCATTATAGCTTGGGCCACTCCGTGTCACGCTCTTTCGCAAACCCCACATTGTCCTGGCCAAAGTCACGCGTGTGGCAGTCACGTATATATCTGTAGGACCCTCCGCCAAGATGGGACTCTTCAACCCTTTGTTGTTCCACAACTATCTACGCGGCGACTGCCACCACTCCAACACTTGTCACAGCCACTTCTACTCTCTTGCACTTGATACAGACTTCGACACCGACTTCGATATCATTATGGACGACGCGACTGTCCCCCAAGACGTCGAAATGCACGACGAGGCACGCGATACAGTCGCACCACTTGATGAAACCAAAAACAAGATCAAGAACCAAAGGCGGTTGCCTGGCCGTGAAGTTGCCTCCGTCCAGGTACCACAGACCACTGCCGCGACAGCTGTACCAGGTTTCCGAAATGCGATATCTCTACCATTGCAAAGTAAGTACAAAATTCGTGAATAATACGCAGTCTCTTATACTGGTACTTCTGCAGGTCAGATGACTCCACTCAAACCCTCACTCAGTGCCATCGAAATGGACGACGGTGTCTGTGACCCGGAGTTGAAGGCATTCATCCAGACAGAATTCAAGAAGAATGTCATCCGTGACTATCCCATCATCGACTTCATTGATCGCGCGTGGCACACTACTCCATCTCAGATACCTCCCGGCGATTACGCACTCGCGCAGGAGCAATGTAAGGACTATCTCGGAGCCGCAAGGTATTCGAAGATGTCCAAGTTGAGGAAGCTAGGGGAAGACGGTCCGCCGCTCATCGGGCTCGCTGAAAGGGCAGAGACTCGCGCATGTGTAGCATTTCAGGCGCTCTTTGAGAAGTTGGCTGCACTGGTTTTGGATCGATGGAAGGAAGAGGACGCTGAGGCTGCTGCTGAAATGGAGAGGACGCGATTCCAGGGGACACTTCGCTTTTTGAACGAGAAGATCGTCAAGGGAAACTATGCGAACATCAAGCCCGATTTTGGGTATGTAACGGAGAACGGCGAGAATGTGGATGCGATTTCCTGGGATGCCTTCGGATTATTCGGAGAGTTGAAGAAAGCGGATGGGATATCAGGCCTCACAGGCCCACCCAAAGTAGATAAATCCCTTTTGGATGTGAGTCGTGATGTTCATGTTGCGTTGTTCCCCTCACTAATCCTCCCACAGCCGGAGAGAGAGGAATTATACAAACCTCCTCCTATTCGCAAGAGCCGCAAGCGCTCGAAGCCAGACTCCCCAGTTGAAGAAGGGCCGTCGTCAAAGCAGCGTCGAGATAGCCAGTCAGACTCTGTGCTAACCAGGAAACCTAAACCGGATGAAGGTGTCCCTAAGACGCCCTCGGCGGTATGTCCAAATGTTACTGCTATCTCTGAAACAAGGTATTCACTTATATCCATAGGCGAAATTTACTCCGCAGGAGACTGCGTTGCTGCAGCTCAATGAGGAGGAAGAGGAAAACTATTCGGAATTCACCAATAACGAGGTACAAGCAGCAAAGTACTTGAACGAGCTGCTCTCACACGGAGCTCGCAATTACGCTACCGGATTCCTAGTTGAAAACAAGAAGATCAGTCTCTGGTACGGCGATCGCTTCGGGATTATCAAGTCCCGACTATTCAACTTTATTGAAGAGCCTCATTACTTCCTTCTCATGGTCACTGCGATATTTCGCGCTTCTGATGCAGACCTTGGATTTTGTCCCCTGATCCGCAACATCCCTACCAACCACCTGTCGTACGATGGCGCCACTCTCAAGGTTCCAGCTGCTGTTGACATCAGCAACAAGGCTATTCCTGGCGACGTGGAATTCGAGGTCAGTCTTACGGAGCCGGAGTCTATTTTCACAGCGTATGGTACGGTTGGACGTGGAACGACGGTTGTTCCGATCACCGCAGTTGGGCCAAAGAACTGTAGGCGGTTTGGCAAAGAACGACTTGTTGCGAAGATGTCCTGGCAGCCGGTGAAGCGATACGAGGAGGGCCACATCCGGACGATTCGCCAGACGCTGAAGAAGAGTAAAAACAAAAATGCGCGTGCTGCTCTGGCATACATCGTGGACCTCAAGTGCTCGTCAACTCTGGCCATCAATGATCCCAACGTCAATCTCCCGCGAGCCTTCATGACACAATTGCCGGGTATGCCTGAAGATGAGAAGCGAGATTTTCGCATCCTCATTATGAAAGAGTACCTTCCACTTCAGTTCATCGACACCGCGGATGAATTGAAGAAGGTGTTCCGAGATGCCTTAACAGGTAATTACTTGTCCACGTTCGTTCGATGTATAGTGAAATAACGCAATTTACCGTCTAGGTCACCACTGGGCTTGGACCGTCGCTTGTGTTCTACATAGAGATATCAGCATCTCAAATGTCATGTTTCACCGAAAACGGAACCGCGTAATTGGCGTCCTGTGTGATTGGGACCTTGCTGAGACCAAGGAATATCTTGGCGAGGAGCCTGAACTTGCAGTTGACAGAGCAAATTATGAGTCTTACACAAGAATGATGCAGGCCGCACTAGGGAATAGAAATGCCGCTAATATCTCCACCAAAGCACCGGGCCCTCTGTCTCGACGGTTGAACACTGAACCAACAGTCAATGAAGATGAAGCCGAAGCCCCTAAAGATGACGACGATAATGCCCATAAAGACGAAGGCGAAGAAGCTAATGAGGATGAAGGCGACGCCGATGAAGATGAAGATGATGACAGTGCCCGGCGCCGCAAAGCCAAGTATCGAACTGGTACAGGACCATTCATGGCGATGGACTTACTTGCCCCCGGTCCTGCCCCAACCCATCTCTATCGTCATGACCTGGAATCTTTCTTTTGGGTTCTTGTCTGGTTTGTCGCCACCCACAATCCAATTGCTCATACTCTGGGTCGTATCGACGAATGGCAAGGTTCCGACCTGCAAGCTGTACATAGCGCCAAACATTTCTTTCTGAAGAACATGTCCGTTGGCGAGAAACTGTTGAGGAAACGCGCTTTGCAATACGACAGGATGTGGAAGGATACCATCGAGCCGCTGAAGAGGAAGTTTCGTAATGTGGAGAACGAGGGCTCCTACTTGGAGGGTCTCAAAACAGACTATACCTTTGCTCACATCGAAGGCGACACAGATGGCATGAGAGAACTTGGTGAACAGGTTGTCCGCAAATCCAGGGAAAGAAATGCTCTGGTCTCATACGAGCAGTTCATATTATACCTATGATTGACTTATTTTAGAGGACTTGGTGTCTACATTATTCTATTTATGTACTGTACATTGGGTGTGCTTCTCGACACGTTGATTTACCAAGTCGGAAAGGCTAAGTGCTTTTATTGGCGCATCTCTGAGCCAGCATTCTCACTCCTGTCAGTACTAAGCTACTCTCTACCGGAAGGCGATCAAAAGAACGTCGACTCGTGTTGCATGTTCATTTTGAGTCTCGTCACATAAGTACGAACGATTCATGTCTTACCTGTGATTAACTGTAGGAGACCGTAGACTGTATTATCGTCATTCTAACTATACAGGCTGCCTGTGTATAGATGATCCTTCCGACATTGATGATAAGTAGTCGAGACACCGTGGTCCGTAAAACATCAAGATCATACTGCTGAAACACACACTTACAGCACCTCCAACTCACAACTTGCCCTGCCCTTCAGAACTTCACAGTTGCTCTGCGTAGCTTGGAATCTATGGGAATAAATACAGGATGCTTGATAGAGTATTACCATATCATCCTCGAAAGGAATATCTAGAGGAGGCTTCACACAGTTAGCCACTGGCACTGGCTACTAGCGGACACCCTAAGCTCATCCTGATTCACTCAGCACGATCAATACTCTTCTCCCAAAACCGTTACTAGGATCCGTTCCTTCAATACGCCTCATGGCGTAGCCCAAGCTAGCACTCTCGTAATATCTTCTGCGACAAAATTCTGCAACGACGATGATGGAACGACAGTGCCAAAATAGCAGCGAAATAGGTCACCCGCTGGCAGCCTTAGCGTTGGCGGCACGCTCTTTATTCCAGGAGTATCTTCGGAATTCTTCGGTTCGTCATGTGCCACAAAGTTCTCTCTGCTTCGCTGCTTCTTCCACCACGCTCATGCTGAAGTCGGCACATAATCTTCGTTTATGCGCTCGTATTTTCCAAATGCAATGTCCGGCCATTGTTGCAGGTGTTGCAGAGGATTAATATAACACTCGCTCGTGATCATCGACACTTTTGCGATGGCGGAGGGAACACATTTTGATCCAGTCAGCAGTGCCATTTCGTAGTATATAAACGACAGAGGTGGAAAGGGCTTTCAAGACGTCTCCGACATCGCAATGCTAACTGTCTCATTCGCCCTCCTCGCTCTCGTCGGGCTTTCTTCTGCTATCGGGCCTTCTCCGAACCAAATCAAAAATCTCGTTACCTTTGGAGATTCGTACACCGACGTCGTAAGTTGATAATTGCTGTTCAAGGTGAAGCACAAACAATAACATGATTTGTGTAGGTATCTACAGGTGACGGTGGAGTTGCCTGGCCGATTTATGCTGCAAGGGATGGCAACTTCAAGCTCTTTCCGTTCGCGCGTTCTGGCGCGACTTGCTCTAACAATCTCACATCTGTTCCCTTTCCGTCGCTTTTCGAAAGTCAGCTACCTCTCTATTTCTCTGAGAAGGCAAACGGATCGCTCCGTCTCATCCCTGACGAGACCATCTATACTTTATGGATTGGAACCAATGATGTTGGCGACACCGCGTTGCTGACGGGACATCAGGCGCCCGGTGTCACTCTAGTCGATACTGTCAGTTGTGCGGTCAACTGGATTTCGACACTTTATAACAGCGGGGCTCGCAATTTTTTATTTCAAAATGTAAGCAAGGTCAACAAGTAATCATGTGCGAGTCTAGATTTTGAGACACGGCGTTGGCTTCAGATGGTTCCCTTACAACACGTTCCTCTGTATTCTTCCGATTCGTACCCCAATCGCTACTGGACTGCCCAACGAAATACAACGGAGTGGAGTCTCTTCATGACAGAGCTGGTTAATTCCGGCAATGCGTTGTCGAAGCTCATGCTGCAGACTCTTGCACCTACGCTTCACGGGGCACACATCGGTGCGTTTCTCCTTCATCATGACAGTTTGGGGTGTTACTGACGCTGTTCTACACAGGACTGTTCGACTCCTATGGGCTCTTCTCGGACATCATCGCTCATCCAATGAACTACCTCAACGGAACCGCACCACTGAACGTGACAGGCGCGGCGCATGCGTGTGTCTTTGAGTTGAATGAAAGTACCTCACAGACTGGGGTCTGTACCGACGCGGTTGGGCCTGCCGCGGATAGCTTCCTGTGGTAAGCGTTGGCGTGCCTTCATTGTTTGCTTCCTATGTTCATGATATAATTGCACGACTTTTTAGGTTCGATGAATTGCATCCTTCTGAGCAAACTGATAGAGTTGTCGCGAGAGAAGTCGCCGCGGCGATCCGGCGCAAGAGTAGCAAGTGGACGACTTGGTTCAGCTAGATGATCATCTGCTTCCTCACCTGCCTTTAGGCTTTGTCAGCTTTCATGTTACCTTTTCACAGTAAGTATACAAGCCAGGCACGTGGTGAGAAAAAGAATCAAGGATCGTATCTATGTGCGACGCCCATGAGTATGTTATGATCAGCGGTACGTATTCCACACTCAACATACCTAGTCGCATAACATGTTTGGACGTTATCAGGCCTGCTACAGTTAATTACCGTTCTTATTACCCACAGATTACCCTAGTTGCACTGAGACTGTGCCAAGCACGAGCCCAACACTCGAAAACGTTGGTCCCGCTTTACGGCTCTATCGGCCGAACGTCTCCGGGCCGGACTCCTCGAGATATTCTAAGTAATTGGGGATCCAGAACGTCCAGGACCGGAGCTCCACCCTGCATTGCTGCTGAACAATTTCTTCAGCCACCATTCAGTATCTTCTTCAACTCGTGTCCCGGGATCGTATGCTTTCTATTACATATGAAAGGCATCGTTTATGCGGCTATGTCGAACCGAAGAATATAACTGCCATCTCAGTCTGAGTCATTGCTGGAAAACTTCCCCTCTCCCTCAGGTTTCGGTTCTTCGTCTCTGCTTTGTTCTAAGTCTTCCACTTTCAACCATGCCAGACTCAATACACTCCGAGAAAACAACTGTAGAGCAGTCGGAGAAACTTCGAGTCAAGTCGTACAAAGAGGCTGTCTCGATTTCACCATCCATCAACGATGCAGAAGAAACCTCTGCTATTCAAAATGTACTGGATCTGGAGGCGTATCCAGATGGCGGTCGTGCATGGCTTGTTGTACTGGGCTGCTTTATATTCTCTGCCGTAACGGTCGGCTGGGGGTATGTTGCCATTATTAATCTTAAACTAATCTCGAATGATTGAACATTTCGCACCTCCTCCGCCTGTAATCGTGTTTGGATGATTTGAACGGGAAGGCTAGTGAGCATCGGAAAATTTTCTCTACTTTTACAATGATCTACTTGAGTTTGCTCACGGGCCGACTCGGGTTACGTTAGGCATGGGGTGTATTCCAGGATTACTACTCTGAACATACCCTGGCGGGCACATCCGAAACTGTTCTGAGTTTGTTAGGTAGTATGCCTGGCTTGGTTAGTCATCTTTCCCCGGGGATTGTTCCTGAATTTTGGACGCTAATCCTGTCTGTTTGTTGTTCGTTGTAGATCATGACGATATTCAGTGTTGTGACAGGCAAGCTGGGTGACAGGTAGTAAGTCATAATTTGCTATGTTTAGTTGTTTTATCTGTCTGTTACGATTCAATGTCTGATCTTGTCACATTGTTTTGCATCTAGTGGGTACAAAGTACGTCGACCCGCTCACGCCGGAACTATCCAAAGCCAATAATAACTATTTCTTCTCCCTCGATGCTTCTCTTCTCCGCAGCCGTTCCTTGCAGTGGGTGCAGTGTTCTGGGTGGCAAGCATGGTGGGAACCGCATTCAGTACAAAGTTATGGCATTTCTTCATCACACAGGTAAGTTACTCCACTTCGCCCACTTTGAGTTATGTTTCTCTCATGCGAAGTTTCTGAACCCAATTGACTTCTCCTTTTTACGTGTTGTAGGGGATCTTGCAAGGCACAGCATGTGCTCTCGTCTTCCCACTTATCGTAAGCTGACCGTTCCTACCTTCTGAAGTTCTGCAGAGTTTGATGGATATCCCTTTCCTCGATACCCATGCTCGTCCATGGTTTGATACTCCCCATGATGATACAATTTTTTGATACTCCTGATCGTCTCGTGTTCCCGATACGTTGACAACTCGTACGTCGCCTCGTCACCTATTGCTCGCTACAGGTGGCGCTCCCGGGGCAATGGTTCCTAAAGCGAAGAGCGTTCGCCATTGGTATCATTGTTGCCGGAAGTTCTCTAGGTACGGTCATCAGGGACTTCTACTTCAAACTCGGTCATACCTTTCTATATAGGCGGCGCAATAGGTTCTCTAATACTGCGGGCAATGCTCTCCGCCCTAGGCCTACGCCGTGCCATGGCCATATATGCATGTATAGATGCCACCATGCTCTCGATAGCCTTCTTGTTGATCAAGGAACGCCATCTTCCATCACTCCCCGGCTCAGTTAGCAAGAAGATCGTCTGGTTCGATCGCACCTTTCTCGTAGACCCCGTCTTTTGGAGTCTCGGCATCTGTCTATTGCTATGTATCTTGTGAGTATTCGCTTTTTACGCAGTCTTCGTTCTCTATGTTCGTCCGACTGCGGCTTGACTCATCTTTTACGGTTGTAGTGGATACCTTCCGCCGATATTCTATTTGGCGACTTTTACTAAAGCTAAAGTCCCTAATGTAACTCAACTCGTAAGTTTTCCATGTTCGTGACCCGTGTTGAAAAATCATCCTCTGAATATTTTCGTCGTAGAATTCAGCCCTTCCGGTCACGATTCTCAACCTTTCCGCTGCAGTTGGCCGAACTATCATCGGTTTCATAGCAGACCGTGTAGGTGCAGTAAATGCCCTCTTTTGCGTGGCTGTCATGTCCGGGTTGAGTCAGTTGTTGGTATGGACGTTCGTGACGAATTACGGCGGTATTGTACGTAGTCACGATTTCTACAATTCTTTTTCTTTTCCCAGCATCATACAAATCTTCTGCTTCTGTTTTCTGCTTTCTCTTTTCTCTATCCACCTTTCTCTCGCTTCTATCATTCTTCTTTCTTTCATTTCCCACCTAGTGGTGCTTTCTCACGAGAAATCCATGTGTTCACATCGATCTTGCTGACATTGGACTCGTTGCTGTTTCTATTAGATGGGCTTCGCGGTTCTCTACGGCTTTTTCTGCGGCTGTGCAATATCCCTTTCCCCTGCAGTCGCTGCCCGTCTTTACGGCCCCGGTCGGTTGGCAGGCCTGTCGGGATTATTGCTATTATTCAACATTCCAGGTGAGATTAAGTCCCTTTTTGTCCTTCCAGTGTTGAGGAGGTCCTGATGTCTTTTGCGACCCACAGGGAACGGTGCAGGCGCACCAGTTAGTGGCGCGGTCTTGCGTGCAACAAATAACAACTGGACGTTGGTGGCTATTTTGAATGGCGGATGTCAGGTGGCTGGCGCCATCTGTCTTCTTTACGGTAAGTAGCGCACCTATCGGATTCATTTCCGCTTCTTACTGATATATTCTCTACTTTTCATTCCCCCTCTCCTTATCATAATCCCATCAACACCAACGCTCACTTCACGTACGCTGGTAGCTCGGTTCAAACGGGCACCAAAGATCCTCGCTGTCTACTGAGCTAATTATTGAGGTGGAACCGATTTCAGGCGCCGCCGACTAATGACTTACGACTAAAACGATACATCATGCCTCGTTTCCGGTTTCATCTTCGGTTCGTTGGAACATCCCATGACAGCACCAGCCAGGTGAAGTAAGTATATCGAGCTTATCATTAGGGCATGACTACGGACATAGCGACTTCTGGAGACATGATAGATGGCTGATTCGATCACCCTTATTTGATTCCATAGAATTTCGACATTTGATTTTCTTTATAGATTCACATACCTTCACCAATAGACACACCTATACTTTGGGTCGACTGTAGTAGTTGGCTTTCAGTCTCAACTTTGAAGGGAGTCGACTCATAAGGCGTGAACTTAACACATTAGGTTCAAAGAAGGTTATTGTTTGCCGCGAAATGTTCCATTCTTGGACCATCGTCATCCAAATCGAAATCTCAGCCTCTTATTGTCATTGGAATAAGTTTGGCGTGTCCTTCTCGTTGATCTTCACCTTCTCAATATCGGTCAACTTGCCAGCCAGGTTTTGAAAGCTGCGATGTTCAATTATCGCAAATCTCGATATATGTCCCGACGGTTCGGATATGGTTGGATATGGGTTAGAATAACCGAGCAGTAATAAGGTTTATTTATCATGGCGATGAGTTACACAGTTTGACAGATCTGTCATGCCCTCTTGATACCTCTCTCTTCCTTTCTTCATAACCCACCGGGGGACGTTACTTTCTTTTCTTTGTACCTCCAACGACGATATGGGACGCCAGGCCGACGAAGACCCGCTCTCGCTCGCCATTCAACCCCCTCCAAACGAGACGCCTGAGCAGCGAGACAGCCGTCTCCAGGCAGAAGCCCTCGCACGCAGGATAAGCAATGACATTGACGAAGAATTGAAGGCAGAGAAGGCGGCGTTGAAGAAGAAACCTCCTGTCAAGGTCCTTCTGTTGGGCCAGAGCGAGAGCGGTAAGTTTCATTGGCACCCGGAACCATCTGGACGTGACAGTACTGACACTTTCCGTTACCAGGGAAGTCGACAACGTTGAAGAGTAAGTCATACATTCGATGCGCTTCGGCGATTCTACCAGACGGACGACCGGTCGCCAAGTGGGAATACTGCCCTCATGCCGGGGGATCTGTTCCAAAGATCGCGAAATGCTTCGGCCAAGTTCAAAGCGATATGTTACTCCGGGGGAGTATGCTCCATGTCTGCTATCAGGAATGCGATGGCGGAGGGCCTACGACACTACCCCAACTGCCAGCCTATACGGACAGACAGTGCTCTTCAGATCCGCTTGCGCTCCCGAAACAGTGTTAACCTGTGCTCATCTTTGACAAGCGGCTTGTTGTTCTGAGCATCACCTTGAACTTGCTCTCGAGCCAGTGTCTCTGTCGTCAGATATTTGGGCCACTAGGCCGCTTTGGGGAGGCCTTTCTAGGGCTCGATCTACAATATTTGTCGTATTGCATGACCTGCTCGTCTTAGGGAGCTTAGGCACTGCCAAAAATAGCCTCTTTCGGTGTCGCGAATAGCATCAATCTGGTGCTGCTTAAGCTCCCTACTATTATTGCAGGTTATGTGTCTGAGGTTGTGTAGACAGTCTGTGCTCTCCGTCTTTATAACTGTCGCCTTCTCACCCGTGCACACAGCGGGTCTTCCGGGGGCTGTTAATCCTCTGACCTACGATCAATTTTGGTCCCAAGAGTCGTACGAGCCCAAAATGTTGGATACTCACGACTCTTCTAAACTTTCATTTTTGTTATTGCCGAATGAAGATCTTAAACTATCTGCAGGGTCCTGCGAAGCCTATCAATAGTCCATGTGTCTGATTATTTGCTTCTTCTTAGACTTCCAGATGAACTATGCCAAGAATACATGGGCTGAAGAGCTCGCTTCCTGGAGGACTGTCGTCCAACTAAACCTGTTGCGCAATGTCCATACCATCTTAGACCTCGTGTCTTCCGAAATGGACGGAACGCCCGACTCATCCGCAGACAGCGAAGATGAGACGCCTACACCCAGCATCGATGACCGCCAGCCTCCCCTTCGGTTCACCGAGAAACACGGAGTTCTGAAGCTCAGACTCCTCCCGTTGCGTAGCGTTCAGAAAGACCTCGAGGATCGATTAGGTGCTTCCTCCGTTGAGGAGAACAGTGGGTATCTGGCAGGAAATGGTATGAATACTCCGAAGAGCAAACCAAAGTCTCAGGAAGTCTTCGTGCGCTCGAGTGGGTGGAAGACTACTCTAAGAGCGGCTAATGGGAGACGAAGCAGCGATGCGAGGCACGAGGCTGGATCAGTGAGAAGGACGACTGAGGTTGATGCTCGGCGTGCGACGGAGGTCATTGCAAGTTGCGGAGATGATATCAAGACACTGTGGGAGGATGAAACTGTGCAGGAAATGCTCAAGAGGAGACGGGTCAGACTGGATGATACGCCTGGATTGTAGGTTTCTGTCCTTTCTTTGATTTCAGTGTGCTTATCTCCTTTCGCATAGCTTCCTTGCTGACATCGACCGTATTGCACGTCGCGATTATGTTCCTTCAGACAACGATGTTATGCGTGCGAGGTTACGTACTCTTGGTGTACAAGAGCACAAGATTCATTTCCAGGAAGGTAAGTCGCAACTTTATCTGGTACAACATGGGGGCAGAGCTCATCGTATCCTAGGTCCTGCCGCTGGAATGGACTGGTAACTGGATTTCTGCACAACTTGCATTACTACATGCTCAAGGGTTTCATGTCTGACAGGATTATTTATGACGTAGGCGGTTCCAGGACACAGGTCAGGATCGCACAGTCCAGCGCCATCTGCTCTGCTGACCCTTGCTCAGCGCCCAGCATGGTTTCCGTACTTTGACGATTGCGATGCGATCATCTTCCTCGCGCCGGTCAATTGCTTTGATGAGAAGCTCGCGGAAGATCGAAGAGTGAATCGACTAGAGGACAGCTATGCACTCTGGAAGATGATCTGTTCATCCAAGCTCTTGGCGAAGACACAAATCATTTTATTCCTCAACAAGTAGGTTGTTGATTTGCGTCGGTAGAGAAGGAGACTCACCACACATGGTCTAGATGCGATCTTTTGGAGAAGAAACTGCGAAGCGGCGTGAAGGTGAACAAGTTCGTTCCGAGCCTCGGCGATCGGAAGAACGATGCACACACTGTCACACAATGTACGTTCTGTCTCTTTTGATATTGAGAAGTTTATTGAATTGCTGGGCAGACTTTGCACAACACTTCAAGGAGATCTTCAAGCATTGTTCTCCAGAGCCACGATCCTTCAGAGTTCATCTCACCTCAGTGGTGGATCCTAAAGCGACGTCGCTTACTCTCCAAGTCGGTAAGTCCTTTGCCTTCTCCAAACGCTTTGCCTTGCCTTTCGTTCGACGTTATTCGTTTACAATTGTCCTCGATTCCCCTTGGCATCGCACGTCCGCATGTGGTCCATCGCAATGCTCACAAATTTTTCTCTTTGCCTGGGTACATAGTCGGGGAACGTATATTCCTGGAACACATGCAGCGTGTAAACCTCATGTGATGGCATATTGATCGAACTTCTCGTCCCTATCTTCTATTCTGTTTTTATCTTCGCTCGCTGGTTTTCCTCGAATTGATATTATTGTAATTGTCTTGTCCTCTGTTTCCATATCTCCATCTGTATCCCTCCTCGTCCTCCCTTGTGCTCCTTATAACTCATTATTTCCGTTTGCTTTCGCTCGGCTGGCTGTACTCCTGCCATCCTCAAAATATCGTATTCTCGGATCAATCACGCACACTTCCTCGTCCAACAACCTCTCACGAATATATCAACGCTGGCAATGCGCTATTAGTGGAAGAGAACGTCTTGAAGGCGCACCTTCGCAAGGCGGACCTGATTGAGTGATTGCATGTAATCGGTCTGTTCTAATTTAATCGGGTGAGTGCCGTCCTCCTTTGCCGTCCCCGGGATACCCCCTCCTGACATACAGCATCCGGTCCATTTTGACAGATCGCTGGATCGTCTCGTCTCCCTTCCTTCTCCTCGTTCCAAGTATTATCTCGGTTCTGGATGGATCTTTTCATTCCTTCATCTCTTGTCCGCTTCGCGTACAACTTCGTACTCTGTATAGTATGTATAATATCTTCGTTGTGTCTGTCTACTCTCAATGTATGCACTTTTGACTGGTTGTCGTTCAAGTACTGTATGTTGCTTAGGGATCCGATCTTTCGATCGTCTAAGTATTCTAATGGGTTAGATAGGCGCTGTGCCTCATAGGCCTCTTGCCGCCGACGTTCATCTCGACGTGTACAGCTGCAGCTTGAAGCTGTGAACGGCGTTCTTCGTCTTTATTCTCGGTTTCCAGAGTTTGTTGTCGCCCTAGGCCACCCGGACAATGTCAGAACAATTCATACCGTCCCCGGTGGTACTCTTGGCACCCACAGCTACGACCACGCCAGTTCCAGAGGAAGAAGAATACTACTCGTCATGGTCACTATTTCTAGTCTGCTTATTGCTCACTATCTCTCTATTGACGTCGTATTACTTGCAAATCAAACGTATACGCGCTATACATGAGACTCTGGTGGCGATATTGGCTGGAATGTTCGTCGGGTTGGTGGTCAGGTTGGCTCCGGGGACTATGATTCGTGAAATGCTTGTGAGTGTCGATATAGCTTCTGTGTGCTTGGATGACGTGCATTGTGGGCCACTGGTCTCAGGGCTTAAACTAAACACCTAATTCTTATAGACGTTTAAGCATACCCTATTCTTCAATCTGCTCCTACCTCCGATCATTCTCAATTCTGGCTACGAATTGAAACAGGTCCGTAGGTCGTTGAATGTTCGACTTACTTTTGATCGTAATATGTTCTACAGGAGAATTTCTTCCGTAATTTTGGCTCAATCCTGACCTTTGCGTTCTTGGGAACATTCATTTCAGCAGTCGGAGTGGGGTACGTCCTGTCGAAATTGGCCTTCAGTCGCTGCGTTTATCACTTCTCAGTGCAGTGTGCTCGTGTACATTTATTCGTTCCTTGGTCTAGAGTCTCTGGAAGTGACTCTCATTGAATGCCTAATCTTTGGATCAACGTTGTCTGCTACGGACCCTGTCACCATCCTAGCCATCTTCAACCAGTACAAAGTTGATCCTAAGCTGTACACAATCATCTTTGGAGAGAGTCTGTTAAACGATGCTGTCAGTATCGTCATGTACGAGTGCGTATAATCTCAACACGTCGGGTTATTCTAGATACTGACGTCGCCCAGAACGCTGACACAATTCCATGGGACGGAAATCTACATTTCGTCGATTTTCCATGGTATCGGAATCTTTTTGCTATCGTTCAGCGTGTCCATGGCTCTCGGGGTAGTCTTCGGATTGGCAATGTCTCTCGTGCTCAAACATTCCTCACTGAATCTCTACCCTGGAATCGAGTCCTGTCTGGTTGCACTCTCAGCATACACATGCTACTTCTTCTCAAATGGGTTGTCCATGTCCGGCATTGTCTCCCTGCTCTTCTGCGGCATCACATTGAAACACTACGCCTACCACACGATGTCCCGTAGGACGCAACGCACCACCAAATACATTTTCTCCACACTGGCGCAACTTTCTGAGAACTTTATCTTCATCTACCTCGGTCTCTCGCTCTTCACCAGTCCACCTTCCTCAACCAAAGTGACCAACTACGTCAAACCATTGTTCATCACCATCACCACTGTAGCGGTCGTCTTCACACGATACGCCGCCGTATTCCCACTCTCCGAGGCCATCAACTTCTTCCACAAGCATGCACGAGGTCAACGGTCCGAGGAGCTTCCTCATTCGTACCAAATGATGCTCTTCTGGGCTGGCCTGAGGGGTGCGGTAGGTGTGGCGCTCGCAGCAGGTTTCAAAGGCGAGAATGCGCAAACTCTAAGGATTACTGTACTTGTCGTGGTCGTGCTGACAGTGATTGTGTTTGGGGGTACGACTGCAAGAATGTTAGAAGTCCTTGGAATCAGGACCGGCGTGGAAGATGATGGAGCTAGTGATAGTGAAGATGAAGAGACAAGACCCTGGTACCGAGGCAGACGAAATGGAAACGGCGGATTAAGTTCTTGGGCAGATGAAGAGGATGGTGGATACCTCTCGTCACAGCAAGCTGCCTCACTTGGACGTATGAGCAGAGGTCGGGTAGGCGTACACTACGGCCTCCCTCGGAGTTACAATCACCAAGCACTAGCACCAACTTCGCCTCTGAACAATAACGCCATATTCTCAGCGGCTTCCTCGGATTCATATGACTCTGACGTCGAAGTGCTGCCTATGGCAGCAACGTCTCCTCTAGAGCCTCCATCTCCGAGTGTGAAACGATTCTCGCGCGACACCAGTGCGCTTCAAGGGTCTGCTAGTGGAAGCGGTGCAGCAGGAACAGCAGAAGAAGGAAAGTGGTTCCAAGCACTGGACGAACGTTACCTCCTACCCCTATTCTCCAACGCAACTGCAAGTCGCACCTTCCATGCTCGCAAAGCTCGTCGGAGCTCGGGGCTGGGCTTCACTAGTAGTGGGAGTCGAATAGACACTCCGGTGGACACAGATGAGGAAGGAGAAGATAGTTCCGAATTGGATTTGACGACTGCTACACCACATGCCGTACGGTCCCCAAGATACCAATCACCTTCGCCGATGGCTACAAATGTGGATGGTGCTCAAGAAATTCCGCCAGCAGCTACCATGGACGAGAGTCGGTTAGAGAGGGGTTTGGCGAGTCCGATGTTGAGGAGAGATAGTGAGGGACAAAACCGGGATAGGGCTTCATGATGATCTCATGAAGATGTGTTATTTAGATTTTTTTGCTTTCGTAGGCTATACTTTCGTTTACTTCACTTCGGACTTGGCTGCAATATCCTATTGACAACAGTGAAAGAACTGACAGGGAGTGAAATGCGGTTTGGGGAGACTACAGAGCCAGTTGAGCGAGAATTAGATGGTTCATGTCTGCGTTTTCCGTCATGGGGAACTATAGAACTAGGACGAGTATAAATAATACAACCTCAATAGCTGCGACTGCAGCTGAAACCCCAACAATAATCCATCCAGCAGTCTTAAAGGGGCGACCAAAGATACGCTGATGCTCTTGTCCTTTGGTGGGTAAAGCAGGCTTAATGATATCACGATCAGCGAAGTCATGCTTGGAATGTCGCTGCCTTGTATAGGCGAGCGCGTAGAGCATAACTGAAAGGACGACGTAGGCGATGCCGACTATAATCGCAATGAAGAGAAGTTAAGAGGAGTCTGATTGTTAGTGAAAAGGAGGCTTTACTTACTGCGAGAGAATCGTTTGTCGAATAGACGCAGCACCGTCAATGCAAACCCGAGACACCCTACTGCGGTTCGGCCGTATGCACCATCGAATGTCCTCTCTCGAGCACGAATCTCAACTACGAAAGATGTAAATTAGTAGCAGTCATATCCGCGTCCTTACAGACGTACTTAATTCGTTTACATCCTCGGGGAAAAACGCCTTTGCCTGATAGCCGCTATATCACGAAGGTACTTAAATGAGGTATGTACAATAATGAACGAAAGACGACTACCCACTGATACAAACGGCGAGTCCTGGTCATGAAAAGGCTTGCATTTACTAGATAACACGGAGGTTCGGCCAGATGGGGGTGAAATGGATAAATTAAGAATACTCAACTAATTCGCACAGTCAGGCGCCAAATATACACTACTTACTGCGAAGATATGCAAGTTATTACTCATGTATAGTACCACATTACGATAGATAAAGATATAAAAATACAGTACAAGATCACAAGTTAGATACGAAAATTTCATACGAAACAAGAGCGTTTCTTTCCCTCGCTTCACGAACGATTTCCTTTCCAATGTCTTGCATTTCAGCTATGTCACCTTCCAAATAGGCATCGATGTAATCTGGCTGGAGTACCTCCAAAGCAGACGCCTTGTGTTCCACTCGATGAAATATTTTCTTCAGTGGGTTGAGGGTCTCCTTCCACATTGCATCATACTGCAAGTGTCGTTTACTCAACACTCGTCGGGCCACGCTGACTTTCTTCAGAAAGTTTACTTTGGCGCTGTAGACACTGCGCAGGTCGGAGCCTTGCCACTGGTTCATACGGCCGAGGGTGTGGGCAGACGGGTTATGTGTTGCGACGAACCAGACGAGAACCCAGAAGAATGATTCTAAGTCATGCCGGTAAAGATGGGTCGGAGCGGAGCCTGGAGCAAATAAATCCATAGCCATGAAAGGTCCTGTACCAGTTCGATACTTTGCTTTGCGACGACGAGCACTTTCATCATCTTCGTCTTCATTGCCTGCTGGTTCAGTGTCCGACTGCTCGGTCGGATTAACTGGAGAGGCCAGCACCTGTGTTGAGACGTCAGGGCCGCTTGTACGGGGCTCGTGGTCGGTGACCCGTCTCTGCGGCATAGTCTTATAGAGATCTCGGACGGCCTCGTATTCTCCTATGTCAACGGTAAGCTCAGGCTCCTCACCAAGGTACTTCTTCGTTTCGGCAAGATCCCAATCGCACAGGACACCAATTGCGCGGCCCGCTTTTCGATGAAACATGACGTTGGAGATACTGATATCCCTATGCAGAACTTCTGCGACAGTCCAGGCCCAATAATGACCTAGTGAGAAGCCTCAGACCGATGCTCGTCAAATGAGGTTGAAAATATTCTTACCGTTCACGACATCACGGAACACTTTCTTCAATTCTTCTGATGTGTCGATAAATTGAAGTGGAAAGTACTCTTTCAGGACGAGAATGCGGAAATTTCGCCTCTCATCTTCTGGGATTCCAGGGAGTTGCGTCATGAATGCTCGAGGGAGATTGACGTTCGGATCATTGATGGCAAGCGTTGAAGAGCATTTAAGATCAACGATGTATGCCAGGGCAGCGCGCACAGCTTTGTCTTTGCTCTTCTTCAGCGCCTTGCGAACTGCTCGGATGTGGCCTTCCTCGTATCGTTCCACTGGCTGCCAGGATACCTTCGCCACGAGTCGCCCCTTGCCAAAACGCTTACAATTCTTTTTCCCAATAGAGGTGATAGGTATAACCGTCGTTCCACGTCCAACGGTACCATAGGCTGTGACAATCGACTTCGCCTCGGTGATAGCAGTCTTGAACTCCACTTTACCAATACACTTGTCGTTGACGTCGCGAGCCGCGGGAACCATGAGAGTGGCGCCCTTATGTGATAGGTGGTTGCGAGGAACATTGCGGATAAGTGGGCAAAATCCAAGGTCCTCGTCGGATGCGCGGATTATAGCAGTGACCATGAGCAGGAAGTAGTGAGGCTCCTCAATGAAGTTGAAAAGTCGGGACTTGATGATGCCAAACCGGTCGCCATACCAGAGACTGATCTTCTCGTTCTCAACCAGGAATCCTGTAGCGTAGTTACGGGCTCCATGTGAGAGAAGCTCATTCAGGTATTTTGCCGCTTGTATCTCGTTGTTGGTGAACTCAGAACAATCCTCATCTTCATCCTGGTTGAACCTGAGCAATGCACTCTCTTGCGGAGTCAACTTTGCCTACAAATCATAATCAATTTGATGAAGTTAAATAAAATAAAAAGCAGGCGTTCATACATACCGTCGCGGGTGGTTTAGAGACGCATTCGTTTGGTTTAGACTTGTTGGTAGGCACGGAGTCAGATTGATTACTTCGACGCTGCTTTGACGATGGTCCCTCTTCGACTGGAGTATCAGGTTTCGACCGCTTGCGACTTTTGCGAGGAGGGGATGGAGTATAGGGTTGCTCTTTCTGAACCTGCGGCAGCTTCAGTTACACGAAGGATGCAACATGAACACCAACACTTACGTCTAACAATGATTGGTCCACGCGAGTGTTCCCTAGTTGTTGGCCTATTGTATCGTCCGTCTTCAACTCCCCGAACAGCCCAAATGCATCCCAGGCAATTGCGTCCGTATTCTCGCCGCCTTCGGTTACGTATCCGAAGTCAGGCTTGAAATTTGCATAGTTCCATTTCACAATCTTCTCGTGCAGGAAGCGAAGGGTACCTTGGAAGCGGCTCCCTTCTATCTCATCTGCGGCCACAGGGTCCTCTTCCCTCCATCGCTCCATAACAATTTTGGCCATGTCCTGAAAGAGCTCCTGGAACGCCACACATGCACGAGTCTCGGCCCTCTCAGCGAGCCCAATAAGCGGGGCACCTGTCTCACCCAGCTCCCTGAACTTGGATTCCTTCGAATATCTTCCGGCTGCGAGATATTGCTTCAGTGGCATCCGGGCGAGCTCAAAGTCGCCAGCGGGTATCTGAGAGGGGTGGACATTCCACACGTGATCAATGAAATCGATAATGGGGTAGTCGCGAATGACATGTTTCTTAAATTCTGTTTCGATGAACGCCTTGAACTCTGGGTCGCGGATACCATCGTCCGTTTCGATGGCTCCCACGGAAGGCTTAGATGGAGTCCTTTGAACTGTAGAGTTAAGAACCTGAGTAGCATTCAATTTATCAGTTATTAGAATACTCACCCTTCGTTGGCAAAGACTGTCCCCTGCGGTCATGAACCTGTTCCTCTACAACGAATGTTGGCGGTCGGTCTGGCTCCTGGGCGGAGGTGATTTCACGGCCACGAAATCGTCGGTGGATTTCAGGGAGTGGCCCGAGGGTGTCGCGTGCCTCATCATGCATCTCGACATCTTGGGGGAGAGTCGCGTCGGCCATTATAATATCGGAGTCGGCGCTGAAATCTGTCTCTAACGCGAGAGAATAGAAGTGTTGGTAGCAAGTATTAGATTTGTGGCAGTCGCCAGGAAAGTAGTTGCGAAACAACAAAGTGTTAAAGAGACCCATGCTATATACGTGACCACGACACGCGTGACGCGTACTACGACCTGAACAATGTGATAACTTCTGCTGCAACGTGATGGGCCTAAGCTGCAGGTACAATCGACCTTTGACCTTCGCATAACGGCCATTACGCACCCACTCGTTATTTTGAATCCGGATATAACGCAGACACCTAGACAGATATCGTAAAATTTAAAGCATCCTATCCTGTTAGATCAGTGATTTTCCTGAATGTCCCAGACGTTTATGCTAAGTTCCAGCATGAGGGTCAAAGTTGAAATGCAGTATAAGCGCCCCAATGCAGTATAAGCGCCCCAAACCTCTTCACTTTGAGATCGGAAGTAGCCGTCGGCCCGTCACCTACCATCATCTGTCATTCTGTGAGGCACTTTTCGGCTTCTGACTTTACTAGGAATGCATCTAATTGAGTAGTCGTAAAACCTCCCATTAGTTGGAAGACAGACTTTATAGAAGTCCTCTAGCGTGATGAATAACTTCAAGACACAAACAATGTGCTAGTAGCACTATATACTTACTACCTGAACCAGCGAATCATATAAATAATGATAATATAAATTCCCACAGCATTGGTGAATCACAAATGAGACATGAAAGTTTCGTACGAGACAAAGGTATTCCTTGCCTTCACGTCACGGACAATTGCCTTCCCGACTTTCTTCATTTTGGTCCTATCGTTTTCCATATACGCATCGACATAGTCTCTCCTGATGACATCCAAATTAGCTAGCTTTGCTTCCACTCGATGGAACAGTCTCTGTAGCGGATAGATAGTCTTCGCCCAAATCGATTTATACTGCTCGTCTCGTTTGCTCAACACTTTTAGAGCTACAGCATCACTCTTAATGAACGCGTTCTTCACAGAATATACGGCATCGAGATCGGAGCCTTGCCACTGGTTGATACGGCCGAGAGTATGAGCGATCGGGTTATGTGTTGCAACAAACCAGACGAGAACCCAGAAAAACGATTCTAGGTCGTGACGGTAAAGATGGGTCGGGTTGCGATCTGAAGCGAGTAAGTCCAGTGCCATGAAAGGACCGGTACCAGTTCGATACTTTGCTTTGCGGCGGCGGGCACTTTCGTCATCTTCGTCTTGATTTGCTCCACCTTCACCGGCTGTTGCTTTGGTGTTTGAGTACTGAGGTTGAGGAATCCCCGGTTCCTGAGCAGCAACGGGCGGTACGCTAGTAGAAGCATAGGGAGTCTCATCGTCCTTCTTGTCTTGTGCTTCTTTTAACATTCTCCCGACGGCCTCGTAATGCCCTTTGTCGACCGCAAGTTCAGGGTCCTCGCCAAGATACTCCTTCGTCTCGGCAAGGTCCCAATCGCATAGGACACCGATGACACAGCCTCGCTTCCAATGAAACATAATGTTAGAAACGCTGATATCCCTATGAAGAGTTTTTGCGATGGTCCAAGCCCAGTGATGGCCTAGCGAGAGTGACTTTCAGTCTGATATGGGTCAAATGGGAATAAAGAAGTCCATACCTGTAAGGGCATCGCGCAATACTTTCTTCAACTCGTCCACTGTGTCAACGAATTGAAGTGGAAGGTACTCCTTCATGACGAGTATGCGGAAGTCTCGCATCTCATCTTGTGGAACATCTGGAAGTTGCGTCATGAATGCTCGTGGAAGGTTGACGTTCGGATCATCGATGGCGAGTGTCGACGAGCATTTGAGTTTAACGATGAATGCCAAAGCAGCGCGAGCGTCTTTGTTCTTGCTCTTCTTTAGCGTCCTGCGTATCGTTCGGATGTGGCCTTCTTCATTCCGCTTCACTGGCTGCCATGACATCTTCGCAACAAGTCGATCCTTCGCGGAACACGTTTCGTTTTCCTGCTGGACTGAGGAAATAGGAACGACTATCGTTCCGCGTCCAACCGTACCATAGGCTGTAACAATTGGTTTCGCCTCTGTCGTACTGACTTCAAACTCTACGTCGCCAATATCCCTGTCCTTATGATCGCGAGCCATAGGAACCGTCATAGTTGCGCCTTTATATGAAAGGTGATTTCGAGGAATATTACGGATCAGGGGGCAAAATCCGAGGTCGGTGTCAGATGCGCGGAATATGGCAGTGACCATAAGGAGAAAGTAGTGAGGTTCTTCGAGAAAGTTGAACAGTCGGGACTTGATAATCCCAAATCGGTCGCCGTACCAGAGACTGATCTTCTTATTTTCAACTAAGAATCCGGTAGCGTAGTTGCGTGTTCCATGAGAGAGCAGCTCGTTCAGGTACTTGGCTGCCTGTATTTCGTTGCCCGTGAGGTCTGAATAGTTGTCATCATTATCCTGGTTGAACCTGAGTAACGCAATCTCCTGCGGAGTCAATTTAGCCTGCGCAAACAAAATTTGTCAGAAGAGGTCGATAGTGAAAGCAGATATTCATACATACCAGCGGGGGCGTCTTGGGGCCGGGTTCATTTGGTTTAGATTTCTTGATTAGCACAGAGTCAGACTGGTTTTTGCGAAGCTGCTTCGAGGACGGGCGTTCTTCAACTGGGGAATCGGGCCTCGAACGCTTGCGGCTCTTACGAAGGGAAGCGGGAGTGTATGGTTCCTGTTCAGCTGGCTGTTGAAAGCTTAGCAGTAAATGACACGGCATGACAACTACAACTCACGTCTAGCATGTTTCTGTCAACAACCACCGGCTCGATGTTGTTTACCGCGTCGTCGGCCTTCTTCAGCTCGCCGAATAGTCCAAATGCGTCCCAGGCAATCGCGTCCATATTCTCACCATTTTCTGTGACATAGCCAAAGTCCGGTTTGATATTCGCGTGGTTCCCTTTAACGATTTTCTCGTTTAGAAAGCGAAGAGTACCTTGGAACCGGCTCCTCTCCATCTCATCCGTAGTTGCGGGGTCCTCCGTCTTCCATCGATCCAAGACCATTTTAGCTGTCTTCTGGAAGAGCTCCTGGAAGATGTAGCACGCGCCAGTCTCCGCTCTTTCACCAAGTCCGATCAGTGGGGGACCTGTCTCGCCCAGCTTCCTCAACTTGGATGTCTTAGAATATCTCGCAGCTGCCGCGTATTGCCTGCACTCCCGTCGTGAGAGTTCGTAATCGCCGGGGGGTATTTGAGATGGAGTGGTATTCCATACATGAGCAATGAAATCAACAATAGGGTAGTCGCGGGTGATATGTTTCTTGAATTCCGTTCGGATGAATGACTTCAGTTCAGGGTCGCAAACGTCGTCGTCGGTCTCGATGGCACCAATGGATGGTCTGGCCGGCGTCCTCTGGCCTAGAAACGTACGCGATTGAATAGGAATCAATATTTTCACCGAATGGTACTTACCTCTTATGAGTAAGGACTGTGCTCTACGAGCGGAGGGCTGTACATCTACGTCGGGAGGAATCTGTGCTCGATTCATAATATTGGGAAGTGGTCCGAGCGTGTCTCGCGCCTCATCATGCATCTCGACATCTTGGGGGAGAATCGCGTCGGCCATGATAATATCGATGTCGGCGTCGAAGTCTGTCTCAAGTGCAAGAGAGTAGAAGTGGCTATAGCAAGTGCCGGTGTCGTGGAATTTTTCAGGTAGGTGGTTGTGGAACAACAAAGAGTTGAAGAGTCCCATTTTGAAGGAGGATCCTGCGGCTATATACGTGACTGCCACACGCGTGACGGGTCCTATGGCCAGGACAATGTGATACGTTTTGTTGTAACGTGACGGGCCCAAGCTGCAGGTACAATGGATTTTTGACCTGTACTTATTGCTACGCAATCTGTGAATATAAGTTGGATGCGAGAGTGGTCTCCGCGAGTGGCACACACGTACTTTATCCGATAAGACAACAAGATTCTTATTCAGTACCACTTCTGGCTTCCTAAGAGTTTATAAGTTATTCTCAATGTTCTGTAGACACCGTATTTCATGAACAAGAGCACACTGTTTCACGCAAGGAATCATTACGCACTGCTTTGCTATCTCAATTCCAGAGGCAATACGACCACCTGTACATAATTAATGCTAAATAACACATTATCATTCAATCAATGTTTCCATACCTTTTTCTCGACGTCCTTGGAGTATTTGTTCTGTACAATGTGTTTCGGAAGAAAACAGTTGAAACCCATGTAGACGCCCTCTGTACTGATGATCGGAAGTAGCCGCCGCTCGTCGATCCAGAAATCTATTTCAGCTTCTGGCTTTAGCTAGAGAAAGACTGGTATGCGTACGACTCTTTGCATCAAAATTCTGCACGTGTAGAAGTTATGCAGTCTTGCCGGGTACAACTAGTGAGATATAATTCCGAAGTGAACCCAATGCTCGTTACACGTCACTATACTTCTCCGTACCCTGCGGAATATGAAACATTGGTGCTCCCATTCTTGTAATGTTCAGGGTCGGCTCGCGTTAATAATAATATGTAGAAACGTATTCATGTCGCTGAAAGCTGAAGGTCGTGGTGCTTAGATCCAGCTGAATGACAGAGGCGATGATACTTATGCAAAATAAGCAAGCAACACAGCACAGACTGAGGAACATGGTGGTGATGAGTATCAATCATTCAATACCTAATTGGGGGAGGTCTCGAATTCAGTAAGTCCATCGACTGACCGTAGGAGAGACTGTTGTACAAAACATACCACTATGATACATAACTTCAGACTTCCTATGATTTAATTTTTGACTTTCTTTAATCCCTTAATCCTTCGCCACCTTGATGACGACCTTCCCAACGTGCTTCTGGCTCAACAAATACTGATACGCCTCTTGAGCCTGTTCGAATGTAAACACTTTGTTAACCACAGGGTGGATCTGACGAGCCACAAAAAGACGGTTCATATCCTCGAATCTATACCGTATAGAATACACCATCAGTTTTAGTGTTCGTCGAGGTGAGAAAGGGAAAGGCATGGGTACGTACTGAGTGCGCGAACCGATGAGGATTGAACGGAAGGTAACGCCTTTCTGAAGTAATTTGAATGTTAAACCTTTCAGATCGTCATCCTATACCAAGTCAAAATCAAATCTTGAGCACCTTGCGCGAAGTAGGTGAATGGGATACACATACACCAGCGAGGAAACCAATATTATGAATCCATCCGGCATAGCGAGCGGCAGAGATGGACTTGAGAAGTGTACCAGGTCCGCCGATCTCAATGATATGGTCAGCGCCCCTTCCGCCTGTCTGACGCAGCAAGAATGTAAGGTAAGAAACAAAGAGTAGGCGGGGAAGTATAAACGTACGAGTTTCAAGACCTGTTGGTCCCAATCGGGATGTTCCTTATAATTGATCAGGTGAGTTGCACCTAGTTTCTTTGCCAATTGCAACTTCTCGTTTGACGACGAAGTAGCGATGACAGTGGCGCCCATCGCAGCGGCAATTTGCAGAGCGAAACTGCAGAATGCAGGAAAGACTAGTAAATCGGCATGAAGAAGAGCGATGCAGGAAATACGCACATGGATACGCCTCCGGTACCTTGGACGAGAACGGTGTCTCCGCCCTTGAGAGGCACGGGTCCAAGGAGTGCATTCCAAGCGGTAACAGCTGCACAACTGGAATTAACGAAGATCGTTAGGCGCGTCACATAATAAGAAGTGTTCTATCCACTTACGGTAACGTGGCCGTCTCCTCATAAGTCAAATACTCCGGAACACGAAGGAGGGCCTTAAATCGTGACGGTCTTCAAGATCCTATCACCGCAGAACGAGATACTATGAACTCACGTGTGCAGGGAAGTTCTTGTACTGAGTGAGCGTTCCGTCGGATGGGCCTCCGAGAGCACTGTCCAGGATTTCTTTCGTAACGTCACCATAAAGGTGGTCGACGCAAAAGTTGGAAGTAACACGATCGCCTTTCTTCCAGTCCTTCACTTCGCTGCCAACGGCGATGACCTCGCCTGCCATGTCAGAGCATGGAACTACCTCAGGCTTGAGACCGGGATATGTGCCCGTAACAGCGGCAATATCGCGATACTAAGCATGGTTTTCGTTAAGCATGTGCTCGAGGAAATGTCGAGGTTTACGGAATAGGTGCTTACATTTAGAGAGACAGCATGAATTTTAACAAGAACCTCTGTAGACTTCGGAGGTGCGAGTGGTGCCTCCCTGAAGGTGAGGTGCTCAATTCCCTCGGGCTGTGAAGAATGAATATTAACACGGAGATTCGTTTACGAAAGTCGGGCTATGTTCTCCATTACCTTAGCAATGTAGTATTCTGCGGTCTTAGATGGGAGCGACATGACGTTTGCGAGGATGAGGAGAAGTTCCGCGGTTAAATACGAAGTACCAAGTTGCTTAGTCTTGCTATGTCATGGACTTTGTCATTGACATCCATACAGTATTCCCATCTCTTGCTCTGAATTGTTCGAGTTCGTCATTATCACAGTTCCACACCGCGTCTTGGAACTCTGACGTCAGAATGTTACTAAGCGAGCTTGGTAATGAAGTCGAACGAAAAGACAGAACCTGGCGATGTACTCACAGGTCAAGGTGAGCTCTTAGATCTTAATCCGTGCTGCGAACCCATTCATTGCACTAGTGTTGTGTGAATACAATATGGAGGTCGTTGAAGCGTTTCTATGGCAATATTTGCAAAGATTCCAAGTAGGTTCCAAGCCAGGCGGAAGATCCGACAGATCGACATTCCGCGTGGATCGGACTTAGCAGTATTGCCCAGCTTCGAACATCACCCGCAAGCAAACGTTCATGCTCTTGACTGTTGCAAGAACCTTTTGGGCCTATCGTGAGTGCTGGATGTGAGTCTTGCAATTCCACCAATGGATCACTTGCGACATACACATGCATTATAACCACGCAAAAACACGCGCATTAGCGACCCCCGTTATGAATCCATACCTAGACTGTATAGAATGTCCGTCTTCGAGGTGGACTCGAAAGCTTGGGATCTTTGCCAGCATTCCTGACCAGCGGCCCGGCTCGCCGTTGTGCCGAGCCGGAGGTGGTCCGTGCACGTGTCTGTGGCTGAGATATGTGGCCGTATTTGTACGGAATTCTCACCCACCAAAAAGTAGAAAAAGTCCAGGGGGCCTCCTCGTGACCTTTCCCAAATCCCCCGTGATCACGACTTGCCTACAGCCTATTCGCTGCCCATTTCACCCGGAGCTCATCGTTCTTCACGGCGAGCGCGACTATACATCCGACATCGACGACGAAGGGACTTGAAGACCTCCCCTCACACATCCCGCTCATTCGATCATTCACCAGACCCCATTTCTGCTTGCATTTCCTATATCACTTCAATTCCGCTTTTGCTCAGCGAATCATTTAAGATGGCGACCGCCCAGCCGGCTCACGATTCTGCTCTTCAACACCCTCCAGCTCCTACTCAAGAAGCAAGTGCGACTTCCCCACCGACATCTAGTACGCCAGCTGCATCGACTACGCTCCCTCCAGGACTTCTGCCTGGAATGAGCAACGACCAGGTTATTGCTATCTTAAAGACAGTTCCTGGCGTATTTCCTGCAAGAGTGCGTGCTATTTGACATGTACTTGTACCTACTTCGATCTATTTGGCTTGTGCCCGTAATCTTTTATCCCAAGTGTCCCGCTGCCTACACGTGATGCCCGACGCGGTCACGTTCGCGTATATGAAAGGAAAGATCGGTGATGTTTCGATCGTGCAGGGGGATCGAGGACACTTGCACGACATCTGAGTTTGTACGAGGCAAAGTGGGATCTGGCGAAGGATCGTGGTGGTCTGCACGTAGGGTGGACCCCGATCATCACTTTTAGGGTCCAGCTTTCCGGTGACTTCTGAGTATGACGAAGGCTTCCGTTATGAATAATTTAGATGGTTGCTATAAGCTTTGCCACAATTCGGTTTAATTCCGTCCTCATTGTCATGAATGGCATTTTACGTCGGTACTGATTGGGGATCGAATAGGACGGCACGAAGGACGCAACAGCGGCCGAAGCACTTTCCAACCTCGCTCAATCCGGTTACACACATCAACTGTCAAATCAAGGTATTCAAATGCACTCTACATTCCAAGTGCACACCCCCCAATTTGGTGAGCCCGGTCCATCATCGCATCCATGGGGACCTCCCAACCTCGGTCAATTAGCCTCTACTGCTCTTCAGAACGGCGGCCCGCCACCCATATCAGCGATCAGAACTGATGTAGGCGAGGGTTCGAGTACGCAACCTGCCGATGCTCCTTCTGCTCAATCTGCATCTGCACACTTTGAAACTGGATCCCCAAATTCTCAGTCTGAATCCGAGAAGCCTACACCGAGATCAGGTGGTCGAAGGAGTGGCCGGAGTGCAACGATGACGAACGATGAGTGGACACGTCAAAGGAAAGATAACCATGTACGCAATCATTTCATAACGCCGGACGACGCGTTGATGTAGCTTCGTGCTCACTTGACAGAAAGAAGTCGAACGCCGACGTCGAGGTAACATCAACGAAGGCATAAACGAACTCGGTCGAATCGTACCCAACGGCTCAGGCGAGAAAGCAAAGGGTGCGATCCTCTCACGTGCAGTGCAATATATCCACCACCTGAAAGAAAACGAAGCGCGGAATATCGAGAAATGGACGCTGGAGAAGCTGCTTATGGATCAGGCGATGGGCGATTTGCAAGCTCAGCTGGAGGAGATGAAGAAGTTGTGGGAAGAGGAACGGCATGCGAGACAGCGGTTGGAGACGGAGTTGGATAATCTCAAGGCGCAGGCTGGGCGTACGGACGCTGTGAAAGAGGGTGGAAAGCGGGGTAGGGAGGACGCTCCACCTGCTACTGAGGCGAGTGAAACGGAAGATGAGCGGGCGAAGCGGCAGAGGACGGATTAAACATTCTCGGGATATTTGGGTTACGCCTTCGATACGGTAATGATGACGTTCACGGGATCCTTTTCCTCGATTTATGGGTCCATCTATAGCTTTAGCTTTCCCCTTATGGCTCTTTTGTAGGACATTTCATCGTTCTGAGGTGTGTTGTTAATTGTATAGCTATTTGTGTGTATCTTTAGTTACGAAGTTTTGTCTTTGGCGCTTTCAGTTGTAATTGTCTTGATGTACTATGACAAGGTCTTCTCGCTCGACGCTTGAGTGCTCGGAGGGCATATGTAGCGTTCGTCACAGTGCTTTTTTCTGTATTAAATAGTATGTGTTGAAAGGAGTGACAATTTCATTGTTCAACGCTTCCGATCGCTCATGTCGGCTGTACATGTTCTCAAACTGGCGAGCCAAAGATGGCCTGTTTCTCGTAGTAAATCTGTCACAGCTTTTGAAACAGTCTTGACCATTGCGCCCAGCAGATGTTTCTCTTTTCATTCATTCACTCATACTCTCTGTCGCGCAAGCGAACTTGCCATCCTGAACAAGTTATTCATTGACTCGAACTCAACAATCACGCATCCCTTATCATAGAAGGAAATCATATGCGGCATGGTAAGACACAGCTCATTGTGACCACCTTGCAATGTGTTTTCTCTGTCCAATACACATCTTCCATTCATCTATCAATTCAGTGCTAGCAAGTAAAAATGAGAACCACAAAAAAACAGATGTATATTTTATCTATAGAGTCAATGCAGATGTGGGGTGTATGTATAGTATACACAATCTATAGTCAATTCATTTATAATAACAGCAAATAAGAGAAACAGTATATAATAGATATACAGCCACCAAAACACTGCCTATAGAAAGTAGCAAAAACCTGAGTAGAAAAGAGCAAATAGCAAACAGCATAGATAAAGCAAATGGTGAGAACTGAAATAGAATAGAAGTTGCCAGGTCATAGAGATAACAATAAAATGAAGAACATAAATAAGGCTCAGAAGATATGTAATAGATCTAGACCATATTCTCAGAAAGCTCAACAACACCAGTAGCTACCAAGGCAGCAACAGATGCATTATCTAAAGTGAATATAGGGTTTTCATGGTTCTGAGTGCCAGAAGGCCTGAAAGAAAGATTCTAAGTATTGCAGAGATAAAATGAGATAAAAGTGAAATCTCACCCAGCTTCTGCATTCTCTGGTTCATTCATCTGCCTAGTCACAGTCTGTGATAATCCACTGGCAAGTGAATTGTCAGAGTAGATGATAGACTGGTGTTCTTCTGCATTTATCTCTTCATCTTCATCTTCTTCAGCTGCCCAGGGTGTATCAACTGTGAAGCCCATATTGCCAATAATTGAGCTAGCAAACTGAATACTAGAGTCTTGATGATCAGAGCTGGAGGTATTGCTATTGCTGCCTGATTGCCTGATTGAGAGAAGAAGCGCAAGTCCAGGAGAAAGCGAGAGAGCAAAATTGAGGTTACACTATATTGAATCAGTAAGTAGCTATAAAATATATATTAAAAAAATACCTGTCATTGATTACAATAAAGGCAGATGAAATATTTAATTGCTTTCAAATACGTAGAGATAAGTTCTGTAAAAAGAAAGATAATTATAATTACTTACATTCAATGCTATTGCAACTGAGAGTATATCCAATATCACTGAAATAGCATTCAGTATCAAAAAAATACTAGAGGGTGAAGACTTCAGATATATCATTTTGATTATAAATAAAATAAAAAAACAAACAGAAATTGGAGTGCTCCTAAAGCATATTTACAAGTGATTGAAATTACCATCATGAAAGATATAATAGTAGATAACATACCATTGTATATTAGCATAGCACTGAGTGTGGGTTGTCTCTGTATAGTCTGTACAGATTGTTCTATTCTCCAGGTGTGAACAGTCTCAAGAAGGGTAAATCCAAGTACTGCCAAATCTGTTGCTACAGATATGGCTCTAGTTATAATAGGGACTTCAAAGATAGAGATTAGTAGAGATCAAGCAAGAATAATTTTAGATACAAACTGCTAAAAATTAGATAAGTAATTAGATTGTAGTAGAAAATACAGATACTTACTATTGATATAGTTGAATAGTAGATACATTCCAACAGCCTATTATTGGCCTAGAAGATATAATGGTCCAAGTTTGTGGCCTGAAAAAGTTGTACTGCAAAGATATACAGAATGAGTACCTTGGAGATTAGAGAAACAAAATATACTGTACTATGTTTACACTTGGAGCAAACATGCTGAGAAGGAACACAACTGTAAATGAAAACCATTTCTTCTGACTGATGGCTCAGATGTGCAGACAGTTGAAGGCTAGTTCAGTAAAGATTAGAAACCTGTTGTATACTATATTAAGTGATAGATACTTGCCTGCAACTGCAAATAAGCACACTATATTAATAATATAATACAGAATAGTCACAGCTTCACAGCTAGTAAGCATATTCATTATCATCAATGTAACTTATCATAAGACAATTACAATACCTCTATAGAATAGTTTAGAATTTGAATGTAATAATACATTATGCATAACTCACAGAAGCAGTTGTGAAAATCCAAAAGCTATTAAAGGTTTGAATAGACATATCCAGAATAGTGCCATATCTAATGAGCACATAGAGAAGAGTGACTGCAGGGAATCTTCTGTTCCAGATGCACTTCCATTCCTGAGGCCATGCTAAGATAGCATCATAGACAATCAGAGCTGAAATACAGATTATTTGCAATGTAATAGACAGTAATGTTAAATGAAACAGACCTAGTGCTGCAAGTTGAATATAGTTTTCAAGGTAAGCCTGTGAACTAAAACATGGCAATTAGCACTAAATATGTTATTTATTCTAGCAAGCACAACATACATTAATGAGATGATTTCATCTGGTGTGAGACCTAGCTCTGACATGGCAGAGTGAAAGATGAATTGATTGAAGGTTTGAGATTGTTGACAAAGAGGAAAGAAGGATTCAAAGGTGCTGAGTGCTCACTACCCAAGCAAAGTGCCTGTAATATATGAGTCCACTTTTGATGACATCAAAATATACATGATAAGTGAAGGAACTCCCTTCTCAACTTAGTTGCTAAGAACCGGACTGGAAGCTCAGGGTCCACCCCGCCCTCTTCACAACTGATGCATAATTTACCTCATCTTGACAGTGCCCTCATTTGAGGTGCATCGGTGTCATGAGTGCGAGAGTGATCACGAAGCCTTCTCCCTCAGCTCGCAGACCCACCTCATAGCCACCAACACCCATCCAAATCACGAACTCACCTCAATGACTTCGCGCAGTCTTCCGACATTCGTGGCGATTAGCGATGCAGATAGTGGAGCCCAGGAAAACGATAGGCTTCATTCGGTTAGTAGATAAGCTCTGGTACACATGAATGTCAATCAACATGAAGTGAGAGAAGGCGGAGAGGGAGTACGAAGCGAGACGAGGCAAGACAGCCGTGATATGGATCACGTTCATCTTCCAAATGTGTGCAGTCACGTTGATCCACCAACGAGCCCAACGGCATGATACACAGCAACGGATATGTATCAGTTGTTGAACTTCCCCAATGTTGATTTTCAAATGTCGTCGACGGATGCTCTGAGATCTCCCGTCCACATCCTCCAACAATAAGCCCCTCTTCGATGATTATCACCACCGTCTCTGACCACCCTCGGCGTACTCCAAGCATGACGTAGTCAAAGTCATCGTCTATTGAGTTTCAGGCTCGATTGAGTACCTGAGAGACCGGTAGGAAGACGCAAGTGAAAACATACTGTGACAAACGCAAAGCCACCCCACCACCCAAGCGGTCAAGACGTGAAGTCCGTGCAGACTGTGGATGAAGCGTGACAAGCGCGAACGACAGCCGCTTGGCTGTCCGTACGACCTGATCGACAGCAGGCCTATACAGCAGTCTTGGTTGAACAGCCGGACTCGAGACCGTGACGGAGGAGTGGTCATAGGACAGCGAATATGCAATTCGGTAATTACGAATGTCATGGGACCCTGAGAGTAAACAAATAGCGGTGGATTGAATTGAGGTGAGGAGCACAACTGCAAACGCGTCTCTTCTCGTTGTCTCTGATCCTGGTTGCAGATGAACATGGCGAGATCGCCAGCGGCGGTATGATGTATTGATAAGTTGCGTTGAGAGGGGGTAAATGAAAGGGGGGGTAGTTGGAGTCGTACCATGGTAGTCATATGGTAAACTGATTCGAAAGCGGAGATCGGCAGAGGAGAGAGATAGGAAAGCGAATGAGATGGCAAGGGGAGGTCATGTATAGTACAAGCGATTCCCGTCTTTGGAGACTTCACTACCAACAGAGACGTAACGGATAGCACGACGAGGGCTGTAGTTGTGAGAGCAAGGGAACATGAGAGGACGATGCACAGGAGTTCAAATGTAGGTTCTATCAAGAGTGTTGATATCGACAATTCTGAGGGATCGTGTTAATCGCGAGGGGTGAGCGTTCGTTGCTGTTGGATATCCATGGATCGTCCTGAGAACGCAGGTAACAAGGGCAAATTATCGACTGAGATCTCTGGTAGATCAGAGAACCAGTTGAGGCAGACAAGCGTTGTTCAATGGGATTCTTGCTGGTAGAGAAGGGGGTGCCAGATGTGTTGGGGAAGGGGCGACAGAGGAGGAGATGAGATGAAAAGGGAGACGAGCCCGGGTGCGGTTAGGCGAATGCAGGAAGTCTAGGATAGGGAGAGAAATCAGGAAGCAGAGAAGTGGCTACATACCGGGTTTATCCATCCGTTGCTACTACTCACTCGAGAAGACCATGCAAGCTAATATTTGTAGGGCAAGTTGGGGCTTACATCATTGGAGACTTCGCAACTCAGTGAAACGTAACAGATATCACAACAGGATCTGTAGTAATTGGAATGACAAGGGCATATGAGCGGACGACGCGCGGGAGCTCAAGTACGTATATGAGGCCTTGAAGTTCTATCAAGCGTGCTGATGTCGATAGTTTTACCTTGAAATCGTGTGAATCGCGAGGAGTGTGCATACCTCATTGCTTTTAGGAATCAATCGTCCGGAAAACGACGGCAATATCTCTGGTATACGAGCGAAGCGATCGAGAAAGACGCGATCGCTGTCGGCAAGGAATGTGGAGACCAGATGTGTTGGCGGGACGGAGCGGGAGACGAGAAGGGGCGGGAAACGAGATGAGACGGAAGACGAGCCCGGAAGTCTAGATATTAGTAATCGGGTGAAGGGAGACCAGGATGGGGAGAGAAATCAGCAAGCAAACGGAGAAGCGAGTACATACCGGGCTCATCGATGCATCATCTACGTGTA